TTTGTTTGATTTGTTTGATTTGTTTGATTTGTTTGATTTGTTTGATTTGTTTGATTTGTTTGATTTGTTTGATTTGTTTGATTTGTTTGATTTGTTTGATTTGTTTGATTTGTTTGATTTGTTTGATTTGTTTGATTTGTTTGATTTGTTTGATTTGTTTGATTTGTTTGATTTGTTTGATTTGTTTGATTTGTTTGATTTGTTTGATTTGTTTGATTTGTTTGATTTGTTTGATTTGTTTGATTTGTTTGATTTGATTTGAATTCTTTCTTGTGCGGTATTGCCAGGGCCAGGCGGTTGTTTCTTGAGGAAAGAAAGGAAGAAGGATTTGAGAAGGAGGAATTCGCACTTTTGTGGCCTTGTGCGCTAAAAGGGCGCTAGTGGAAGATCAATCCATTGTGGCCAATGAGAGGGCTGCGAGGACGGGAGGTGCCAGTGGTTTCCTGGGGCTTCCATCGTATTGTTTGCTGGCGGAGGTGAAGTGTGGCGCAGCGGGCGTCGAGCTGGCTGACACAGCAGGATGGATGAGGGATGGAGACATGAGTCGAGTGTACGCGGGTGGCCTGCGACAGGGGGATTTCCTGCCTTCCCCCTACGCCGCAGGATTCCAGGGGGTCTAGCTGCCCTTCGCGTGTGAAGCCCCTTTCATGCCTTAGTACCAGGTACCTTACTGTATACAGGAGTCCATAAGGTGAGCATCTGCGTAATGGATACCGAACGCCCTGCCCTGCCCTGCCCTGCCCTGTCCTGCTGATGAACGTATTTCCACTTCTCCCGCCCACCTGCACTCTTCTTGCTCTCCAGCCACTGCGAACCTTCCAGACACTGCGAATCTTCCAGACACTTCCACGCAGCCACAGTGACGTTCCGTGCTGGATCTCGTCCACTGTGCTCACAATTGCAGCCCTCTGGTTCGTCGTAATTCGTTGATCTCGGCTAGCGCGCGGGAGTGCCGCAGCTGCCTTAAAAGCTCCTTCCTTCTGCAATTTTTCTCTCTCTCTTTCTTCTTTCTTTCTTCACACTGGACCTGACCCCTCCAGTGTTTTCGTAAGCCCTGGATAGATCCCAACCGGGACCTGGACCTGGACCTCAACCTCAAGCTCACCTGGACTTCCATGGTCTTCAACAGACCTCCCTCACACACGCTGCCTACACGCCTCGCTCGTGTGTGTGCCCAAGATTTGGTCGTCTGATGCGGGGGGAGTCGGTCGAGATGGCTTCGGCCTGAGACGGCCGACTAAAGTGATCCTGATCTGCTTGCAGAGACGGTGAAACCGCTGCCTGTCAGACTAACGTCGTGGACGACACACGCAGGCAGATTCTCGAATCGCCGTAAAAGCTCCAAATCTCCAAGACGACACCCAGAAAGGCGAACTTCAACAGCCTGCGATCCACAGAAAGAAGCCCCAAAACACGCCGCCGTCGCCAAGAAAGAAGCCACAAGGCAAGTCACCACCCTCCCCTCCTACTACCTTTGCTGACACCTCATCACAGAGCTGGCTACTGCTGCCTGAAAAGAACCACACGAGCCATTAAGTCGGCACAAGAAGCTCCAAGACAGTGGGCAGAAATGAAAAATGTCGACGGGTGTCAAGGCATCCGGGCGACCAGGGCTGCGAGGGCGGCTCGCAGGCAAGAGGGGGCATCAGTTGTTAGATCGCTTGCGATCTGCTGCTGGAGCTCACTATCTCCTTCTCTCTCTCTCTCTCTATCCCCCTCTCTCTTGTTTCGCCAATAATGGTGGTGCCTTTCTTCTTGCTAGGTAATTTCAAATTCGATGGTGTGTGTGCGTGCGGGTGAGAGGCCGCGGCTTGGCGCACGTGCTGGGGATTCTGTCGGACTTCAGCAACATTACACCTGGAGGCGTCAAGGCAGACTGACTAGTGCTGCTCTCTGTGCGAAACTGTTTACGAAGCAGCAAGCCTTTTGACAATAATACTCACAGCCTTCTGGCAGTAACAACACTCACGGAATGATAGTTCCAGCAATGTACCACCTCACAGAAGCGTCGATGAGGATCTCACGGGCATCGTCTCCGAGCGTTAAGCAGCCTGCATGCTATCTATGCAAGCACATCGGTAGCTTATGCATATTCGCTCCGGTCGTGCAGTAACGAATGTGGCCATTGCGAACCATCATCGCCACCCCACAAGGACGACTGAGGCTATATCATGGCTGAAAACATCACGTCCTGACATGCGAAAGCAATCCATCTGACATGCGTGAAGATGATGTGGCAGGTCATAATTTTCACGCGTGTGACAGGCAATATGATGGCAAGAGGCTGGGACGAGTAACAGGTGAGGTTACTTGTTGTGGCCGGTGGTCACTCTGGCGCTCCCAGGGTTTGTCTTAGTGAGAACCGGTGGAACTGAGATCTACCGGACTTCTGCCGCACGGGCGTGTCCGGGGGGGATGTGATGTCGCGCTTCGATGCATCTCTCTCTCTCATCACAGACAACGATTCCGCCAGAGTCCTTCTTGCTTCTCGCCTACCTTGCCATTGTACACTCGGCCCCAGGTCGGGAGGTCCACTGCCTCCTCTCGCCGTCCACCATGTCGCGCCAGCCCTGCCAGTCAAAAGACGTCCCTCCCGAATGATACGTCTCCGCTCGCCGATCTGCAATCTGCATACAGTGAAGTGCATCAAACTAGGACTTAGCCCTATCTGGCAGCATGGGCGTTGGGCGTGGGCGTGGGCATGGGCATGTCGAAGGATCATGGCGTGTATGCAAGAGTGAATGCAGGAGAGACTTCAGCCTCGCCGATGTCTCTTCTTCCATCGTTGACCCTTCTCTCGTAGAAACGTGTGCTTCCCTCCGAGTGTAGCAGAAGTAGAAGCAGTACCATCATCATCATCATTATCATTATCATGTGGCTTCTCCAAGCTCAGACGAGGAAGCTTGTGCAGTTTACCGACGAAAGCAAGATCTACGGCAAATATGCCATCCTCTCGCACGTCTGGCAGGATGACGAACTGAGCTTCCAGGACGTGCACGACAATGTGCCTGGCCACGAGCAGAAAGCGGGTTATGCCAAGATCAAATATGCGTGTGAACAAGCCCTCGTCGAGAACCTCCAGTACCTTTGGGCGGATACGTGCTGCATCAACAAGCTCTCGAGCGCAGAGCTTTCCGAGGCAATCAACAGCATGTACCGGTGGTACTATGAGGCCAAATATTGCTTTGCCTACTTGTACGATATGCCGCGCGTAGACTTGAAGAACTCCAAGTGGTTCACGAGAGGCTGGACCCTCCAAGAACTGATAGCGCCGGGAGTTGTGAAGTTTTACGACTGCACCTGGACTGAGATCGGCACCAAGATTGGCATGATCGGAGAGATCCAGAAAATTACCAGTATCGATGAGCCAGTATTAAGGGATCGTAACAAACTGCAGTCGACCAGTGTCGCAGCCCGCATGGCGTGGGCTGCAGAACGAGTGACTTCCAAGAAGGAAGACGAAGCATATTGTCTCATGGGCATCTTCGACGTGAACATGCCGATGATCTATGGGGAGGGCATGCGGGCCTTCGCGCGCTTACAGGAGGAAATCATCAAGACCTACGAAGACCAAAGCATCCTCGCATGGCAAGCGTGGGAGCACAATCAAGCCAATTTGCTTCTCTCCCCATCGCCCAAAGGCTTTCGGAAAGCCCATAAAATCGTCAGCTGGTCCCACACCTGGGTGGACGATTCCTTTGACCTCCACAACAAGGGCCTCCGCATCTACCTCCCCGTTGTCCAAGACCCGGGCGATCCTAAGCGAATCGTCGCAATCTTGAACTGCCGCTACAGCCACGAGATCAGGACACAACTCGCCATCTATCTGAGGGAACATGCACCCCGCATGATCGTTCCCAGCCGAGAACTCAAAAGTACCGTCTGCGAGATGGCGCCTCAGCTGACCGACTCCGGCACGCTCACCGCTCTCGACAACATCCAACGAGCAGTTCTATACCACGCCAAATGGAAATCGCTCATGATTCTAAAATCGCCCATTCCCCCAGAACACATCGCCCCAGGAGCCGTCTGGGAACAAAAGATCAAAATCCACAACCTCGTCGACCAACTCACCCTATCCAAAGTCTTTCCCCCAAACGCCTACGACCCCCACGAGGAAATTCTCACCTTCTTCCTCACAGGCTCCGACGAAATCGATCGTGGCTACATGTCCTTTCTCGACCCCGACGGCAAAAAGCAGTGGAGCGTGCTCTTGCAGCAAGAATCCTTATCCGGCTCCGCTAAACCGCGTGTCTGGCTGTGCAAACACGGTACCCTCGCAGATGATACTGCGCTATTTCGTACGTTTCGCGCTAGTAATGAGGAACTTCGGAAAATCGCTCGAATTGAATTTCGCAAGGGCGTGCAGGATCTTGTGGCTGAGGTGGATCGGGATTTGTCGCAGCCGACGAAATCTGCGTGGGATGTGAAGTTGTATTTGGAGAAGAAGACGGCTTCTTCGTCGAAGGGGACGTGGACGAGTTTGGTATATGGTAGTGGTAGTAAAGGTCGTTGAAGAGAGATTTTTGGTTTTTTCATCTTTTCCGTTTTTTTTTCGGGGAGGTCATTTGTTTCGTGTACCACTAGCTAGCATCCATCTAGGCCTAGATAACTAGTCTATGACTAAGAAAACTCTACTTTTACTACCACTCCCACTACTGCTCCTTCTCCTACTCCTCCCCTCCCCTCCCCTCCCCTTCTCTTTTTTTTTTCTCTTTTCTCTTTCTTTCTTCTTTTGTTTTGGGAGAGAGGGAGAGGGAGAGAGAGAGAGAGATATAGGAGGGGGAGGGGAGAAAGACAGATTGCTCCAACTACTACCATCGCTCTTTTCAAAAGCTTTGAACATTTCTTCTGTACATATATATATATAAGAAGTAACACTTTTCTTTTTAAATTAAACTACACTCTTCAGAACATGGGAAAGAGAGAAAGGGGAGAGCTCAAAACCCCGTCTTGGCCGCCTTTCTCAACCCATCCATAATATTAATCAAATTATCGACCAGAGGGGGATTCCTCGTATCATGATGATTCGACCGCATAATGGCAACAACAGCACCGACGACTTCATCCGGATTCGTCAACATGACGGGTGTGTCGCCATTATGGGTAGTCCACATGCGAATGGCCGCGTTACCTTTGCCGTGGAGAATCCATCTTTGGACACCATTATCGTCGTCGCCGTCGAGGAGGACGAGCGGGGAATTATGGTTGATGGGACCGGGTTCGGTCGAGTTGTTGATGATGCCGTAGGACCAGAATGCGAGGCTCGCTTGATAGACTGCGATGGCGGCAAAGTCGCACACGAGGCCTGGTCGAAGTTTGCGGGCTGCACGCAAGACTTGTCCCGCATGCCAGAGTGCTTGTCGAGCGGTGTTGGTGCGCGTCCAAGAGCCCAGGGCGGGGTACACTCGCTGCGATTCCTCTGTGCCCTCGACTCCTGCGAACAGCTGGACGTCTTCGAGGGAGACGTGCAGATGCATGAGAAGAAGCTCCACGATCAGTGTGATCTTCGTGTCCTCGATGGAACTAATGCGGAAGTTTTGAAGAAGCTTCGTGAGCATATTGTGCCGATTCCCCATCAACAGGCCGTCGGACCACTGGTTGGCAGTGTTCTTGAGAGATGAGTCGAGTTGACGATATTCCCAGATCATGCGCCACGCAGCACCCAGGACGGCCATGCTGGCTTGACGCTGGTCCAAGACAATGTCCCTCACGGCAAGGATGTCCAGATCTTGGATGCAGTCCACCAACGAAGGCTGTCGATCCGACGTGGGCCCCGCATCCCGTATGTACGTTGCCTTCCATGATTCCGCAGAAGGTGAGTGCCATAGAATCTCCGACTCGGGAAGAGGCAAGTAGAGCTCCGCGTACGATATCAAAGGACTGCTGAGTACAGAAACGGACGCCTCCAGGTCATGCCTGAACAAATGGAGAGCGAACCGTTTTCGGGACTCCTGCTTCACCCATTGGCGCCATTTCTCCTCCAGCACATCGCCGTGGTCTTCGGCGTGAGGGACAATGCGCTCATATGTACCGCGTCGAAACAGGCCACTGCGACGCGCCATGGTCACGAGAACTTGCTCGAAGCCCTCGGCCAGTTCCATCTTACGGGAGTTACCGCTCCACAGTCCAATTTTCAGTTGTAACAGCGACGCCTGCATGATCTGCAGATCTCGCATGAGCGTGTTATCGTCTTCCACGTGCACTTGAATCGCGGTTCTGATAGCTTCCTGAATAGCGTATCCCACCTTGCGGATTGCTCCATCTGGTGTCAATACCGCTCCAGCCGAGCAGATGGCCGCCAGAACTTCTGGCCGGGTCTGATCGGCTTGCAGTGTGGGCGCGTGAATCCAGTGCTTCGCATGTGAGCCGGGAGAGGTGAGTGAGAATTGAAATAGACTGTCGAGGAGGCCGACGGTCGGAAAGCAGGCCACGGCGCGAGGTATGCTGTTGGGCTTGCAAGTGCTCAGAACGAGAGCCAATATCCGGTCACGAGAGGTTTGTGACAGGGTCTCCACCGTCACTCTCCTGTCGATCTCCAGACTCGTCGGCGTCGGTAATGACAGATTCGCTTGTTCTGCACTTCCCGAGTCCTTTTCGAGAGGCCGAAACCTCCATACCGATGCCTTGGGCAACGCGTTCGTGTCGATAGGAACAGCAGAAGCAATCGGAGCAGCAGACGCCGAGGCAGCCATCACATCAGACGTATGAGTTGCAAAGCCGATACTCGGAGTGCGCAAGTCAAACGGATTGGTGTTGTTGTAGGAGTCGAGAAAGCTGAGATCGATGTCATTTAACTCCATATTGGTGTCCACACCGAAATCGAACAGCTCTCGTTGAGGCCAGGCACCATTTTGATAGTCAATGAACTGGAGCCGGCTTTGATGCATATTCGGCGGCATCGTTTTGTTTCTGAGATAATCGAACATGTTGGGTCCTGCGGCCTGTGGCGGCAGCATTGCTGGGTCTATTGCCATTGGTGTAGGAGGCTGCTGCTGCGGGACTTGCCGATGCTGCATCGGAGGTTCAGTCATTTGCATCGATGGCATATGCAGACTGGGCTGCGAGAAGTGTCTGTGATGTTGTGGTTGTTGTTGTTGTTGCTGCTGTTGCTGTTGTTGTTGTTGTGGTATGGGCGGAGTGTGATGCATCTGCTGCATGGGCATCATGTTATGTTGTTGTTGCTGCTGCTGTTGTGTTTGTTGTTGCTGAGTCATGGGGTTCTGATGCATGGCCTGCTGGGACATGGCCGTAGATGGCATCGTGGGAGTCTGCATCCGATGCACGTGCTCCGCATACTGCTGCTGGTTCTGTTGATCATAGCCACTGTCCTGTCGCGGGCTCATATCGGTCGGAAAGTGGACGGTATAATTGCACGGGAGGCCCTTTTTGGTACAACGTTTACACGGCTTTTCTTCCTCGCATTTCAGGTCTGTCGCCGTTGCAGCAAGTTAGTTGATATCATGATGATGGTGGTGGTGGTGAAGTGAAGTGAAGTGAAGTAATACTAGTAAAGTAAAAAGTAAAGTAAAATGAAGTGAACAAAAAGACCAAAAACTCACGCAGACCAGCACAGGCCTCACAGGCCTGCGACACGCGACTATGCTGAACAATGGTGGGCTTCGCGTGCGGATCGTCCTTTGCATGGCCCAGAGCGTGGCGCTTAAGCAGATCGGCGCGGGCAAAGGCTTTGGTGCAGATATGGCACTGGTACGGCTTTTCCTGCGTGTGCATACGGACATGGCGCGACAGATGGTCCAGCCGAGTGTAGCTCTTGGAACATTTGCCGCAGCTGTACAGCCGTTGACTGGCCGGGATGCCATTATTGAGGCTGTTATTGATGCCGGTGATGATGCTGGAACTGCTGCCTTCTTCTTCAACAACACCACCACCACCAGCATTACCACCACCACCGCTACCACTACCACCGCCACCACCCGAACCGGCGAGAATCAGTTCGGATCTGCGCCGTTTCGGCGACGGCTCACCGGTCGTGCTCTCGTCGGCAGACTCGGCAGCTGTAGCAGTTCGGTCGTCGGCAGTGGCCGTAGCAGTGGCAATATCCGGTCGAGCAGACGTGGTTGGGTTCATATTGTTCCCACTAATAACGTGAAGTGCCATGACAGAGTCGGGGGCACCGGGATGGTCGTGGTTCGTGAAGTTGGAGCCGATGTGTCTCCACGTCCCTTTTTACACACATCCGTGACCCTCTCGCCACTAAGCAAAAATTTATCTCTACCTAGTCTACAGTAGGTACAACGGGAGGTACCCTACCCCGCAAACTCACGCCCACTCCAATCGGTCCGCTGCCTTCCCGGTCCGTCGGCCTTTCCCGGCCCGCTATCTATCTCTCTACTGTACCTCTTGACAGCAGCAAACATGGATGTTGTGTAAAACCCAACACAGCCGAACGAAAAACAAAAACCCTCCCTTCAGGCTTCCCCTTCACTTCACAACCTCCTCCATCCCCCCAAATCCCCATCTCAATCACAAACTCCCGCAACAAAGAAAAAGAAAAAGAAAAAAAGAAAACATGACAATCCTCAAATCCTTCCCCCTCCCCTCCTCCCCCTCAGCCCTCCAAATTCCCAACGAAAAGGAGAAAGACTCTCCTCCCTCCAACTTCTTCATCGCCTTTCTCGCTTCCAAAGACCCACTCACCAATCAACCCTGGTGTCCCGATGTCCGAGCCGCTTTACCGATTCTCGAAGCGACTTTTCAAGAAACCACCACATCTCAGGGAGCAGAAGGAGAAGAAGAAAAAGAAGAAGGCAAAAAGTCTACTACAACACCACCAGTAGTAGCTTTTATCGAAGTAGGTCAGAAAACGGAGTACGTATTTTCCTTCTCTTTTTCCTCTTTTTTCTTCTGTTGTTTCTTCCTCTTTTTCTCACCATTTTCTTCTTCTTCTTTCTTGGGGAAACAAAACAGATGGAAAAATCCCCACAACGTTTTCCGTACTCAATGGAATATTCACAATGTACCGGTTTTGGTGCGATATGAATTGGTGGGAGAAAATACCGCAACAACAACAAAACAAGTCAAGGAAGTGGGAAGATTGGTCGAAGGGGAGATTTTGGATGAGAGACGATTACAAGAATTGGTCTATGGATGATGATGATGATCTCTTCATCTATCAAAACAATCGAGGGAAGGGCAGAGACAAAGGATGGAAAAAGCCGCTGGCGCTGTGTGTGCTGTTCATGTATTCCATAAAAAAGAATTGACGTCGCTCCTCTACAAAAGTCGTCTACTATCCACTTTCGCTTTTCACTGCTCAAGCACAGAGTGATAAGGTAGAATTGCTTTCAGCCCTCCTGAGTAATGTCTTTGTACTCTCTCGCGTCAATTACCGCAAAACCCACCACGCCATCCCCACCAAAAACGCCAGCACTTATCCCATCGTCTTCATGGTCCGTCGATAAATCACATCGCCTGTGAATCCGCATACGAGCTCACCGAGCGTGCGCCCTCACTACGGCGGTGCAGCGTCGACAGCACCTCGGCCGCTTGTGACTCATCAAACTCATATCCCCCCTTCGTGACGGGATATGCAGTCAAACTTTTGCCACCAAACAAGCCGCTAATGCTGGATGTACGTTCTCCAAACTTGTTGAACTCATCCACCATGGCCGAGCACGACACACGCGGTGGTGGTGGCATCGTCGTACTGCTGTTGCTACTCCCACGATGCGCATCAAGCGTGGATGCTGTGCGTGCTTCCCCGTCCTTGCCCGCGGGTCGCGTAGCAGCCGCCATCTCCCGACACGCACGAGCACGCTCGGGGTCGGATCGGCACATGTCACAGCTGCCCGGCATCGACGTCGAAATGCGTGGTTCAATGGGAGTGGGCTTCGCCTTGTGCTGCTTCTGTCCTTGCTTGCATGCACAATTCTGGTCATCCGTGCAGAAGCCGCACGGATCCTCGTTGTCGAGGCTAAAGTCCATTGCGTTGCTTTCGTTGCTGGACAAATGCTGAAGAGCATAGTTCGAACTAGCCCGGCCGTAATTTGTGAAGTCGACCTCATAATCCGAGGAATTGGGAGTACCAGCTCCTGGGCCGTACGACTGCGACGAGAAGGGCTGGCCTGCGGCATCTCGGAACGAACCAACACTGGAGTTACGGGCCTGGTCACGCTCGGATCGCATCCGGTGGAGTACATCTCGCAGCTCTTCGAGCTCCCTTTCCAGCCGCTCTGTCTTTGCTTTCATCTCCTGCATCTGCTGCTCCTTCTCCTGGTCTCGAGCCTGCAGCGTGGCGATCGTATTGCGATACTCTCCTTCCACCCGCTGACGATCCGCCTTCTGCTCCTTAAGCGTCTCTTCCAGCTCAACATTCTTGCGAGCGCGCTTGTCACGGAACTGTCGCTGTGCTAAGCGGTTTTGGAAACGGCGACGATCTTGCGCGTCTTCTTGTGCGATGGGCTTCCTGCCCGGGCGTGGTCGCGGCGGGACGGTGATGTTAGCCGACATGGGCCCACTGCGCTTCGCCGTCATCTCGCTCGGTTCGCCGGTGTCGACGATGGGGCCGCCTGGACTTTCCTCACGCTTGGTCGAGAAGCTGCCGCTCTTGGGGATGGCGACTTTGGGCGCAGCAGTGGCATTGCTGCCGTGGGGGCAGGCACTGGCGGGCTGTGCGTGCTTCGAGGAGTCGAACGCCCGGAAGCGCTGAAATTGCTGAGATGCGTGTTGCTGTTGCTGTTGCTGCAGATCCTGCTGCTGGAGGGTCGACGCGTACGAGGTTTGGTCTGCGTGATCGTCGTTAGTGTCTGGTGTCGAAGCAGAAGACATGGCGGGCGATGATGCAGTAGAGGGCAGCAGAGTTGAGATGATCAGATAAGATTGAGAGGAGATTCAACAGTGGGTGGGGGGAAGAATGCTCGGACTCCGACGTCGGCCTCGGCTAGAAAGAACATTGGACGCTTCGTTCTCGCTAGAGGGTAGGAGTTATCGGTGCACGTGGTCCCTCGGCCACTTGGCCGTCGAACGACGACATTGATCACGACGGCGTGTCATGATGGACAACGCGCTGCAGCGGAGCGCGCAGGCCGACGTCGATGAGCTGCCGATGCGGGCGGCGGGTGGTAAGGTCGAAGGAGTGAGTGAGTGAGTGAGTAGATCTACCCCCCGCCCCTTTGATATGCTTGGAGGCTCCCACTCGGGGAAGACTCCGTGATGGTTGAAATGGTATGTAGGTAGGTATGCTTGGACTGACGATGCTTCCCAGGAAAAAAGTGCTTACCTTGTATTTGCCCATCTGAAGCCGACCTGATCGTATGCCGATGGTCGTCTTGAAGAGGCACTCCAGCCGAGAGCCCGCCAGCAAATGCAGCTTGTCCATTATTGAGCCGAGAGATGTAGGAGCCTGGATCTGATTGTGTGCGCGAATGCTGCTGCAACTCCCACTGCGGTTGCCAATCTTGTATGCTGGAGCTCATGCTATAGTAGTGGTGGCCGAGAGGATTCTGTGCCATCGCCACATCTGGCTCGGTAGCGGGAAACAACGAGGAAAACGAGGAATCTGGCAGCATGTCGTCGAAAGGGTCGACGCCCATATCTGGTGCGAAGCCTTCTGCACTGGCTCCAGTGTCAACGGTCATCATGCTATCGTACCGATATTGATTCGCTTCAGCCGGAAAGTACGACTCCATGGTGGCGGAGTCTATGGTCGCGACAGCTCTGATGCTACGCCTTTGCCACGGGTCAGCATGTACTCAGAGGCTGTGGAGGCACGCTCATTGGTATCGTTTACACATACTCAGTGGGTGGCTTACTACCTATTCCGATAAGGCAATGCCCACGGCGTCGCTACCTGGTACCCGACCGCTTTGAGCTGGATGAGAGGCGTCAAATGGTGAAAGTGTCTGGCAGACTTGCCCATCAGCCGTGCGCCGCTCAGGTTCTGATCGACCAAAACGTACCACGTTGTGCGAGAGAGATCGATATCCGGCGCTGATAGGAGAGGTAGAGGCCTCCTATGTGCGAGGTAAGGTAAGAATTGTTCTCGTGAGCTCTCTGCTGAGATCAACCAGTGTCAGTAGAGCGAGATCATAGAAGCAGTGGAGGTATGACGGCCATCCCCTCGCGTCGCTCACCTGTCTGCTCTCTCGTTGGACGGAGGAATGTGGATAGTGCGAAGGAGCTGTCGTTCGGGCTACCAAGATGATTAGAAGTGGCAATGCCAAAACGGCTCAAAAGTCATCTGTTGTTTGGAGGTTGTGAAGGTGAAAGGGAAGAAAGAAGATGTCGGTTGAATACTTCGAAGACATGTGTAATCTCATTGGCAGTCTTTTCTTCCGGTTACTTCCCCATCTACCACTGTGTCAATATCCGTAGCTTTGACGCAACCACACATCCAGGAAGCTCCCTACCATGGACCTGATAATCGGTATCCACATGAGACCAGCAGATTACACTCTAGAAATCCGGCTGTCTCGGGCAGGGACTACGATGTAGCTTATACTCACTCATCTCATTCGATGATGCGAAAAGTGGCTGAGGAGTCAACAAGCAAGCTTGGGCACTCGAATCATGGAGTGGTTCTCTATAAAGATGTGATGGTGCCATGTGCGGAGCTGGATCGCGATCTTTCTATATCTTTATTTATTTGTTTCTTTTCTTTTCTTCTCCCCGCTGTCTACTACGACTGCTAGTCCCCTGATCAAGCGATACGGGTCTCTTTCTCTTCAAGCCCCCCTAAAACACCCTCTCCTTCTCCGTACATCCAGTACTGAACGCCCAAATAGCAATCGCATCCCGCCTGAAAGAGGCCACACAGCTTGAACGCCCAGGGAACATTGTTATCTGACAGAAAGAAGTATGTCATCTTGAATGCGTCTCCCAACAGCCAGTTGACCAAGACACTCAAACGAAAGCCTTTGCATGATCGCATTCGCTGGTTTTCCAAGATTTGCGGTATAGGCAGGATAGCTTCGACACTCAAAGCGACATAGCCCTGAAGTGCGATATATGCCGAACTGCTTCCGACAAATAACTGCAATGCCGCCAGCACGACTGTGAAATAGGCCAGAAATTCCCAATAAGGCTTTCGATGTCTCCACTGCCAGAATCCAAATGGCCGGGTGACATAGCCGTCTCCAGCCCCGCTACTCGCGAAAGGTTTGTTTAAGCTATGCTGCGCTCCGAATGGAGGACGATGGATGAGTGCAACGTGGAGTAACAGCGTCTGCACTACCACCATTACTCCAGCCTGAATGAGCAGGGCTGTATCAAAGCGATCGCCCAGCCAGAAGAAGATTCTAGTGAAAGCGGTTAGCACATGTCCAGAGCGGTAAGGTGTCATGGGGGAAGTGTCGTTTCCACCCACTTTAAAATCGAAGCCGTCAGCATGATCAGTGGGATATCCAACGAGAAGCCCGCTGATGACCGACTCCTGTTAATCGACAGGATCTGGTCGGCATAGCTCGTGACGGGCGACGTAATGAGAAAGAGGGGCGCGAAATGAGTGACGACCCATCGGAAGAATGACATGATCCTGACTGGCTGTTAGCGGAATGTTATTGTTGGTAGTCTTTTAAACTTGCTCTTCCAGACTGGTAGGCACCGTGAAGCCTATTCCCTGCGCCAAGACGTTCACACCACGATCTCGCGACGTGGCCATCTGGAGAGTGAGGATGCCGTCGCCGGTATACCAAAGGGACTTTTGCCGCATGTGAGATGGCGATCAGGAAGAGGGGGCGCTGAGTACTTACGTTGGAAGCTGGAATAAGAATGTAGATACCAGTAGGTAGATATAATATTGCCCGTACAGCGGAAGACCCGGGAAGGAATGAATGAATAGGTACTCTTCTAGGTGCACTGGAGCACTTGCATTTCTTTCGTTCGGTCGTTCGTTCGTTCTTGTAGACCCAGTCCAGTTTCGTGCTTCACTCGCAGAATTTGGCAAGATGTTCGCCCGCACTCGACTCCGATTGCGTGGTATTCAGAGATTTCACGAGTTGTGGTTGTCGAGACATGAAGTGGCAGAAATGCCGAAAGGAGAGATGCACAAGCTTTACTTTTCCTTCGGCGGCGGCCGCGACAGGGGTGCCGATGGTCGGCTGTGGCGCCGCTGGACTTTCTCGAGATCTGCATGTGATATTGCTATTGAGAACTGGTCCTATCCGGGCGACGACGACGACGACGGCAACGACGAGAACAACGGCAAAGACTACGGTGACAGGGTCGGGGAGCGCAGGACAATATCCATCTTGTGGTTCTTTCATCTGGTCGAAGAGAAAATCTATCTCCAAGTCTACGACGCCGAGCACCGACCACTCTGGACACCAAACAAAGACCGAGACACTGCAAGAAACTGCAAGAAAAGGCTAGAAGTTGAACAATATTTGGAGTAACAAGCAAGCAAGTAAGAAGAGTATAAGGAGCTTTCGAATCCCCTTTGGATCTGTTCATCTAGACCACAATAACAGCTCCGCAACGACACTCATCATGGCCACCACATCGCCAGAGACTGCCAACGTGACAACTCCTCCCGCCGCCTCTCCGCAAGAACAAGGCAGAGCAGCCTTCTTCTACGGAACGCTCATGGCCCCAGCCGTCCTCCACCGTGTCTGTCACGGCCCCCTTCCCTGGAATCCCTCCAATCCTCACTACTCCACCCACAACTTCAAGACATACCCAGCAATACTCCCCAACCACATTCGAAAACGCGTCGTATTCGCAGACTACCCCGGCGTCATTCCCTCCGACGGCGAAAGTGTGCGCGGAGTCTACGTGACGGGACTCACCGCATCGGACATTAGTCGCCTCGATACATTCGAGGGGGACGAGTACACTCGACAGAAAGTGTCTATCCGCCTGCTCCAGGAAGAAGGGGATGAGAAGAAGAACAGTAGTGGAGAGGGAGGAAACTCAAAACTAAGTGTAAGCAGCAGCATGTCAAGATCGACAAAAATCAACCTCCAAAATCTCTCCTTTCCCGATTAACTCTCCTCGTCTTTTTGTTCTGACTAACACTTTTCTTTCTTTCCCCTCCCAGGCCGAAACAGGAGAAAAAGAAGAAAAAGAAGAACACCTCCTCCCCTGCGAAACCTACATCTGGACATCCCACCCCTCCCGCCTCGAAAATCGGGAATGGGATTTTGCAGAATTCGTGCGCGAGAAACAGCACAAATGGGTAGGATCTGCAGGAGATGCCGAATACGCAGGTGAGGATACTCTTCAACCCTAAGTCTTCTGCCCGCTCTCCTTGCTCGATTGAAAAGACAGAGAGAGGGAGAGAGAAGATATACAAGTCCGCTGACGACGTATGGGCATTCTTGCTCTTTCTCGCTATATCAACAGAGGTCGATGAACTTGTCGCTGCTGCTGCTGCTACCGAGAGGAATGATGATGATGGGACGGGAGGACGGGGGAGTGGAGGGTATATTACAGATGCGTTGTTGGAGGAGCAGAATAAGAAGGACTTGAATTAGTATACCATTGCAATGGGGAAAAAGATCTTGGCTTTAGCGTGGCGCTTGGGATAGTGGGATAGATCGTCAGTGGATAGATGCGTTGCATATCACAGGTGGTAAGACCAAGGTAGACGGGTGACAGATTGGTGCTCATGAGACCTTGAAGAAGCTTCATGTCTCACGCCCATGCTATCGACTTATGAATCTACACTCGTGTCCGCCCCTCCAAAATTGCACTTCGACATTTGCCACCATTCGATTATAGTGCTCCCGTCGCCTCCATGAGCTTGCATGAGAATACCACGTATGTACCAGTCAGTGATTGACTCTACTGCACCTCCTGCGAGTCTGGAATTTCGATCAACTGCTCTTTATCATCAAAGCCTTGGAAGTCGTCGGAGTAACGTTCGTCAGAGGAATGATCGTCCAAGAGATTCTGGTCGCCCTCGTCACCAACATCGTTGAATCGAGTCATCAGAAATTTTTTATCGGACTCATCCGACTCGCTCGTGGATTCCACATCAAAAGCCTCTCCGCTTCCGAGCTTGCTTCTTGCTTCCTGCATATAACCCTCGTTTTTGACAGCGGCATCTTCACCCTTGACTTCGTCTTCCACCTTGATCCCAGTCTCGCACGATCCACCAATGGGGAAGTTTGCGTTGCCAGGATAAACACTGGCCACAGGCGAGGTCGCTGGATGTCCATTGAGGTCCTTGTGAGGGCTGGACTGCAGGCTAAGCTGTGAAGTGCGTGGCGTGTTGTCCGCATCCGGTGTATTGTATGTCATCAGCATCTCGGCGTCACTGTCCATAGCCTCTCTAGGTGTCTCGCAGCGTGAATACGGATTCTCTGGGAATATTGAAGATGTAGGCAGTTTGGTAAGATCAGGACTGCGCGGGGCTTCCGTTGGGATATGAAGCGCTGCCTGCGCGAGCGGACTGTTGTGGCGCCCGCCGATCTTGATTGCAGAGGGATTGTGACGGGTCGGCTGACTTGACATGGGTTGCTGTTCAACTTCTGCTGCATTGCTGGCTGAAACTCTGCCAACCCGTCGTGCCATTTTCTCGTCCCTGTACTGGCGATCTTCCGCATTGCCATACTCAAGCAGCTTCTCTCGGATCTCTTTTCGCATAATTGACGTGTCAAACTCTTGAAAGTCGCTGTCGTCAAGCTCTCGACCCAATATCCTCTTCACAAAGCGATCAGGGTCTTTTGCGAATTCCCTCATATAACCAATCAAATACACGCCACAATCATAGAAGTTGTTTTGCTGAGGAATACCTTTGGCATTCACGCCATGCAAGTCATCAATGCAAACGTCAATCCGGCGTTTCTCTCGGGCTTCATCAATGATGTACTGCTTGATTTGTCTCAGTTCGTTGCTTCGGGTCATCCCAAAGGAGTCCAGGGAGATGATCATGGTTTGATTGGCGGTGTCTTTTCTGACTGGCATGATTCGCTTTCTCTTGCGCTTCCTTCCCTTGACGGTAATTGGTCTGCTGTCAAGCTTGTCTGAACCGCCTATCTCCACGACCTCACCATCTCCCGAAGTGTACCCACCTTCGGTGCGGTCAAGACCGTCAGTCAAAGCTAGTTTCGCGAGCCTGGACCGCGTGCCATCAGCTTTCTCCGGCATAACATCACTATCCGATAGCGTGAGGTCCTCGGTGGGTGGTTCAACAGCGTCTGAGTCCATCATCTTGCGTTTCACAGCCGGTAGATTGTATACGATAACCACAAACCAGTGGAGGTCAAGGTTGATCGGCACGACCACGTACGGCTTCGACAGTAGATCCACGTTTTTCGTCCACTTCTTCACGGCATCATAGTTGATGCCCCTTTTACCAGTCTTGGCGGTCAGAGAAGTGTAAAAGAAAGTGTTGAAGAAGTGAACTCGGTCTTTGTGTGGAGGATGCATATTTTCCTCGATGTCTCGAAGAGCGTAGTTGACGATGTTGTCGTTGAGGAATTCACCAGCGTCCAGGTGTAAGATGTCGCCAGCATCAATGGTGACGCGACGTGCGCCCTCCTTCGGATATACGATCGGCTTGGCCCATTTGGGAAGGCCATGGACTTGCGTATGCTTTACAACTTCCGGCGAAAGTTCGCGGTACTGCTCCCGGGGCTTTGTTTGTCGAGTTGACCTGCGAGATGCCCCACTGGGAAGAAGAACTGCTGCTGTTTCGGACTCTTGCAAGCGAGTGCGGGGCCGTGAAGCCAGTATCTCTTCTCGCTGCACAATCTGTGCGAGTGTCCCATTTTGTTCGTCGATGGTATGGCGGCCATTGCTCTGCAGTGCTGCACTGCGTCGTTGCAACATCTCACTAGGCTTGCTGTGCTTCAATCGAGGAGCCGCGTTGGCTTCCGACGACATCACGCCTTGCATACGGCTGATCAGCTTCTGCCGCTGCAGTCGAAGAGGGTGGTTTTCGTAAATTATTTCATCATCTTCAATCTGTTGATGTTTGTGTTCCTGCTTACGCCGTTCGTTGATTTCCAGTTGCTTAGCTTGCATACTCTTTTCATGCGCGCCCTTTTCCATCTCGTAAGTGTTGGCGAAGACTTTGTCCAGGCGCTCCAAATATTCTTGATTTGTGGCCATTCCTGGAAAGCTCTGCAAAAGTTCGCTGTAGCAGCGCTGTTTTTCATCCAGGTTAGCAAATTCCACTACGATTTTGCCGTTACTACTCTGACTCGCAGACCCTTTCAGCACTACCTTCGTGCTCTCGTCGTGTCCCGTCCAGGACTGCGACACTGCTGATTCGCCAATAGAGACATTTTTACCAGTCAGTGGGGACGACATTAATTCCTCACCCACAACTAAGACAAAATCTTTTGAGTCAGGTCGCCAGAGTAAAGCCAGTCGATCTCGATCGGAGGAAATTGCCTTGCAAGCAATTCGGTTGATGGCTATGCGTTTATCACCATCCTCATTTTCGGTGATTTGCCAGATGTCAGGTTCTTGCTTGCGGGTCAAGGTACTGCGTCGCTCTGACCGCTTGAAGTTGGTCTGCCTGAGGTCAGAAGCCGAAGCCACGGACTCCGGATCCTTCTTATTCAGTCTCAAGGCGACCGAATTTTGAGGTGACAGTGCAGCGCGGCATTTCTGAGACACTACAGTTGTCTGACCTTCAAGCACGTCCGGGCTAGGGTCTCGGGTTTGTGGTCGACTCGAGGTAGGCTGCACTGCTGACGATCTTGGTTCTTCATCGTCTTCAATCTCCTCTACATCGCGCTTGAACTTGTGCCGCAGCTTCATGGCGGAAGAAGATGGGTATTGGTCTCTCGAGGCTGATGCAATGCCTTTGCCCCTTGGATAGCCTGAGGGCATTGCATCCTGCGGTATCGTGCGTCGTCCAGGTCCACGAGGCATACTGGACGCCGGAGTGGCTTTAGAACTCTTCTGTCCGTGCTCTAGAAAGACGCGATTGACATGGTTCAGGTCCGCGGCGCTGCCCAGTTCATAACTTCGCTTCTTGCGCATTTGGTCTTGACCAGCTGCGTTCACGCCTTTCATCAAATCTATGGGTGCCGTTGTTCCCCACTGCGTCCGCGTTGAATGAGATTGCGGTGTAGCGGTGCTTTCTTGTTTCGATGCAGAAGCGTGGATGCTCTGAACGTCCGTTGATTGCCAAGCAGGCCCGCTTTGCAATTCGTCTTGCTCGTTTTGAGGCCGTTTCTGGGAAGTCCGCGGTCGTGAAAAGGCAGCTCCAAATTTTGAATCACCACCCTCGCGCGACTTTTGACGCATGTTGAAAGTGAGACCTGCATCTGCGTCGAAAAGTTCAGTGTTGCCAAAGGCGTCACCGCCATGTTTCTGTCTCTTCGCCAACCTTTCAGACTGTTCAGTGAAGGATTGCTGGCTTGCAGACCCCCGGTCAACTTGCCTACGAGGTATGGGTCGACCTTGGTCTGGGTCTAGTCCATCTTGACCCTCGTCTCCGGTAAGATCGACTAGGCCAGGCGTTACTTTGGTCCTCTTCAATGCAGGCTGCTCGGATACGGGATCATCCACACCGTAGCTTCGCTTGGCGGCATCTCTTCCCCTGCTACCATGTAGAGGGAGCTGCTGTTGCTTTGTCGCATATTGAGCGCTATTCGTGTGACGGCCAGAGCCCGCATGGACCTGTAACCGACGGGCACTATGCACAAAAGGCTGGTTGAGAGTGTTTGTTGGTTTAACCCCTTGAGGCTTACCCTGTGTCCCCATTCTCCTCTCCTCTTCGTGATCTGGTTTCCAATCTTCTTGAGCTCTGTATGGGCGGTTTAGAGGGTTTGCAGGAGTTTCAACCCGTCTTTTCTTGCTCGTTCTTTCTACAATCAACTCCTCCTTGTCTTGAACCCTCTGAGCTGTCCAGGGCGGTGTCAGTACTGGCACTTCCACGACGCTTGGCGGCCGCGCGGGGACGTTCCGTTGAGCTCGCTCATCAGAATGCTGCATTCCAAAGTAAGCCCAATGTGCTTTATGTTGTGCGTGATGTCGCCTGTTCCGTGCGAAGCCTCGCCGAAAGCCCGTCAAGTCCAAAGGCGCCATGCTGGTACAAGGACGAAGAGGAAATGGATGGATGGCATACTGAAGTGAGAATTGCAGACGAGGCTTCGTCGTGAGTTCCTGTGAATATACCTTGGATGCTTCTCGCAAGAACGGAGAGGCTGTCTCCGATTAGAGTCCGCATTGACTGGCGGGCTTCATATGCACATCCACCACTCGCAACTTCTTATGTCTTACTGTCTCGCGGAGGAGTAGGTGATGGCGTTGTCGGAGATCGGGGTCGTGGGGCATAGCGAGGCTCGAATCGTGCGTTGAACGGAACGGCTGTGGTGGCAAGGGCGTAGGTAGTGTGGTTGTGGGTGGGTGGTACATGTAGGTGAACGACTGTCCGCAAATTTGACGTCGTTCGAACAATGAGGTGGTGCCCTTCAACCATTTACACTGACGCGTGACGGGTGACGGGTGGAAGTGGAGATAGTTCTACCGGAGGTACGGCACGGGGCACGTCGGCACGTCGGGTGCAGGTCCGGTCCTTCCTTCCTCGCTGACTTCACCCCGGGATCTGCGCGCAGCATGGACTCTGCTGTTCTTTGTCACTTCAAGTTGACGTTCTTCAACTCACCCACACCGACCTAGCGCTAGCTACATGTACTCCTTTGGGTGTCGTGCTAGGTGTACGAACGCAATGTTGTCAAGCTTCAGGAGATATCGAAAGTCGATGACCGTACAGTGTCCTTGCGAGCAAAACGTCACCATGTTCCTGGGGATTCATCACGTCTAAGGTAGTAAGGTAACGTAGTCTACACTGCACACAAAGCACGAGCTGTAGGGACGTTGAGGTACTCGTGTGGTGAAGTCTGAATACCGAGAGGATGTCCTGAATTCGGGCAAAGATAATGGTGTTCTCGACTAGGTAGTAAGCATCTGCTCTGCTCCTAATAATCGATTCCCTTGCATTGAAATGTGGCACTGCGGATGACCTCCTGTTTGCATCCTCCGTTGTTCCAGACGTCCATCGAATACTGTGCGGATCCTCCTGCCGCCAAAGTCTTTGTCTCTGCGCTCGAGCTCAACTGGCAACGTTCAGGATATAGTTCTGTTACTGAAAGTAGCCTCTCGGGCACTGGAGAATGATGCAAATCTGTCACAGTTGGCAGCGCGGGTGCTGAGAAGTATTCTGGATGCGTCACCTTGCTGCTGCGGACGGTGTAGCGAGTAAGGTAAAAATCTCGATACTCGCTGTGTCTGAATCTGACCATGTCCTCCCTGGATAGCCAGAAGACTTTGATCCTCAAACAAGCAAGTCCTGTCAGAGAAGGAGCCCGGAACGTACTGTGCTACACATCGGCTGGATTCGCAATAACTTCTGGTTCCGCCCTGCCGACGATGATCATATGCTCGCTCCCTCCAGCTTTGTCTGTCAGCACACCCGCCTTACGCAGGATAGCCGCTGTCGTGTCCACCGTGGTCGCACTCACGCCTCTCACATCGTCTGCAAATCTCACAGTCTTCATCCACTCCAGTGCGTCCTCTCTCGAATACTCCATATGATTCGTGATATGCTCCACAGCCTCCTCTTTGTTTTCGCGATAATACTGCACCCCATCGTTGATCCTCTGCATCATATCCTCCACCTCGGCTTCAAGATTCTCATGTGTCCTCGCCATAATCATCCAGCTCGGCCACGGAGTGTAGATTTCCCCGATTCGCTTCAGCTCTCCATTGTCCCAGTAGTGTTTGGTTGTGAAATGTTCCCACATGAAGAAGTCGCTGCTTTTATCCTGGCCCACAGATTTCCTCAGAGCTGCGAAATCGCCAATGGGCACATGCTCTTCAAATGGTTCTTTGCCCTTCTCCAACCAGCCCTTCTGGTCTGCAAGGACATAACTCATGACATAACTTCCACTTCCAATCCTGCTGACTCCCACTTTCTTTCCTTTCAAGTCTTCCACGCTATTGATTTCGTTCCTTTTGGAGCCAGTAGAGATCGCCCACTGGAAGTAGAAGGTCGAAGGTAAGCAAGTGTCCCAAGTGTGTGCTCGTGCATGTCTGATCTCAAAGCTCGAGACTCGGGGCGTGCCATTGCTTGAAATGGCATGGAGATCATATGATGCCTTTGATAACCACTTACACATAATGGCGATTCCACATATGTCCCCACGAATCCATACCCGGCATGCTTTCCCTCTGCCTTCGATTTTCCCAGGTCTGCAACGAACCCTTCCGTCAGCCCAATCGCTACATCTATGCTTCCGTCCTCATTACGAGGCACTTTGAGAGATGCTGCGAGAGCTCCGGTGCCAGTCGGAAAGGGAATCAGGTCGGCGTGGAGGTAATATTTGTTTGAGGCGAAAGCAAGAGGCGTGGAGAAGTGCTCGGGCACATAGCCGATTCGGAGCTTTTGAGGAGCCATTGCGGTTGTCGAGAAGGATTTACTCTTAGATAAGGGTTTGAGAAAAAGGTTTCGCGTTCGGAGCATAGCGAAGAGGCATGAGGATGCTCGAACGTGAGGGATGACAATCAGGTATCCATTACTGACATGTTCCATATGAATATGACCACATGTTCGATGTCATAGCGGCAACTCTATCTGAAAGCTTATATGATCATCTGGTACTAGGAGGTATTCTACTCTACATACGGTATACGCTCTGTGTTGTTTGTAACACATTGGAGGTCGCCAACCGTTCGCCGGCTTCTGCTTGACATATGCCGTCATGTCTCATGAGCTTTTATCGGGTGCAGCTTCTCGTTCTGCCTTTGCTGCTGCATCACCCACGTGAGCAAGTCTTACAATGATGACCTGTGTCCTTGGGGCGCCGGGCCTTCGAAAATGACCATCAAGACTTTCGAAATCAAGCCTACCAGCCTGAGCACCTTTACTTTATCATTCGTCGGCTTGAACCATTGGAGAATCGGCCATTACATCACCGTCCACCGCACCTGGAAGCAGCAATAGGACCAAATGTGTGTTCGCTAATACCTTGTCCTTGCAGAACCTCCGCGAGCCCTGGCACGTCAAGCACTGCCGGGATGTCACAGTGGTGCTAGCTATAGATCAGACTGCTCCAATGTGAAAGACCATCGGCGGCGCGACGTCTGGTGTTAGCTTTGCTGTCCGCCCGTAGCTTTTTTGGCGAGCAGCTCCGAGGGCTCTCCAGGCCTGCACCTCGACAAAGCAGGGACATGCGAGACTGATCACGTCGTTGTCAAAGTGACCAGGTGAAAGAGCATGTCTATTACAAGTTGCGAGCCCCGCTTGGGCGATGGGGAACCGAACAAGGGTGGAGAGGACCCTTCCAATCCTGATTCTCGTGATTATGTGAAGTCAAGGCAGCTCATCCAGAAGCGCCTGACAAGCTGCGAGACTGAAATGCCAATGCGAACGCATCTGATTGCAGGTTTTACATTGAATCGAGCTTCGTCACCTGCCCCTGCCACGAAAGTTGCATGAATTCACTCAAATGATCCGTGGCAACTTCGTGCATATCGCACGGGCGGCCGAGGATCACTGAATCTGGCTGTGTCTTACCTACGGACCTCTAGACTCTAGAGGTAGGACGGCCGTCGCTCAACCATCTTGATCACTTCGCACGATACGCCTTCGGAGCCTGCTAAAGCGGCTAGCACGACTTTCGCGAATGAAAGAAATGCATGACGACAATCGTGTCATATAGATCACAGTAGTATGTCAGCCACTTTCGCGAGAGCTTACCGTCTTATATGGACTATCCGCAGGCTGAGCCAGCGCCCGCGAGCATTGATTATGGGGGCGCTTCATATTGATTCAGCTGCATGCAACTACAAGGGCTCACTAATCAAAACGACTGGTGGACAATGGACGTGTACAGGCGATGCTGTGGAGGCAATCCTCCTGGACCAAATTGCAGGCAATATCAATGTAGCCACCCGCGCTCAATGGGGTGCAAATCAATGAAGTACTTACTGTAGTACTACTTACCTTGTCACCAATCAGCTACATGTAGTACCTGATGGGCCACTAGAGTGGAGGTAGTCAGGTGGGCCGTTGGGTCAAGCGCCAAGGCCGGACACTTTATTTTAATCGGCGACCGATGAGTTAGATCGCCGAAAGCTCTCCATGCCTTGGGTAGACTACGCCTGCACAACGACACCACACCACTTCCACTTTCTCTCGCCTGGTCTCCGCCACCCACCCTGCAACACCGGCTACCAGCTTCTGCTCATCATCGGATCCCCACAATCGTGGACGCTATCACCTGCGAACTGCACCAGAGGTCTTAGCCTCTGCTGGAACAAGCAAGATGAAGTCCTGACAGCATGCTTCACCAACCGGCTTCACTCACATACCTGAACATTCTTTCCCAACGCCAGTCCAGCCAGGCAAGGACCGCGTATCGAGCAAGTACATCGGAGAGTCGGGTGGTACGTTCCGACTTCGAGATCCAATCGCCTGAAGGAAGAACGCTACCATGTCACATATCGCGCAAAGACCATCGCCGCTGGCCTGCAAGGCTTGCCGAGAGAAACACTTGAAATGCGATGCAACCACTCCTGTATGCTCACGGTGCCGCGATCGTGGCCTTCATTGCAGCTATGTGGCGTCCAGAAGAGGATGTGGTGGCAGGACCAAGAGGCAAGCGTCGGCCGGTCAGGTGCAGACACAAATCCAGTCTCAACAATCGCTTCCGACACTGGTTTCCAACCGTGCTGTACTCACTCCACAGACCAGCATAGGTCAAGGAAGTTCTAGCGCGAGCGCCTCGGGAGGAGTCTCACCTGGCAATTCGTGGTCTCATCCCAGTGTTGAAGGCCAAGTTGTATCTCCTCCCGGATCGACTACATCGTCTTGTCGATCTTCGCTGCGCTCCGAGGACGAACATCTGGTCAACCTATACTATGCCCACTTCCACCCGGAACATCCGATGCTAGTGCCTCGCAGTCGATGGTATAATCAGAACTACCCGGAATACCTTCAGCTGGTCGCGAAATTTATCGGAAGCCAGTATGCGTCGAACATCTCCAGCGACAGAATAAGATCGGTGGCTGCCGAGAGCCTCTCTGAGAATAGCAACGACAAGAGCCCCGAGATGGTTCAAGCATCACTGCTTTATTCAATATCTCTGCATGCCCGCTACGAACCGATGGAAGCGATGGCGGCGATTTCGAACGCTGCGGATGTTGCGATAGCATTAGGAATGCATCACTCTGAGTTCAGTACGTCACATGGCCACGGTGATCCCATCTATGAGGAGAGCCTGCGGCGGACATGGTGGGAGCTCTATATCACGGATGGCTACTTCGCGTCTTTGCATCGCCAAACGAACTTCAAGAGCAATTCGGTCACTATCACGACGCTACTGCCATGCGAAGACCAGCTGTATGACAGATGTGGCGTGCCATCTCAATCTTTCTCTTTGCAGGACTATGATGGCCGCCTATTCGCCGACGAAGACTGGCAGTTCTCATCGGCGTCGTATCGCATTGACGCTGTACGCATATTGGCCAGGGTGATTGACGTCTCGAGCGCGAACAAAGTTCACGCAGACAGCATACAGTCTATTGATAATGCAATGGCAAGCTGGAAGTTCCATTTGCCCAATGACAAAGCTGGGATTGTGGTGCACAGCGGGGAAGTTGATCCAATGATGTTTCAGGCATTCATGCTCATTTACATTGGGAACATCTTCCTGCACTTTCCGAGGAGTGAACTGCCCATCACAATGCCCGCGTCGGCCGATATCGCTTGTGCCCGGCGACACATGGAGCAGGTCTCGCCAACATCCTCCCAACACGCAGCGAAGGCTCTTTCAGCGTCGAAAGATCTGGCAAATCTGGCTGCATTACCGGTGACAAGGTACTCTCCGTTCTTCATCTGCAGCCTGGTCTTTGCGTGTGTAGTCCAACTTTCCGCCTGTTCGGCATACCCCAAAGCCACGACCGAACCGAATCGCGATCGAGTCGCCCTCATCATTGGTGTCTTGAAATCCGTGAGCCGCAATTGGTCCATCGCGAAATACGTATCACAACAGCTCAAAAAGGCAGCACATGAGGTATTCAATCCTCGTGTGGATGTCCCTTCCACGCAGTCAGTGTCGTCGTATGACAGCGGCATCGCTCATATGAACATGGGTGGCATCGACATGAGCTGGTTCGATATGTTCTACAGCGACGGGATGCAAGGCCTCGCAATGGGCACTGGAGAGCTTGCAGGTCTGTGAAGAACTTGTTGAGCGCGAGATTGAAGGCTAAGGAGATATCAATATGCACCCATCGGCGACCGCTGCAATCGCTGCCTGTCCATTACGATGGATGCCCCAAAGCGAATCCAAGAAAGAGTTTGCGCCATGTCTAAGCAGCCGTAAGATCGATGTTCGCCAACTCCATGCTCGCTCGTGGGTATCATGAATGAGGAAAGACATAGCACATTGCCTCAACAGGCCGTTTCCAACGCGAATCAATGAAGTCGCGCCCAGTTCTCTGCATTATTCTCCGCCGCATAGTTGATCACCAACTTCCTGCCGGGCTCAGACTGGCCGACCTGCTGTTCTCCTCGCGCACAGACTGGTATCAAGTGCGCCTTCCTCTGGGGTGGAGCATCTCCACTCGTATAGACCCGGAAGCTCTTCAAGTCATGTATGAGCAGGTCATTCCGCGCTCGGAGTTCCAGATCATGTTTCGATACACCGGCAAAGATATACTGCCCTACCACAAAAGCATACATTCCACCAGGGAACTGTAAGGCTGCCGCTCTCAGGCCGCCGATCGAAAAGGACTGCCCGTCTGTGAGGTTGGCATCGTCGTGTGTGGTGGCCCATGTACTTCCATCGTCGTTCTTCATGCTGTACTTTCGCCTGAACATTCTCTGGACCGCTACCATGGTTCTTCCCAGGGTGATTTTGGGGGCATGGCCGGTCGACTGTAGTAGTTGTGCGCGGAGATACCAGGCAGATGATGGATGATGTTTCGGTTCGTGAGTGTGGAGAATACGATCCACTATATATCGATTTTGCCGCACCACGGTCAGCACACGATCGGCCGCTATCGTCGATATGGTGGTTGCCGCAGGGGCGTTGTCGAGTTGAGGATCGACAATTACTGCATGACGCGATACCGGATCTGCGACGACGAATTGCCATGTTCGCGAGAGCTCTTCGAAGAGGGCATGGATGAGAGGTGGAGGCTCCGGTCGATTGTCCTCGGATGCTTCGGTGGAGAAGGTGGTACCAGAGAACAACGAGCTGGGCGAGGATGGCTCCGTCCTCGAGTAGTCTCTCGGCTTATCATCCATCTCAGACTCGGAGGACTCAGAAGACGTCCGATGCTCTTCAAGTGGCGGCAGCAGTATCGCGTGTCGGTTGGGATGGCTCCCTGCTCGGCGTAGACCTGACATTCGAGGAGAGTCGGAGAGGTCTTCACAGGACGTGTAGGTTCTCATTGGCATTAATCGTGCGTGGTTCGGCCAATCGTCGGCATCGGCTTGTGAGAAGTTCGGAGAGAATCCGTTGGTTTTTTGACTCAGTTGGCGATGTGAATACCCATGGGCATGACCGAGCACCTGGACATTTGGAGAGGGTCTAGTTCCTGTATTCCAGCAAGGGTTGTTCACGGCAATCGTCGTGCGTTGCTCTCCCTCTCCCCTTCACTCCCCTGGGGGTGGCGTGATGCCGCACCCTGCGTCGTATGTAAACCCAGCTCAATTCACAGATTGGTTATCGAGGTCCCTGCAGAACCTGGCATCTAGATCCTGAAGAGTGGGTGTGCTTCCGTGCGCACTCAGTACCGTGTACACTGTGTGTATATACATACACCTTGAAGCAGGCAGCAATCACATTATGGCGTCAAGTACATGTAGGTACCGGTAGGCAGTGCCCTACCTACGTAATAAAATATGACCTACCTACCTGTTTGATCGCTACTACATGTACAAAAGTACCCTTCTTCATTTCTTCCAACCAACTTGTGTCGAGGTAGGTTAGAATGGTAATGAGTGGCTTTCGTTAGTGCCATTTTCGTCTTGTCCAAGCGAGGGCGCAAGGGGAAAAATGCTTACCGAAGCTCGTATCTTTCCACGACAAGCCTTGTCTTGATACACAAGCTGAAACAAATCTTAAATCATAAAAAAAAGGAGGGAAGATCATCACATCCTCCTGTGTGAATTTCCACATACACTACCAACATACATACATACTGACTAATAAACACAGACACAGACACAGACGCCAACAATTTTACAAGATACAGTTCTGATTCATCTCGCTTCCGTTGTGAGATTGAATAGGAGTGGAAACTTATAAAAAGAAAGAAAGAGAAGAGAACACACACACCGGAGCTGCAGCCGCTGTGCACGAAGGATATATCGAACTGATTGACCATGAACTAAAACCCCCCCATTCCCCAAGCCATTCCCTAGGTAAGCCCCATTCCCCCAAACCCTATTGCCGAGACTATTCCATCCATTCCAACCGACCAACCAACCGATCCAACTAGGACCTAGGTATCATCCCATCATCCTATCATCCCATCATCCCACAGTTCAATAGTCGTCAACTTGCCATCAGATTCACATCTTCGTAAAAATCCAAAATCCAAATAACAAGATCAAATTTTTTTTATATTTATATTTAATTTTAATTTTAGCCCGAGGCCGACTGAATCTGCCAGTGCCACGTTTTTGACAAGGGGGCAGGCAGACACAGAGTTTAAACCCACGGCCACGCGTAACGCGTAACTCAAAAAGATTGCCCCTAGTACCTAGAAGATTCGAAGATGTCTGGTATAACCTAGGAGGCAAGGTGTAAGGGTAGAGTCGTGGACGAGGTCCAATCCCGATTGTGATGAACTACAAAAGGAAAAGAAAAAAGGCCGGGCATGTCCCTACGACCCTACCTACACAAGACGGGACGGGAAGAAGCAACGAGGTAGTAACAAGCTCTACCTAGGTAGAATACTGTTACAGGCTGTCTCGTAGGTTGTCCTGTCGCACTCGTAGACGAGAGGTACATACATATCTACATACCTAGGTAGGATTCATCGTTCTTTTTGTGTATACTCTTTTCTACATACAGGCTTACACGAACATACCGTATTAGTCGGTACCTACAACTCGGTAGAATACGACCTTTGGAAGTCCCTTGCCTTCTCTTCCCTCTCTTTTTATTAATAGACGGAAAGTATTACAAGCTTCATGTACCTTACCTAGGTACCGAAGGTATACAGTAGATAATGAAAATCAGGGTAGCTTGTTGCTTGCCTTAGGTACTGTAGGTACCTTATATATGTATATATACTTGCCTCGGAACGTCCGCCTTGTCTTTTTTGTTTTGTTTTTGTTTTCTTTTTTTTCTCCTTTTATTTTTCCTGCTTGGTGTCGCTACTAGGTACGTACCTATGAATATGATCGTCAGGCCTGTCTTTTTGTACATGTACATATACCTAGTACTAGACGACCTAGAATCCTGTTTTCTTGTAGGAGACGCGTATGTGTATTGCGTAGCTACAGGTAGGTATAGAGAGAGGTGTGAATAAGGATACGGAGAGAGAGAGAGGTAAAGAATTTCATATACCTACAACCTACCTACCTACCTACCTACCTTATATTCTTGTCTTGTCTTCTAAAGAAGGGTAACAATAGGTAGGCTGACTGTACGGGCTGAAATAACCAAGTGCTTCGGTCAAACATAGAAAAAGAAACATCTCTCGGTAAAGGAAGGTCAGGTAGGTACAGGTAGGTAGAAAAACCTTCACTTACATACCTTACCGACATACATGTAAGTACTGCTAGTAGTTGTTCGGGTCGGTGAGTACCTGCGTGATCATGATCATGATACAGGTAATGATGAAGAAGAAGAACGGCAGTCTCTCCAATTCCACAAACCTTTTTTTCTGTTTTGTATACCGCTATACGCCATACGCTACCCAACGGCGTCTAATAGCCATTTAGGCTATTCAGTATTGAATCGTTGATACCATCCTTTCTCAAAAACACAAACACATACATACACCGCAACACTCAAAAAAAGACTCCCCCTACCAGCTCCAGCGCGTAAGCGGATCCGGATCGGTAAGAAAGGAACAGGACAAGGGACAAGGACAGGGCAGAATGGAAGAAAAGAAATCAAAATATTTTCATTCCCGCTAGTGCTACCCTTCTCGTATCCATAGGTAAAATTGAGGTAAGCATTTCATGTCGTACGGATCTACAGTACCTTATCAACAATAATAACACTACTTGCTACTGTACTGGCTGGAGCCTGTAGCCGCCGGGAGGATGATGATGATGATAGGAGGTGATGATGATAATGATGATGAATGCATTTTCGGGGAGGGGGAGCGAAATGTGGATCTGAGTTTGAGAGAGAGAGTCGGGATCTTCGGCATCCCGTTCGCTAAGGTACTTGTACAGATCGATCATGATTATCAGCAGCAGCAGCAGCAGCAGACATGAGCCGAGGGAAAAAGAGAGAGAAAGAAAAAGAAGTCGTTCGATATGAGCTAGGCCAAGAGGCAAAAGCTTAGCTGTAATAATAAACATCTTCCCTCTTCCCTCTTCCCTCGGGCCTCTTACACTTTTACAGTTCAGATACACACCGACTCCACCTCCACATACGCTACGAGCGAAAAGAGCAAACAAGTCCCGCAGAACAATGTGTGACACTGGCGAGGGAAATTCGGGAATGCGCGCTTTTTTATATTTTATTTTATTTTGCCCATTTTCCCATTTTCCCATTTTCACCATCATCGAGTCAGCGATTCAAGCATTTTTTTCGATCCGTTGCGCGCGCAGTAAATCAATAATAATACTAGGTAAATAAGATATACACAGATTGACAGAAAGGAAGAGAAAAAACGTCTGGGTGGAGAAGAAGCTTCCAGTACTTACCTTACTTGTACTTTGTTGTTGTGGTCCCTGCACAACACTACATTACACACATACACAGCGGCGGCGGCGGCTACATGTAGTGCATCTCTCTTTCTCTGTCTCTGTCTCTGCCTCTGCCTCTCTCTCTTTCACCATCCATCCTGTTGTTGTAAGAGTCGTAGATCATTGTTGCTGTGACTCTCTTCCCACCGCGACGACAAGGACCAAAACCCACCTCACCATTCAAACAGGTCCCACGTATACACATACACATACGCACGCACACAAGATCACACGGAATGTCATTGCTGCAGCGCGTGACATCAATAGACGGAAACGACCTCGACACTTCCTCGGTGCACAACTACAACAACAACAAAGACCAGAGATATGGCACTGTCCGATCGTTGAGAACTGTCATCTCCTACGACATCTTACCGCAGCCCGAAGAAGATTCCTTCGCCACACATCCCACGGGAGGCGTCACTGCCTACAAAGTCTCCGAAGCACAACGACTTGGTATGTTGTGTGCTTTTCTTTTCAATTTCTTTTCGACTTTTTTTCTTTTCCTTTCCGTCTGTTTTAGTGTTGCACCTTCCTTTGCTGATGACTTTTTTTTCCAATGTCTTAAAGCGCAGGTCATCATCACCATCGTATCGTGTTGGCTGGCGTCGGGAATCGTGTTTGGATTCGCAGCATTGAAGCCCGTTCTCGTGGATCAAGGCGTGTATCGAGAGTTTTGTTCGGCCGAAGAACTAGAGTTGGATGTCGAAGTGTGCTACGAACAGGATCTCCGGTACGTGTTCTTCTTCTGGAGCGGGAGGAACTGGAGATGGCGGGCGGGAAGAAAGCGCTTGATCCTAATCATGATTTCCACAGATTGAATGTCTTCTTCGCCATAGCATCGACGACATGCAATGTCTCTGCACTCGCAGTGGGTACGATCCTGGATCGATACGGCCCTCGAGTGGCGGGCATCATAGGAAGTCTCAGTTTGGCCGCGGGAAGTGCCTTGATGGGAAGTGCATTTGCCATTCCCGAGTTCGATGGCTATATCGTGGGCAATATACTCCTCAGTTTAGGAGGAACATTCATCTTCGTGCCATCGTTTCAAGTTGCCAATGCTTTCCCCAAGTGGTCCGGTACCATCGTGGCAATGGTGACGGGAGCCTTCGATGCTTCGGTGAGTATGACCAGCAGTCCAGCAGAACAACAAACAGTCCGGCAGCTAACGAGAGTGTGTAAGGCGGCCGTTTTTCTCTTCTTTCGCATCGCGTATGAAGCATCTGGTGGCACTTTCGGCCCAGAAAAGTTCTTCTTCGGCTACTTGATTGTTCCAGCACTCATCCTCATAGCACAGCTGACCGTGATGAACCACGATGGCTACAAGACTCTGCCTCAATTGGAACGGAAGATTGAGAAAGAACAGGACTACTCTCGAGATGTGAGTAGTAGGCTCATCTCCACCCAAACAGGAAGAGTGCTGACAGGTGCCAGGTCCACGACTCTGATGATGAATTAAGCGACGATGACGAGGTGAACCGACTGCGCCAACACAGGCGCGAACATCGACAATCCGTTTTGCAGAAGCTCGAAGAGCTCGTCGGAGACTCCGAAGAGCGCCAGCTTCGAGAAGAAAGGAAAGAAGAGCAGTTAGCCACCAGTGGAGTGTGGGGAGCTCTGCATGGTAAAAGCTGGAGCCAACAGGTATGCCGGACGGGAATCTTTGCGCGTACCATTATGATATCGCGTGCTGACTGGAAAGCAGATGCTGAGCCCGTACTTTATCCTGATAACGCTCTTAACCGTATTGCAGATGCTGAGGATGAATTTCTTCATCGCTACCATCAGGTCGCAGTATGAGTACATGCTTGGATCCGAGCACCTTGCCCGGAACGTGAATCTCTTTTTCGACATTGCTCTGCCAATTGGTGGCGTTGCAGCTACGCCATTCATAGGTATGCTGCTGGACAATGTCTCGACAGCTGTGATGTTGGCAGGTTTGGTTGCTCTCATTACTGCTGTTGGAGTTCTTGGGTCGCTGCCGTTTGCGTGGGCCGCGTATGGCAATGTGATTCTCTTCGTGCTGCTCAGGCCCTTGTACTATTCAGCGATGAGGTGAGTGGCTCTCCCTCCGTACTTCAGCTGTGAGGTCTTGCTAACCTGAGAAGTGATTATGCGGCGAAAGTCTTTGGCTTTGCCACTTTTGGCCGTGTCTACGGTACCATCATCTGCTTCAGCGGCTTGGTCAACCTTACCCAGCCTTTGATCGACGCTGCCAACCATGAGCTTTTCCACGACAATCCAACACCAATCAACATCACACTTTCAGCACTCGGCCTTGTCTTCGGAGCTGCTCTCGTGGGTTATGTATGGGTAAAAGGACCTCAGGTCCGCCCGGTGACGCATTTGGTTGATGAAAGGAGTCGTCTTTTACCGGACGTAATCGAGGAGGAAGCTTAACCTCATGATATATATGTTTAGATGAAATTTTTCGAGCGATGAGTAGCGAGGCGTTCTAGCGAGGAATGGGCTGATATGTGTATACTTTCGCAAACGAGTCTCTGACGGCCGATCTGTCGCCGTCCCGCGTAGTTAGACTTGGTCGGCAATTTGAAATGACGAGAATGGTGTTTACGATCTACGAAGACCTCACAAAATCTGCATGTATGATTGACCACGACCGGCATGTGGGGTTTCTACAGTTCTCAGCTTTTCAGACCTTGGAGGTCATATGCAGAGGAACGGGTGACATTTCGAAATGTCGGATAGGCCTGGTATACTCATCTGTTCTTTCCCGTGTCAGTACAATGCAAATTAAACATGAGTAGAGAGCCTCAGTAGAGCGAGTCTTTGGTCAGACTTTGCCTATTGTCCTCACGCCCAACCAGCTTCTAGAAGTGTATGCAGCGGCTGGGCGGACTTGGATTACCAGATGAAAGCTCTTCAAGAGTTGTCATCATGCGATACTGGAGTGAGAATTGCCCGCGCAATGCCATGCTTACCGTCGTTGCAGAGCGCGAATTGCTGCGAGCGCACCTCACCTTCGTTGGCACGACTCAGTCCATTCGCATCTCTGCTGGTTGGCGGTGGCTTTCAGTTGCGGACAGGTATCGGGACGTGAAGACAACTCTTCTGAGAAGGCACATCGTGTTGCAGCCTCCAGACAGAGATGCAGGTACAATAATTAGCTGACGGTTTGTTCCATCTTATAGGTCGACATCGCATCATGGGCGCTGTCTCTTGCGAGACTACCCTCGTGATGACGGTTTTAAAAGTGGTGTTCATCTCGACCACCTTCGGAGTCGTCCTACCGCACGTAAGTTAACCGAAGTTGCGGAATGATGATTTGAGAGGTGGTCTTGGTTTGAAGAAGAAGAAGAAGAAGAAAAGGAAGAGCAAGAGCAAAGGAAAGGAAAGCTCGAATTTGCGCCAAGACAATGGACTAGGGACCGCCCGTGCCAGGGTCACAAGGAAGGGAAGGGCTAGCGGCAGAGGTAAGCGACCGACTTTGCTTTCGACACGAATATACCATCACCACCACCAACTACCTTACATTTACGCCCTTACCTGACCCTTTCCCACGCATTCACCATCCATTGCCACGGCCGAACGACATCCTTGAGCTGCGCAGTTACTTCGCATTGTATTGCTTGGTACTATCATCCATATCGACGAGCCGATCGCTACCGACAATCCCCATCATCGCCCGCAACACTCGACGCCGCCATTCCTCTATACGCATATTGCTACCGAGAATCCACGCCGACTTCCACCACGCGCGCACGCCCTTCTTCCATCCATCGCGATCCTGCACGGCTCGCAGCCTTGACGGCAGAGTCCAAAGGCCCCAATGGCCAACAAGGACAACGTGGATAGTCCAACAAGCTTGTGGACACGGAGATCAAAGTGAGTGGGAGTGTTCCCTCCTCCCCGCAGCACCCGTGCTTCTAGAACCGCCAGACACACCCGTTCTCGGAAGCCTTCGTCCAATCCTCCCTCATATACATATCCAATTGCGAATGCCCTTGTCTAATCATGCACACGATCAACAGCAGCAGTAAGCTCGGCCTGTCCACGAGCCGACCTGACCGAAACGACCATCGCGAGAGCCACGACTCGCCCTCCATCCGACGCGGATTCAGCTCAAGCGGCAAGGGCGCTTTTGGCTCAATCAGCAGCATTAACACATCTGCCGTATCGTCGCCCACAGGTACGGGTGCGTCTTCTGCATTTGGCTTGGGAACGGGTGCATTTGCCAGCTTCGGCAGTAGCAAGACACCGAAAACGCCAGGTGCAACCTTTGATGCAGGAAGGAACCCTCCGTCCGCGAAGCCGGACTCTGGAGATGAGGCGAAGGATAATGCTCGCAGGCCTGGTCCCACGTCTAAAAAGTCACTAGGCGCGATCCGAACAGTCCCCGATACATCCACTGCTACAGCAAAAGACTCTGCTCCGGAACATGCCCTGCAACATGCCTGGATCGTGTATTACCGCCCGCCGACTTCCAAGAACAGCGATTACGAGAAATCGATCAAGCCCATGTTCAGGTTCGACACCGTGGAAGCCTTTTGGCAAGTCTTCACACACCTTAAGCGTCCGTCGCAACTGATCACTGTCTCCGACTATCACCTCTTCCGTGAGGGCATACGGCCTGTGTGGGAGGACGCGGAGAATAAAGAGGGCGGCAAGTTCACATTGCGTCTGAAGAAGGGCGTGGCAGACAGATACTGGGAGTACTTAGTGCTTGCCATTATTGGAGATCAGTTCGCAGAAGCTAGCGATGAGGTCTGCGGCGCTGTTGTTAGTGCCAGGCCAGGCGAGGACGTCATTTCAATCTGGACCAAGAACAATGGTGGCCGCAACGTCAAGATTAGAGAGACTATCAAGAGGGTATTGGAGCTACCTCAGGACACGAATCTCGTATTCAGGTCGCACGATGATTCCATACAATCCCGAGTGGAGGTCGATAAAGCACGAGCTGAGAAGACCGCCGGAAGGCGCAACACACTCGTCGCGGATAAGGACAAGGCGGAGGGTTAGAAGGACCCGTCTTGCAGCGCGTGGTGGCCAATTTTGTAGGACATGGCCCCAGCCGCTCCTCCCGGAATTGACGGTTTCAAATCACGGCACCACGCCAAACAAGGGATACCTCCTTCCTATCCGCGTGATCACGCCAAAGTATACGGCTACAGAACGCGAATTTGTCAGAGACCTGGATGTTGAGATGAGCGTATCAATGTTGTCTACGGCGGCGAATCTCCTTGCATGGAAAGCGAAGCGTTCTTTTTTGGATCATTGTGTTGTTGTATACTATACGTGTGAGATTTGGGATATGCCGGCTGTAGCATTTGAGCGAGGACAGCGAAAGCCAGCATTGGCAAGCTACGCTACGTAACACTATCGCAACAACCCTTTGGGGGGGAAGCGATGACAGTAGCGCATGTACTATCAAATTTTGCATATCTGGGCTGGATTTGCGAAACAGAATCCAGGAGACTATCCGTGGAGCTCTTCCGATATGTACTTTGACACTCGATGCAAAGAAAAAGAAATCGGGTCTCAACGTTGTGCACAGCTGACTGACCTATGTGCATCAAGTCTCCGCCGCCGATGTGAATTATGAGTATCATCGCTTGCATCGCTGACTACACCTGACGAGATCATTACTTAAGAGGGGGCAAGAAGCTGTTGTTCAGTGCTATCTAGCGGGTATCATAGAGTACGGTACATGTACGTAGAGAACTTGAGACAGTATCATCGCGTGTGCAGTGTGTGTTCTGTTCACCCCCGATCGCTATCATCATCGTCGTCGTCGTCGTCTTCGTCATCAGAGTCCTCATCCTGACCACCGGTCACTGCTGGTGACTTCTTGCGCGTATAATCCTGCACATGAGCGTTCCTCATGGTGGTGCCCACTCGGTGTAAAGTATGTACAATGGGCGATCCCGCTGCCTCCTGCACATTGCTGGAACGCCTGCGTCGGAAACGTAAGGTGCTACTGGTGGCAGACTGCTGCCGCTCGAGATCGACGTCGCGGCCTGAAGCACTCTGGGTGCTACGACTGGGACCACCACCACCACCATGATGCTGCTGCGATGTCCGTCTTTTGTCCAAGTCAAGTCTACTGATCTCAGAGGTGGGAACGAGCCCACTACCATCGCGCTTGGGCAACTTGTTCGGATACGGGGCCTTTCCAGCTTTGGATTGGATCTCGGGAACTTCTAACCTAGACGGCGTAGGAGGTCCAGCTGAGATAGGCTGCTTAGGCGCCAGGTCCCCGTTTTCAGAGTTGGAGTCGGTGGTGTTCGTGTTAGGTCCAGAATCTTCATCCTGTGCCTCTTCTCTCTCGGAACGAATCAGGCCAACAGTAGAGCTCTGCCCAGGCAGCTTGTAAGGGAGCGGCACGTCTCTGCTGGCTTTGGCATTCTCGACGTTGGTGCAGTGCTCGTTCTCGACACGGAGTAGTGTCCACATGCCTCTCCGAAGCACCTCCGACAAGCTGACGGCAAAAGACACGATAGAAGAGTGCTGTGTATCCGAAGTATATATAGCGTAGAAGATCCAGTTGAATCGTAGGATAGGATCGAGTAACATGGCGACGTAGTATATCCAGACATGCTTGCGGTACGCCAGCGTCGGTCGCAGGAACCTGTGCTTAGCGTATGGATCGCCCAGACTCCAATCCATAGCGAGGTCCCAGATGCTCGTGTAGAGGCCGTTTAATGTCGCAAAGACGATAAATACCACCTTCGTCTTCAAGCTTTGGTCAATGCGGTACACAGACAAGGTTAGGTACTGTGCAATCGTGAAAAAGTATTTAAAGCAATTGACCATGTGCGGGAACAGTGCACGAGTGTCGTAGTAGCGTCGTAGGCACTGAAGTGCACGCCATATGCCAGGAAGGCATGTCAGGAATCCGAGCAGTCGACTGTGGCCACTGTTACAGACGGCGGGGCTATTCCAGTGACGGCCGACGAAGAGACAGAAGAACATTTCAATGTTGCCCATGGAGTATGTCAAGGAGCAAAACATATCTCCAGTGAAGAAATCGCGAAACTCCACGGCGTATAGACCGGCGAATAGCAGTCGCCAAAGAGTGTATGAGAACCACTTTCTGGCTTTGTAGTAAAACGTCGGCGCAGGCAAGAAGAAAGAGATCACCGCCAGACCGACCAAGACCACGATCCAATAGATGAACATGGTACTCCCGCCCGCTTGTATGTCGAAGTTCAACCACATGACCAGTCCAAGCAGAAAGTATAGAAACGCAGGAACCTCAAGGAGCTCTAACCAGTGGAGAGCTTGGCGTCTGTTTAGTTCGAAGATGAATTGATAGTTCACTCGGAATTCGTGAAAAACAGCTGCGCAGCCACAGAAAAGCAAGGCGAGCAGGACCATCATGAAATACCCGCCATAGAGTTGCAGCAGGTACGTTGTATAAGTGTGTGTTGGTTCATCCGCAATGTAAAGCAAACGCACTGCTTTGACCACGCCGAGAGCCCCAAAGACCGATCCAGCTGCGAGCAAGGCGCAGCTGCGCGCAACCGCTCCAGAGTAGTCGCGGGAGCGGGCGGACTTGGTGCGAAGCTTACTCACAGCGACCTTGCGGCTGCCCTTCTCAAAGTATCGAGCATAAAGGTCTTCGACTGTAGCCATAAGTTGCTCGGGTACGTCGGAATTGACGAAATGAGACTTGGCCACTTTTTCACTCACATATTGCAATCCGGGCTTGGCACCAACACATTTGTCGTACTTCTTGTTGATCTTGCGAAAGGCGGTCCGATTGAGGAGAGCATACGACTTGAGGAGCTCCAAACCGCGATAGAACTCAGCAAGCGCTAGTTTCATTTTGCGTTTTGCCACACGATACGGCACTTCGTGCGGAGGTCGTCGCGCGTAGTCCCTTTGGTGTGGATCAGGCAGCCAATGCGCAACTTGTGGAGGTATTTCCGGTGTTCCAAGATCACCCATTCTCCTTGAAGTCCTCCCAATAGGGCCTGAACGGACTCTGTCGAGCGCATCAGTGGCGAAGTCAATAGACATAGTGAAGGGTTTGACAAGGACGTCTCTTTTGCGCACACGGCCTTCGTGGCCTTTCTCCCTGGAATGCTGGCTATCACGCTCCCCATTCGCGACAGCTTGTTCGCGCCTAGATTCCGCCTCGAATTCCATGATTTCAGCGAGACGATACGTGCGCATGATATGCAGTTGCTCTCGGATGTGTTCCAGACGTTCCTTGCCCTCATTTTCTTTTTCGAGGTAAAATTTCTCGACCTTGATGAGCTCCTTGTCCAGGAACAAGAAGAACTCGGCTTTCCTGAAGTCGAGCTCGCGATATGCTTCGAGCGCGACATCGTTGTCATCGCGTGATCGTTGTGAGAGACCACTACTCGTGAAAATTCGTTTCATAAAAGGACGGCTATCAGGCGTCGAATTTGTCCGCTTTGGAAAGGTGTCGTGAAGCCGAGAGGTTGGAGGAGCAGCGGTGCCGCCAACCTGATCGCGCGGCGCACGAATCTCGTACGCATTACCGGTATGAGCCATCTGACTAGCTGGAGGATGCAGCTCGGGTGACTCTGCAGGTGGATGTACTGAGGCCTTCGTGGCTGGTCGGGCCACTCGTGATGGATTTCGAGGTAAATGCATAGATTCGGGAGCGACTTGGCTATCGTCGGACTCAGCATCGTCGTCGCCCCCGTCGGTGTCGTCGACAGCGGGAGGTGGCAGCTGCACAGAGGGTGCTTGGCGTGAATTGAAGCGAGTTACCTCGTCACTGTGAGGAGGACTGCCGATGATGCTGCCATAGCTTGTCATACAGCCCTGTCCCTCTTCCGCCTTGTTTTTGGGCTGAAGCGGACTACGCTCATTGATCGGGATGGGTGCAGATACTGAGCCACTGCCACCGAGTTGCGATGCTGCAGCTTCGTGCGAATCGCTGAAGGATCTGACATGGCCAATCCGGGCGATGGGCGTAGTGGCATTGGCCGAAAAGGTCTGTTGTTGTCGTCGCAGCAAAGCAGACACTGGCGCATCTCGGACGGAGTTTCGTGGAGTCGGTCTTGGTTTTGCAGAGCCGGGTACGCCACGAACAGCTTTGCGGACTGCATGCAGCTATGTCTCAGTCAGGACGCGTCGATGCGAGTAGTGAGTGACACGACGAGATGGTATCGACCTGCGCACCTTCTTCTTGGCTTGCTTGTAGTCGAGGTAATTGTCCTGCACTCCGTGTCAGTACAGTAGGTACCTTATACCAGCCGCAGTGATGCCGAGCAGGGCTTCATTCATAGTTTGCATATATACCTTCCACTCTGGGACGGCAGAGTCGTCCAATTCCTGCGCCGTATCAGTCAGTCTTGGCGGTTGACCGGGCGCAGTCAGTCTGAATGTTCCCTTCTCACCTTGGCAAACTTCATGATGATGGTGGTGTTCTTGTTGTTGTGCTACATGGCAGACTTGAAAGCGAACGGTGACACCACGAGCAAAGTGTGCAGATGGGATGGTTTTATCTCAGTTGGAAGTCAGAGTCTCAGACTGACCACTCGCAGCATGGATTGACTGTGGCGGTGTTTGATTGGTCCGGAAGAATAGAGTGTCCATGCGGCGCGTCAATTCAAATTCGTCCATCCACCAACTGAGGAAGACGAGCCTGAGACCTTACTCAGACCTTACTGAGATACAGTTGATGCCAACTTGAGGTACCTCCTAACTTGAGGTACCGACCTGTAATCGATAAGCAGTGACGTTGGGGTGATGCACGTGATGCCAAGCCGACCCAGCCAATCTGGAATCTCCTCTGCCCAACAACACGTCTCGGCGCCTATTATCGTCCCCACAAGACCTACACTGACTTCCAAGATATTGAATCCAAGTCAGCCAGCTCTCCAGAGGTCATCACAGAGATCAGCGCAAGATGGACTGACAGCAGTATGACCCCGTTGAAAGCATGAGCATGACTGCGAGCAGATAATGATATTATAAGGTACCTAAGGTCATGTATGTTCAACCACGAAGACCCACCATCCAAGCCGCTCTCAGTGTCACGCTCCGCGCGAGCGTCGGACACAATACCATTTACAGAGTGTTCAATGCAATTAACTGCAGTACACAACAAGCTAGAAACCTACCCAGCCGCTTTTGAAGTTCCATAAATTTACCACAGTCTCGACCATTCGGGCAATTTATTATCCATGCAACAAGGAAAACCGCGGCACCATATCTGTGACTGCATGCTCTCATCATCTATCCAAGGCGTATTCCGGCTCCACCAGAGGTGTGGATGTAGTTCGGCAATCATGAATCCTCACACGCACATGGCCGACCGGCATGTTTGACATATCGCCTCCATGGCCATTGCCCCTGTATAGCTGTTTCATCTATATCACGAAAGGGGGTTGCAACTCCGTCTCAGCTTCTCTTCAGGCTGATGTATCCATACCACTAGCTAGATGATAGGGCCCTACGAAGGTCTGGACGCAGCACAGCACTATTTATATGGAAGCAAAGGGCGTGTGGTAGGAATCATCTTCTCCTTCTCCAGCAGAACACGTTCCTTTTACATTTCGTTCTTTACCTTACTACACAATGACACTACGTGTCGCTTCATTCTTTACCTCTGCTGTTGCGCTGGCCGCCGCGGCAGATCCGAGCCTGAGCCTCAAGACTTATATTGATGCTCTAAAGCTCAATGGCAGCTTCACGCCATTCATGGAATCCTACTGGACTGGGCTCCCTCACCACCGAAGGACACCATTCGCCGTTTCTCCCGATGGCAAGACTGGCTACCTGGCCTACTTGGGCAGCAATGGCAACGGCGTATATGTCCAACACGTCGACCTCTCGACGTTCAACGCTACTGGTACTACTGTGACGATTGCGAACGTCAAAGAAGCGGGGGGTCTTGTTGGCCACAACGACGGCTTCGCAATGCTCGGAAATGAGCCACTTCCCGCCTCTACTGACGATGCACCACCCAATGACACGCCTGTGCCAGCCATTTACAAATATACCAATGGCTCGCAGGAGTTCAAGACCTTCGTGGCTGGTCCTGGAGTCCACGAGGCGGATGGTCTCTCGATGTCGCCTGACATGAACGGAGACTTGGTCTGGTCGGACAAAGCAGAGCTCTACGGTGCTTATTTTGTCGTGACTGCCTACACTGGTGATGCCACTGGTCACTTTGGTGACAGCATCCAGTACGTCAACAGTAATGGTACACTTGAAGTCATCGACGGCGCGTCTAGCTCTTGGGGATGCTCACACAACACCGGAATTGCTTTCGAGGCCGCCGATGAGGCTCCCTTTGCCAGTATATGCGCTGAAGATCAAGGTTCGTCGTCACCAACTTCGCACGTCCGAATGAGTTACTGATGAGATTTCCTAGGGGCGATCTGGCTCAACACGAAGGGTCAAGGCATGTCTACCGATGGTCTCAAGATCTCCAACGAGAATACCACGAATGGCGGCGGCGGAGAGGCTATGGGTGGCATGTCCGGCTCGTACTCTGCCCTCGCTCAGTTCGTCAACAGTACTTCCTACATCTTCGCCTGGGTGTCTCGCGGCGCCGTCAACCTCAAAGCGAACGAGTGGATGGGTGAGGGCTACACCAATGCTTTGAATCGTACCAATGGCCGACGGGTCGCAATCGCACTTTTCTCTGACAAGGAGACTATGGTCTCCGAAGAAGCTTCTTCTGAGGTTGGCGCAGCTTCGGGCGATGATCAAGTCAACTGGGTCACGCCTGAGATTGGGGCCGACCGTAGTAACGCTCATGTTGCAGCCTTCGACTCTGACTACGCCCTTGTCAGCTGGGAACAAATTGATGAGCCGCAGTGCGATTTCATTGCCATGGGATGTAAGGGAAAGTTCTCGGGTTCTTACTTCCAGCTCGTGAACAGTGCCGGAAAAATGATTGGCGAACCAATCAAAGACATGAATACTTATGTCGCAGGAGATATGGTCACCATGAATGATGGCAGGATCTGCTGGCCGTATGTTCGCATGAGTTGGGAGTTGGACGTGCCTGTGGTGGAAAGCCAGATGATGGCCAATGCGACAAGCATGAGCTTTGCTTGCATGAGTTTGGTGTGAGAGGCGTGCAAGGTCACTAAAATCGGCGCGGGATGCCGAGATCGTGAGTGTGTAGCCCTCAAGATGTGAGGCGTACCCAGCAACGGACTGCTTTCGAATCAGATGATATTAGGGTACCCTCAGAAGCCACGTCACCCTTTCCGTGTCTTTGCTAAAAGCGTCGTCCGAGGAAAGTTCCATTTCGGTAGCAGGCGAGAAGCCACACCTACGAAGACACTTGATACTTGCTGCGTTGTCGGCATTCACTTTGGCAAACAATGTCTGCGCCGGAAATGCCTTGACATACCATGTGCAGAAGTCTCTCGTGGCTTCCTGAGCATAGCCTTTACCCCAGTGACTTGGTAGAAGCGAGAACCCAATCTCGCGTGGCCTGAAGGTTCCCACAAGCCCGACCAGTTCTGAAGATAGAAGTATTGTGATGGCATGGATCAGTATAGGCTGGTCTGGTGGTGAAATGTTCACGAGCACGAGCAGATCGTCGAGCATCTGTTCAGAGCGCTCCAACGTCTTGCACGGTCCCTGCTTGCTGAATGCCTATCAGTGCTGATCGGGTGTTGGCTTTGAAGACTCCATACGTCCACTGCGTCACCTGAGGATCAGCTTGAAGTCTGTGAAAACCATCCAGGTCGTCATGCTGGACTGGCCTCAGTAGGAGCCGCTCAGTCGTAATGTTCATTGTATCGTGTTCGAGTTGTTTGTCAGAGTGTGTAGGAGTGGAAGGAACATGTACGTGTACGAGAGGAAGGTGACCAAGCTAGGGAATACCATAGAACGAATTGGTGGACATAATTATTAAGCTATCAAGCGCAATCAGCGCTGACCTCAACCTACATGTATGTACCCATTGCTACAGGTGCCCCTTGTTATCCCATGACGAACAGTGCAATATCGCCATGAACAGGCTCTTCCGGTCAGCATGGAATGGCCGTCAAGCCATCCGAAACAATGGGACTAAACATTGGGCCTCCCGACTGGAGTCCACCAAGTCCTCGCCGCCCGTCACGAAAGAAACAGCACGCGTCGCTCGCATCGAATCTCGATTGCCCAAGTTCCTGAGAAGATACGTCGAGCCATTGAGAAATGCTCCCATATCGCACATTTCAGCCTTCTTGATTCTGCACGAGATCACCGCCATAGTGCCGCTTTTTGGTCTTGCAGCGGCCTTCCACTACGCCAACTGGCTGCCGCCCTTCATCAGCGAGGGCAAATGGGTCAGCGACGGAGTGGAGAAGTTTGGCAGATACATGCGCAAGAAAGGCTGGATAAATGATGACGCGAGGGGTGGGCGATGGTTTGGCAGAGGGGAGACGGGCACGAGAATCGTAGTCGAGTTGGCTACGGCATATGCGGTCACGAAAGCGCTGCTGCCTCTCCGCCTCATCTTGAGCGTATGGGGTACACCGTGGTTTGCGACTTGGACTGTCTTGCCCATCACAAATCGGATCTCCAGATTTTTCAGGCGCAAAAAGGCTGCAGCGGCAGTGTCGAGCCCTGCGGCAGGTTCTGGAGCTACTGCCGCGGGCGTTCTGCCTAAAAAGTGATGGACTTGGAATGAAAGATACTCCCGACTCCCAGAACAGATTAGGCAAGAGCTGCGCACTGCATCAGCCGATTCGGAATCATCGGTCCCGCGACACGATACTCAACTATCCCTCTGACGAGCCCCGGACCACTGCTTCGAAGGCTACTGTCTAAACCTGCTCCACGATCCGAACATGTTATTGTCTGAGCGGCGAAGATTATCTCTTTCTCCTTCTGGAATCGACAAGACCTCTAAATGCTCCCACCCACACACTACAGCTAGCTATACGAACGACCTTGGCTCTCTCATAGGCATGCAATGCTAGGAGCCAATGCCGTCTTAAACTCCCTCACGTTGTCGAACTGATGACTCTCACTGATCCATGTTACTGAGCGTCGACCCCTTGATCGGGAGATAGTTGGACCACCTGGATGCCTCGCCCTATTCCTCTAACACACGCTTCAACGGTTGTCGAATTTGCTTACCCCTCTCGGCGTTTCCGCGCAATACATGCACCAAAACTGTTGGCTTTCTGCAGACCTGGTCAAGAATGCATATGACGCGGCAGGATTTCGTCTCAGGTCACGTGTGTATATGAAGACACGACTGCAGGTTCTCAGTCAGCAGAAGTAATCTGGCGGATCGCTATAGGGAGACCAATCAGTCAACTCAGGTTAAGGACTGCTGGAGGTCTCATCGATAGACTTCGTCCTCCTTCGCTACTTCGTGTGTGCGTAAAGACGCCGCGCCGAGATCGAGTGCAATGCGGGCCGCGTGGCTTGACGGTCTGAGAACAAGCTTCGATGTGGTATAGTAGGAGAAAGTCAATGTGGGAAGGACTATTGCATGAGAGGGAAAAATGGGAGAGTTTATCCTTGCTTCTACATCCTCGTGGAACCGAGCCTCGTTGATACAAGTTGTGAAAATGCAGAGTGTCTCGCTGACTCCTTTGGTCTGTCCGTCTCCAGCAGACTCTTGAATTGCGGTAAATGTACTTGATCCGATCCGCACTCGATGAACCAGGTCTTGGTAGTCATTAAAGCACACTTGAGCAGCCAGCCACACTGGCGTATATACCTATAGATAATGCACGCGCGTCCTGAACATCAAAAAAGACTCTACTACTACTACCAGGTCCTACTACCAGAGTTGGACTCTAAAAGGGTCATCCACGTAGCGAGCACTACCTAAGGTAAGGTAACTAGCGATTGATCGATACCTAGATAGACAACACAGCATCTCCTCTGCAAGCTCCATAAGTTACCTACTCAGGTACCTACCTAGATTAGTTCACACTCTCCCGAATAAACGTTCAAACTGGAAAATGCCTACCAGGCAGGTACTTCTGGTGCGAATGCCGAAAAAAACCCCTCGAATCGGTGATAACCTAGGTACCTTAGGTAGTCGCTCCTCATGCTTCGTCAAGAAGTTCTTCGGGTAGATTCAGAGGAGCTCGGTTTCGGTTACAGTCTGGTCTGGCTGGCGAGTACCTAAGATTGGTCGCTGCACCGAAGGTTTGGGGAGTAAGGAGGTAGGTAAGGTGTCTAATAAGGTACCTACATCGTAACGCGATTGATATGTTGCCAAGTTGTACGTGTACTATAGGTACTGTAGGTACCCAAGTACAGTATGCCAGTGCACTAATAAACGTATCTCCAGGGTTGGTTTGGTCATTACATACCTAGGTAACTACCAAAGGTACTAGTAGCTCTATATTGTGGATCCTTGATTCGCTCCCAATACATCCATCCATCTATCCGGGCTTCCCGTCAAAGTGGAACTGGAGAGCTCACGCGGGCAAGTACCTCTTATGGTAAGGTAGTAGTCCCAGTACCTAGCAGACTGGTCAGAAAAGGTTGAAGCAACAGCGCATCCCTGGGATCAAAAAAAAATTGGGTAGATTGAACAAAGCGTTGATGAATGGCGTTCAGACCTGAGGTAGTGAACATTACCGAACTTGCTACTGTTGCCCACTTGGTACTGTGCGACCGTCGCCATGCGGTTCTTTGTTGCGTTTGGATCCCCTAGTGAAGTAGTGAAGTAGCAAAGAGAACAGCCAGGCAGTTTGTTCATCCGAGCGGCAAGTTTAGTGCTTAGCACAAACGACAATGATTGGAGATGTCATGCGTCCAGGAGGCCCGACCACAAAGCGGTGACAACGTGTCGCTCTGAATATCGGTCGTCTGTTATCGAGGATAGCGCTTGTGATGGGTTGTGGCGATATATCGTATCTATCTCGACGACCAATTGTTCTTGCTCGCGGGATAAAAGGTATCTGTGCTCAAGCTCTGGCAATCGCAGGCCGGTCAGTAGCAGAGGTGGACTACTCATGCCGAACAGCTGTCTGTGCCACACTGCCACCCAGGGCTGCCGGTTCGCTCCAACCTGGAGACTGGAGTACTGTAATTTCGACATGAGCCCTGTCAAGCCGGCCGATTGCATCAGCTCGGGCTGGATAAAATATGACAAGCCTGCATCGTGGACGGCATCACCCCGCCCCCGCGCTCTTCACATCCTATGAATGTAGTGTTACTTGAGCCTGTAGGCGCTGCTGCAAGTCAGGATGTCGGAGGACAGTTCTAACAATCTGTTCCCCTGTCACCCCGGGTATAGCAAGGCGCCTGTACACGAGGTGAAACTGTACGTGATGCAAGATCCCTCGATCTCTGATTATCAGCTGAAAGAATTGACAAGATCACACATTGGAGTGACCGGTAACGGTGGCGTGGTTCGTTGCACGGCATATCCCACCTGTTCACGCTGCACTTCCCTGAATATATGGCCAGAACACTTCTTGAGGACTTGCGATAATAGAAGACTTGATTGGTCTCGTCTAGGTGCAGCTTGACCGGCATGCCGCGAATGTCGATATGATCGTCACTTTGCTGAGCGTTTGAAGGCTCGTCCAACTACAGTATATTCCCGCTATCTCCCCTGACCTACTTCCCAGGTCCGCATTGAGTGGGATGTGGCACGAGGACAGTGGAATTTTCCACTTCGTCGTTGTCCGTGTGTTGTCAGGATAGCAGAACAGCTGCAGATGGTCGAGGACATGTGGCAGAGTGCTGGCAGTTTGGCAGGGAAGCACGTCCGCTGCTCGAACAAAGGCAGTCGAATTCCCGTAATGCCGAGTGGCGTGGAATGGCCGTGACGGCAAAATCTTCCAATCGCTACCATACGGTATGTTTGAGCTTTACAGGCGCAGGCATGACTGAAATCTACTTTGCGCATGTTGCCAACGCACTCGCCGGTATACTGCAGCTGGTTTTGGTATTAGCCCCCGCCGTCAGTACGGTAGTCGGCTCTCCCGTTGGTGCAGTTCTTCCACAAGACGCCGCCAGAGGCCGGTGTCTCATCATCAATCCAGCACCACCGTGACCGCGCCCAGTCCAGTCTCCACAGTGCAGGAGAATTCCTCCGTGCGAATGGAAGAGCTGCCCGGGAGCAGCAGCTATGGCTGAGCTGTCGTCGCCCGATTGGTTCCGGAATGTGCTCTCGAACTATCGGGCAAGCTACCTCCTACGCATTGAACACATGTAACTTCGATGTATTCTGGCCCACGTCTGCCCACGTTGTAGGTTCATGAGGACGGACATGTAGAGACCAGGCAAGGGAGGAGGGGTACAAGACAGGCGTGGGCGGTGGAAGCCACAGAGTCGCACGGGCGGCGCCAGGGCTGAGGGTGATCAGGGAGGAAGAAGAAGAGTATCTACATGGATTGTGCAGTGAAGACGCGGGCATGAGCGAAGGATCAACGGGGATGACACGACAGAGCAACCAGCAGAAGGTGGAGGCGATGGCGATGGCGATGGCGATGATGATGATGATGATGATGGATCGTGATGGGTATACAATCAGTACATGTAGGTATCCTACCTACCTACCTAGTACATAGGTACCCACAGTAGATACATGTAGGAGGTGCTTACACACACCCGCCAGAACTGAGAACGCACATGCAGCAAAGCAGTGTCACGCGCGGTCAACAGAGTTTCGCGTGACGGTGGCTCGGGTCATGGCCGGTCGAGCTAGATTCCTTCCAGCTAGACTCACGTCGCAGGGAACAAACGCATGCCCTGTGCTGCGACTCTGCGACCGGAAGCCCCTCTTCTCGCCGCTTCAGCCTTTATGTTGTCGATGCCAAGCTAACCGACTGACTACCTCCTACAAGGTATGTACATACATACCTTACCTACCTCTTACATGTACTGTACCTACCTACAGTACCTCACAACATAACCAAACACAACATCGCCATCGCACTGCTGTCCTACCCGACACGCTTGTGCTGAAAATACCACCGCCTCCTCCGCCTCCTCCTCCTCCTCCTCTTCCGCCGCCGCCTTCGCCTCACCGTCACCGTCACCGTCACTGTCACAGTCACTGTCACAGTCACCCACACTAACACCCACACCCACATCTACTCCCAGCCCCAGACCCACGCCTCACGCGCCGTCGGTAAAAACCACACTGCCACCGAAAGCAGGGAACTAGCTTTGTACCTGCATGACGGTATGTCTTAAAGCCTGTGGTGTGTCTCCAGTCCGCTGACAGCCTTCTGCAAATAGTAGTGTGTCCAAGCTAGTCTTGCGCTTATATCATCCATCACCTCGACCAACCTACCTTCTACCTCCTACCCGTCGCCTGTCTGCCTGCCATCCGCCGCGTCCACTCCAGCTCGCCTCGACACACTTTCATACTACTCTCGCACATCATGGCTCAGACTGCTCCGCTCCAGCAATCGCCAGGCTCCTTGCCGCATAGGCCTAAAGGTATGACACGTGCTGCTGCTGCTGCATCACTGGAACAGGCGTGGCTGATAAGTCCTCTGCAGGCATTCTGAAGAACTCGTCTTCATACCACACTTCGCCCAACTCCCGTGTCAGCCCCGAGCGACGCAGCTTCTCCAACAATAGCGATGATACAGCCGACCAAACACGTCCAGGAATGCCACCTCGCGAGCTTTCCGAAAAGGAGATCACACAGATGAATACGGAAGCCAACGCCGGTGCACACCGACGCTCGAGTAGTAACCCACAACGCAACAGCTTGGGCCGCCGCCTGTCCTCTCCAGCACACAACGGCGACCACCCTCAGGATGGTGAGCAGCAGAGATTGAAGTGGGACGAAGCCAATCTCTACTTGAACGAGGGCCAAATGGGCGGAAAGATGAAGATTGACGAGCCCAAAACACCTTTTGCCGGCAGATACGATCCTGGTGAGGACGAGGACGAGATCGAAAGCATCAATGCTCAAGAGCTGGCCGTAGACGAATTAGACATGAAGCCCCGTGCGCGCAAGGCCTCCGGATCCCGAGCCAAAGAGGGTGATATCCCAGACATTGATCTCGGCGAGCCAGAGATGGAACCGATTGCACGCCGTGAGAGTGACACGGAGCGAAGAGTCCACGTTGACCCCGATGAGATGGATCACGATGGGGGAAGCCATGGTGAGCACAACGAGGCGGACATGACGAGTGAAGAGCGAGAGAAGCACCACAAGTTCGAGGAGATGCGCAAGAAGCACTACGAGATGAAGAACATCAAGAGTTTGCTTGGGTTGGTAACACCGCTTTCTCCCATAATCGGTCCTGATGCTGACGGCTACAGCCACCCCGAAGAGCTTGATAGGCTCGATGATGAGTGAAGTGATCAACGAGATAATGAAGCATAGCGTTATAAGCAAGGGCAGGCTTGCACGCCTGACGATCTCCAGCATCGCGGCGTTTGTACTGAGCATTGGGTTGGCGCGGGTACTCAGTGGCCGCTGCAGGCCCTTCACGACTGTATATGAATTCCGGCTGCTTTCGCAGAGCCATGTAGCCTCGGTACACTGTTCGGCTGGCTCAGAGGGTTCTTTTTTGCTGCGCATCTCAGCGATACCGTCCCTCGAATTCTGTTGTCAAATTCTGTTACGTTGAATCGCTGAAGACTTCTGCAGGGCACGCTGTGGCCATATGCCGTTCTTCCACAATCCCTGCATGAGGTACGTAGTCGCACATGCTCCTTTGAGATCCAAGAATGTTTGTCAAACCGCTCTTGTGCATCATTGCACACTGGCCACGGAGAAATGCTTACACATAGTAAGAACATGCCTAGCACTCTATCTCGACACATCACCATGTGTCAGCGTGGAGGAAGATGGTGCACAAATCCATACGCGAGCTCTTGGCGGTTTCCTCGAAACAGCCGTTACCGAACTTCGCTTCATGTATCTGCTGCACCCTCACCTGCGAGCTTACCTGGAGCAAGTGTGTATGGCTGCAAGAAGACCAAATGCCAATATGTCCCAGGCGTCTAGGTAGATGGGACTTGTATCGCGTGTCAATCTACCTGGTGCTGCCTCGCGCCGAGCCAGTTCTTCATGCCACTCTCGATGGTTCACTGACCAACCAGGAGTGACTGAGATGTAATCATATATATATATCCTCTCTGATGAGGGACTCTGGTAAGCTTTTTTTTCGTTGCAAATCCATTGCTTTCGCAGTCTTTTCTTTTCTCCCTTTGCTCCTCCCAGAGAGCATCCATTCTTTCACCCAACCACTAGTCACTCATTACCGTGCAAACGCACAAACCCCTCCTCCTCCAGGCGAGGAGGTTGAATTCCGGGCAAGCATGAAACTCCTTTCACTCATTCCAGTCCTTGCATATACACCATACACACTTGGTCAAGTCTTCTCCTCGTACGTCGACGACAACGGCATTGTGCTCTGGCAAAACACCTGGGACAGCCAAGTCGGAGCAGGAAATGCACAATGGGGTCTCGCTCTGCCTCCGGTGAATGCAAGCGAGTACATGAATGAATACATTGGCCGTGTGGTGGCTCCCATTCCAGAAACGGGAACATGGCTTGGGATTTCTCACAGTTCGGGAATGACAGGCTCCCTCATTCTCCTCACCTGGGTCAATGGAGACCAAGTCATGACAGGTTTTCGGTATGCTTCGGGATATGTCGAACCGAGCGTCTACACGGGCAACGCTTCGCTTTCCGTCATTAGCTCTTTTGTCAATACCACTCACTATGGTTTGACGTACAGATGTCAGGATTGTTGGAGTTGGGAGCAAGATGGAGTATCGGGTTCGCAAGTGCCCAAGACGACATCTGCTGCTGCGCAGTTGCTGGGCTGGGCTCAAGCGACCACGGCGCCCATGACGCCAGAGGACACAGATACGGGTATTGTGCAACATGCAGCAGACGGAATCATGGCTGCTACGGTTGCGAGTGCTCGCAATGCAGCATACACTTCTTGGGTGTCCTTGGGAACTCCCACAGGTTCTCCTCCTCCTTCGTCGCCCTCGAATGTCACCACCATCACTCCTCCCACTGGCACAAATACTACGATTCCAACAGGTGGCTCCAACTCCACCGCAACACCTACTGCATCATCTACTCCCTCTTCCTCCCCTGCTTGCGCAAGCAATAGCACCATCACCTCGCAAACATGGGACTACATTGTCGTCGGTGCCGGAGCAGGCGGCATACCCCTCGCAGACAAACTCTCCGAATCCGGCGCCTCGGTCCTGCTCGTCGAAAAAGGACCCCCATCCTCCGGTCGCTGGGGCGGAACTCTCAAACCGGACTGGCTCGTAGGCACCAACCTCTCCCGCTTCGACGTTCCAGGCCTCGACAATGAAATCTGGCGCGACTCGGATGGAATCGCGTGCACAGACGTCTCTGTCATGGCAGGCTGTGTGCTCGGAGGCGGAACCGCAGTCAACGCAGGTCTCTGGTGGAAAGCCAATCCTACAGATTTTGATTATAATTTTCCAGTAGGCTGGAAAGGCGCAGACATGACGGAGGCGGTGGAGCGAGTGTTTGATCGGATTCCTTTTACGGATGTTCCGAGCCAGGATGGAAGGATTTATCAGGGTGAAGGGTACGATGTGGTGGGTGGTGCTCTTGCTGCTGCTGGATGGAAAAATGTGACTGCGGGAGATGTACCTGGGGAGAAGAATTTGACGTTTTCTCGACCGAATCACATGTTTGCTCATGGGGAGAGGGGAGGGCCCATGGCGACTTATTTGGTGTCTGCGAGCGAGAGGAGCAACTTTCGGTTGGTGACTAATACTTCTGTCGCGAGGGTCTTGAGGAATGGTGCGACGATGACCGGTATCGAGGTGGAGGCATTTCTGGACGGAGGTATCTGTGGCACGATCAATGCGAGCAACATTATTTTGAGCGCCGGCGCATTTGGCACACCCAAAATCCTCTTTCGATCTGGTATCGGACCTCAGGATCAACTCGAAACTGTATCGGCAGCAGAAGGCGACAAGATGATTGACAGCTCGAACTGGATCAACCTCCCTGTGGGACACAACCTGGATGATCATACGTCGACCGACATCGTCATCACCCACCCCAACGTCACCGTATACGACTTCTACGGCGCCTATACCGATCCCATCGACGCGGACATGGAGTTATACCTCCAAGGCAGAAGCGGCATTCTCGCGCAGTCTGCTCCGAACTTGTTAGCCGGGTTTTGGCAAGAAATCGATGGCTCGGACGGCATTACCAGACAGCTTCAATATACAGCTCGTGCCGAGTCCAGCCACGATGTGAGCAGCAACCACTCCATCTCCATTACACAGTACCTGGGACGAGGCTCGACTGGACGTGGCGTGGCCAGCATTACCGCAGCGCTGAACATGGTCGTCTCGAAAGTCCCCTTTGCAAGCAGTGCCGAAGACGTCGCCGCCATCAAATCCGGAATCGAATCTGTCCTCTCCGCCCTGTCACTCGACCCTTCCATTCAAGTCGTCTACCCCCTCTTGAGCAGCAACAGCAACAGCAACAGCAGTAGCAGCAACAACAATACGACAACAACAACCACCATCGACTCCTGGCTAGCAAACTACCCCCTCACAACCTCTTCTCGCTCCGCAAACCACTGGATGGGCACCGCCAAAATGGGCCTCGACTCCGGTCTCGTCGCAAATGGCACCGCAGTCGTCGACACGGATACCAAAGTCTATGGCACGCAAAATCTCTTCGTCGTCGACGCTTCTGTGTTTCCTGGAATGGTTTCTACGAATCCTTCGGCAATGATTGTTGCGGTGGCGGAACATGCTTCGGAGAGGATTCTTGCGAGGGGAAGAGATGATAAAAAGAAGAAGAAGGCGAGGGCTTTGAGGAGTCCTCCGACTTCTCGGCGAAGAGGGAGTTGCGTTGATTGTGGTGTTGCTATGTACATCTAGATCAGGTAGAGAGGTACATATACTTGAAAAGTTGGTGATCAACCATCGTGTTTTCGTCGTAGGTGAAAGGTAAGGTAGCGATAGCGTACCTAGGTAGGGTTATTTAGGTAGCACCATTTTAACTAACCAACCTGAAGCTACCTAGCGGCTAGCTCTACCAATACCTACCAATACATGTATGTACTCAGTAGGTACCACTACCACCAAATGAACTGTACTATACTGCACTGTACTATCAGGTATTGTACCTCGGTAGTGGTATATATCATCTTATACGGTATCAAATAGGAAGAGAGAGAGAGAGAGGGAGAGAGAGAGGGAGGGAGGGAAGGGTAGGCGACAACTCCGGTGTTGTACTACCTACTATGTACTGTAGGCGGGTAGGTACATATATGTATATATGTAGCAGCAGCATTGTTGCACTATGGCACCAACTAGTCGGGTACGAGGGGAAATACATATACATATTACCTTACCTACCTACCTTATATTACCTATGGTGGCTGCGTGTTGTAGTATCGTCTTTGCGGAGAAGTTAAGTGTGTATAAATGTATGTACCTAGGTAGGTAGGTAGGTAGGTAGGTATCTTGTATACGGCGTATGTATATTATCAACAGAGGGAAAACAGGACACTGCTTGTAGGCAGAGGAGAGGAGAGTAGAGGAGAGGAGAGTAGAGGAGAGGAGAGGAGAGGAGAGTAGGCGTCTAACGCGCCATTTCTTTTTTTCTTTTCTTCGCCCTGTTCCTAGCGAACTACACACTACAGACTATAGTACGATCAGATACTGTAAAACTAGTCTAGTCTAGCAGTAGGAAGAAGAAGAAGAAGATCGGAGCACATCGATTGGGCGAGTCTTTGGAGACTTTTTAGTATAGAGAACCCCCCGACCCGATGGTGAGTACAGGTAAGGTAGTAGTACAGTAGGGTACGGGTACTACTGTCATGTACGGCAAAGTTGGACATTCGGACTCATGTCGGTGGTTGTTTTGACGTAGCACGAGGGATTCTTGAGAGAAGAAGTCTAAAAAATCCTTTTTTCCTCGGCTGTTCTTTTTGCATCCTTGCCGCTTGCGCTTGCGCATGAGCATTGAGCATGTTTTTTTTTTGTTTTTGTTTCATTAAGGTAACATGGGGTTTTACCGATTTGAATTGAATTCCACATTTGATTGGAAAAGGGGGGCTGAATTCATGCGTGCTCATATTGGGGGCATGGCATTTTTCCAATCATGCACATCATTGCAGGCAGTCAGGCACTCGCGTCTGATGATAGTAAGTCCTCCTAAGACTCCTGATGACAGATTTTATCCGGGGGGGAACTCGCTGTCGGCAATAGCATGAGATGAAGTAAAGTGAGTGAGTGACACTACTGGGTAACTAGTTCTACTACTCTGCTACTACTCGGTTACTACTACTACTGCTGCTGTATTGGTTATTATAGCCTAAATGAGAAGTCATCTTCATGCATGTGCATGCCTGGTTGCGTTGCGGGCCGTACAGAGTATAAAATGAAGAAAGTAGATTGATTGGTATACAGGGAGGGTGAGGTATGTGTATGGCTGTATGCACATGTAGACATCCCACGCTGCAGGTCACCTTTGCATGGCTTTCTCTTGTTCTGTCTCTCTCTCTCGGGAACACTCTGTTGTGTGTGTGTGGATGCATATCTGACCCTCGTGGGAGTGGTGAGGGGAAATCACTCTACTCTTCCACATGCAGTCTTCCTCCCACTGGCTCTCTCCCCCTCGCACAGCATAGCACATCACACTGATCACAGCATCAGCATCAGCATCAGCATCAACATGATCCATCAGCACAAAACACGCAGGGACATCCCACGCTTTCCCGCACCTTCGTCTGCCAATTCTGGGGCCGCTAACAAACTACCAACTCAAACTCGTTATGCCCGTTCTCTACCACTCTACTGACACAGTGACACTACTGGGCGGTAATGTACCTGTATGTACCAGCCTACCTGGCCCGGCCTGGCCGTGCAGCTTGCATACGTAGGGAGGTACATACACATACACAACCGAAAATGATTCTGGTCCGCATATTGATGGTTTGTGTCGGGTCCACGAGTCACGACATCTTCATCACCTACCTCTACCTACCTATCTACTATAACCTACTGTACCTACCTACATGTATCTACCTTGCGGCTGTCTGCTCTGTTGGTGACGTCTGATCATTCTTCGTATTTATTATTATCATCATCATCATCATCACCACCACCACCACCATCATCATCATCATCATTGTCGGTTACGTCGTTTACATTGGGGGGGAAGCACATATCATTTGTACATATACCTACCACACACGCCTGACTCTTCGGCTTCGACACGCTTTCCATTTTACCCGCCCCCCAGTCACGACCTCGTTCTTCAGGACATACTTTGCGGACCATCCGAGAAGAGATTGTTGCTGCTGCTGCTACTGTTATTAACGGAATATCCTTCACTTGTGGACGTTGTCGATCGATCCCAAACGTCGACGACGACAGTGACTCTGGGAGGATTCTTCTCAGAAATCCGATGGGCCAGCCGATATCGGAGTCGACCACACTACTCAATGCGAACATTGGCTTCCTAGTGAGTTCTCTCTCTCTCTCTTCCTCTCTCTTCACAACACATATACATACCTCACCTCACCTAAACGAAGACGGAGGCTAAAATTTCAAGCAGAGGACGCATCTGGCCATTATTCATATCCCGACCTCAGCATATTCACTGTTCCTGCAACCCATCCTTGCCCTGCTCCTACATAACAACTCCCGAGACCAAGATGGTGCAGTCGTACCCCCGCATCGTCCCTGGAACTACTGGCTGCCATTCGTCAACTTGTCCATCACACCCAACGAATGCTCCATCGTGTGCCCCCGCGAGGAAGCCGAAGCGCTCTTCCAGCCGCTGATTGCATCTCTCAGCGCAGACTTGCAAAAGCACGTCTCCATCAGCACAGAAGACTACTCGGCCATCACCATTGGTGGCGAGGGCCTGGAAGCCGGGCAACGAGTGCTCGATTTGACCAGTCCGCTGGCATTGGCTGGCATTCCCATCTTCTTCATTACATCATACTACTCGGACTTCATCCTGGTCCCGTTTAGCTCTCGGCTTAAAGTCATCAATGCGCTGGAAGAACGTGGCTTCGTATTCGAGGCCGATAGTGAAGATGGCGAAGCAGGCCATATGACGAATCCGGCTTCACCGCTTTCGCCATCACATGCGCGACAAGGATCATGTTCTTCGAGCTCCAACGGTTCCGGCATCTACCACCAACACTATCACTATCACCATCAGAGTCTAATGACTCCCACGACCCCTCCAACACCACCACCCACCACCATCTCCGACCTCCAACTCAAAACCTTCCAAATCCTCGCTCGCAACCACATCTCCCCCTCCGTCGACCCCTCTCTCCAACTCATCACCTGCGCCGGCCTCAAAGACTCCACCCCGGGCTCATCAACCTCCAATTTCACCCAAGGAAAACTCGACGTGGGAATCGCCAAATGCCTCACAACCACACACCCTTTCCCCCCAAAATTCTTCTCTCTAACTCTGACAGACTCGGAATCCGCCTCCTTCACATTAGAAAAACGACTTTTGGAGAATTTTTTTCTGGGCGGTGAAGAAATTCTGTTGGGGACGCAGGCTCCGGAACAAATTCCTATTACGTTGGATTTGCACATGTTGCCTGTTGAGAGTACGGGGATTGTGTGTGGGGTTTCGAGTCGGTTGATTGAAGGTATGAAGGGGAGATTGGGGAGGGAGATGTTTAATATGAGTTATTTGAGTACGAGTCGTGCGGGGCATGTCATTGTGTATGAGGATGAGTTGGAGGATGCCATGGATGCTTTGCGCGGGGCTGAGGAGTTGCAGTTGGGAAAAGAGGAAAGGTGAAAAACTGGTTGTTTTGTTTCCTCCCCTTTTTGGGGGAGCGAGGGTGGCATGACTGTTTTATGTAGCATTTGTTGAACTCACCTTTTTCAATCTTCAATTTCTTTTGGAGAAAAAAATTGAACTTTCAGTTACGCCAATCGCATGCTCATTAAGGTAAGTAATGGACACCAAAGGCCCTCTGTATATCCTCCCTGGCTACACTTCTATTCTTGTATCTCACACTCTTTTCTCTTCTGGACAGACTGAGTGGGAATGTGGCAGAAACATCAAAGAGGACAAACTACATCATCATCGTTATCGTCATCATTATCATCAATCGCATCCATCACACAGATGCTGCATTTCCCAGCCTAGCGATGCAACATGCCCTTGACTTTGCCAAAAAGCTTCCCACCAAGGCCACCCTTAGCATCACCCTGCAAAGGCTTCGTCTCGGCAGGCGGTGGTGGAGGAGGAGGAGTGGAAGTTCCGTCGTAGCTAGCAGGCTGCTGCTGCTGCTGTTGTGGTGGTGCTGCTGCTGCTGGCGCCACATTCCCCACTGCAGCGCTCTTGCCTCCAACAGAGACTGTAAACAACACCGGATCACCCGCATTGACTTTTCCCGATTGGTCTTCTCCCCCATCGGGCTGCACATCATCGTACGCAAACGCGTATCCCTTCCTGTCGACATTGTGTTCGTGCACGAGCCTGGCGTAGTGGTTCGTAGGATCTCTCAGGTAAAACGTCTCGGGGTGACTCGGGTGATCTGCACAATCGGCCAGAGATGATCGCACGAATGATGCTGCGAGGCGAGGGATAATGGCGTTTCTCACAGCCGAGGAGCCGGTTGTGAAGGGCCCGCTGTTACAGCCGAGAATATCTGCTGTAGATGGCTTTTCGAACTCTTCGTCTCCGATTTGGAAACGATCGTGGTGATTGACTTGTCCCTCCAGCACGCCAGGGCCGGCCTGGGTGTTGATCTTGCATTTGCAATCGGACTTGTACTTTTGCCACACCTCGTCCACGTACGGCTCAAAGTACCCATCGAAGCTCGCTTGAACTGCATCTCCATGCGTGGCGTTCAGGATTCGTAGGTTGCGCCCGTCTTTGTTGATGACAAGTTTGTCCCATGGCCGGCCGTCCTTTTGCGCTTGTTCTCGAAGGCTTTCTGCCATGCGATCGAGACCGTCTGGCGCCATGCCCGCTACGTGCTGCACATCGCCCGAGCTGGTCTGCAAGTGGATGGAAATGGGGATCCGGGGGACATGATCGACGTACGAGATGTTCGCATACAATTGCTCATTGTTCAACGTGAATTCCGCAAAGCCAAAATTCACATTGGCATTGGGATCGCTGGGGTTGAGGACTGAAGGTTCGACCAGAGCTGGGCCTCCAGGATTGAGCAGAAATGTGAGATGGCCTTCCGCAATCCATATTCGCCCTCCTGCTATTTGTGGAATGGTGATATTGGCAATGTTTCCGGGCGGTCCTAGAGGTATGGCGCAGTCTTCTTGCAGCTGAGAACCAATGTCCTTGACTTCTGTTGGGAAGTAGAGGTCTTTCCCGTTTGCTTTGAGCAAACAACGCTTGCCTTCATGCTGTATGGCAATGCCGGTGACATAGGCATGGATGTTGTCAAGATCGCTGTCGTTCTTGAGGGCGATTTGCAGTGAGTCCGGCATATTGTGTGGTGTCGTTGAAGACTTTGGTAGTGTTGTCGGGTGAAGGTTGAGAGTGAGTAACTTAGATATAACCTAAGCCCATGTGAGCGAGCTGGAGGTGACGATTGCAGAAACCTGATTCGCGTGGAGCCGTGATGAAGTCAGCCAAGTGAACCCACCTCTTATTTACAAGTTTGTTCAGGCCAAATGGATTGATTAGAGAGCGAGTGGATTTCGAAAGTATCTGGTAGGTACATGTAGAGAAGGAGGTGTAGACGTTGTTGTCGCGTTTTGGGATAGAACCTAGCAGCGATGAAGAAAATAGGTACGGTATAAGGTAAGGTAGGTGGTATGTATCAAGTGAACACGAGCATGCCAATACTTCTTCTTCTGACCGGAAACTGCCCGATATGGTGTGGCTGCCGTGAAAGACTGATAACACGCTATGAAGGAGTTGCGACTTTGCAGTGTCTGAGTAACACCAGGTACTACATGGACCTAAGCTGCTACCTAGGAGGTAGTAGGTGTGTTTATGTGAAGTGATCAAGACGTGTCACCATTTTCCTTCTCATCCGGCTTCGCCTTTGCCGGCGGGCCACTATTCTCAACATCCCCACCACAACAACGCAAATATCAACAAATGTGCCGATGTGGAATGAATCCACAAGGACGACGATTGCGCTGTTACCGCTTAGATTCGGGATAGTCTTGCTGGTCTGCTGCACTCGTCTGACAGTGACGAATGAGCTAGAGCGAGTACACAGCAGAGACGTATCGTGCTCTCTCTCCACCAAGACTTTTGAAATCGATTGACGTTGGATTTGAGACGCCCTGGCTCGGGGATGAACACGTGGACGGGTGAACATGGCTTTTCGACATTTGACTCCTCGTCGCGAGCTCAGCATACGGGTATCTCGACCAGGTATTGGACAGGAATGCACACCGTAGCACTGGTTCGCCGTGCTTGAGAGAAGTTCAAGGTTCGTCGTCTGAAGCTCTGAGAAGCTGCAACTCGATATTTGTATGAACAAACACTGACGAGCTCGTGTGACCTGAAAGCCCATGGGATTGTGGTGCTGGTCACGCGCGTGGCTCCCACTCAGCGTGCGCTGATCTTCAGATCAGTACACTGCCTCAACGCGCGCTGACCGACGGTCTCGGGCATATCACGCAGTCCCATTGCTTCGAGCACTTGCCATTCTCTGCGGCTTTCCACCCTGTAACGCACGGAGTTGGTCCTCACTCTTGCGCACCAGCTGCATACTTTTCCTCGCCCGTTCCCGCCCATCCTCGACCTCCAGGTTGGGATTCTCTTTGTGCATCGCTTCACACCTCCTCTTCATATCCTCACAAAAGTCCACTATCTTTTGCTGGAAATCCTTCTCGTGCTTCTTCTTCCAGTTCTTCGCTGCAAAGCCGCTGAATGTGATCCAGGTGCGATAGACACAGGCATCGTCCCCCTTTTCCTCAATTTCATTGACCCTTTCGTCCTTGATCACGAAGCCCGGAACCAAGTAATTGGCGTTGTCACTCACCCATCGGATGCGTGTGACATTGCCGCCTGCTGCGTGGCTGGGACGGCCATCGTGTTTGTGTTTCAGGGGGTCGAGGTGCATGCAGACTTGTTTGCTTTTAAGGGTTTCCTGCTCGTTCATCTGCACGGTGAAGGTCATGAAGGTGCCCTGCTCGAGGCGCAGGTTCCTCCTGTGTGCCTGAGGGTGCTTGGTGATGAGCACATCGGGATTGAACGTGTTCCATTCGCGCCAGGAGTGCAGGTCGAGGAGGGCTTCGTAGGGGTACTGCGGCGGCGTGTTGATGGCGATTTCCGCATACACGCTGAACTTGCCGCCGTCGGGGATGGTAGGTGTCGCGCGGGGGCCCGTGTATGCGTTGGAGCGGAACTGGTGATCGGTGTATGCTGCGCCGGGAGCCATGTTCAACAGACAGGTGGAAGTACGACACCCCCGTCGTCTCGATCACAACACCCGTCTATATACCTGATACCCGTGTGCTGAATAAATATGTTCTAGCGTGGTCGTCCGAGGGCCGTTACGAAGCACAGACGGGGAGGTTATACGACCAGTATTTCTATACCGTGACGCACGCGCTCGTTGGTCCAGAGCGGAACTAGATGAAGATCGCAATCCGATGCATTATTACAGTACCTGGTTTCATAAGCCCATCTTCAGCCTCAGCACTGTCAGCAGCCTCACAGCTCTCTCTCTCCTCCGAATCCCGAATCAGGTCAACCTCCACCGTCTCCACTCCACTTTCACATGATGTGCACTAGGAGGTAGGAGAGAATTAGAATTAGAACCGGTAGAGGTGTGCCTCAGGCTGCTATGTCATGATCCTGTACGGTACGGTAGCTCCCTGCCTTACCTGTTGGAGATGAGCGCGACTTCCATCGTGACGCGTTGTTGATTGTTTGTACCTGACATGTCCATGTACCGTTACCGCTACCGCTACCGCTAATTCTCGCTCTCGGCCTGCACCACCACGCGCCACAAGACTTCCATCGAACATCTGCAGCTGCTCGCATGCCGGTACAAGACGTCTTCCATCACCATGCTGTCCAGCGATCAAGCCGCGGAGCTGGTGGCGCGGCTGCAGGAAACGATTGTGGCGTGCAATGAGCGCTGCCTGTACTTCGCTGCGCAATGGTCTGCCGAACTGCTGAACTCCTTCGATGAGGCCTCGGACCTGGTCGACGCCGATGGCTCTGATACGGAGATTGACGAAGAAGACGCTGCATCAACCACGATAGTCCCACCGAACAAGGATCCCAAAGAGGCACGGCGGGAAGCGAAAGAACTGCCACGCTATCTCATGGCCAAGTCCTTCTTCGACTGTCGTGAGTTCGACCGCTGCGCCGCTGTCTTTCTGCCCGGTCAGCTCCCTCATGCCACTCCATCATATGAATCAATTTCGCCCTCGAATGTCACTTCCACACCAAAGAGAGAGCGGCAACCACTCAGCTCGGCTCACGCACGTACGCAGAAGCTCAAGCGTGCGCCTCCCCCTACAGCACCGAAGAATTTGAGTCAGAAATCCCTGTTTCTCGCTCTCTATGCCAGATACTTGTCCGGAGAGAAGCGAAAGAATGAAGAATCGGAGACTATTCTGGGCCCGAATGACGGCCCCTCCACTGTCAACAAAGAGGTCTCTGGGATTGCAGCTATTCTGGATGAATACTTCAACGCCAGAGGCGGAATTGAGAACTTGGCAAATTCTGAGGGCTGGCTGGACTATCTCTTTGGCATCATACTAATCAAATCAAAATGTGAAAGGCTCGCGATGCAGTGGTTGCTGCGCAGTGTCAACCTCAATCCATGGAATTGGTCTGCGTGGCTGGAATTGGCTTCACTAATCGAGGGCCCCGAGCAACTTGATGACAACTTCAAGGCGAGCCTGCCGAAGAATGTCATGACCTTCATTTTCATCATCCATTGCAACCAGGAGCTCTTCCAACAGGATCAGTACATTTTCGATATATTGAACAACATGCTGAGCATCTTCCCTCGCTCAGCCTTCTTGACCCAGCAAAAGGCACTTCTGCTATACCATGCACGCGAGCATGATGAAGCTGCAGATGTCTTTGAAGACCTGCTTCGCCGCTTTCCTCATCGTCTGGATGCCATGGAAATATATAGTAATCTTCTGTATGTCGTTCAGAACAGACCGAAGCTGGCCACACTAGCTGCAATGGCAAGCGACACGGACAAATTCAGGCCTGAGACCAATTGCATTCTCGGGAATTATTATAGTCTAATAGGCGAGCACGAGAAGTCCGTTCTTCACTTTCGACGCGCATTGGCTCTTGACCGCAACTGCCAAGAAGCATGGACACTCATGGGACACGAATACATCGAACTCAAGAACACCCAAGCGGCTATCGAGTCATACAGGCGCGGAGTCGACACCAATCGCAAAGACCACCGTGCATGGTATGGCCTTGGCCAAGGGTACGAGATGCTCGAATGTCACAGCTATAGCCTGTTCTACTACAAGCGGGCAGCGGCGCTGCAGCCGCTGGATCCGAAGATGTGGACCGCTGTTGCGAAGGCGTACACGAAGTGTGACAAGAACATGAACGCTATCCAGTCTTACAAGCGGGCACTCATTGCCGGTGCGCAACTGGACCCTGCGGCTAGCTTCGGGAATGGAAACGTCGACCCACTTGCTCAGGCAGTCGGTGGTGCTCTGGACCCCGGGATTTTATATGAAATCGCATGCTTGTATGAGAGGCAGAGCAGCTACGATGAAGCCGCTGCATACATGGAGCTCGCTCTCGCCCAAGAAGAAGGCGTAGAAGAAGGCGATGAAGGTCTTGGGGTCACACAGATCACCAGTCGTGCTCGGCTCTGGTTGGCCCGATGGAGCTACACCTGTGGTGACTGGCAGCAATGCATGGACCTCGCCAACGAGCTTTGTCAGGATGGAGTCGAGGTCGAGCTCGCCAAGAGCTTGGTCAAGGACGTGAGAGCTCGCATGCAAGAAATGACGGAACAAGGAGACCCGCGACGTTTCAGCGGAGCATCCGAAGAACTCTGAAATACAAATGATTGACACCAGGAATGATTGTGTGACGAGTGCACACTGCCCTCTGCCGGCTCGTGCACTCATATCACACAGCACAGCTGATCAACTGATCAAAGGAACTGAGATGCCTACCACAGCTGCTGACTAAGCCTGCATTGCTGATAGGTACCGATAGTCGATACCTCTTGAAATGGAACACACTTTGGAACCTGCGTCTCCCACATCCCAGTGATGAAAATATGGCACACTCGTTCAACCTTAGCCTTGGCCTCGAAGGTACACATGTACTGATCACTGGAGGCTGCGGCTTCATCGGTCGTGTGGTGACGGAGGCTTTCCTGGCCGCAGGCGCTAATGTCTCCATCGTGGATTTACCAGAAGCCGTCGCAAATCGGCAGCACTATGGCGGCAGACACAACTCCATACTCTTCTTACCTGCCGACATATCGCAGCCCGACTCTGTCAGCAGTGCGTTTTCGAAGGCTGAGGATGGCTTCGGTGCAGTGGAGTGCTGCATTGCGTTGGCAAGTACAGATCTCAGCAGCTTGCAGCAGACAGAAAGTATTTGCGATATGGACCCCAAAGTACGCACTTGCCATGCTTACCGTATCGAACGTGACGACTCGTGGTACTGATGATTGCTGCTCTACAGATATGGCAGGACGTCTTCAACGTTAACATCAACGGTACCTTTCTCACGGCGCAACGCTGGCTTCGCGGCATCCGATCTGCGTTGAAAGATCCCATTGCAGCGCCGAATCTTCGAAACGTCAACCTCATCATTATGGGATCCGAGTCGGGCAAGTTTGGCGTGCGTACCATGGCTGCTTATGCGGCAGGTAAAGCTGCAGTGCAATATGGTCTGCTACAGTCATTGGCGCAAGACGTTTCGCGGATTTACATCAAAGGTCGCGTCAATGGGGTGGCGCCGGGTGCTGTCAATACCACTCGATTTCAGGAAGAGTGCGAGCGCTATGGAATGCAGTGGGAGTATGAAGAGTGCCAAGCTACTGTTCCCATGGCGAAGCCTGTGGCGCTGGAGGATGTCGCCAGGACGATTTTATTCTTGGCCAGTGAGAGATGGAGTGGTTCTACTCATGGCCAGCTTCTGCACGTGGACGGAGGTAAGCACGCACTTTCGCATGATCATTCAGATTGGTGTTGCTGTGCCTCGCTCATCAAGACACCTGCTGACCTTGGGGAATTTCCTTTGTGCTGCAGGGAAGACGGGTAGTTTGGTATGGCAGCCTGGAGAGGCGGCGATAAGATGTGGCTAAGTGAAGTACTTTGCGCTTAATTTCGCTTTCACCCGTTCTGGAGCTGGGAGGTACAAGTAGGAGGTACTCTGATACATAAAACGCAGGTCTGCCGCAGACCTAGTTCAACTTATTTATTGAGTTGGGCGAAAGGATCAAGCGCATGTCAGCACTATTCCCCTTCCGCAGCAGTGCTGACCCCACATGGGCCGGCCGCCAACGCCACACAGCTGGGGGAACGAACGACTTCATCTTATATTGTGTGATGAGTACCTAGGAGGTACTAGGAGGTATGACTTCGCCGCCTCGGAAAGGTGTTTGCCAAGACGTGAGGGATATTAATAACCCAGCGGTGTCCAAGACACCCTGGACGGCAATGCTGCGTGCAGAGCCTACTGGACAGTGTGAACACTCTCAAATCATCGTTGCGCCCGTGTCACACGTGGAAAGGAAAGATCCGCATCCGAAGGTGTACTGGTGACTGGTGTACCTGGTGTGAGATCTTCTCCATCTGGAAGCTGGAGGAGCCTGGTCGCCTGCATTAGGTACTATTGCATATGGCAGTGTGAGGAAGTGAAGATCGACATTCATGTAGGTATCCTCCGAATGATTTCAGTCTCCTACTTTTGTATACCAAGTGATGAGTGTCACTGTGTCACAATGCTATAATTTCGGTACATCCTCTTCAAGCCACAGGTACAAGAATCGAATTCCTGCCTACTCTTTCGGTCGACCTACTGTACTTACTTACTAGTATATATCATAACTAATGTCAGCCAGGTATCTGCATTCACAAAACAAGCACAGTACCGCTCAACTCCCGGCAGGATCGGCTAGGAGTGTACCTTAGGTACCGTAGGTGGTGCAATGTCGAACACGAGGAAAAAAGGTACCTGTATCCGTGGACTGCCGCAGTTCACGATCTGTGACTGGGATAACCTACTAGGCTATGCTTTGTTTTTTCTTCGTAATGCCCTCATTGCCCCAGACAGAACAAACAGACCACACCCAACGCGTGCGTACAGGCAAGGGCTTTTACAGGCATATTACCTACTTACAGTCCCTAGTTTCCTAGTTTCCTAGTAGCTTTTGTAGCCGCAGTGTAGCGAGGTGAGAGGATCGAGCATGTAACTTATACAGGTAAAGGTCAGGTAAGGTAAGTATATGATGATGGCGATGCTCCTCGTCGTTCCGATCTGGTAAAAAAGTTCCTACTCCTCCGTCACTATACTATACCTTACCATACCATATCCCTACCTAACCTGACCTTAGGTAGGTAGGTAACTCTTCACATAGCGGATTCTTTTAAAGCTCTCGACCATGTTCTCCCACAGACTCCTTGTGGCGCTGAGCGTGGCGACGACTCTGGCATATGCGACTCCTCCTCCTTCTCCTCCTCTTTCGTCTGTGAGGGAGTTTTGCAATTTGACGGTCGATGTTGCTGTGATTGGAGGTGGTGGCGGTGGAGCGTATGCGGCGGCTAGATTGCATCAACAAGGTTACAAAGTGGCTCTCATTGAGCGTGATGGGAGACTGGGTGGTGAGTTTGTTATCTTCTTTTCTTCTTTCTTGTTTTCTGTGGAGGAGCATTCTGCTAAACAAAAGTGCACTCGCTTCTACACTGCACAGGTCATGTGAATACATACCGTGATCCTACCTCGGGAGGAACATTCGACTATGGAGTGCAAATCTTCTCCAACATCAGCGTTGTGAGAGACTTCTTCGGCCATTACAAGATCCCTCTCGTGCCCGCCGGTCCACTGGGAGGTTCCACATCGCAGACGGTCGATTTCTCTTCTGGACTTCCCATCACAGTACCACAGGACACTGCTGCCATTGGCCAGGCTCTGATGGGATATGGCGCTCAGGTGGCCAAGTATCCTTCTCTCAATACCTTTTGGAAGATCCCACAGCCCATTCCGGAGGATCTGCTGATGCCTTTTGGTGCTTTTCTTCAAAAATATAATCTGCAGAGTTTGGCCTATATCGTGTATTCTTACCAACAAGGCCTGGCCAATGTCCTGGCTCAGACGACTCTTTACTTGATCCGCTTCTTCGATCGTAAGTATATATACTTCCCCCTCAGAAAATATGAAAATTGTCTGGAGAAAGAAGAAGCCTCAATCTCACAATATCTCTCTTTCTGTATATGTAGTGCAACAAGTCCAAGACATTGCAAACTCGGCCTTTATGGTAAACGGCCTACAAAACAACCAAGCCCTCTACGACGCCGTCGCCACCGAACTCGGCAACAGCGTCCTCCTCAACACGCAAGCCACCAAAATCGTCCGCACAGACAACGCCGTCCTCCTAGACGCCAAAAGCACCAACACCGACTACCAAATCACCGCCAAAAAACTCCTCATCGCCATCCCACCCACGCCCGAAAAACTCCAATTCCTCGACCTCCACGATGATGAATTCTCTGTTTTTAGTAAACTCAACGCTTCCCACTATTGGAATTCCATCGTCCTCAATTCCGGTCTTCCTCCCAATCTCACCCTCACCAACATTTCCCCTGCAGCTCCTCTCGCCATTCCTTCCGTTCCAGGCGTCTACACGATTAATATGACTCCTTTTCCAGGCGTCGTGTGCCCTCTATATGGTTCCGATCATGCACTCTCCGACTCGGATGTGCAAGCAGATATTCTCGCGACGATTAAACGGATTCGACAAGGGATGAATATTTCTGTGACGACGGAACCGGAATTTGTGGAATTTAATTCGCATAATCCTTTTCATTTTACGGTTTCCCCCGAGGAGATTTTGGGAGGGTTTTATGATCGGATGGAGGCGTTGCAGGGGCAGAGGAAGACGTGGTTTACGGGTGCTGCGTGGAGTAAACCTGCTTCGTCGGCGATTTGGAATTTTACAGAGTATCAGATTTTGCCGGGGTTGATGGAGGGGTTGTGAGTTGGGTGGTTTGTGTAGTACCTACATTACCTTATGTATGCAGTTGCATGGAGGAGGAAGGGAAAGGAAAAGGGGGATGGGATGGGAGTGTCACATATAATAGAGTAGTAGATCTACCTATTTGTATATATTTATTCGGGAAGAAAAAAAAAGAAAGCTGAGTCTGTTGTTGTAAAGTATATTGCGTGGCGTGTATCTCAACATGTAGTAGTAATGTGTACATGTATACTTTATGCAATACAGGAAGGTATCGAAATGATGTTGAAAACGGAGTCTAGAATTTATGCACACCATCACATTCGATGGGAACTACCTGGTATTGATCCGGCCATATCATTAGACAAATATCAAAAAAAGACACACAACCTACTTGCTCTCACGAGCTCTTCACTGCTCCTCCTCCTCCTCCACTGGTACTTTGTGCTTCCGACAGATCTTCCGTGACTTTGGAGCTCGGCTTATTCGATTTGGCCCGGCCAGCTCCCGTGGGAATCGATGCAGTGGCTGGGCTGGCATCCGGGTCCACGATCGTGGCTAAAGATACTGGGGCGCTGGTCGCAGCTGGAGGTGGCGGGATGGTAGGGATTTGTGTTGGTGCTGAAGCATTCGATCCAGGATCCGCAGCGGGGAAATTGGGGTCGCTGCTTTTAGACGGTTGAGGGGCTGGCTTTGTTGCGTCTGCCGTACCATTTGCAACGGGGTCATCGGGTTTGGGGGGGTCTTGCTTGGGAGGCGTTGGTGCAGGCGCTTTGGTCGCTGGGCTTTCATCGACATCTGCCACAGGTGGGGGCGCTGACGCTGCAGGTGCTGCAGCCTGTGCAGGCGCTGGTACTGATGCTGGTGCAGGCTGAGCAGAACCAGGTGCAGGGAGAGCAGCTTGATCGGGGCGACTGCGAAGACCCGAATTCTGATCGCCGCTACCGATACCAGCCCCGCCATAGTAGTCTGGATCATTGATGGTATTCGTCTTGACAGCACGATCATAGAGCCGGGTCAACCGGGCGACCTCGCTACGTACAGTGACAGTCTCATCTGTATCGATAGCATCATAACCATGAATGCCTTGCGATATTCCTCTCCACATGGTAGCGGAGTTTTCTATCTCGTCCTGATGAAACAAAGCAAGTCGCATCGTCAGCAAGTCACTCGGAACAAGCAAACCTGTTACGAACGCCTTCGATCTGCTAAAATACTTACCACAACCCGATTGAGATCATCGCGGAACATACGTGCTCGCATGGGTTGCCCTCGAGACTTGAGAAAGGCCACCAATCCTGCAATGATGGTATTGAGTGCGCCAAACACGGTGATGAGCCAGCCAGGCGATTGGCTCGCGCCCATTCCGGTCAACGAAGCGCCTAATACGACTTGCGTGAGCAGCAAAGTGTTTGTCAAGGCGGAAGTAAACGTATATATCCTGGCCTGCGATTGGCGATGTTCTATAGCGCGATGGTAGAGAGTATCTTTGGGTGGATAGTACGTCGCCTTGGCTGGATGGTCCGGAGGTCGATTACCCATGAGGTAGCAGAATTGGTGGTATGCATTTGAAAGCGCTTCTACGTCTTGTTGTACGGGAAACTGCTGAGATGGGTAGGATCCTGGGAATCGCAGGAGTGGTGTTCTCTCATCAGTACTGCTGCTTCCAGGCATTGTGAATAGGCGGCCACGATATTCGAGTATTCCCACTCGGGCTCACGACGCCAGATGTTCCAATATGATGGGTTCAGTGGCCTCCTCAGCACCACTCTCAAGCACCGCAGGCAAGATGAAGAGATGGCAAGGAGAAGCAACAGAAGCCATACCTCCTAACACGAGACTCACGAGTAGGAGTGCGGCACGTGCAGCGCCACCAGTGTGCGTGAAGATAAGAGCACGGGTCTCACTGAACGTTCGTTCCCTCGATTAGATTTATTGTTCGCGCATCTGTCCTCATCATACAAGGAACCTCTGCAGTCTCGATCACAACCCTGGAGTTGTCGATAGCAGTAGATCTGCCGGGCAGCCTGTATTAATTATCATCGACCGTTCTTCTCATGCTGCCTCCAGTTCATAGGCACATTGTACCTTTGCCGGCATTTGCGGTGCATGAAACATGCTGCCATGATGCTGGTAGAGTTTCGGTTGCGGGCATTGTTGTTAGTGCCTCTTCATGGAGTATGATTTCCATAACGTAAGCATGTTACTAGGGCTCAGCAACACTCCCTTGTTCGTCGTGTCAAGAGATTGGTGATGAAGAGAGGAAGGTTGAGGAAGAGGAGAAGAGGAAGGAAAAGAGGAAAAGGTGGAAGAGGAAGAGGCAGTGTAGGTAATGTATTATAACTTGATGAATGTGCACAAGACGGGAGACCCGAGACAAGGATGTTATTCGCTTGGAGCCTTGGAGGTAGTGAGGCACGGCACGTGCAAGAGATTCCCGCTTTGGCCGCACATGTGTACCCACCCTATTGCCTCCAACCTGAGGGCATCAACAGCAGATTGGACGTCACCCTTCTCTATCATGGCGACCCCATCCTATGCACGTTCGTTAACGAGCGCCGTCAAGAGGCTCAAGGTTGGTCATTACGAGCAACAATCGTGGTTTGTGCTAATCCATCCAGCTTTCAACCATCTGTACGACTCCCACACAAACTCGCTCGATACAACATTCGCGTCCTCGATCAGCCCAACCTCTCCCATCCGAACTTCAAAGCGAGCTCGCACGTATACGCTTGCCGAAAGCCGTACAGGCCACATACCTGGCGCCATTAAGACGACGAACACGGGTCAATGCCGACACGGTCTGCAAACTGCAGCTGCGCTCATACAATGTCCGAAACCTCGAAGTCTTCACCGACTTTGCATTGCGAGCAGCATACTTCCTGAATCTATCCGTCAGAGGACTCCGCAGTCTACCCAAAAAGACGGAACGATGGACTGTACCACGAAGTAATTTCGTGCACAAGAAGTCGCAAGAGAACTTTGAACGTATCACAATGGGACGAGAAATCCAGATCAAGGATGGGCATTCAGATGTGGTGGCGACATGGCTTGCATTCCTCCGAAAACACCAATACTACGGTGTGGGTATGAAGGCCAACGTCTGGGACTACGGTGGACTTGATGCGCCTACCGAGATGGACGAAGAAGCTGCCAAGGTTGCCCAAATGCTGGGAGAAGTCCCACTGGTAAAGCTGACGAATGGGAAGCAACATGGCGAGAATCTGCAGAAATTGCTCATCGATGAGCCTTTCAAGGCCTCCTGGGGAGCCTACACCCCCAGCAGCGGTGCCACGACTGTGCCGCACGGTAACCACAGGGTGCCGACCAAATCTGTGCATACTCCTGGTCTGATTAAAAAAGCTACGCCGAAAGAAGCTACGCCGAACACCGAAGAGAAAGAACAGCCACAGACGTGAGCAGAGAACGAGAGCAGCAGTAAGATGACCATGGCACACTTGTATGAAGTGAGATGTGTGGCGTCCAAGACGATGGTTCATGACAAGAGGCATCACATGACTTTCACGTGTATTTGAATAGGAAGAGGGATATCTTCACTTGGTCTGGGTGGTAATAGAACCACGCGAAGCACACGAAGCAAGTAGATATTCTAGGCGGATGTGAGAGTCCTTGTCTCCTTCTCTCTCTCTTCCACTTATTTTGGTGTCAATTGCGCCAAGTAATGAACGGCAGTGCTGTGATGTATGTACCGACCTCGTTATTCACGATTCCATGGTCCTGAATGGTGTAGAAGCGTGGGCTGGAGCGTTGTTCCTGCAGGAGCGCGTCGGAGTGGGGACTGGCTAGTAAAGTGAGCTTGGACAGGGTCCAAAACAATAGTTAACTTACCTTAGTCGGTTTGGGCAAGGGTATGGGCAATGGGAATAATCGTTCGATTCTTTTGCTCTTCCCATTTCCCATTTCCCATTTTCCATTTTCCCCCATTGACTCGCACCTCTTGTTCACGCACTTTCCGCGACTTCGAAATTATCGTATACTGAACCACCAATTGTGAAGCTCGCCCGTCCCAGTCGTCGCCCGAAATCGATTCCTCCCCGCCTCGAACCACCCCGCCCATCTATACCGCTCGCTCTTCAAGATGCCGGCGACGTTGAAAGAGTTTGAGAGCGTGTTCCCGAAGCTGGTGGAGGACTTGAAGCAGGAATGTATAAAGTACAAGCTGCCGGAGCAGGCGTTGACTTGGTTCGAGAAGGTACGACCGACTTGTGCAGGAACGAATGATTGAATCAATGAATGAATCAATGAAAAGAGAATGGAACGTTACAACAGAACAGACGGAACAACTCGCTAACAGAGTGAGAACAGTCCTTATACCACAACACGCTCGGCGGCAAGTGCAACCGCGGCCTCTCGGTCATCGACACCGCGCAGCTGCTCCTCAACCGCAAGCTCACCGACGATGAGTTCTTCCACGCCGCTCTGCTGGGCTGGTTCATCGAGCTGCTCCAAGCCTTCTTCCTCGTGTCCGACGACATCATGGACAGCTCCAAGACTCGTCGGGGCAGCCCGTGCTGGTATCTCATGCCCAACGTGGGAATGATTGCAATCAACGATGCCTTCATGCTCGAAAGCTCCATATACTTGCTGCTCAAGAAGTACTTCAAGCAGGAGAAGTACTATGTTGATGTCTTCGAACTCTTCCACGATGTCACCTTCCAGACCGAACTCGGGCAAACGTGCGATTTGCTCACGGCTCCCGAGGATCATGTGGATTTGGACAATTTCTCGTTGGAGAAGTACACCTTTATCGTAATATACAAGACTGCATACTACAGCTTCTACCTGCCTGTCGCCTTGGCTCTGCACTTTGCGGGGTTTGCGTCAGAGAAGAATCTGAAGACGGCTGAAGATATCTTGATTCCCATGGGAGAGTACTTCCAAGTGCAAGACGATTATCTGGATAACTTTGCGGATCCAGCGACACTGGGAAAGATTGGCACAGACATTCAGGACAACAAGTGCTCATGGCTTGTCAATCAAGCACTCCAGAAAGCAACACCTGAGCAGCGAAAGCTGCTCGAGGAGAATTATGGGCAAAAGGACTCGGCGAAAGAGGCTGTTGTGAAGAAGCTATACAATGAGCTGGAACTAGAGAGTGTGTACCAGGCTTACGAGGAGAAGATCGTGGCAGAGATCCGAGCGAAGATTCAGGCCATTGACGAGAGCGAGGGTCTCAAGAAAGAGGTTTTTGACGAATTCTTGAGGAAGATCTACAAGCGCAGTAAGTAAGGAAGGAGCGCAATCGCTCTCGTGTATATACACCACGGACGAGCGTCAGCCACGTCATCCCAGAAATCTACGATAAAATGCGAGGGTACCTAGCAATGGCACACGATACGATTATCGCCATGAATCCTACTCCTCGAGAAGATCTTTAGCATGCTGCACAGTAGTCCTTTCATCACCCTGGCTCCAGACCAACTCCATCACAACCTGGGTTATCATCTCCCACAGCCAAATCTACTCATGTCCTGCCTGACCTTCAGCCCGAATGACTCGAGGGGCAGTAACCGTGTAAGTGAAAAGTATCATCCGTGGTTGCCAAAATATGGAGAGGTCCCCCTCGGAGATTGACGCCGTTCCTTGAAGTGCAATTTGAAGAAGGGGGCTTGTAAATACGATCAAGTCGTGGAGGGGAACGTCGACACTGTCGTAGGCATTGACCATGTGGTAGAGGAGATCAGAATACAGGTCATATATCTTGCAACAGATTTGATATCTACAGGTATGTAAGTAAGTATATGTGCTTGTTTATCCCAATACTCTGCGCGTTCGCAATCGACGCGTGCCCTTGAAAAAATATGCCCACCTCATGGATCATATCATGTATTCATCAGTTAATGTATGTTGAGAAATGTCTACAATTTTGACTGCTTGGCAACCTTGCGGTCCAGCTGCAAGATATCCTTCTTCTCCATCCCATACGCCTTGCACATCTCCGCAGCCTTCTTCTTCTGCCATTCAATCTTGGCCAGACACGCCTTGCCCCTCTTATTCTCGTTCCTGCCCATCTGCAACATGTGCACCTCATCAGGTCCGTCGACGATTCTCATCGTACGCCCATGTGCCCACATGTTCGCCAGAGGAGTATCTTGCGACACGCCCGCGCCACCGTATGCTTGAATGGCATCATCGAGGACCTCGAGCAGGATTTTGGGCACGAGAATCTTGGCCTCTGCGATTTCCTTCAATGCGAACTTGGCGTCCTTGGTGTCGATCTTGATGGCTGCTTCGCAGACTTGCAGTCTCGCAGCATCGATCTTGACGCGGGAGTCGGCGACTCGTGAGAGCATGACGCCGTGCTCGTGGAGTTGCTTGCCGAATGGTGTCTTGCGGGGGTCGTTCATGCGAGCGATCATGTACTCGAGAGCCTTTTCTGCGGCGCCGATACTGCGCATGGCGTGGTGGATACGTCCGGGGCCGAGACGGCCTTGAATCACTTCGAACCCGCGACCGGGTCCCAGGACTATGTTCTCGTCTGGCACTCTGACGTTCTCAAAGGTGATGTGGCCGTGTCCGTGGGGTGCATCATCGAAACCGAAGACACCCAGCATGCGTTGGATGGTGATACCGGGGGCGTCAAAGGGCACAATGATGACAGACTGTTGCTTGTAGACACTGGCGTTGTTGGGATCTGACTTGCCCATGACGATGAAGACCTCGCAGCGCTTGTCGCCAGCTCCCGATGACCACCACTTGGAGCCGTTGAGAACCCACTCGTTGCCCTCCTTTCTCATGTTGAGCTCAATGTTGGTGGCATCCGAAGACGCAACATCGGGCTCCGTCATGAGGAAAGCACTACGAATCTTGCCATCGAGCAATGGCTGGAGCCATCTGGCCTTTTGTGCCGGTGTACCGTACTTGGCAAACACTTCCATGTTGCCCGTGTCCGGAGCAGAGCAGTTTACAGCCTCGGAGGCGATGAAGCTCTTGCCCAAGTACTCTGCCATCAGACCGTACTCGAGGTTGCTGAAGCCTGCGCCCTCCTTGAAGTGGTTCTTTGGTAAGAACAAGTTCCATAGCCCCAGCTCTCTTGCACGCTTCTTCAGGTCCTCAATCACGGTGGGGTGTGCGTCGAATCGTTCAATGCCGTTGCCGACCTGCTGTTGGTATACGGTATCTGCGGGGATACACTCTTCCTCGACGAATTTCTCGACCTGATATCACATATACCGTGGTCAGCTTGACATGACTTTTATTACCGCGAACACCATCCATCCTGGGACGAGATCAACATACCAAGTCAAGTGTCTTCTTTGCTCTGTCTGACACGAATGGTCGTGCCATGTATGGGATTCTATCACTCGCACGGCCATTGCCACCGCCGCCGCCGTTGACGAGGAGCTCCTCGCTGGCCTCGATCTTGTATGGTACAGACATGATGGCTACCTGATCCTCCTTCAGTGGAGAGTCGAAGCGGGTGTAAGAGGTGCTAGAAGAAGGAGAACTTTGCAGTTAATGATGCTATGATGGGAGAGGCAAACGAAAGATTGAAGCCAGTAGTCAGAAAGGTCCCTTACATTCTACCACCATAAAATATCCAGGCGTTGAGGCTGCCTTCTTGTACCTCCTAGCAGTGAGTTGCACTGGAGTGCCTCGGCTAGATCTACTCAAGTCAAGAGTGTACCGTGTCGCCCCCCGGCTCTCACTCTTGACTTCTGATTGGTGCAACTTGCTGGGGAAGCCGATATTCACCACGGAAGTACGCTTTGGGACAGCTAGTCTTCATCAGGCGGAGCGATACAGCTTGTCAGCGTCAATTACAGCGCAAGGAGGGGATAGATATTATCATGCTCTCTTGGCAAGCTATTCACTCGGGTTTCATGAAAGTCCAAGTCCGACTGCACCACGACATGATCCAGAGTGAGCAACGGAAGAAGCAGCAGTAGTAATGTATTAAACAGTGGTATAGACTCTGTAACAGTCATACGACTAGCAGATATCAAGACCTCTAGCATCATCATCCTCCTCCTCCACCACCACCACCTCCACCGCCACCGCCACCTCCTCCACAACCGCCTCCCCCTCCACCACCACCGTCGCTGCCACCGCCGAATAATCCTAGCAGAATTCCATTAGTATTATGCCTCATCATCTCCTATCTCCTATCTTCATTTTCATCTTTATTATCAATCAATCAATCAATCAATCAATCAATCAATCAATCAATCAATCAATCAATCAATCAATCAATCAATCAATCAATCAATCACTCTCTTTACTCACCTCCATGCGAACGACCACCACCACCACGACCGACACCATTTCCAAATTTGCCGCTTTTGCCTACATGTCTTTTAGACACTTGTCAGTCATTGATTTGATCTTTTCTTCTTCTGCTTCTTCTTTTTGTGAAAAGAGAAGGAAAGAAGAGAAGGAAAGAAAAGAAACTGTCGAATCAAATCAAATCAAACTAACCTGCTATTCGCATCACGAGAAGGCGTAGAGGATGTACAGCCCATGATTGTTCTGTTTCTGTTCTGTTCTGTTTTCCCCTCCCCAAAGAAAAAAAGACGAAATAGTAGGGAGGTAGTGTAGTATAGTGTAGTATAGTACTACTAGTAGTAATATAGTTGTTGTATTGAGGCTTTGATGTTGTTGTGTAGGTACCTCAGGTTAGGTAGGTCTTCTATGTAGGTGTCTTTGTATGAATAAATGAATTGAACTCACGAACAGACACTCCCACCTACCTACCAATCTATATATACCTAGGTATACGAGCATATATACATCCTTAACATAATTCTGATCCTGAGCTGATGGCGATCCATGCCCGTGCCGTACTCACCTACCTAACTACCTAACCTTCCCTTCCCTTCCTTTGATTCGCCCTCCAAGGTCATCCGCGCAATAATAACATCAAAGGAACAACAACTCTTCCTATCCTCTACCTCGTACAGCCCTGTGGCGAAGCAGCAGCATCAACGGCAGCAGGAAGTACAGAGCGAGGCCCAGTCTCTTGGAATTACCCAAGTTACCTACATGTACTGTAGTACGAGAAAAAAAAACTACTGTACAAAGAAAACGGTCCATTGACGTCAAGTATATGGGATTCGAAGAAGAAAAAAGGAGAAAAATCCTTTTTTTGCTAGGAGGTAGTACATGTAGGTACCTACTACCTACCTACCTTAGGTACTCAAAGGTAACTCTTGACAGGTAAGGTAAGTGATCATGCTCGAATCCTAAAGGATGTGTTACAACAACAACTAGTAGGAGGCGCAGTCAGTCAGTCAGACTCAGCTCAGTGTCGGCTGTACACATATGTACCTGAGTTACAAAATTTTCCTTTTTTGTTGCTGGAAGCCTGAGGCGGCCGGCGAAATTATTTTTGATGTGTGTGTGAGAGTCCAGTTCAACTTCGCGCACGTGCGAAAAAGCATACCTACTACCTTAGGTAGGTAAGTCAGGTAGGTACATATATACCTTACCGATAGGTACATATGCATTTCCTTGCTTAGTGCTGCTGCTGCTGCTGCTGCTACTGAAGATGATTCAGTCAAAATGTTACTGGGTAATATCAGAATTTCTGCTCTGCAAACCGTAGGCAGTCAACTCATGGCTGAGAAGTGTGAGTGAGCAAAGTTGGGGGGTGGCTAGGAGGTACAGTGAGGTACCTGTGTGAGAGATTGATCACTGCATGAATCTTTCTGTGAGCTCATGGCTAGGTACGTAGGTTACAGCGAGCGACATCCTCGCTGTCCTCTTTCGCCAGTGCACAAGAAAAATACGGTGAAGCATTCAAAGAATGTATACCAATGCGGCTGCAAATCCGGCCGACCTTTTGTTCTTCGATCAGCCGAAGAAGCATGCCTGGAAAGAGCAGCGCAAGGAAATTTGGGGTATGCTTCTCTCGATCAAGAACAGGCGCTCGCTCAAACGCTCAATATTGACAAAACGTCCGTGTCCCATGTCCGCTGTCCCAAGGAGTAAAGAGTCATGTATATAAGAAAGGAAAAACGCGACAAGTCATGCCTGTCGCAAAGAAGTAATTCGATTGCGCGTCGAGAGAGTTCGTCACGTCGTTCCTCAATGTACAGTCCATCATGAAATTTGCAGGGCCAAAACGTCCTCAATGAGCGGTTCTTTGCCCATAGACTATTGTCAGAGGCCTTGCTCCCCAGCCTTGCACAGTTTTATCCCCTTGCCCCATTCCGAGTTCAGGACTTGATGCGCCGATATTCGCCGGCTAGCATTGGGGTCGAGGATACTGTATATGACGTTTCGACAGCGTGCCTGGCAGGACGGGTGAGCACACCCTTCATGAAACGACGCTTTGGGTGTAGTTGTATGGTGTGAATGTGAGGAAGAAGAATGGCTTACTCTGTGTAGCGTCTCGATCGGGCCATAGCCTTCTTCGCTTTTGCGTCCGCGAATGTAGTTTTCGTAAAATTCGTCTTCGTCTTTCTTTGCCACTCGCCAGAGATGTCGGCCAGTGCGCATCGCCATATAGATGACACCACACGCCCAGACATCAACAGCACGCGGATCGAATTCCTGCTCAATATACTCTTCTGGAGCGATGTATGGAGCGCTACCGCAAAGTCCAGCCGTCATGTGTGGTTCTGTTTCCCACGCCATTCGGAAGCACTCTCCATTGCCAAAGTCCGTGATCTTCAGCGCTCCGTGAGTTGTCAGAAGCAGGTTCTCTGGTTTCAAATCGCGATGCGCCACGCCCATCTCGTGTATATACTCGACGCCACGCATCAGTTGAGCAAAGTAGCAGTCGGCTTCTGTGACTTCTAGTTTGCCGGTAGCAAGAACCAGAGTGTACAAATCGCCTCCAGCACAAAATTCCATGACCTCGCAGTAGTCGCCCTTCGCATCTTCCAGAAGATCCAAAGTGTGAATGACATTGGGGTGCCGTAATGAGGAAGAAATGCAGAATTCCGAGTTGAGGCGTTTGCTGTACTTCTTGGGGTCTTCCTGGGGCCGCCGCCGGAACTCTTTGACAGCGTATAGTTGTTCTTGTTTGGAGTTGTTGGGGTCCGTCTTGTGTGCTATCCGCACAATGCCAAAGGCTCCTCGACCAACAACTTCGTGGCACTTGCCGTACTTCTGCACCAAAGATGCGGTCGCATTGGGGCCCTTGTCTTTCTCCTTGGCCATCTTGTCTTTCTCATTCTTAATCTGGTCGGCCCAGTCTGACATCAAGGATAGGGGCTGCTCCTCGGAGTAGTCACGCGCCTTTTTCCCCGTCATGAACTCTCGAAGCATGTCTGTCAATTTGTCCTGGCGCTTGGCGCCTCGCAGCAAGTGAAAGTGCTCGCCTCCTTCTTCGACCCAGAAGCGTTTTGAGACTGGGGTGATGGCTTCGTCACTTTTCCCCTTCTTAGAGTCAGACGCAGCCCGCATGCCGCCACTCATCTTCTCGTTTTTCGAAGCAGTCCTGCTCGGCTTCTCTGCTCGAGGCTTGCCGTCCTCCTGCAGCGGGTCTTCCACAGCAGTCTCAGGCACTTTATCGGCTGCTTCTATTTTAGCCAGGTCTCGTGTGGCTCCGTTGGCGTCACGCTGCGAGAACATGCGCGAGATTCGTGAGGTGAAGGTCGGCTTCTTCTGTGGACCAGAGGGCCGTCTCGGTATGGTCGCGGGTGTGGAAGTGGATGGTGCTGGTATAGACGTAGGTGGGGATGCCGACGTGGTGTTGCCGTTTCCATTGACCAGCGATCCGACGGCAGAGTCGTCAGTGGGCGCGGCGGACACGACGTCTCCCTGCTTGGATGACGCGAAGGATGCCGTCGAGGCGGTAGAGATGGTGGGTGCCGGCGATGGTCGCGGTTCACTACTGGTGGGAGGCGTCGCGGAACCTGCGGGGGCTGCTGCTGTTGCTGCTGCTCGAGTGGCCATGTTTTCCCGCGCGTGAAGGTCTCGTTCGTGCTGTTGGCCGCTATCTCTGCACTCTGGGGGCCAGTCGTGTGCGCGCGATGGCTGCGGGAGCGCTTGCGTCAGGAGGGGCCCAATGCAGCAGAGCCGAAAGCTCGCAGCTGGGAAGGGAAGGGCAGTGCGTGCAGTGCAATGCGTGCAGTGAGTGCAGTGCAGCGTCGGCTGCGTCGCGCGGTGTTGCGTTGCGTTGTGCCCGAGGCACCCGGAATTGTACCTGTACCCTCGTCCGTCCACGCGGTGGTGACGTGCGTACACCGGAAGTACTACCTCAGGTACTGTACGGGCAACCTGGAAGTTCCAACGGCGATCTGCCCTACTCCCTCTGTCCGGCGACCACGACACAACAGGACTGCAGACACTCTCTGCGAACGCAGATATCGAGATCCTGGTAAAAGAAGCACCCGCGCCGCCTGGGACGCACGCACGCACGCACGACTGCACGCACGTAGGAGGTATGCTGATGAGATGGCCAAGGTGAAAGGTTCTCCCCCCGCAGAAGCTGCAGCTCGCCTTTGCTGTTGTTTGCTTTTTCTCAGCAAAGCCGGTTTGTCAGCCGGTCCTGCGAGGCTGCGAGCAGTCTACCTCCTAGTGCGATTTGTGCCCGTCTGACACGGAACCCGCCGAGAATATCCTATTTCGGCGCCAGTGACATTGCGAAGAGTGAGGCGGAAATGGTACAGTCGAGTGGTCTCGCGGGCGGGCTGGCTGGCGGGCTGTGGGAAGGACGGGGATGAGGACGGGGACGAGGATGAGGACGGTACGGTGAAGGCGAGTGGGAAGCAGTGGCACTGGTGAGAGAGAGAGAGTGGGAAGAGAAAAAAAAGGCGAGCGGCCGTAACGCATGGCAAATCGAGTCGTGTGCTCTGGGGTGCGCGAATTACCTCCCACATTAAACGATTATTGCACCACCAGACACAGCTAGCCTAGCCTCCTCCCCCTTCGGCAGGCCCGAAAGGAACTGCTCCGCGCGGAAGAGCGCAGCCAGCATGATGAGTAACCACCGAAGCGGCCGGTGGATCGAGACTCGAGAGAGTCGAGAGCATTCTCCCTATGCTCAACACCGCAAGTGTCGTTGGTAAGTTAGATGTCATTTGGTCGAGACCGTGTCTCATCGTTATTTGCTCTCGTGCTCTGACCAAGTCCTTACACTGCTCGTCATCTCCTTCATCACGTCCCCACCGCGTCTCACACTCTCACTCTGTTCATTGCCTCACTTGGCACCACAAGAGCAGCTCCCACTGCGCACGTGCGGATGAAACCTCAAGTCAGACACGTGCGATAGGAGGTAGAAGCCAAGCGCTTCCCAGCTTGAAACGTATGCACGAGATTAACCGTCGGCATTGCATGTAAAAGTCACAAACGACTTCCGGGACCTCGGGACATTAAGTTGCCCACTGCCGATCTGTATCACGGCCTCCCTGCGCATAGGAGGTAGGTAGGAGATGGTCAATAAATCAAAAATACCGTGGTGGGTGAGAGCATTCAACTTTCTCCATGACCCGCAAGGCGACTTTCACAGCATGGGCTACATGATCCCAAGCCCTAAATGAAGTTGGTGATGCCCAAACCGCATACTCTCATCATACCTATGGCTAGTCTCCCTGTCGAAACCAGCCTTTGTTGAAGATGAGGGGTACAGCGTTTTTGGTCGGTTCCGTTGATCGCGCACACCCAACGATTTCATACGATTTACCGATTGCAGATCAGCCAGAACGGAGGTACCTGTCCGGGTCATAAGGTACAGTAAGGTATTGATGGATGTACAGGGCAGGGACACTGTTTCCTCTTGAGTCTGCCTCGCCAGGATTTGACGACATGGACACTTTCACAGAACAGGACAAATGTGCCATGAAATTCGCTGAATCCATACAATCGATGGCGTAACCATTTGTCCACCGAACCAACGGAACGAGTACTACAGAGGCATACTAGAGAGATGTTTATTCACAAACAAAACATTGGACTCACCTCCATCTCTAAGTCCACATGGGTAAAATGCCGCGCTCGATGCTGTCAGATTTAAGTTGACGTCAATATCTATGCCAAGAAATGATTGACAGCAGCGAATGATGGTATGGGATGCTTGATGCTTCTTGGCCTTTTCCCACGACCGTCTGCTGGGCTGCTGGGCGTCTCCACTCGTCGCGGCATGATGATGTGGACGTGGGCTGATGAGATGGAGATGAGTGTGTGATGGAAGACGTCCACATGTTGTACCATGTCGTACCTCGTACATTGTAGCTATGGCACTCGGCAGTCACGGCACAGTCAAAATGCAAGTAACCTGTTGAATCAGGAGGCGGACGTCGGTTGTATCTCTTCCAGGTTGTTCTATACGAACCTCTCACATCGAATTGAATGGAGCAGCAGTAAACGTGACCAATGACGATGGTCTTGTCCATGAGTAAGGTATGAGGTAAATGTAGTAGAGACTGTTGATCTGCTTCTCGGTACCGCCTAGCAAAAGTACCTACCTAGCGAAGCGCACATGAAGCAAGCTAGAGAATACATGTAATGTCTACATACCTTACCCGGAGAAGTGACCAATAGGTTTCGCGATGCAACATCGTATCCGGACGCGATGCGATTGCAGACACCTTCCTGCTTTCGATGGGATGTGCTGATAACAGGCTGAAGTCTCTGCGACGCCCATGCACCTGACTGCGTGTTGTAGACAATGGCAGAGGCGATGAATGGTTGCAGGACTATGGAGTCTTTTCATCGCATGCATGTACAACATGTTTTGCTGCTTGATTCAATATTGGCGCGGGTCAGGAGAGGTACTATATGACGGGGACTATCAGAGGAAAGAGAGCATAGGAGGTAAAGGTCAAGCGCACAACGAGTTGCCTTCGCAAAGCTCGCTCCAGGTGAGCTCCGCTCCCCACATCGTACTGAAGAAGGCCTGGTTGATTTTCGTGTCAAGCGTTACGAAAAGAAGGGAACCAGACTCATTTCCCAGACCCTGAATCTTCTTCTGGCTGCGAGTCATCTTCTACTATAGCGCAAGCGCGAAGGTCGCAAACTGACCAAGATGATGTAACACGTTCTTTGAAATTTCAAAAGGAGTCGAGATTGGTGTTCGTATACCACTCGCTGTCAGACATAGAAGATTTCACTTGCTCCTGTGGTCTGCCGTGAGGCGATTGCCCCAACTCCTTGCTGACTCAAAACAAACATAAGGGTATTGTACAAATCAGTTTCATCATCCACATTACGAGTCCATTTCCAGGAAAGAACTTTGGTAAGCCTCAGCAAAACGAGATCCCATGGACTTCTACAACGATGGAAGTCTTCGCTGCATTGCTCCTGATACGCCTTGTACGTCTACTCCGCACCAGCCGCGGCTTGGTGTGCAGCATCGACTTCTCCAGCATCCCTGGGTTTCTGTATCAACTCGAAGTTGCCTATTTGCCAAATTATCAGTGATTTTCTCGGGAAAGGATCCTAGTTATCCTTACGCTGCACCAAGTTCAGCGTCGTGCGCTTGCCTTCCGCAGTCTCGTAGGTGTTCATGGCAGCGTCGGCCTCGAGATAGATTTGAGATCTACAAGAGATTGTTAGCCGACTTTTGTCCCAGTCCTGCTTTGTTCAAACCAAATACTGACCCCTTCGGCAAGCCGAGCAAGAAATCTCTCTGTGGCCCGTCGGAAAAGCTTGCCACTCTGAACCAGCTTGTCGCTCTGTTCCCATTTTCATCTTTTGGCCCTGTGCTCACTCCGAGCGAGTACTTGACAAGCTCGCGACCGGTCGATGTTGGCGTGAGCTCGGGCTGGTCAGCTAGACGGCCGATGAGCTGCATCTTCGCGAGAGGTCGCGCTGGCGTGGTGGAGAATGCGCGCGCCGCGCGAGGGAGCTGGAAGCGGATGGCTTGCATGGCGCTGTTGGTGAGGATGGCTTGGTGATAGTTGTCGTGGAATGCGCAGCGATGGGGGAGGTCGAAATGGATGTGTGATGTGGGATTGGTATCGAAGGGGTTCCCGAGATGAGACGCGACTGTATCGCGTCAAAACTCTAAGTCGGAACAAACACAACCTCCTCCCACAACGGTTACAACCCCATCTTGAACCCCTCTCCGCACCTGGTGTTTCATCACTAGGTATCTGACCTTACTCTCAGACACTTCGACCACGACTCATACTCTGCTGCTGCCAATCAAGGCTCCAACCTGATGTCCTCTGCCATACCAAGCACTTTGGAGATACACTTCGTCAGCACAGCTTGCACCTAATCTCCTGCCCATGGCCCACGCGACAGTCCAGCGACATCCGGCCCGCGTTTTATAATTGCAGGCTGCCATACACGCAGAGGATCCCTGGAGCCGAGGAACGATTTCAGGCGCATCAAACGATTGTGTTCTTGGCTTTCGCAGCGGTAGAAGTACAATATGTCAGCAGACTTGGTGCCTCCCCGGAGGCCCAACGCAGTCCGAGGACATGAGTGACGGGCCTCTGGAGCCGGAGTGCGCATGTCCTGGTGCACAAGAGTTGCAGACCCCGAGACATGGACAGGGACATCTTTCTCTGCTATAGATCATATGAGGCCTCTTGGACTGACCAAGCTTGTCCACACCCGTCTGAACCTTCGCCTCTTTTTCTGCGCGGCGGAAAGAGTAGCTACCCACTGCCTAGGCACCTCAAGCCTTGGAACCAGTCTCGCGATACACGACGTCTAGAGCTTCAATCAACCGTGTCAGGCTCTACTATACTCAGGTCTCACTCAGCAAGCCCGCAGATGGAGTGGCATACCAAGGCCAGCCTTGGCTGAAGACGAACAGCATCACCAGGTAGTCTCTCTAGCATACCTACCTAGCCAACCTGTTCTACGGGTCTGCCCGCTTCAGCAGTCGGGCACTAGCATACGGACTGGATAGATTTTGAGGGCTTTTCACGAAGATGTGTTCACTTGTTCCCGGCTCGTGCATCAAGACGCGCTACGTGATCGATCACTGTCTCTATCTCACTCAGCGTGAAAGGCCACGCGCCGTCAGACGCCTCTGGCTCACCCCCAACAATGAGTCGCGACAACATTCAGCTACAGCATACGGGACGACGGCTGTTCGAGGAAGGCGCCGCAGACTGCGCCCTAGATCCTGAGGGTGGCCATAACATTACCGTTCTGACCAGATTTCAATGATAAGCACCTCCCAAGCGCTGGGCCAGTGGGCCATGAGGCAACAGCTCACTATCTTTTCTGGCCTACCTAGCTATTGGTTGGCATCCCTTCGAAATTGACACGCAGGCCTTGCGAGCGCCAAACTTACCACGCGCGGCAGGCAATGTCAGCATTAGGCCTATCACATACTACTCAGTACGCACAACATCCATACTGTCAACACAAAGCTAGGCGCCAAGGCCACAACAATAACCACCATAGAAGTACCTATATTCCAGGAAGCCTCCAATCTCCGGACTATTAGCCGTCGCAGGCAGTTCACTGTCAACCAAGACTGACAAGATCCACACGATAAAGGCATTATTGAGCAGTGATTCTCTATATTACTGTGCACTGCGCACAGTGAGCTTGCTGCTGATCAAATTCGCCACACCACCAGATTGCAACAGCCCCTGCTGTGGAGCAGCAGCTGAGATTACGGCGAGACGGTGTGGTTGTGTCGTTGGCTGCCCTAGGAACCCCTGGCATCCTGCGAAAGTATCCGCCACAACAGGGATTGCTCGAGCTTCATAGGGCCATGTGCCGTGCGCGATATCATGCTGCTTGCCAGCGCTACAATGAATCTGGACACCGCTCACGATAGCGCTTTTACAACGGAATGCGTGCGTATGATTTCGCTGAAGAAGGAATCAACAGCGATCACCCTGGCCTATGCTTGCTGTTGGGCAATAATTGGATTCATGACAATCATACAGTTCGCGAAAACCCCAATCTGTGGCTCGACACGTGACAGTTTGTGCTCACGCTGGGGGTCCTGATCTGGACATGATGACTTGGCATGTCATGCGCAGAGGATGACAAGTTGACGACTGCTGCTTAAGCGACAGACATGCAAACCGCCCTCGGATCGTTTGGCCAAGTCCTCAATCGCATCAGCTCGGGAGCTCGACGACTTCGACGATGGCAGTCTTTGCAGATTTAGATCAACCCCAGTCGGATTATAAGGTTTTATCACCTGGACGTCTTTTAATAGACCTACCTCCTAGTACCGCCATCATTTTTGATCTCTAGCTAGTGGCTAGTAGCTACTGGCCACGGACTCGACGACGTGAATCTGATATCCGACGCAACCGGCGATATTATTTGCTGACCATGAATGCAAGCCTGGTTCTGACAGTGGGATCGGCTGAGCAAGGTCGTCTGCAACAACACTGGCATTGCATGGGAGGCGGCACAATAGTATGTCGGGCTATCAGTCCATCTACTACGACCATAAGACCAACAACCGGTTGACGCGCTTGTCGCGACAGCCACATTGGATGATGAGGCTTCAATGTTGCCAATCAAATGATCCAAAAGAGGACCAAAGCCTTGGCCATTATTGCATGCGGAATTGATGAAAGCGAGATACCAACTCTACACAGCTCTACATCACGCTGCCGACCGAATTCAGCTCAGGAATGACATTTTTGTGCCAACGACGTGGCGTTCCAGGGATCCTTCAATACTTGTATGGTCGGCTGCCTGGCGTCGGCATTTCCGCAGCATCTGCCTCATCCCATGGTATATCTACACGCTCACCAAGGTCTCAGAATAGGTTCACTATTGCATGGATTGCACTTGCCACACTGTGGATGGTTCCAGACCTGTCCTCGTGGCACATGGCTATTGTGCGATGTTCTCAGCACAGACTAGGGTTTCATTACAATATCTCCACGGCACTTACTAACCTTCTCTGCCTCTTCTGCGGGATCTTATGCTGATACTCTTTCAATATCGGTTGTTCGAGGGCGCAGCTCAACATAGATACCGCTGAGTCATGCTGACCTCTATGTGCCGGTACTATCAGGGAGGTTGTTGGGGTCAGTCCGTATAGCCAGTAGGTATGTGGGATGCATGCACGCAATTGAATCCTAGGACCAGATCGGAAATACGAGGGCGAAGTGTCCGTGTGCTATATCGAAAATATCGATCCTCTTGATCCTCTAAGCCAGTCCTTTGCTTGGTTTATAAGACCTGTCACACACCGCGCACCTGTCACTCCTTAGTCTACACCATACCACTGATCCCATGATGTCCACTTATAGGCTCTTTGCAGCCGTCACGCTGCTAGCCTCCAGCCTGGCAGCTCCTGCACCTGTACCGCAAGCAGAATTCAACGTTGCAAAAACGAATACTACCGACAACACCCCAGAGGACTCGACCCTGCTAGCACTCGACGATGAAGGCGAAATACAGAACCTTGGTGGGCCTGCGGGTTCGGAGTACAACTTTCTATCATGGGTGCCGTTGGGACAAGACTTGGAACCAAAACTGTCACAGGAACAAACGAATGGCAATAGCAAGCTAGGAACATTCGACGCACCAAAACTACCGCGCTTTTTGGAAGGGACCGCAATATCTCAGGGGTTCCCATGGGGAGGCAGGACAGCCGAAAATACGGACTACTACCACGACACGCCGAACACTGGAGTCACAGTGCACTACGACTTCACAGTTAGCACTATGACGATAGCACCAGACGGTGTTGAAAAACAAAGCATTGTTATCAACGGACAATATCCGGGCCCTACTATAGAAGCAAATTGGGGTAAAGAAATGGTCTTGTCAATAAGGTGTGACGTCTACTGATTTTCATTCTCAGGCGACTGGATAGAGGTTGTAGTGCATAACGCGCTTGATGAAGGCACTTCTCTTCACTGGCATGGACTGTTGCAGACCGAGACACCCTGGTTCGACGGAGTGCCTGGTGTCCAGCAATGTCCGATCGCACCTGGAGGAAGCTTCACCTATAGATTTCGCGCTGATCTATACGGCACTTCTTGGTGGCACAGTCACTACTCAGCGCAGCTTGCTGGAGGGGCTTTTGGTCCTCTCGTCATATATGGACCTCACGACAACCAGGACTATGACATCGATCTCGGACCAGTAATGATGTATGTTGGTTACTCATTCACAATCATCGATTATTGCTAACTTTCTGCTCAGTAATGACTGGTTTCACAAAGACTACTTCACTCTAGTGGAGAAAGTCATGGCTCCTGCTGCCGAAAACCAACCACCTCCGATCTCGAACAACAACTTGATCAATGGAAAGATGAATTACCCATGCGCTAACAGCACCACTGGGACCAAGTGCACCCCGAATGCAGGCGTGAGCAAGTTCAGCTTTGAGTCTGGGAAGTCGTATCGCTTGCGGCTGATCAACGCTGGTGCTGAAGGAATGCAGAAGTTCAGTATCGATGGTCATAAGCTGACCGTGTTTGCCAATGACTTTGGTGGGCTGAAACACTTCACCCTCGAAGGCATGGATGTGTACTGACGTGCTATACAGTTCCCATTGTACCATACGAGACGGATGTTGTCACGCTCGGTGTGGGCCAACGAAGCGATGTGGTCGTCAAGGCTACTGGCAAGCCCACAGATGCTGTCTGGATGCGCTCAGACCTTGGCCCAGCCTTTGCAGCAGGGGGCTGTTCTCTAACTGATGGTGTCTCTCCGGTAGCTCTGGCTGCGATCTATTATGAGGATGCCAATACCCCTGCGGTACCGACGACCACATCTGACATCTCTATTGACAAGATCAAGACTTGCAAGAATGACGACCTCCGTTTGACGGTGCCATACTATCCGATACCTCTCCCGCCACCGACGACAGAACAGAACATCGACGTCACGTTCCAAAGCAACGGCACGCACACACTATTCTACATGAATAACAGCACATTCCGCGCAAACTACAACGACCCGGTTCTGCTCGACGCCAAGAACGGCGACCGAGACTTCCCGGCGAGCTACAACGTCTTTGACTTTGGCTCGAGCACATCCATCCGCCTCGTCGTCTACAACTACGCCCCCACGGGGAGCCATCCCATGCATCTGCACGGCCACAACATGTACATCCTCGCCGAAGGCACAGGAATTTGGAACGGCGACGTGACGCACGCCAACAACCCGCAACGACGGGACGTGCACCTCCTGCAGAACGCCATCAGCACCACCCAGCCTTCGTACATGGTCATTCAATTCGACGCAGATAACCCGGGTGTCTGGCCCTTTCACTGCCATATCGCGTGGCATGTTTCCGGTGGCTTGTATATTAATGTGTTGGAACGACCGGATGATATTCAGAAGGAAATGTCCATTCCGGAAATTATGGCGCAGACTTGTACCGACTGGGACGCGTATTCGTCACGCGATGTGGTGGAACAGATTGATTCGGGTTTGAGAATTCGAGACGGTTTGTCATGGTAAATGATAGGGGGGAGAGAGAAAAAAAGGATGATATCAAAAGAGAAAGCACACACACTTAAAAAACGACAGTCACGATTTTTTATTGTTTCAAAAAGAGATGGATGGTGTTGTTAATGAGATAGATATCTCATGAGGTTTTACGGATAACGATATCGATACCTATGTATGTACATATATGTACCAGGCAGGTACTTGGTACAGAAATCAGCGTTAATGTATTTTGGGAGAGAAAAGGGCTACTGGATCGACTCTCTCTCTATATCAGTAATTGTACAGATCAAGAGAAGAAGAAGAAGAAAAAAAACAGGATGGATAGATAGATAGATCGCATACGGATGGCGATCAATCGATAACTACATTATAATATTCTTTCAACCAGATTGCGAAACTGTGGCGTTTGTAGCCATCCATACATGCATGTAAGCCCTTTCTTATCATACATATCTATCTGTACCTTATGCATAGCTAGAACTATGAAACGGACTATACGTATGTGTATGTTTGAGTACCTGAAGTAAGTAAGTGATTGATTGATTGATAAGATATCAAACAGGGGCATAGATTGATCGACATACATTAAACAAGGAAGGTAGGTACATATCTAAGTATACAACCAAGTATCTATGATATAATTCGCGGCCGAAGAAATGCGATTTTTTCTTTAGAATTTGTAGTAGCTAATTCTTTTACATGTACCTTCTCTTACCTTAATGTAGGTCTATACCCTACCTTGTATAGGTAATCAGACTCGGGAAATACATAAATGCAAAGTTACCTAGGAAGAATACTCTTCGCCTCTGCAACAAGCTGTCCTGAGTGTCTTCGTAGAGAGAAAAGAAAAACAAGGGTCCAAGGTTAGCAAGGTAAGGTCAGGTAGGTAAAAGAAAGAAGAGGAAGTAAAAAAAAAGATAATGAATATTAAACCAGCCAGCAAGCCCATGCTGCTCGGCACAAAAAAACCCCCCAAGTTCCAACCTTTGGAAGTACATAAAAGCTCCCCCCCCTCTCAAAAACTGGCATAAACCTTGTTCAAAGCGTATGTGTTGTCCATACCATGTAACCATGGCGCGATTTTGGTTTTTTTTGGCCTTCCCGTCACCATCCTGGTATAACAACTTTGTTTAGGAAAGTCTTCTGGAGACGACATCTCCTATCTATTCACCTTACCTTACAATTATTGTCCCCGTCAGCCTTGCGGAAAAAAATGGAATTGGTAATTCGATACTGTACAATGCATTGTCCCCCTCGCCCGTTCGATATCTCTATCTCTATCTCAGGTACACTACTACCACTACAGAGTACATTCTAATTCTAATTCTACACGGGCTCGACTTGCGGTGGAGGGCATTTTGTTGTTGAACAAGGTTTCGCGAGTGAGGGGAAGGTTTTGGGTAGGTAGGTAGGTAAGCAAAGCTCACAAGCCGCATGCGTGGCAAAGCAAGTCGCAAAGGCACATGATGACTGCAGCAGCGCTTCTCGCCGGCGGGTGAGATCCAGATGATGAGAAAAAAACAGGACATGTGTTGGCGCGGCGGACGCGGATGATTTCCCCCCCACCGCTTGTCAATAGAATTGAAAATAAAATAGAAAAACTGCAATAATTCGCTCACCAAATGGGGTATCTCAAACGTGGCAATGGCCACACCGTGTGATGTGCTGCCTCAGCCGCATAACGCCGTCCAGACAATCCATCAGCTCGAGGAGCCGTGACAGACTGCCAGCGGATTAGCCTGTGTCTTGCGACCCCGTATGCTGTCGCTCCCCCTCGTTCGTCATGATGTCCTGTGACGACCGGGAGCTGACGTTGCTGTCTCTGCGCTGCACCGGAATCTGCCCCAGGCTGATCTTTCGGTCTTTGCCGCGACCTTTGATGCCCTTGTTGCAATTCTTGTATAATCCAGCAAAGTACTCCCACATCTCCTTGTCCCATGCATCGACGACATCACCCTCTCTGAATGTCTCGAATCGCGTCTTTAATCGTCTAATCGTCTCCACGTGGAATTTGTTCTGGTGAGACTTGAGGTTGCCAAGCTGTGTGAACTGCTTGTTGCAGTTGTCAAGTTTGCATGTGAAGGGTTTCGCAGCAGTATGCACAATCTTATGCGCCCGAACGTTGCCATGTTGTGCAAACGTCTTTCCGCAGATGTCGCAGTGATATGGCCGCTCACCCGTGTGTCGTCGCTCATGAGTCTTGAGGTTGCCATGTTGGCTGAACCGCTGACCACACGAAGGCTCCTTGCACACGAAAGGCTTGATGCCGGTGTGTGCTCGTGTGTGAATTTCGAGGTGCGTCTTTTGGTAGAACGCTTTGCCGCAACCCGTCATGTTACATAAATATCTCTTCTTGGGTTTGCTTGCAATGGGAGCTACCGCTTTGGCCGTGTGTGTCTGTGTCTGCTGCTCCGAGCTTCCCGCCTTCATCTGTATTGCCAGCATCAATGTATCGATGTCGGTATTGAAAACGACTGACTTGGTCTCCCCAGAGTCATCTGTTGCTGTCTGGGATTCGGGGCTCGAAACATATGCTGCAGCATCGAAGAATACCTGGGACGGCTGAATTGGCGACATGTCTTCCCGCTTGATGTTGGTGTCACTACTGTCAGAGCTACTAAAGCGCTCCCCATATAGTACCGATGGGCGGTTGACCGGTTGCACATTGGTGTTGACCGGCACCGGCCAGGACAAGGAACCAAAAGTTGCGTTGCTGTACTCCTGCGGCATGGCATATGAATTGAAAGCTTGGGCATCAGTGTAGAGCATGTTTATCTCCCGGTTCGCATGATTGATGAGCTGGCTCGGGACAACCGATGTGCTCTGCATAGCCAGTCTTTGTTGATCGAGAAAGTACGCCATAGAGAATGCTGTTGTGTTGTTCGGTCGAAAGGCCATGTTGAACGGTGACATCATGCCTTGCACCTCCATGGAATTGAAGCGTGCTTGACTCAGGCGTCGCTGTAGCAATTGGCTTGGTGGTCTCGTTGCTCGAATCTCTGCCATGTCGGTTGACGAGATCAGAGCCGTGTGACGATGCGCGGGGAGAGCGAGCTCATAAGTAAGTACATATATGGCGTGTCGTATTCCCTAGAGCTTGGTGGTCAAGTCGATTGACGATTTCAGTATAGCAATGGTGGAGGGAGGGGGGAGGTCTGATGAAGTCTGTATGAGCGTCGGCAGCTGGTGTGCGTACAGAGCACCATGCGAGCGCGTACCTACCGCGTTGCTATCATATACGGACGATTCACGCCCGTCGGTCCATACATCTGATCGAGGATGACGAAGGAGTCGGGTTCATCCCACAACAGCCCGTCATGCACACGCATGGCACTAGGATGTAGGCTAGGACGCAAACGCCGGATCCAGCGAAACGAAAGAAAGTTAAATAGTACAAAGGTACTTCCGGAGATCGAGATGTGCGCGGGCGCATCACCCACAGGCGCGGCTCTAAAGCGATTTCTGGTGCACATCTATGCACCCGCACTTAGCAGGTTTCTTTCTGCAGAGCATCTCTACCTCCTAGCGCGACCAGGGCCGTCGCATCTTCAGCTCTCACCAAGGTCGACATGGTAGCTTATAGCAGTCGCTTGATTGGCAGGAGACACGAAGCTGATAGGCGCTGTATGGACAGCTATCTGGAACGCGCAGTCGTCGTGTGTAGCAAACGCTGCCCTGGGAGCTACACCATGACAAGCATCACTGAGATCAGCGAATGTCCACACGAGAGGTGGTTGGCAACGTCAATTCGCCGGCCCGCACGCCTCAATTCCTCCTTTCGACGCGGTAGCAGTGGCTTCACAGTATCTTACACTCGCCAAGTGTATGGCCATTGGCCATAAAGCGTATGGTGGATGTTGCGCGTAGCAGTGTATCGGCTGATGGCCTAGATCTCCGATCCAACAGATTAGAAACCTGGTATACCAATGTGCATACTGTATCAATGTTCATCCGCCAGCTCTTGCACTGCTGTTGAATGGCCGCCGCCACTCGTCGCGTATACTGACTCCTACGCTTTTCGATGGTGTCGGCCTCTCGGAGAATGAGGCAGCGTTAACGATTTTTAGTGTGGCAGCTGTAGTACAGTGGAAGGAGAAGCAGAAGCCGCTTGGGCCGCTTGAACAGTAAAGGTAGTAGCTGGGCGCCTCCTCTCGAGTCCACGAGCAGAAACGCCACAAGCGAGACGGGCGCTCAAACCCGCAGGACGGAGCGAGACCTGCGAATCAGAGCCATTCCAGTGCTTGAGATCGAAGCAATAATCCGATTGTGTAGAGCGATCAGTGTAAGACCGATTGGTGTGTATGTGTGTGTGTATCGCTCCCTCGCTCCCTCGCTCCCTCGGTCCCTCCCTCCTGCGATGGCTTCGTTTGCTGCCTCTTTCGAGTAAGACCGAATGTGTATGGTACCTCGTGTCTCCGGAGAATGCATGCGGAGCGGGGCGCGTTGGCTGTGCCGCTCATGCTCGGTGCACGAGACGTCCAGCTCAGGCGGCGGCGGCGGCGTCTCCAGCATCCCACGACACGGTAGGAGGTAAGGTAAGCATGCTGCTGCTGGTGACAGACATCCCGCCGGCGCGGCACGATGGGCGTCCACAAACGACGGTGAAGGTGCTCTCCGCTGCGGCGTGGTTGAATCTGACTGGTGAGTGGTATCTGATGCGTAAGAGAATCATGGACGAGGCATCATCGCTTGCATGGCCATCATCCCGCGAGGCGTAAGTTTCAAGTGTATCATGCGTCTCCGATGGATGACTACATGCATTGGTGGACGATACGGCCGGAGATGATGTTGTAGTGAGCAGCTGTGCTATCAGATAGAACTAGGAGGTATCTACCTACCTGACCTACTACCTACCTGACTTTTTACTCCCACAATATTCTACGAGAAAGTAGTGGGCGCCAGGACCCATCACGTTCCCGCTATTCTATCATCCTTGCCCTGTTGTTCTCTTCATTTGCCCCTCATCGGCAGAATTTACCTACCTTATGTTATTGAGTCTTCAATTCATCGAAGCTACATGTGTGGCGAAGTAGGATGATATCTAGGCACCTTAGGTACCTTATCTTCAAGAGACCAACATGCCGCAGCCTCGTCGCATGGAATCTCGCGACAAACGAGATTTCAGCTTGCGTCTGATCGCCCCTGCAGAGTCCCAGAGCAAAGTACTATACAAGAACACTCATTGCAGACAGAGAAGCGGTCAACCTCCCATTCAACAGAGTGAAAAGCCAAAAGGTGGGAACCTGCCTGCCGTTCGGGCATTTGGTCCCTATCGCTGTTAGATAGCAGATGCCATGGAGTCAAACACTAGGTAAGGTACACATATTGTTGCCCAACCTGCGGCACGTTACGACGAAGAGAATTAACCCAATCTGCTGTAGAAGCTTTGAAATACATTAGCTAATGCTGCAGACTGCCCGATTGTCCGAGTGTATAACTGGCTTCAAAAACGGATAACATCTGGTAGAGTATAGGTAGGTAGGTAGGTAAAAGGTATCGAAGACCATCGCCGAGTCTTGGAGAAATTTGAGCTCCCGGGACGGATCGTGATCGTTAAGGGCTTCCTAGGTAGGTAGGGATAGCCGGTATCTGCTACTACTAGGAGGCACTGGACCACTCAGTCAGCGCAAGTTGACAATCTCAGGTTTGCTTGGAATCCGAATCTTACCTCTGGTCCGAATGATCGATCCCTATCACGTCCATTGCCACACCCTGGTGTGTCCTTTCTACTTCAGTTTGCATCGACATCTGCAAATGTTTTGTCCATCATTTTCTGCCACAGCGAGATAGTTCCAGTCCGCCGACTCCCCAGATCTTCCTGCTCGTTTGCAAGGCCAGGCACAACCGCCTTGATCTCTTATAACCGCCTCACATTCCGGTTGCCCCCCTTGCCCTGGTTTTGTGCCGTACCAGTCGCAGTTATAGTATGCCTGGTCCCGGCCGAGAGGAGAGTAGTCGCAACCACCAAAGTATATAGGAGGTCTCTGAAAGGTTCTGTCAGCTGCGGCCATGGTGGCGAAGAGCATGACGCCAAAGTGGAGTTTGAGCATCTTGATGAAGGAAGTATCGAGATTTGGGCGGAGGAAATAAATTTGACTTGGTCGAGTATGGAAGAGATGGGTCTACGAGAATGAACAGCAGTATTGTAAGTATACATGTATTTATGCGTCGACGCAGGCGCGCTCGCATTCCCAGCATGCCCTAACTTATTTTAGTGTCGCTCGTACAATTGGCAGTAGCAGAGCCTATTCGTATACCGTGAAACACCGGGTATAGTCATGAAGGTTTTGCAATCAAGCAATAAGCCCTGCGCAGCCCTGAGGCTGAGTGAGTACCGTGCTTCTACCGGGAACCCCAACAACTAGGCTCAAGCTAGGAGGTAATGTAATTCAGCTGAAGAGAGGATGGAGCATGGATTAATTGACACTCAGAGTCTTAGACAGATGAATCGATGGAACGAATGAGTTGTCGCTTGTTGCATATGCCCAAAGGGGCGGAATATGGCAACATGCATACTATGAAGACGGTAGCATTCGCAGGCATGCCTTATCAACAAAAGAACAAGGAAGAAGAACTATAGTAGGGTCAACAGGCTCGGCAGTTCATTATTCCAACAACCTGTGGCTACCGTCGACCCGAACATTTATTATTAACTGATGAGCTGCCGAGTATTGCCAAGTAGTGGGTACCTAAGTCACAGTACAGTACCTCCATACCTTACATTACCTTACTGACGAAGTTCACCCTTTGAGCAATTGCCAATTGACCATAGTAGCGGCAAAAGCGGTAAGCATCGTAAATCGCGCGCTGGGAAAGGCATTCTGGCAATCTATCTTGGTCTTTTGGGGCCAGCATTTGACACTGTAGCTCTCTACTAATCGACATTGACTGCTAAGATGCAAAGACTTACTGTAAGGCTGTCAATTCACAGTGTGTTCGTCGCATTCGAGAAGGCTGTGGAGTACGAACGAAGGCCCTACAGCCATAATCCTTGGCGCGAATTGCTGACCGGACTGGGCCTTTCAATACGATACTGACACGCGAGTAGAATGTCATTATCCAGTCGTAGGCACAGCAGTAAGGGTGCGACCGGTTGTTTGCAACGCACATCTCTACGAACACGAGATGAGGATAGAAATATTACTGTCCAAACTCGCGTTGGCTGCTGCGGCAGGTCGCGTGCCGCTGGAGTCCAGGATACCAACTCTGAGGCGTGCGTGATTATGAAGACTCTTCACCAGCTATTGTGCCCAGATAATCGATCCTAGGCTTCGCATGCTTGGCGTTGTTGGTAGCGGCGATATGTACGCTTCGAGGTACACTGCTGACGCGTGGAGCTAGAGTCGTCTAGGTCGATTCTGCGGTCTCACTAGGTAGTATGTCTAGCGTGAGATTCCAGGGGGGCGCCTAGCGTGGCTCCTAAAGAAGTGGATGTTTGTTGACTGTTGTGTAGTGAATGAACATACCTTCTAGTAGCTGCTGCCTGCACTTCGTTAAACTGCATGATGAAGTGCTAGACGGTCGGAAAACCCGCAAGTCCGGAAGTCCAATGAATCGTTGCCCTTTTAGAGCTCGTATTGTGGAACATGTGCAACGCGCTGTAGAGCTGGTCTCGAACAAACATGATCTAGTATAGCGCATAGCCATAGTTAGGTACCTAGCGACAAATGGGTGTAGAGGGCTTGGTAAACTTGTGTTATAGACAGCATTAGACAGCACTGAGAATGCCGCCGCATCAAAGTCACCTATCCGTACTCCCTAGATACTGCGACTTGAGAGCGTTTCGTCCAAAGACGCTCATCGTCGTAAGATGAGCACTTGTCTGTTCCCGATTCTACTCTAGAGGCATTAACAGGTACACCTGAGGTAAAGACAATTGCGAAGGCTCCAGCAGAAGGTAGGGAAGGACCGGAAGGTGAAGAATGTAATATATTGACCTGCTTGACCAACGTGTTCCGGGAAGACGTGTGCGCTAGTGAATGCTTTTTCCTCTTATTAATGAAGGCGAATCTATTCGGATCCCCTTGTTAGCACGCTTTGCTCGCAACATCTGAGCAGCCCGTAGGTAGATAGTTGCAAGGTAGGGTACCGCAAGGCTCTTTGTGCTCCTGATAACGTCAATGCTAATTGAGAAGGAAAGTGAAATTTATTCAAATCTTGCACAGTACTGTAGGACACGAGGCTAAGTGAAGCGAGACAGAGCGGAGCTCGATAGGTAGGACCCACGGCTCGGTGTTCGGGCTTGGCGCTGGGTTCGCGAGGCTCGGGCCGCTAGCGCACAATCGAATTCCGAGAATCATATAAGTACCTGAACTTTGCAGCCTACAAACAACTTTCCTTTCCTCCTTAGCTCTCTTTGCCTTTTGGCTTAGATCAAGTAAGTTTACCACCTACACCTACCCATTACTTCAACGTACCTCACTAACATCCTCTTAGGTGTAGTATCTGTTCTTTTCAGTTTAATCTCTGAAACGAGTCTACGGACTCTTTTAAGATTATGTGAGTTTTTTCATACTTACTGCTACGAACGCCTTCTAACAACCTGTTAGTCTTATTTTTGAAAACCGTCACTAGGCCGCTGAGCTTGCTCATGTCCTGTGGCACCGTGTCTCTGGTATTGCACTGTCTCCAGACGACGCGAACACACTTTTTCATCATCCTTGCTGCTTGAGCGCAGCAGGCTGGAGAAGAGGGTTTCATTAGGTTTTGCGTACCTGTACGCGTGAGCAATTGCGGTCGAGAATTTTGCGAAGGTGTGGAGGAACCTGGAACGGCTCCCATCTCCCACCTCCCATCTTCCACATATCATCACCATTACCATCACCATTCGTACGAGGGTCGGCATAGAACACATTGTAGAGCAGTACTAGCCGCCGCGAGAGCAAAATGTCCAGAGCACCGCACGATCCATTCACGAGCTCTTCCAATGCAGCATCTTCATTGAGACAGGCCAGCGTGGCACCGACACGTTCGCGACAACAGGCCCCGAGCCTCTTTGCGCCCTCTTTGCTCCGCCGACCGACGAGCAGAACGACACCTCGAGTTGAAGAAGGCGTCGTGCTGCAAGATTCAGATTCTGAGGAAGACGCGAGCCTCTTGGGACTCGCACGACGGCCGCGACAACAGCAGCAGCAACTGCGCAGAGCTCGACATGGATCGCCGGACAACAGCAGACATGCACGATTGAGGCCTCGACAGCAGGCGGAAGAGCAAGATATAGTTCACAGACAACCTGATGGCAGCTATCTGCTCGGCGCATCAACACTGGGCATAGCTGCGCCGCAAGCCATGTTTGCGATGGGCCAGCAGGAGGGCGAAATGACGACGGAACAGCTTGACAATTATCATCGGGATCTGGCGAGAAGGTATTTCACATCAGGTACACATATGGGTGGGAGACATAGCAGGGCGGCGGAGGATGGTGAGTTGAGCTATTTTCATATAGGCAGAGAGCAAGAACGATTACTGAGACCGACATGCTGATTGGCACGTTCTGCAGAATTCGAGCGAGAAACACCTGAGCTCACGGCGAGCTTGCGCCAGCAGGTTATAGAGAAGCTCGAGGATGAAAGGTGGCTATTCGAGCCATCTGATCGCTTTCAACCTGGTCTGCTCTGATTTTGACGAATCAGGGTATAGGTAAGGTAATGATACCTGTACTGTATGGAAGGAGCAAGATGTGACGTGCCAGTGCATGAGTTTCGCATGAGCTGAAAACCACTCTTCGCTCATCTCAGGAGGTAGCCTCGTGCACGATACTGGTACTACATACGCCAGGAGTAGCGGCATATCATCACTCACATCTGCGTCGTTGCTGTCGCGATATACAGCAGCAATAAGTACAGACACCGCAGCATACATGTATCTCACTCTCAACAGTCAACACTGTGAGGATTCGGCCCCCTGCTGTGCCCGTCATCCACGTTGTTGTTGTCGGTGCCGCATGCCAGTGCATGCATGATGCTGCACTGTAATCACAGTATGCGATAACCTTTGGCTGCGGTCAGGGTGTGTGAAGGATCACCACCACATCTTATCGGCATATTGACGCGATCTCCACACAACCCCGATGCTTGCGGCCCGCAGAGTCCTCCCGGATATCAGCATGGATGTGTTGGGCAGATTCCTCTGCGGCGTTGCGCTGGTGAGAATTGGCAGAGAAGGGTAAGCCGACAGAGTCCGACAGAGTCAGTTAAAACGAGGAGTTGTCCCGTAAAGGAAGTCAAAAACGATGCATACCAGACAGAGTGCCTCCAATCGGTACAGATGTACCTCCTATGTCTTCACAGTACCTCCGTAGTCACCAGACATTGTTCTGTACGCCATCAGGCCTACCACCACCACGTTCATGTGGAGCAGCTGCCGTAACTCTCACGAATCATTCCATCACCAACCCCAAAGCCAAACGTTCCTCTATAGGTAATTCTGCAGGTCCAGAATCGGCGAGGTTCTGCGTTTCAGCAGACAACTCTCATCGCACTTACAGTACACCTTCAGATCATTGCACCTTGTCCTCAAGCCATGATATAGAGATGATTGACGCTAGGTCGCACCACATTCGTCGACGCGACGATATACGGTATCCGACCTCGCAATGCTGGTTCTGTGCACAAAACGACTTTGTCGCTTCCCCGCTGCAGGGAGGATGGAAAGATTTATTAGATTGCCTTTGTGCTGCCCCAACCTCAAAGCTAGGTACACAGATGTGCAGCCGCCTAGATCCGTCGCAGCGGTTCCACTGTAGACAGGTACGTTCGAGCCCAAAGGTACAGAAGATGCATGCTCCATGGATGTTTGTTCTATCAGCGTCCAGTAGCACTCACGCAGTCTTTAGGGCCATGGATGGAGGAGGACGGGAGTCTTGTTGCTCTCGCGCTCGCCCTCTCGGCCGGAGTGCGGATCATGGATGGTAGGTTGTGATGTATACACACAATTACACATTGTATATTATAGGCTCGGAAGATGCAGCCTAAGTAGCCTGCAGGTCGTCGTGGGTCAAGCAGGGAATGGCTCAACCTCTGCAGCGGGTTCATGCAGTCGGCGAAGCAGGTGTCCCACGGGCCACGGCGGACGGTGGTTGACGGTGATGCAAGGGGGTGAGAGTGCAGAACCTATTGCCGTCTCGGATAATCCGTCGAAGCCCTGGGTGCGCTGAGGGCACGACAAGGATCTGGGCCTGGGACCGTTGTCGTTGTTTAAGCAGCCAGCACGCGGTCACCAAAAAGAAGAAGCGAGGCGCCCACAGCGCCATGGTGGATACCGTACCGTAGAGTTACAAGCGCGCAGGATCCACACACTAACTCTGAGCTTAAAGGCGCGGCGCATATGAACCTGCTGCTTTGCTGCTCTCCAAACTCTGCCGTGGACCGTTGTCCCCTTTCGCTCTCGCAACGACAGACACGCTTCACGCTGCACTACCACCACCACCACCACCACCATCACCACCATCACCACCACCACCACCGATCTTCATCGCCGACGACCACGCCTCCCCATCTCCGAGTAGCGCGTGGAAGGTGGCCTCTCACCAGCCTCCCACATATCTCGTGCATTGAGAAAAGCGTCAAGTCCTTGGATACTTCGTGGTCGTGTTAGCGGATCGTCGCTTCAGAGTGGAAATAGACGGGACCGTCGCATCTAATCATCGACACCGCCATACATTAACACCTGTGTCAGCCGCCTCACGAGGACGCGCGAAGAGCTGGACACCACCACAGCATGTACAACGCGCATCGAGGCATGGCCCCTGGGCCGCAGCCTGGCGCAATCCGGCCTGGCGAAAGACTAGCTGAGCTGCTCGATCAAGTTCGCGCGGAATTTGAGGCCCATACTCAACGGTCCAACGAGAATGAACATTCATGTGAGTTGCATCTGTTGTTCGTGCTCAAGTGAAGGCGCGCCCGGTAGTGGGGGTGGGAAAAGAGGCTGGTCGAAGTCTGACATGGGTCGCAATATGTCGCGCAGCTGGGACTGTGGCTACGGTACCAGATGAGACGAAGTGCTGACATGTGTTCATGAGTTGCAGTACATGCTCAAATCCAAGAGATGGAGCTTGTTCGCACAAAGATCTACCAGCTGGAAGCGTCCCATCTCGCTCAGAAACAGAGGTAGGCAGTGCTGGACTCATGAGAGGCAAGGCTATCATACTCATAATGTGAACAGATACGAGGAGGAGATCAATCGACTGAAGCACGAGCTGGAGCAGAGAGGTGGCCCTCCTCAAGGTCCGCACTCTGCTCCATCACAACCACCTCCACCAGCGATTGGCCATGGACCAGCTAATTTGTTCCAAGGTATCATGGCTGGAGGTCAAAGTGCACCGGGGCTTGCTCCACCACCAACGGAAGGGCAAGGCCAGCCTGGTATGCCAGGTCACATGCAAGGCCAAGGACCACCAGGCTTGAACCAGCCTCCGCTACAACCACACAACCCATTCGCTTATGGAGGTCCCCAGCAACCAGGTCCACCAGGTCTCAATGGCTACGGCGGACAGCCTCCACAGCCGACATCGTCCCCTGGCGGCAGCAAGCCACGCCTTGGTGGTGCAGGACCTCTTCGCGGACCAGCCACTCCGCAACAAAACCCAGCGGCTGCCTACCCGGGTAGTCCTCACCCCATTACTCGTCCTACGCCTCCACCAGGTCAAGCGCACAGAGATCCCCATCATCAGATTGCCCCGGACTTTGCCTACACACCTGCCCAGCTGGATCAGATTGGCAACCAGCTGGCCGAGTACGACCCTGAGAAGCTTCCACCACATCTCAAAAAGCAGGGCGAGGATTGGCACGCAGTGTTCAACCCGAAGATGCAGCGCAGACTCGATGTTGACCTAGTCCACAACTTGGCTCATCAGAGCGTAGTCTGCTGCGTACGCTTCAGCGCAGATGGTCGCTTCGTCGCAACAGGGTGCAACAGAGCTGCACAAATCTTTGATGTCAACAGCGGCAAGCAGGTGTGCCACCTGCAGGACAACAACACTAGCGCGGAAGGAGATCTTTATATTCGCAGCGTGTGCTTCAGCCCCGATGGAAGGTATCTCGCCACTGGTGCTGAGGACAAGATCATCCGCGTCTGGGACATCCAACAACGTGTGATCAAACATCAATTTGCTGGTCACGACCAGGACATCTACTCTCTAGACTTTGCATCTGACGGCAGATACATCGCATCCGGATCTGGAGACAGGACAATAAGATTGTGGGACTTGCAGGACGCTCAATGTGTCCTCTCGCTTCAGATAGAGGACGGCGTGACCACTGTAGCCATGTCACCAAATGGTCGCTACGTCGCTGCAGGTTCCTTGGACAAGAGTGTCAGAATTTGGGATACCCAGACTGGTGTGCTTGTTGAACGCACGGAAGGCGAGCAAGGCCATAAGGACTCCGTCTATTCTGTGGCGTTCTCACCTAACGGGGAGCATTTGGTGTCTGGATCACTCGACAAGACCATTCGCATGTGGCGGTTGAACCCGCGAGGCGGCTATCCCTCAATGGGTGGCGCTGTTGCTCCGCAGCACCCCAAGAGCGGCGAGTGTGTGCGCACCTTCGAGGGCCATAAAGATTTTGTCCTGTCAGTGGCCTTGACGCCTGACGGAAATTGGGTTATGTCTGGTTCAAAGGACCGTGGTGTGCAATTCTGGGACCCAAACACGGGCGAGGCTCAGCTCATGTTGCAGGGTCACAAAAACTCTGGTAAGACTCACATAGGCACCGTGGCGGTGATGCAGGCATCAGCTAACTGTCTTCTAGTCATCAGCGTGGCACCATCACCCCAAGGAACCCTGTTTGCCACCGGCTCGGGCGACATGAAAGCTCGCATCTGGCGCTACGTGCCATATACAGGACCTGTGTAGACGCATACGTTCTGCAGTGTTTTGTATGATCTCTATTTACTAAGATATTTCCTGCACTTAGCACCCGAGGAGTCAAATGTTCACACATGGGTTGGCGATGTGGAGTAGGACCGGAGACATGTCTTGAGCAGGTCGAGCTGTGGCAGTCAGAGGGTCGACCGATGCAGCACTCCAGGGAGCGGTGATTGTGGAATTTGTGGTCATAATCTGCGAGCCGGGCTCAGCGCGTCGTGAATCTCCATGGCCGGGATTCGAAATTATGCCGATGATATCATGGGTGGGATCGCTTCCAATGACTACTGACTGACCTCGCCTCATGGCTCATGAAGCGGGCAGGCAGGCAGGCCCAGGCAGAGCGACGCAGCCGTGGGCGCACCTTTTGTTGATGTGTCTCTTGTTGATGTGTCCCCGAGGGATCCGATAGTAGGTAGGTAAATACAGAAGTAAAGCAAGACTCCTTAGACTGGTCAATTTCCTCTCTCACGTGCCTTGGTGCCCGGAACGCGCTTCACCTCGCGTCAGCCACCAGTAGAAGCCTATAGGCTATGTGTGTACTTACAGCTAGCTTTCTCATCTTTGTCCTCCCTCGCATGTCACTACCGCTCCGAGATGCCTTCGCCCACTGAAACGGCCCTCTCGACTCTCCTGCCCACCATTTCCTTCCTGCCTCCCGACCTGATCTCCCTCGCCAACAGCCTCCTCGCTCAATCGCGCTCCAAGGCCGCCTCTTTGAAACCCGAAGAAGAAATCGGACGCATTTACGCTGTCGCACACATTGCAGCAGAACGACTCAAGAAGCGCCTGGACCTGGACTTGGACAGACCAAAGCCACCATGTCCGCCCAGAGTCTACAAAAAGCTATACACCTATCTCGATGCCGTGTTGAGCACGCCCAGTACAACTCCGCGCACCGACAGGAAGAGGGACGCACTGGCATCGACGCCAAAAAGCAGTAAAAGTCATGGTGCTATCGTCACCCCAGGCAATAGGACGAGACAGGCAGTGGTGGAAGCAAGTCCGAGCATGAGAAAGACACAAACGCCCACGACGGTGACGAAAGGCGCTCCAGTGGCAGCTGAAGTCAAGCCGGTGGGAGCAGACGGTGTACCAGACTTCGTTATGTCGCTGGTTAGAGCCATGTGCAAAGCTACGAGGACGCCCAAAGCGACTCCGCATGTGGTTGTTGGCGCTGGAGCTGTGGTCAAGGAGCTTGCTTCTAGGGTCGTTAAGCGTGGTCTAGACTCGGAACCTGCTGCGAAGAGAAGACGGAGGATGGGGCAGCAGCAGGCTCAGAAAGGCAAAGAAATCGCATCGGAGGATCTGGGAGATGCTGTTGCGACGGAGAAGTGGCCTGCCCTCACGATCGCATTGCACACATACACAGTTGCAAGAATGAGAGGAATAGAAGCCGATGTCGAGGAGATGACGGAACTTCAAGAACAGGCCAGAGATGCCGTGGAGCATTATTGCATTCAAAACGCCGCAGCGCTGCCCAAAGAGCTGGGCAGTATTACAATGGAGAGCTTGAGAAAGCCTCTGGACTTTTATATGCTTGAAGCAGAAGATGGTGGATGGTTGGATATGGATTGGTATCGAAACGTGCCCGAGAACATCGACGATGGTGACGAGGACGCTCGCAACGACGACAACGAAGATGATGAGATGGAAGACAAAGGTCCCGTCACGCCGCAGGCACGCCCTTCAAAAACTCCTCTGAGACGAAAAGAGAAGCATGGCGGCAAGATTGCATTGGCAGCGGATGAGCTACTCGAGGATGATCTGGGCGCGGCTGGGCTACTGCCTGGGCTTGGGACCATGTTTCAACCTGCAATTGACTGGCTTAGTGACGAGAGGAGAGCGGAATATGCGAGCTGGAAGAGAGGGATATTGGAAGAGTGCGCTCGTATTGAAACTAGTGCATGATCAAGACGACGACGGAATGGCTACTTCATAGGTGACTTTGGAATGTGACAAAACGCGGCCGAGCCCTTTGCAGCGCAAGATGAAGCATAATGCGTAGGACGTAGCAGTCCTTCAGTCTTCCACAAAGAGTGCTTCAGCAGTAGAAGAAATGCTTACAATCCGCTATTGCCAGTCAACTTTTCCGCATCACAAATCAGTCTAATCTTCACGAGGCAGTGCAGGCCGCTGTGAAACAGGGCATGGACATACTGGCAGCAACAACAAGAACTGACCACAATCACATCAAAGATGTTGGATGGTCATAAAAATTTCAATAAAAAGTGGCATAAATGACCAGAGCCATAAGGTAATATTCGATGATGACTTTCTATATCATCTCCCAGATCGACATAGTCACCGTCGCCACCGCCGCCGCCCACGTGCTGTACTGTCAAAGATGATGATGAACAATAATAATAATGACCAAAAGGTAAATCGTCCCGCTACATAAAGGTACAGATTACATGTCGCCACCGCACCCGCTGCTGCATGACTTTGTTGGACCTGAAGCATACCGATACAGTTACGAAAGCCGATCGGTTATTAGAAAAGAATCGCTCGCTCCTCCGACCGGAACGGACAGGGGACGGGAGGTACCTCGATCCTATCCCTTCTCCGAAACCTTTACCGTACCGTACCGCACCGTAACCTTTTAACCGAATCCTAATCTATAAGGTATCATCTATATCTATACACAATAGGTAGGTATCTACCTGACCTAGAAGGGTATCTACCTCCTATAGGCTACCCTCCTATAGGCTACCTACCTCCTATAGGCTTATAGCATTCGGAGAAATAACCTCTATACAGCAACAACACCTTATTATTAAACTTTTCCCTTTTTATAAGCGAAAATGGAACATTCCAAGTTTTTCATCCTTCTTCCTTCTTCCTTCATCATGTACCTATTATTACCTACATACATGGCAAGTCGGCTCTCTCTCTTCTTTTCTTATAGCGTGGTGCGAAGTTGTTTTGATTGATTGGTATGCACAACGACGGAAGCTAACGGCTGGAGGGTGTCTACGGGGATGATTGCTATTATGAGTAAAGTCTGCCCGTGGAAGAGTTCGAGAAGGATGGGAAAACAAAACAAAAAACAGGAATTGGGGGTTTGGGTTGGTTGGTTGGTCGGTTGTTGGTACCTACCTACCTCCAGTACCTTAATGGAAGGTAAGGCATGCATGACTGACTGACTGACTGACTGCTGCGGGTTTCATTCACATCATTCACATTCTCATGTCTATGGTTGAAAAGCTGGACGTTTGTCACTTGCATACAAATCATATGCTTTCTGCTTTTCTGTTCGCTTCGTTTTCCATTTCGCTATGGCATGCTGGTGGGCGGCGACGATTCCACGCGTACCGCCAACCTATGCTGCATCTCGTTGCTGCATCTCCATACAGCATTTGCCCAATAGCGTTACACCGCATCCAAGGCTGAAACTCTTCAGCAGCTGCGTCTGGCTATCGTAACATTCGTGCGCCCTTCTTCCCCTCCCATCTACTCGATGCTGGGTGCAGCCTAGGCAGTTTCGTGTCGCCTGTGTGGATGCTCGCGCGCGCGCTCTGTGGTATAGCACGCCAGTATCTGTACACCCGTAATGCAACAATACTAATCTTACCTCCTGGTCTGCAGCTGCTTCTATCGAATGTTGAGGCTTTCGTACCGGCCCCAGTTCGAGCGATTGCGGTTGGGATGCTCCAAACCAAGGTGGTCTTCCGGCCCGAGCTTTTCTGCAAGGCAGTCATCTGTAGACACGCATTAGCTTGTGTGTGAATGGAGGCCACTCGAGATCAATGGACGCTTACCGTCTTCGATCCAGACCGGCCTGCTGTAAACCTGCCCTCCCTTAATCACAGCAAACTTGATCTTCTCGAGGTTCTTGCCCTTGAACCCTGTTCGCTTCGACAGGCGCTCCTTGGTGTCCTTGAACATCTCGCCGTGCTTGACCAAGAAGATGAACGGCACGCCATGCGCCTTTGCTGGTTCTTTCTCGAAGTGGAAGCAGTAGAGCAAACGATCGCCACTAGTCTCATCCACTTGGACCTGTTCTTCTGGGATCCGCTCAGCATACAAGCTCATGAACTCGTTTAGAGTCACGACACTGTGTGAGAGAGGCAGGATCTTGTAGACTTTGTTGCCATGCGCTTCGTAGAAGCGGATCTGATTCATCATCTCTGCAGGCAGATTTGCGCGCTGCTGAAGTGCTGTCAAGACTTCAGCAAAATCGCCCTGCTTGTGAACCAGTATGTCGTGCATCTCCTCTTTTTGAATACCCTCCGTGAGCCACGTGACGCGCACGATTCTGCGTTGTTCCAGGTCCGCCAGACTCATTTCCAACACTTCGTAGAACAAATGATCTGACGTTTGCGACGGCTGGTAGCCATAGCTGCCATAGCCATTGGGGCCCGAGAGAATTTGGCTGACTGTCGAGTTTGCCTGCCTCTTGACCGCTGTCCGCGGCTTACCATTCTGAGGATTCGTTGACGTGAAGCGGATGTGTGAATGATCAATGGGTGTATCGCTTTTTGACGACAAGTAGTCAGCTACTTTGTGCGCAAGCGCGTCGTAGCTGTCTTTTTTCGATAGCGCAAGCTGGAATGTCAGCTCCTCTTCGGTGCGAACATGCAGATTCTCCGCTGATTTTGGCGAGAAGTTGACGAACAAGCGGTTGACGAGGAAGTCGTAGAAGCTCGGTGCATCGAGGCACGCAGTTGGATTGGTTTGCCGCATAGCGTCCTGCTCCGGTCCTGACAGAGCACGTTGGAAGCAGATGATATCGCCATCCTGTATCTCAGCAGCTACCAAAGTGTTCTTTGGCTTCATTGGCTCGATATAATTTTGCTTAATCTCTTCATAGAGCTGAAGTGAAAGCTCTCCGACTTGCCAGCCCATCATCTGCAGTATGTGCGGCGCGAGGTCTTGAGCTTTGTCGGACGGCATCATGTAGACATGACCAACACCGCGCAGTTCCTGCTTGTCCACATCGAAGTGCTTCAAGAACAGGATGATTGGCTTGTTGGTCTGATTTTGTACGCCAGTCGACAGTGGTGCAGCGTAAGCCTCGTCGTCAAGTTTCCAGATCGGTTTGCCGTCAGGATCGCGTTCTGTTTCTTCCATGTAGAGTCTGAAGCCGGAACTGCGCGTGCTGAATTTATCGGCAGCTTCTTGTAGAGTCATCTCACCCCACAGCAGAGGATGATCAGGTCGCACGGTGCCATTCTGGCGATTCACCATGATCCACGGCCGAATAAGATCCGGGTCGAGACCTTGTTGCTCGGCAACGTGCTTGTTGAACTGTGCGATTGTCATGCTTCTCAGCAGGCGGTAGATGGTAGGTGCTGCGGGGTTCGTAGATTCGTCCGTCCAAGGTATTAGATCTTGGCCATCGTGTAGTCGAAAGTTGGTCTGCGTGGCCACGAGGACGTTCATGTACAGATGGGCTTCCTCTTTCTCCTTTCTACGGCGATCCGCCAGCAGACGCTCCTCCTTGAGCTTAGCAGGAAGATGCTCCGGTGGCTTGGCCTGTTCGTCGGAGAGTATGATCTGATCAAGACGGCTCTCGCGAATGTAAACCAGCATGTAGGCATTGTTCGAGCGTTTCGTGGACCATTGTCGTGTATAGGGATTCTGCCCCTTCTGCACTCCGTTGGCGCCCTGGTAATCCCCGCCAAAGTTGTCGTCTATGGCCTCTCGCTTTGTCGCACGCGTGACACGATCGTCGTCAAACCGATAGAACTGGCCGTTCTTCTCTGGTTTCAGGAAGGCGTAGTAGTGCCCAGCATTCAGGTCGCCAGAATGCACAAGCACACCATGCAAGTGATAGACGTAGGGCTCTGATTTGTCCGCCGTCTCGTCCAGGTATGGCGATGCATCGAAAATCTCAGGGAACTCGTACCGATCGTTAACTTTCATCATGGCATCGCGTTGGAAGTCGTACTCGAAGCGTTTCAGCTGCAAATGCAGGACGTTCGGAAAGCTCTCAAAGATGACACCTTTCTTGGCATCTTGCAGTCCGAACCCTTCAGCGGCATACTTGTTGTCGCCTTCCAGGGTCTCCACCTGGACATAATCTTTGAAACTGTCGTGCAATCCTTTGCATCCAGAGACATTCAATTGCAAATCCCAGAAATCCTCTATCCGGCTGGACTCGTACTCGACATTGATACATCTGAGGTATGTCTTCATTTTGCCGACAAACATTTGCTCTAGCGCATTTTCCGCCTCAGTTCCCTTCATGCGTGCTTCCAATTTTTCCATTAAGATGCGTGATAATTCTTGCACATCTTGCTGTTCGAAGATCTGGCGGCTTTCCCAACCAAAAGATCGTGTGAGCTCGTTCGTCGACACTGCGACCTGGTCGGCCTGTAAGCTGTAGAACAATCGTTGGAGCATGTACGCCGAGTTTGACGCCTCTTTCTCCTCTGGAGTCTCTGTGGGTATCTGGTACACGGCCTTCCGAAATGCGCCGGTAAGGTATAGTGATTGGAGCAGAGAGTTGAGGTAGCAGGTTGCTCCTTGGTTCCTCAAACCCACCATGCCAGTCTCCTTTTTGCTGTCGTAGTTGATGAAGTTGTGCCACAATACACCTGTGGGGTCCTTGACCACCCGCACATAGGCGGTCATTCGAGCGTTCCCTCCCTCAACCAGTGGCCGGTCATGACCCTCAAATTTCGGCGCAAAAATCCTGTTCTTATCTGCAAACCTCGTGAAACCCCAGTCGCCCTCTTCTGCTGTGAATCTGTGGTGGGCCTCGTGGTGCAGATAGATGGATGGATCATTGGGGTTCGACAAGACCAGCATGAACTGCGCGCATGCATACCAACCATCGCGCGGCTTCTGCGCGGCATCACCAAGGTGCCCTTGCTCCAGATAGAATGATACGCTATCCGCGGCGGAATTACCAGCAGGGAAGAATAAGACTCGCCATGGATGTCCGGCGCAGTAGAAAGTTGGGCTATGTGTTCGCTTTGGTTGCTTGACCCAATCTGTTATGTCCCAGGTACTCACGGCCTCTGCTTCGGTCTCTTGGTCTGGCAAAGGCGGCATCCAGCGGGCCATCATCGCTTCGTGGTCGTCGGCTCGCGGGGCCACCGGTTGTGAAGCGGGGTCGGCATCGTCAATCATGCTGTCAGCGTCGTCGGGTGATATGATGGCCACGTTGTCGTCGTCAGTGGGCGTCAGTTGCTTCTCGTCGTAGTCCGAGCCATCCAGCAACATGTCACTTCCGAGCTGTTGTACCGGGTCACGTCAGCGTTGTGTAGTGCGAGACAATCAAGAAGTAGGCAGAGATGGATGAGCAAGGGGAGGAGGAGGAGGCGGTGGTGGTGATGGTGATGATGATGTAGTGAGTGATCTAGTGGGTATACGTACATCCATAATTGCGCGGAGCTACGGTGCGATGTGGTGTGGTCTGGTACGCCTGCAGCCTGCGCAAGCTGGAAAGTTTCGAAGAGGCCAGCCAGCTGCTTGCTGATTGCTGTCGGACCAGGCAAGCAGACAGGCAGGCAGGCGGGCGGACGGGCAGGTGACGGAGACAAAGAAATGCGCGCGGGCGTGTGTCGTTGTCGTGCAAGACGGCGCGGGTGGAGGCGCGAGCGGAGGAGGAGGAGGAGGATGAGAGGAGAGGCGGCGCGGTGAGAGTGAGTGAGGGCGGAGGGCAGAGGGTGGAGGGCGGAGAGCGACGAGGTGTGTGTCTGTGTCGGTGGAGGTGAGTGCGTGGAGGGCAGAGTCTGTTGTTCTGCGTGTTCTGTCTGTCTGTCTCTCGAAGGAAGGAACGTGAAGATGTCGTCGGGAAGGAGATATATCGGACTTCACTACGTCAGCAGAGGCAGAATATCAAGCACTTGCAGCAGCAACACCAGTGAATGGAAAATGCGGCAGGTAGCGGCGAATGGCCAGTCTTCCCTCGCACGTGAACTAAGCACACTATATAAATTCATAACCGTCTCACGTGCCGACCATTAGGACTCTGTATGCTTCACTTGACGGCTCTATAGACAGGTCAGGTCTATAGAAAGGCATTCGAAATCCAGTATTTACACCACCTCGAAGCTGCTGAGAGAGGCTCAACACCCCCACTATGCTCATGCTTATGCTATACACAGTGTACGGGAGACTGACTCGGAAGCGTACCTTATCCTCACCAGGCTAAAAGGGAGGGAGCGGCCAACAACGACATGAGCATGGCCCAGGCGATGCGACGACATCTGCTGCGGCTCCCATTGACCCTCCGCACCCGCGCATACACTGCCGCCGCCGCCACCACCACCACCACCACCACCACCACCGCCGCCACCGCTACCGGCAGCGGTGCTCATCATAGCAGCAGCACCGCTCCACCGCCATGGCGGCCTTCGACGGTGCTGGATGAATGGGTCCAGCGTGATGCGCGGCCCATCAGCCTGCGACAACTGACCTTCTTCGGCCGCACGCTGACAGAAGACCGCTTACTCAGTTCTGCAAACTACGTCCGTCTGGAACTCCCCACGAGAATAGCACACCGTCTGCGTAACATGCAGACGCTGCCCTACTCCGCGGTAAGGAATCCGCACATCAGCCACGTCTATGAGTTGTACTACGACGCTTTCGAAAAGTTTCGAAAAGTGCCTCCAGTGCGCTCGCTTGACGACAACGACAGGTTCTGCGAGGTGATCAAATCGCTGCTCAAGGATCACTTGTCAGTCATCCCGCAACTCGCCATGGGCATCTTGGAGATTCAGCACTCGGTTAGTAGCGAAGAGTGCGACCGCTTCATGACCACCCTGTTGCGATCGAGAATCAGTCGCAGAGTCATTGCGGAGCAACATCTGGCATTGACCGAGACGTACCACTCCCCCTGGCATTTCCCCAATGCCAAGAAGCCGCTCACTGCACCAGAAGACGAGTTCGTGGGCGAGATCTTCTTGAAATGCAATGCCAAGGAAGTGGTGCAAAAGTGTGCTGCCACCGCCAGAGACCTCGTTCGCGAGGCTTACGGACCAGACGTTGCCATTCCAGAGGTCGTGCTCCAGGGTCACCTGGACACGACTTTCGCATACATCCCGTCACATCTAGAATACATCGTGGGTGAGCTCCTCCGAAACAGTATCCAGGCTGTGGTCGAGCAAAAGGGTCTCAAAAACTCACCGCCCATTGAAGTCCTCATCTGCGAAGCAGCACAGCACATCATCATACGCGTTTCCGATCAAGGAGGCGGTGTTGATCGAGAGGTCTTGCCGTATCTCTGGTCTTTTGCAAAGGGCCCACGTCGATCAAACAGACTGAAAAATCTGGGTCGAGTCCCTCGACTCGCAGCCACAACACAGGAGCTCAAGACGCCAGAGGATCATGATCGAGCTGGCAAGAAGCCTGGCGAGCAGTTCAAAGACTCCTTGGCATCACTCTTGAATAGACCACCGGACTTGAAGCTGGGAATGGGTCTGCCGATGAGCAAGATCTATGCGGAGTATTGGGCCGGCAGCCTTGAGGTCCATAGTCTGGAAGGTTGGGGTTGCGATGCCTTTCTGCAGATTAGCAGACTGGGTAACAAGAATGAGACACTGTCCTCCCGAGCCGCGATGGACGCGGTATGATCAGGCGCCATGTGGAAAGGCGAAAGTCCTCAAAGACTCAGACCAGATATATAAGACCTCTATGGCGGCAATGAGATGCAGCCATCGTGTCTGTATCTCAGCATCGCTACACTTCTCGGGAGCTCAGGCCAAGACTCATATTACGCAGGTACCTTGATCACGAAGCTACCAATGATTGCATACACGCCGTCTATCCCATCTAGACGGCTGGACTGGGCGAAGCCAAAGCAAGGAAGCATACCGGGTAGCAGGCGCCGACTCATCTCATCTCAGGTATCCATGCTTCATCGTTGCTTAATTCCAAGGAATGCAGCATTTCGTATCAGACCAATGCTCGAATCACCGAGTCTGGTGCTTTTTCGAGTGCTCTAGACTTGACCTGCAGAAATAGTACAAAGTTGCTATATAGACTGCTTCTCGGACCAGACTGGCTATCCTCGTCATGCACAGAAGCTGATGTGGCCACAATGGCAGCAATGTGGACTATAGAGAGTTGCAGTGCCGCCTAAGAAGAGGATGTGCGTACAATCGTCATCTGGGTGCTTTCGGGGGAACGTTCGCCTTCAATCTTCGCTCTTTTACAAATCATGCTATCAAGGATAACTAAGCTGGTCCCTCAGCTCGGATATGGGCTTGGGCTACCTATCGACCCATAAAACTAGCCTTCCTATGCTTTGAATGGCGAGCTATCCTCGGTACCAATACTGATGAGCACAGTCTTGTATTCCAGATGCTCCTCTAAGCTGTACCCATAGCCCTCTCGACCCTGCCCGCTACCTTTATAACCTCCGAATGGCATGTCCATGGCCATGTTTGGGCTTGTGCAGTTGATGCCAACTGTTCCGGACTCGTATGCTTTGGCTACACGCAACGCACGGCTGATATCACGGGTATAGACAGAAGCATACAGGCCATACTCGGTGGCGTTTGCTTTCTCGAGCGCTTCTTCCTCGGTCTTGAACGTGTTGATATTGACGAAAGGCCCAAAGACTTCCTCCTGTGACAACGTGGCGTGTGATCAGCTCTGCATGAACATGGGAGCGGAAGTACTCAGAGAACTTACCTTCTGGGTCTTTTCGTTCTCATCTACGTTGGAGTAGGCTGTTGGCTCGATGAAGTAGCCCTTTCCTTCCACCTGTGTTGCCTTGCCGCCTGCCTCGAGCTTTCCCTTGCCTTCACTGGCAGCCTTCAAGAACGTCTGAATCCTCTCGTGCTGGAGTTTATCGGCTTGGGGGCCTTGCTTGGTCTCCGGCATGAGGGGGTCTCCCTTCATTGCAGCTGTGAAGATGGCGAGGAAAGCCTCTTTGAACTTCTCCGCGATGCTCTCTTGTACGTATATCCTGCTGTTGGCGACACAGGCTTGGCCCATGAGAGTGTGCACGGAAGCCGAAGTATCGCTTGCGGCTTTGACAAGGTCCGCATCGTCAAATATGATGGCTGGTGATTTTCCACCGACTGGGTCACACAAATCAGTATTTTTTGGGAGTTTTGGCTCACGCATGTTTTGCAGCAGGATGTATCTTACGCTCCAGGACAACTTTCTTGAGGTTACTGGCCGCGGCCATTTGTTGTATCTTCTTCCCAGTGGCAGTGGAGCCCGTAAAGCTCACCAAGCGGATATCCATGTGGCTCGCGAGTGTGGCACCGGAAGGGGTGCCATGGCCATTGAGGACGTTGATGACACCCGGCGGAAAGCCCACCTCGTGAGCTAATTGCGCGCATTTTGTTGGCTGCAAGAGGGCATCAGTGTGCGCTGATCGTGTCATAGAAAGCAAGCATCATTCACCATACCGTCAACGGAGCCTTCTCAGACGTCTTGAGTACGATTGTGCACCCTGCCGTAATTGCAGGCGCTATCTTCATGGCAAAGCTCAGCGTGGGAATGTTCCATGGAATGATGGCAGCGACAGGTCCAATCGGCTGCCGGAATGTCATGTTGACGAATCCGGGAGTATTCAAACTCGTCTCCCCCTTGACTTCATAGCCCATCTCGGCATGGTGCTCGAACACATCCGCAGCGACGAATGCATCGAAGAACGTGGATACCTGGAAAAGCAGGAGAAGATATCTCTTAGCGTATGTTTTTTTCAATGAGGACAAAAAGTAAAAAAGGAGCTGTCGACTCTTTTCTCTCTCCCTCTCCCTCTTTTACTCTCCATTTCTCACTCTCTATTATAGTCTTACTGGTCGACCCATATCCATCGCACACAGCTGAGCGAGCTCATTGTGAGCTTCTCGAATCTTTGCCCCCAGGGCTTTCATCAATAGACCTCGTTCGGCCGGGCTCTTGGCGGCCCATGCAGGAAACGCGGCTTTTGCTGCTGCCACCGCACGATTGGTGTCGTCCTCTGAGGCTTCGCAGATGTCGACGATCTTCTCGTGGTTGAAAGGGGAGTAGAGCTCGAATTTGCCCTGGTCGGACGATTCGACGAATTCGCCATTGATGTAGTGTCGATATTCGATCTTGTCGGCTGGAATGGGAAAGCCCATGATGGATTTGATGGATTTGATTTGGTTTGATTGATAGATATATAGATTTAATGGGATTTTGGGAGAGTGAGAAAGATCGTAGGCGATCCAAGACTCCAAGTATACCTACCTATGGTATACCTTCTTTCACAAAGAGGGGAGCAAGTTCTTCACTTGTTATGTACCTACCTAGGTACCTTAGGTGTATGGTCAACCATGGCCAAGCCGGCCACACCACCACATGCGTCCTGGCGTAACCAGTTGAGGCGCCCTACGGTCTTGTAGATTGTCAAAAGGGCCCCGCTCACTTACATTGCATATGAGCTGCTTCTTCTAAGACGACCCTCGACATCGGGATCATAGGGACTGCACAAGATCGTCACTGGGCGCGCGCGTCCATAGGTTGTGGAACATTGAGAGAGTACGTATATGTCCCTCTCTTAGGTTTGTAATCATGGTCTTGCACAAAGCCCATCAACTTGGCACACTAGATATGTCGACTGGTGGGTTGACCTTTTTTACTTATGCTCGTTGTTCGCATGTCAAAGACGGACTTTACGCACTTCCGACTCCCGGAGTGGAGATGGAAGGAATGGATTGCATATGTAGGTACAGTATGTACTGGAGGTGTGTGGCTGCAAGAGGGTGTCATGGATGTCAATGTACTGTCGATGAAATCATGTATTCTGGGGTCGCTGATGATAGAAGTGGATGTGTGAGGTGAGGTGAGGGGAAAGGGGATAAGGTACCTGGTATCTCTCTCTCTCTATACGACTTTTGCCACCGAGTCTATTCAACTCACCCATCCCGCCCCGCCCGGGCCGCCCCCAACCTCCATCACCCCCAAAGGTACATGTACCTACCTGTAGACATCTCCATAGATCTCAGAGGTACAACCAATCAACAGAACCTCCTCCATGCTGTACTCGAACCGCCGCGTGCGCGCAGGAATATAGTTGCAGCGTCAGGACGAATGCCAGGCGCCAGCAGCCGAGCATGGCACGCCCTCATCCGGACGCACCACATCACGTCTCGGAAAAAAGTGGCCAAACTCCGTCAAGCTGCATCAGCCGAGGACGTCTATGCCCTGATCAGATATGGAGGCGCTCCGGGCATCATGTATGTGCAGGGCCGTAAGAGCAACGTCGACTCCTGGGTTGCTGCAGTGCAGGTATGTCCGTCCGTCAGCACATACCTGTACTCTCTTTCTTTCTTTGTAATCTCGTAACCGATTCACCTTACCATATTTAATATAGGGGAAACGCTTACAAGAAAGAATTCTGCCCCCATAACAGCGCCTTCGATATAAAGACTTTCAGCTCGCTATACGGCCGGTGGAAGTACAGACTGAGAGCGACCAGTCTCATGTGCCCGCTCCTCCGGAGAGACTGACTGGTCTTCACGAGGTCGAGTCCGTGAAGGAGTTTGCCACTCAGATGCATGCTTACGGCGTTTTGGACTGGTGGAGGACGGGAATGGGCTATGCAGGTGACCAAGGCCGACTATGATATGATGATGATGATACATGGGGCTTGAAAATGAGCTTTATTGGCTACGTACAGCAGCAGTCGAGCAAGCCCATCAGAATGGTCCTTTACCCGTCGATGCAGGATCCCCCACGATGGCTCGGTCAAGTCGTCCTCGGATACGGACGTTAAGTCTGCTGCAGCACAGCTTCAGGTTGTGTAGATCTAGCAAACAGTCAGACCAGTGGATGCGAGGCACTCTTTGCCTGGCAAATTTTCCACAAGCACGCCTACTGTAGATCCTTCCAAGCATTTGATAATGACGAGAGAAAAGTTCCGAAGCAAAAAGAAAAGCAATGATCGCTTTGGAAAGGATGGAAATGCCAATTTCCAAGCTCCAGGCTCTTCAATCAAATCAGTGCACGGCATATGGATCTAACGCTTCAACAAACCGAGCCACAAAACGGTGCTATCTATCGACAACTAGATTTCACATCTAAATCTTATAGCAAGTACCCTGTCCTGTCGCGCAAGACAATCAATAGTAAAGAGCCAAGCCAAGCCATAGAACAGCGAACGCAAAAAGCTTTAAACACTTTGCGATAGTAGTATTCGCCGTCGTCGTCGTCGTTGTAGAGGTACATCAATCGATAGTACCATATACAATTCTGAGCAACCCTATGAGGTAATGTAATAGGTACTTCTCGCAGAAACAACAAATCTCAATCTGCACCCCTTCACAGAATTCTGCAGCTCGCCAAGCCCATGCAATTTTGGTCTTTATATAATATTTGACCCGTCCAGTCGTCATCCAATAAGAACACACAACCTCAAGCTTCGTAGATCAGCGGAAGATCGCCGGGCTCATAACCCGGAGGTCGACGGATCGAAACCGTCCGATGCTAACAGATGTGTGAACATTCTTTTGTCTCTCTCTTTTTTTTGCAATTTTGAATAAATCTTTGATTCGGTCCTTTTGCCTTTTGCAAAGATGTGCACAGTACAGTATCTTCTTCTACCTTTTGTTGTTGTTTGTTTGTTGAATATCGACGGAATTGAAAGAAAAGGGTTCCCCGTGTTCGAATCGTGGTGGGGACGGACTACCTGGTTTTATTTTTGCTGGTCGTATCGTCTCAGGTACAGGTAGTAGGTACTAGGTAATGCTGACCACATACATGTGAGGTTCGGCTAGAGATGGCACATGGCTAGGAGAGATAATATCAGGACGGGTGACATTCGTACCTAGGTAGACACTCAATTTAAACAGCCTCACGGTTATAGGGCGTTGCACGAAAGTGACGAATGGGGAGTTTACCGTTCAGAAACGAGGATGGAAACATTGCCAAACAAGGGGAAAGAAGGGAATGGTCTTGCTTGAAGATTTGCTCGAAACGTGCGAGCTGGGTTCTATTGTACAGTGTCTCGAGGTTTGCATATACCTTATGCAGAGAGGATGCGGGACAGTCGTTGAGACTCTACCCTCCGCACCAATCCTCCCTAGACACCATTCATCCGAAACCTGTTATCTGGGGACCGCTACCCCGTGGCAAGAAGATCATGCATCGTGCGATCAGCAATCCTAAAGCAGACCAGACTTTGCAAGATCCTCATACACCCTCTTCGGCATAATGTTGCCTGCCGGATCTTCCATCTCGACGATACCATCTCCATCGACACCTCCCTTCCGCTCGAGGTCCCGGTGTCTGTCGCGCTCCAGCTTCTCCCATAACTTCTCGGCCTCCTCAATCTTCGTGATCTCGCGGAAAAGCCCAGTGTTCTTCGTGATGCCCAAGCATTGCAGTCCATAAATGTGGCGTGCTTCGCTAAAGTGCTTGTCGAATGCTCGACGACCCATGTAGACGTAATTGCCGCAAATCTCGCAAGTGAATTCCACGCCGAGACCATGAAGCTTGTACAGCCAAAAGGGGATGGGCTTACCATCCCATGCGAGCGGGAGCTTCAGCGGATTGTACACCTTCTCCTCCTCATCATCGCCGTCTTCCTCCGCGTGTGCCGGTCTGCTCATCGCCTCATTCTCTTCCTCAAACAGGGCTGCAAGTTCCTGCTGTCGTTCCTTATCTGTCATACCTGCTTTGCGTTCCACATTGACGCGCGTGTCTTCTCGCTGGGTTTGCATGTTCTTGGCGAGCGCTCGGATGCGGTATTCGCGCTCGGCGACTGCGCGCTCTTTTACTCGTGCGAGACTGATGCCCGCTGGGCCGTTGCCATTTGTCATTTCGGTGTCTTCACCACCATTCGCGAGCATCTGTTGCCGCGCCTCAGCTGCCTTGATATGCTTCTTGCCGGTCAAGTGTGCTTTGTAGACGTTGTCGTTCTTGAACTCCTTCTGACAATCTGCACACCACACGCCTTCTCCCGTGCCTTCTGTGGTCGGCTGGGTCGAGGCTGTGCCGTTTGAAGCAGCTTTGGTAGTCTCCCAGCCCGGAACCTTGTCTTCTGACCACTCTTTATCGAACTCATCTTGGAAGCTCTTGATCAGCTTGTCCAAATCCTCCAACGGCTTGATCTTCCTCAAAAAGGTCTCCAAGTATTCCGCTAGCGATCCCACATAGGCAAAGTATTGGTCGGTCATCTTCTCCTGCGGGCTGATGATGCATTTCGGCGGCGTGAATACATCGAAGTTGTCGAGGTATTGCAGATATGTCAGCTTTCGCACGTTCTTCACGCCGGGCAGATTGAGGTAGTCCTCGTGGGGAAGAGTCAGATCAAAGAAGCGGCCGAAGGCTTCTTCGCCAGTGAAGATGGTGTTGATGTCGCCGGCAAAACCACCTGGAGGTCCGCCATCTTCGGCTCGCTTGTATGCGCGCTCCAAGTTCTCGACAGGTTCGTTCGGATAGCGCTTGTGAAAGTCCTTGATCTTGTTCAGCTCGTCGTAGAAGGTGGCGTACGTGTCACCGGTGCTGATTTGCTGGATCTCGTGGGTGCGTGACTCTTGCTCATCGTACAGGCGAATGGCGTGTTGCGACTGGGTCTGGATGCGCTGGAGGAAGTTGGCGATTTCATGGTCGCGGACGAGGCGACTGCGGATCTGTGAGTTGTGAGTTCTGTTATGTATATGTATATCTGCGCTACATGCGCAGGACAAGAGAAGATACTGACGTGCTTGTGGTCGTCGAGAATGCGGTCTGCAATGGCCTGCTCCAGGCGCTCAATGTCCTCGTGAACCGCCCGCAGGTCTTCGTAAATCATTTTTGCCGTCCGTCAATCAGGTTTGATGGGCGCTAATCAATTACAGTCACAGTAGGCGTGTCTGTTTCGCGGAGTGGTCGGCGAGGTGTGGTTCAGTGAGTGAGAGTTAAGGAGCTAGTCGAGGTGTTGGTGTTGGTCGTGGTGTTGTAGAAGTTAGAACTCTAGAACTAGGTATAGAGCCAGAGGTATGACTAGTAAGTTCCAAAGTATAAGGTTGGCTCTCCCGCAAAGCCAAAATTCTGGCCGCAGCCCACATCGACCTCTCTCTCTCTCTCCTCACCCTCCCATTCACTCTTCTCCTCTCCTCTCCTCTCCGCTCCTCCCCCTTCACTCGAGTCTCGACTTCGGACCTATACCACCACTACCACCATCACCGCCATCCCCGCCATCACTACCATCCCGCCATTACCGTCAGCACATTGAAACGTCGGGAAGGAAAGGAAAATGGCAGAAGATAGCGGCATCGACCGCAAGGCGGAGGAGCGCATGGAGTTCTCGACGTCCAAGGAAGTGTCGGTGGCGCCCACATTCGAGGCCATGCACCTCAAGGACAACCTGCTCCGAGGCATCTACGCATATGGCTTCGAGTCGCCCTCCGCTGTCCAGTCACGCGCTATTGTGCAGATCTGCAAAGGTCGCGATACTATTGCCCAGGCGCAGTCGGGCACAGGCAAGACGGCTACCTTCAGCATCTCCATCCTGCAGGTCATCAACACCGGCGCCCGCGAGACGCAAGCCCTGGTCTTGTCGCCCACGCGCGAACTCGCCACGCAGTCGCAGTCGGTGCTGCTCGCGCTGGGTGACTACATGAACGTGCAATGCCATGCCTGCATCGGAGGCACCAACATCGGCGAGGACATTCGCAAGCTCGATTACGGCCAGCACGTTGTGTCAGGAACCCCCGGCCGAGTCGCAGACATGATTCGCCGACGCAACCTGCGCACTCGCTCCATCAAGATGTTGGTGCTGGACGAGGCCGATGAGCTGCTGAACAGAGGCTTCCGCGAGCAGATTTATGATGTGTACCGCTACCTGCCTCCTGCGACTCAGGTAGTTGTCGTCTCTGCGACGCTCCCATACGATGTGCTCGACATGACGACCAAGTTCATGACGGACCCTGTTCGAATTCTCGTCAAGCGTGATGAGCTGACGCTCGAAGGCCTCAAGCAATACTTTATTGCAGTCGAGAAGGAAGAATGGAAATTCGACACGCTTTGCGATCTCTACGATACTCTCACCATTACGCAAGCCGTTATCTTCTGCAATACCCGTAGAAAGGTCGACTGGCTTACTGACAAGATGCGCGATGCCAACTTCACCGTGTCTTCCATGCATGGCGAGATGCCACAGAAGGAGCGAGACGCGATTATGAGCGAGTTTCGACAGGGTAACAGCAGAGTGCTTATTAGTACTGATGTCTGGGCACGTGGAATCGACGTGCAGCAAGTCAGCTTGGTGATCAACTACGATCTGCCATCCAACCGTGAGAACTACATTCACCGCATTGGTCGGTCGGGACGTTTCGGTCGCAAGGGAGTGGCCATCAACTTCGTTACTAGCGAGGATGTTCGGATTCTGCGTGATATCGAGTGTAAGTGCTTGCCACTTATTCCATGAGATCGCCTGCTGACCTTCAAACAGTGTATTACTCGACTCAGATTGACGAGATGCCCATGAACGTGGCGGACTTGTTGTCCTAGAGCGTCGCCACTTACTTCTGATAGCTTCGACTGTGGTTCATCATTTGAATATGCCCAAGTAACGATCAGGCGTTACTTGGTGCTGCTTGACTGGCATCCGGCCAATGGGGATGGAAACGGGCAGTTGTAACGATATCGTAAGTCGTTCGTGCCATGGCGTGCTGAATTCATGCTAATAGTACACAGCCCACAATGCGAGCCCGACACTTTTCTTCATTCTCCCCATTCATCCTCGAGACGTTCCCAGGTGCAAGTCCACAGGTGCGTACATGTCCTTGATCCTTTTCCAGCTAACTAGCGCCGTTCTGGAGCGACTCTATTCATCCTCCCGTCGTCTTTCCGTCGATCACGTCTGACGGCGGAGGACGCATCATTGCCTGTGCTGTTGGTCAAGGCCCTCATTTGTCCTCCACCGCGCTCTCATCGTGTTCCGTGCTCCCCTGCGATCGAGATCCTCGCATCAGCACCTCGATTTTTTCCGTGGTCGATGGTCAATCGAGTGGTCACTACTTACAGTGCCAGCATCGGGTCTATGCGACGTCGCAGCAGCGTCTTCTTCTGCTTGCCGTCAGACCAATCGATTCGCAGACCATGGAGTGTCACACATGAGGTCTTACGTTTGAGCTCCGCGACCTGCTTCGCACCATCGTCTTGCAAGATTGCTTTTGCCTGTGCGGCGTGCTCGGGTTTTGTCTCCAGCTGCATGAGAGCTTCGGCCGTTTCTTTGGCGCGCGCCTGGCTATACGCTCTCAGGACTTCCGGATCGACATCGGACATGGTCGGGCGGTCCGTCAGTCGTGCAAGGATATATCTTCCACGTCTAGTTGCTACGGTAGGCGCGCAATGGGGTCCCTGGAGTCGTTTCTTTTCTTATTTTCGATCTGTCCGATATGTTGTCGCTGTCGCTGCAGTTGTTATATTCGCTCGCAATGGAGACGGAGGTCCAGGTATGTATGTACATGTATCACAGCAGCAGTGGTAACAACATATATTCCTGCTACGTCAGAATTGCTTCGCGCATCATGACCATACCTTGTTCTTTGTTTGCATCCTCCCGAGAGGCCCACATAACGATGTCAGAGGGCGCTCCAGCAGTGTCCACTTCACCTCGGCGGCCCCAGCGGAGGGCGAGCAGTGGTGGCGGTGTTGCCTCACTTTTCACCCTGTGCGGGCGGCCATTTTGTGATGAGTTTAACGTCGACGGATAATATTTACAAATCCTCCTCCATTTCCTCACAAGTCACAACTCGCTGGCTGCATCATTAGCCTTGCGCCCGTGTGGCTGCCGGGCTAAAATGCCGGGCTAAACGCCGGGCATATGCGTGTTGACGCATGCCGGTTTCGCACTCAGCAACGCGCCTCGATTATCCCTGTGAGTAAAACTAACATAATAATACATCACCAAACCCACCCACTTCACCCAGCACGAATCCTCCAAGGTCCCGGGAAGAAAATACTGGAGATTATTCACTCGACCAGACGCTTTTCCCACTGCCACATCCCACAATGAGCCTCCTCATTCGCATACGCAAGAAGCTAGAGAGGAAACTTCTGCATAAGCCCGGGCAACACGGCACACCCGTATACTATGCACCCGCAGACGATGAGGTAGAAGAAATATCAACAACAAGAACAACAACAACAACGCCGCCTACGGCCACACCTGCGTCCTCCCGACCATCTTCGCGACTTCCCAGTCTATCTTTTCTCTCCTCGTCCCGACGACATTCGTCCCAACAACGCCGACAATCTTCCACCAGATCACCAACTACGACCACTCCCACAGACAATCATCCTTCTCCGCACGCGCCACCCAGATCTCCTTCTTTCTTCTGTCGCGGATCTTCCTCACATCATGCCCGCAATGGCTCGAATCTTTCGAGCATTACAGGGCCTGGAGGGGGAGGAGGTCGAAGATCGGAAACTTGGACTTCCGCTACTACTACTACTGACCACGATAATGAGGAATGTTTCCGGTTTCCTGTCTTTCCGGATAGTGGCTACGTGAGTCGGGAATCGAATCCTGATGTGGGATTTGTTGTACCCGATAGTCCCCACCAATCACTTGCGAATCCAAGTCAATTGGGAAATGCGATGACGATTGGTGGCGGTATTGGGAATGGGAATGGGAATGGAGAAGACAGAAGTATAAAACCGCCACGAAGAGAAAGTCCTCCTTTCTCGAGAGGAGTTTCTTGTGCTACTACTACGACGACAACAACAACAACGAAAGGCCGTGAAGAAAGTAGAGCTTCATCGCACGGTAACGAACTCCCGAGTTCTGCTTATTCTGCTACTACTGCAGCTCTCAGTCCCAGTCTGATTTCCGATCGCTACGAAGCTCCCAGCGCAATGAGTCCCAATGAGGATTTTATCTCTGGGCGAGATTCGACCGCTACTGCTGCCGAAGGTTTGAGAGGGTTTGAGGGAGTGAGAGGAGGAAAAGTCAGAGGGGGAGGGGGAGGAAATCCTCGTTTTGATGATGATGGTGGTCATGATGATGTTGATGATGTTGATGTTGTTGATTATGGATTATTTCCCGCTCCTCCTCCTCCTCCTCCAGCTGCTGCTCCAGCTGCTCCGGCAAGACCACCCGTGGCGGCGGCAAGGCCTGGTCCGTCTGCGAGAAGCCAAACTGCTGCTGCTGCTGCTGCTCCTCCTCCTCCTCCTGTGGTTGGCAATGGGAGTAGAACTGCGAGGACGCGAAATGATGATGTGAGGAGGGATCGGAGACCGCGACTGGACGATGCGAGGAGGGATAGGAGACCTTTTACTACGACGACGGCGTTGACAGGGTATGGGTATACTACGGGGCAGTTATGATGACGAGGCCCCCGGGAGTGTCTAGTAGGCAGAGTTGGTTGGCGTGCCTCGATCGCATAGGTATCAGCTGGATGGGTGGGATTGGTGGATGGCCAAGACTCTGGAATCGCTATCTACGCGGCGCAGAAGCAGACTATTCTGTATCCGACCTACGAAACCAAAATGTATGGCGTCGTAGTCGCCAGACACAACTTGGCAGACAGACTCGGTTCACGCCACCTCTGAAAAGAAGGATCTGGTTTAGCATTTTCAACGCTTTGTGGGCAACTAGGTGCACTTCACATACTTTACTCGCGGCTATCCGCAAGCAACAGCTCTATGATAGGACCCAAGAAAGGTTCTTCCAGCCCAAGACTGAAAAGCGCGCCAATCTTGACCGTGGTCGGCTGATCCGTTTGTATGATGTCCCAGATCTTGTCTTTGACATTGATCCCAGTTTGGTAATCACGTAGAAGCTGACTGATGGTCTCCGTGTGATCATGGACTGTGAGCTGCGGGTTGGGACCTATCTCGATGACTGCTTTGGTGTTGGCCTTCGGCGTGACTCTGACCACTGTGCCCGTGCCATTGTGCAAGCTTTGGACTTCAAACTCAGCCTCCTCTTGAGACATCGCATCAACGGTGTACTTGATCGACGAGGGCGCAATGTGCGTGGAGATGAATCGAAATGTCCACGCTTTGCCAACGCCGCTGTCGAACAAAAGCCGGCCAGCAGCCTGGTCGTATGAGATTTCAATCGTGCGCTGTCCGGCAGGCTCATCTCCCCGCTTGCGATCATCTTGCGTGTTTTCGACGATCTTGAACTGGCCGTCCTTACCCACAACGACGATTACTTCAAAGGCAACCGGGTTCTTGCACCCATTTGCTGGTGCTGTCTCTCGATCCAAAGGAATGATGGATCCTTCCGGTGCTAGAACAGGTACGCTCTGCAGCGATCTGTACATATCAAGCTCGCGGTCTCCGTCATACACGGCTGCTGTGAAGATGTCGACATGTCGCTGTGGGGGAACCCAAACCCTGCATTTGGAAAGATTGGTCCTCGTGTCTCGCGGAGTCACAACGGGAGATGTTACGAGCGAAGGTCCAAAAAAGTACTGATTCGGGAACTGGTATGCCACATCGCGCGTAGGAAAGTTCCAGTACAGGGGCTGGATCAATGGCAAGGTCGACTCGGTCGATGCACTGACCGAGTAGATATATGGCACGAGCCGATGGCGCAATTGCAAAGCATTTCGCATTGCAATCCTGCACTCATCGCGATACAGCCATGGTTCTTTCGAGTTCCAGCGACTATCGCTCGAGTGAAGACGTAGTGCTGGCGAGAATACTGCATACTGTACCCACCTTGTCGTACACTCATCGTCACGTTCGCCAGGGAGATGACCTCCGATGTCGTGACTCCACCAGCCAAATCCAATGTTCGAAGCCGTGGCAGTGAACTCTGGTTGGAACTGGAGGGACGCCCATGTTGCAAACGAGTCTCCTGAAAAGCCAACAGGGTATCGATGACTGCCTGGACCGGCGTATCTTGAGAAGATCAGCGGCAGAGAGTCTGGTCTGGCCTTTGCGGTGTCCAGAAACTGGAAATGGTTCAATAGCCACAATGGATCGAAGCCTGGGATAGCAGAATCAGAGCCTTGTTGCCAATCGATCCACCAAAAGTCGCATCCGATGTCTTCCAGCTTCCGATGAACGAGATCAAAGAAAGCTTGCATGAAGCGAGGCGAGGTTGGATCAAATGGGATCGGCTCTTCATGCGTGATATCATGGTTCAATCGTCGAGCTAGCTCGCGATATACGTCCTCGTGTTTATGCACTCCCAAGTGAGGATGATCGTTGAGCGTTATCTTGAGGTTTCTATCATATAATTCTTGAGTAAAGGCTTTCGGCGATGGAAACAGATTTGTGTTCCATGTGTAACCTGTCCACCCACTGTGTGGCACGAAAGATTCTTTTCTCCAGTGCCAGTCCATGTCGATGACTGCCACCGACATTGGTATATCGTTCTCTCGAAATTTGTCCATGAGAGCCACATATTCCGTATGATTATAGGGATAGAATCTGCTCCACCAATTCCCCAGGCTCCAGCGTGGGATCGATGGTTGATGGCCGGAGACGGCGTAGAACGACTCCATGGCACCCTTGTAATCTGTACCGTATGCGAAGAGATAGCCATCGATACGTCTACCCGGCCGGCGGGGCGTCACGAACCCTTTGCCGTCGAAGAGCATGCTATGAGAGTCATCCAACACTGAATATCCCGCTCGGGATAGGATGCCATTGCCCATATCACACCTTCCATCCACGCCATCGAGCGTTCTGGCAGTGCCGCCCAGATTGTCAGATCCAGCTTGCCCATATCGCCACTCCGCTCCCCAATGTGTCAACTTGGCCGTGAACTCTACCTTCAGGCCATTGGGAGAGAACTCCTGCTTGTTGTAGGTGAGGTGAAATAACGGTGTCACTATTTCCAGCTGATCCTTCTTGTCATAGAGGCGAAAGTTGGGCTTGGGAAACTTCCGCCAGAGGGCAAAAGTTGATGCACGGTCCTCGAACTGTCCATCTTCGGCCCATTCATATCTCAGGACTTTGTCATCCAACAACGTGAAGCGGTAGTTTGGGCCAGCAATGGTGGACTCTGAGCTGGCAATAGGATCGCAAGGAAATTGATAGCCGTCCATGTTGAGAAGTCAGGAAGCTCAAGAGGAGGAAGAAAGAGACAAGAGAGTACGGATCAGGACCGGTGCCAATTCCTCATCTAGACGATCGGGATGTGGTGGGCAGGATGGAAGCAGTAGAGCAAGTGAAGTCAACCTGAAAAGAGCAAGTGAAGTCAACTTTGAAAGAGAGAGTGAGGGCCGGGAAGAGAGACGGGAAAGAGACGGGAGAGTGGAAAGAGACGGAAAGAGGTAGGAGGTACCCGTGGGCCTCTTACCTCCTAGGTAGGTAGGTACTGCCATTCAAAATCGACTTTTGGCTGAGTTCCACCCGTTTCGAGATCGCGTCTTGGATGGCGCCTTCCCTTAAGGTTCCCATTCCCATCACGATCCATCGTCATCAGCCGAGGGCAATAACATAAGGTAAGGTACCTACCAACATATGGAAGGTCCCTCTCACCTTTCTGGATCTGGTCAATAACTGCAAGAAGCGAAGATGCGAAGACGTGATAATGTGTGCCTCCATCTACCAGACGTCAGGTCTGCAGCCGAAGAGAGACCGTAGTGCACATCAACATCATCTGTAGAAACATCCAATGGGGCGCAACCATAGTTCTACCGCGAACAATGCATGTGCCCGCAATCCTTCCCTGCCGCTTCTCCGTATCTATCAATACCAGTAGTATTTGCACTTTAAAAGCAGCACTTGGCCCTGATAATAGATAGGTACCTTAGGTAGGTATATTGGCAATCCTGCATCCTGCATCATGGCCACATACCTCACTCGTCCAGCCAGCAACTCGGAAGGCATCACAGCGGAACTCGAACGACTGTCCATCATTGGCATTCAGAGAATCAACAATCGAGACTGGTCATACAGCAGCCCAGAAGCCCAAGAGCTTCTGACACCGGAGCAATGGCAGTCCAGATTCGATAACCAAGTGGAGCTCCTCACCTGGCAGCAGCAAAACGACGTATGGCAGCAACTGGTAGAAGAATTGCATCCACATTGCCACTTCGAAATCACCTCCGTTTCCTCTACGATTCGCGAGAAAGAAAATCTGGCCATTGTATGGATCCAGACTACCGTCACCGGGATTGAGAATGTCCATATTCCAGGTCTGAGTGAGCTGAGTTGGAGGTTAGAGGATGGGAAGTGGTGGTTCTTCTACCATGTTGGCATACGAGGGTTCCTTGGATAGACGACCTTCCCATGAATCAATCATGCATGTCCCACTTCTAAGCGCGCGGGATTGTTCGAGCTGCTCCACGCGGCCTGTCGATGCCGAGGTGACGCCAAGACGAGATCAGGACTGGAAGTACAACGACGCATCTGGCCTTCCCTCTGCTTGTTGCTTGCCTTTGCAGATGATGTTCGAGGACTGGCAAAGTCTCTCGCGTGTGATGACTGGCAGCCACGTCGCATAAGGTACGATGCGATTCGAGCTTGGGTCTTGTTCGTCTCGGCTCGGCTCGACTTTTCTCCAGAAGGACCTCGAACTTCTTCAGCTAGCGGATCAGTATTGGGAAAGCTTGTGAACAACTTGGTTCAAACCTGGAATCTGCTCGTATACGTCGAAATGGGAATACTACTGACCTCTCTCCTTCTTGAATTTGGAGACTGCAGTCTTGCTGATAAGTGATGAATGTGATGCGAGATGGAAGACATAAAACTGGTGTATCCGTTGAGAGCGTTGTATCATCGAACCTGATGACACCGTTGCATGTTCTCGCCCGTATGTTCGCCAACATTTCCAATCGAAGACAAGCTCCGAGGACAGTAGTAAGCTTGACACAAAGACTGAAACAAGATCCTAGCGTGCTGTTGGATTGATAGGTATTGTCGTTCGTCCGGTAAGCTCGCAGCCAGCACTGCAGTAGTAAGGTAGATGTACATGAAGAGGCGTGAGTCGAGTCGTCCACGAATAGCACGCAGAACAGCTGCTGGTCGAGTACATGCCGTCAACCGTTGCGCTGAGACGCCGTCCCATTCGGCACAGAAACTGCCTCGCCGACCGACTGACGGACCAGCAATCGCGGCAGACAGGGGCAGCTCATATGCCAGGTGACCACAACGAGCTGCACTCATGACAGCGGTAGCATACATAGCAGCTGCTGAATGCGCCGTCGCTCCGAGACGCTTGGAGAGCGATGTTGGTGACACCGAGTGGTGCATGAGAATCTCGGTCGGCCCATCTATGTAGGATTGTAGGTACATGTACCTCCCCCATTGTATCTGAGGTAACTTTTGGATCGAGAACACTCGATAGACAGTTGAAACCGCCCCTGTGGACTAGCAGCTTCTTGGTGCGTCGGGAAGCGGCAGTGGCGCACCAGCGAGCCACAGACCGAGACGACCAGCATCATCGGGAGGCGTGCATGGGGGGAGAGCAGCCAGCTCAGGGTTAAGCAATTCCACTGCGAGCACACGGAGAGAGAGAGAGAGACAGAGCAGCTCTGAGCAGGAGCCGCTTACCTTACCTCCACCCATCCATCCACGTTCCCAAATACTGTACCCACGCACAACAGTGATGCGCCTGGCCAAGCCCTGCGACACTGACCGGCTGTTCCTCGACAACTGCCGGAGCACATTCCTTTGACCTGCTGTGTGTGTGTGTGCGCGTGTTTGTGGTTAGCGCGGCGTTACAGGAGACGGAGAAGAGGGCACACCGGCCAAACGTCCGTGAAGGGGGAGGAGACGAGCAGTGAGGACAGACGGCGGCCGCCAGCAGCAACGACCTCCCATATCAATTCACCACTACCCCAACCGCCGCCGCCGCCGCCGGCATGTCGCACGAGTATGCGGTCGGCTCTCGCTGCTGGCAGCCTGACGCCGCCGACGGCTGGGTTGCCAGCACCGTCAAGCACAAGACCGTCGACGGCGACAAGGTCACTTTGGTCTTTGCCTATGATGAGCGCGATGATGTGCCCACGCCAGAGGTATGCACGCTTTGGGGCCTCGTCAGATGGATATCGGGGAGAGTATGGACATCGTGCTGATTGCTGCAGGACAAAACCATTGAGACCACCCTGGACGAGCTATCGAAAGATGCCATGAGCTCGACGTTACCGCCACTCATGAACCCAGCGATGCTCGAGGCCAGCGACGATTTGACAAACCTGTCCCACTTGAACGAGCCTGCCGTGCTGCAGGCTATCAAGCTGCGATATGCACAAAAGGAGATATACACCTACTCGGGCATTGTCCTCATCGCTACGAACCCGTTCGCACGAGTCGACTCGCTGTATGTGCCGGGCATGGTGCAAGTCTACGCAGGCAAGCACCGAGCCTCGCAAGCACCGCATCTGTTCGCCATAGCAGAAGAGTCCTTTGCGGACATGCTGCGTAACGAGAAGAACCAGACCATTGTGGTCTCCGGAGAGTCAGGAGCAGGTAAGACAGTCAGTGCCAAATACATCATGCGCTACTTTGCTACACGAGAACCGCCCGATCAGCCTGGCACTCGTAGTCGTGGTCGCGCAGACACTATGAGTGAGACCGAGGAGCAGATTCTCGCTACGAATCCCATCATGGAAGCCTTCGGTAACGCGAAGACGACCCGAAACGACAACTCCTCGCGTTTCGGGAAGTACATCGAGATCATGTTCAACAAAAAGACCGACATCATCGGCGCACGAATACGGACGTACCTTCTCGAGCGATCACGACTGGTGTTTCAACCGCTTAAGGAGCGGAACTACCACATCTTCTACCAGCTCGTGGCGGGTGCATCTGAAGAAGAGCGAGAACAACTGGGCTTAACGCCCGTGGAGCATTTTGATTACTTGAATCAAGGCGGCGCCCCACGGATCGAGGGTGTGGACGATGCAAAAGACTTCAAGGAGACACGGCAATCGCTTGACAGGCTTGGTGTCTCGAAAGAGGTGCAGACTTCATTGTGGAGAATACTAGCTGCACTGCTGCACATTGGCAATATTAAGATCACTGCCACTAGAACAGACTCGCAGCTAGCTGCTACCGAGCCATCTCTAGCTAAAGCTTGCGAGCTGCTTGGGATCAACGCCGATGAGTTTGCAAAGTGGACAGTCAAGAAGCAATTGGTCACACGAGGCGAGAAGATCATGTCCAACTTGACAGCACAGCAGGCGACCGTGGTCCGGGACTCGGTGGCCAAGTACATCTACTCGTCTTTATTCGACTGGCTGGTAGAGACCATGAATGGCTTCCTGGCGCCCGAGAAAGTCGTGGACCAAATGGTGTCATTCATCGGTGTGCTGGATATCTACGGATTCGAGCATTTTGCAAAGAACAGCTTTGAACAGTTCTGCATCAACTATGCCAACGAGAAGCTGCAACAGGAATTCAATCAGCACGTCTTCAAGCTCGAGCAGGAAGAGTATCTACGAGAACAGATTGACTGGAAATTCATTGACTTCAGCGACAATCAGCCTTGCATCGACTTGATCGAGGGCAAGCTGGGTATTCTCGCTCTGCTGGACGAAGAGAGCAGACTGCCGATGGGATCCGATGAATCTTTCGTGAACAAACTACATCACAACTTCTCGCAAGACAAGCACAAGTTCTACAAGAAGCCCCGCTTTGGGAAGAGTGCCTTCACTGTATGCCATTACGCGATCGACGTGGCCTATGAAAGTGATGGTTTCATCGAGAAGAATAGGGATACCGTGCCCGATGAGCATCTCGAGGTTCTGCGAGCGAGCTCCAACGACTTTTTGGTGGAGGTTTTGGAGTCTAGTGCGGCTGTTAGGGAGCGAGACACTGCTGCAATTAACCCCAGCAAACCCAACAGTGCTGGCGTTGCGCGAAAGGGAGCCGCATCTTCTCGCAAGCCCACTCTTGGAGGCATATTCAAGAGCTCGCTCATTCAGCTGATGGAAACCATCAATAACACGGAGGTTCATTACATTCGTTGTATCAAGCCCAATGAAGCCAAGGAGGCGTGGAAGTTTGAGGGACCGATGGTTTTGAGCCAGCTTCGTGCTTGTGGTGTTCTGGAAACCGTTCGAATCAGTTGCGCTGGGTATCCCACACGATGGACGTACGAAGAGTTTGCTCTGCGCTACTACATGCTCATTCCCTCGGCGCAGTGGACGACCGAGATTCGGGATATGGCAAATGCGATTCTCAGGAAGGCTCTTGGTGAGGGTAAGAAGGACAAGACTGACAAATATCAGCTCGGTCTGACCAAGATCTTCTTCCGGGCTGGCATGCTTGCGTTCCTCGAAAATCTGCGTACAACCAGATTGAACGATGCCGCAGTCATGATTCAAAAGAACCTACGCGCCAAGTATTACCGCCGCCGCTATCTTGAATCAATTGATAGCATCAAGACTTTTCAGGCCCATGCAAGAGCAAACGTGGCGCGGAGAAAAGTTGAAGACATCCGTCGTAACCACAGTGCGACCACGATCCAACGGGTTTGGAGGGGACAGAAGGAGCGCAAACAGTACGTACAGCAGCGAAACAATATCATCCGCTTCGAAGCGGCGGCAAAGGGCTGGTTAGCTCGAAAGATGATCCTGGACAAGAAGTACTCCGACGCGGCGACCATCATTCAGCGAAGCTGGAGAAGTCACAGACAGCTCAAGGGCTGGCACGACTATCGCCGCAAGGTCACACTCGTGCAGAGCTTGTGGCGTGGTAAGACTGCTAGGAAGACTTACAAGAGTCTCCGAGAGGAGGCCAGAGATCTTAAGCAGATTTCGTACAAGTTGGAGAACAAGGTCGTCGAAATCACACAGAACTTGGGCACGATGCGAAAAGAGAACAAAGTGCTCAGGAGTCAAGTGGAGAATCTGGAAGGCCAGGTCAAGAACTCGAGAGAAAGGTACAATGCCTTGGAGCACAGGACGAACGATCTACAACGAGAAGCGAATCAGGCTGGCATCACATCCGCCAAGCTCGAACAGATGGAGTCAGACATGGCTCGCTTGCAATTCAGCTACGAGGAGAGCACAGCGAATATGCGCCGCTTGCAGGAAGAGGAAAAGACTCTCCGCGAAAACTTGCGCATCACGACACAAGAATTGGAGTCAGCTAGAGCAGCCAAGACTGCGAGCGAGAGTGAAAAGCTTGGCTTGCGACAGCAGCTTGCAGAACTGCAAGATCAGCTCGAACTTGCCAAAAGGGCGGTACCTGTCGGTAACGGCGACCTCACGAACGGTGTCTCTGCCGGTGCTGCGAGTGGTCTTATCAACCTCGTGGCATCGAAGAAGCCGAAGAGGAGAAGCGCCGGTCCTGAGACGATTCAAACCGACAGGTTCAGCGGCACTTATAATCCGCGGCCAGTATCGATGGCGTTTGGTGCGACGGCTGGTGGGCATACACAAAACCTTTCTGGCTCCACGTTCAATCCTGGGCTGGAGAACGTGGAGATGGAGCTGGAGAACTTGCTTGCTGATGAAGATGGGCTCAATGACGAGGTCACAATGGGTCTCATCAGAAACCTGAAGATCCCTGCGCCTGGAAGTAGCCCGCCTCCAACGGATAAGGAGGTGCTCTTCCCGTCATACCTCATCAACTTGGTCACCAGCGAGATGTGGAACAATGGCTTTGTGAAGGAGTCTGAGCGCTTCTTGGCGAATGTCATGCAGTCCATCCAACAGGAAGTCATGCAGCACGATGGCGACGAAGCTGTCAATCCCGGCGCTTTCTGGCTCTCCAACGTGCATGAAATGCTATCATTCGTCTTTTTGGCAGAGGACTGGTACGAGGCGCAAAAGACAGACAACTTTGAGTACGACCGCCTGCTAGAAATCGTCAAGCACGATCTCGAGAGCTTGGAGTTTAACATTTACCACACATGGATGAAGGTGCTGAAGAAGAAGCTGCACAAGATGATCGTGCCCGCTATCATCGAGTCGCAATCACTGCCCGGCTTCGTGACCAACGAGAACAACCGCTTCCTCGGCAAACTGTTGCAGTCATCCAACACACCTGCATACAGCATGGACAACCTTCTCAGCCTCCTCAACAATGTGTTCAAGGCTATGAAGGCATTCTACTTGGAAGACAGTATCATCACCCAAACCGTCACGGAGCTTCTTCGACTTGTGGGCGTGACTGCATTCAACGACCTGCTCATGAGGAGAAACTTCCTCTCGTGGAAGCGCGGCTTGCAGATCAACTACAACATCACCAGGATAGAAGAATGGTGCAAGAGTCACGATATGCCTGAAGGCACTTTGCAGCTTGAGCATTTGATGCAAGCCACCAAGCTGCTGCAGCTGAAGAAGGCTACCCTGAATGACATCGAGATCATTCAGGATATCTGCTGGATGTAAGTACTCACCCTTCACTGCTCGCCATGATCGTCACTGACCAAAACATGTAGGCTCTCACCCAACCAGATTCAGAAGCTGCTCAACCAATATCTTGTTGCCGACTATGAACAGCCCATCAACGGCGAGATTATGAAAGCTGTCGCCTCGCGCGTGACAGATCCTAAATCCGATGTTCTCCTCTTACAAGCTGTCGACATGGAAGACTCCGGGCCCTATGAAATTGCAGAACCTCGTGTCATCACCGCTCTGGAGACCTATACGCCTAGTTGGCTACAGACACCTCGCCTCAAGCGCCTCGCAGAAATCGTCTCTGCGCAAGCCGTCATGCAACAGCAACTCGATGCCAACGCCATGGGTAAAGTCTTGGAAGAGGATGGCATGGATCTGCATGAGGGTCAATGGCCTGTACCGAATGGACATCTAGGCAATGGGCATGGAATGAATGGTCGAGCCACTGGATTGGGAGTACAATATCCTGATGACCAGGATGGCATGAGTGATGATGGCGCGGATTACAGATAGGATCTGGATTCTGAAGAGGACCTCTTAATAGAGCCGTCAGATGAGGAACTTGCTGCGTATCATCGTACTTCTGCTGATGCATGTCAGTTGAAGCGTTTGAGGGATGGGACAGTTGAGCTGTACTGAGACATGGAATGAGTGTGCTGGGAGCAGATTGCGAAGTGGACTTGGGAAGTTCGCCTCAAAATGATGTTCGATTATGCTTATCGTGCAGAAAAGGTCTTTGGGCTTTCAACAACATTATCATCATCATCATCATCATAGCGACTGGTACGTTTTTCCAGTCTTCGCAACGAAGCATGGCATTTGCTTCTGAGGGGCGGAGATGGATGGATGGATGGTTGGTCATAAGAATAGTGTATTACTTCTTGTGTGTGTGCGTGAATCTCTCTTCAAAACCTCTCTCTTCACTCTCTCTTCTCAATCTTTCTTTCTCTCCAACAGATCCACCACCCAGGAATGGACCGAGTGACAGACCAAGGAGGATAGGTGGGTCCTTGAAAAAAGAAAACTCGTCATGTTTCTATCTCGAATGCCGCACAGCTACCTACCTACAAATATACCTAACCCTGACCTGATGACCCTGATTAACTAACTCCAATATGATCGATATATGATCCATATTCCTTTCTTCCTTTCCTGTCCATATATGCATACTAACTACTGCTGTTGTTGCCGTTGTTGTCGTAATTGTTGCTCTGATGCTGATGCTGATGATGCTGATGATGATGATTCCCCTCGCTCAAAATTCCCACAAAGCGTCGTAGCTAACCCCCCCTCCCCTTCCCAAAAAAAAACACAAAAAGAAAAGAGGAAAAAAAAAGGAAAAAGTCGTCAAGGCGTTTCAAAATACCTGGTCTGTCCCTTATCGTTCCTCCTTGATTGACGTGATTGATTGATTGTTGATATCCTCCTCCTTGCGCGAAGGACATCTCACAGCTATGGGGCCGCGTGTGGCTTCTCTTTCTCTTTCTCTTTCCTAGGGTACTCACTCACTGCACTCGTTCGCTCAATTCGTACTCTCACTCCATACCATTCTTGAGATTATCATATTTGCTCTGGGGATAGTCCAACACATTCTGTGACCGATCCGTCGTGAACTTGTCCTTGGTGAGTTGAACCAGACTCCTTCCAGCAGCAGTAGAATTCTTATCTCCATTCGCCTCCCACCACATGGCGCCTCCCAGTTTCATATCAGCAATATACTGGAGTTTCTGTTGAGCCATGGCCGGAGTATCATATGAGATCATGACCTGCGTAGCAGGATCGTAGGACCACGATGCGCCAATGACGGGATCGAAGTACTCGGTTGCTCCGGCTTGAGGGAGCGCCTTGTAATCCCAGACACCATTTTCCCAGCTTCCAGATCCCACACCGGTGTAGGGCGTGCCCGGGCCTTGCGTGGAAGTGAATGCGCGGCCGTAAAGTGGCATGCCGAGGGTGATCTTGCTGGGCGTGACGCCATTCTCGATGTACCATTTCACTGCAGTGTCGGTTGAGAAGGGTGTGCTCTTGGTGTTGACGGTGTCTGTGTACAAATTCGCCTGGTGTCCAGCGTTGTCGTCCCATGAACCGGCATAGTCGTAGGCCATAAGGTTCCAAAAGTCAATTGAGGCATCCATACCTACCACGTCAAGCTTTTCGTAGTTTGTTGGTCCGGCTGCGGTGGCCACTGTCAAGAGAAAGTGGGGGTTGGTGGAAAGTGTGGCGGCATAGGCGTCGAGGGCTGCTCGAACCGCTTTCAGAAGCAGTACAATGTTTGCGGATTGAGTGGAGTCCTGGGGGTACTCCCAATCAATGTCGATCCCATCGAATCCAAGGTCCTTCAGGAGCTCAACTGCCGAAGAAGCAAATGCTGCGCGGCCGGCTTCAGTCGATGCAGCGACCTGGAACTAGTTAGATTACTGACTCATCATCGATCTGGCTCTCACACTTACTGCGAAGTTGGCACTATATGTCCAGCCACCAATACTGAGCAGTGTCTTCATGTAGCGGTTCTGCTTTTTGAGAAGATAGAGCTGCTTCAAGCAGCCATACATATTCGTGCCTACGTCATTCCAACTGTCGCCTGCGTAGTGCTTCTCCAGATCGGCATATGTATCGCTGAGGTAGACCTCGCCAGTTTCAGGGCGCACATTGGCAAATGAGTATAGCACATGTGTGATCTTGTCGGCAGGAAGGTCTGCAGGCTGGAAGTTTCTCCCGTAGATGTCCCAGTTCGGATAGTACATGACGGTTCTGTACGGTGTCGTGCCATAGTCTGCTGGAGTCGAAGGAGAAGTCAATTCTGGGCTCGATGAGGAGGGAGCAGAGGCTGAAGAAGATGCGGAGGACGAGGATGGAGCAGGGGTCGAAGACGAAGCAGCAACCGGCGCCGATGTCGACGTCGACGTTGAAGCGGGTGTCGAGGGCCGAAGTGACTGGGCGTTGGCGGTCACTGTGATATAGACAGTGGTTGTCGCGGCATAGACCGTGGTCGTCGCGGCAAATGTTTCTTGGCGAGCGTCCAGTGCAATAATCCCGTCCTTCCCTACGACAGGCGTGGCATGGGCAGAAGTCGCCAAGACCGCTACGAGGGCAGTGTACAATCGCATGCTGAGAAACTCGCCACTGGGCATATTGAAAAAAGATGTAGAAGACGCTTGCAATCCTGCAACTTGGAGTGCGCCTCGTGCTTATATTCCTCTTAGACTAGTAGGTGAAGATGAGAGAGGGTGGCAGATGTGTCTGCAGCCATAGAAGCCGCACGGCCAGGTCGATCTCCACCCCGGAGGCATGCTGGTCTTTGGATCGCATGTCTATGTATTCCGCCCACGTCGTACTGGTCCCAAGGACAAACAATTTGTATGATCCGTGGATTGTGGTTGTCGTCAGGTGCGACTGCGTTCTGGAAGCATTCAAATTCCGAGACGGCGGCAGCGGCATGATGAGGTTCGGCAGCCCGCCGTTCGTGTGACCATTCCCTTGTGCCACCTCTTCTCTCCACCCTCGTGATTTTCGACCTTTCATGCGCCGCGATGCGGATACTTGCAGCTCGTGGCGACCGTGGAAATGATCCATAAGTGCTGTTGTTACCATGGATGGAGTCATTTCGCGGCGCCGACAAGTTCAGCAACACTTGCGTCGAGAACAACCCGATTGCGGTCGCAAAATATCATGTCCAAAACGTCTACAGCCGATCGGTCGTGTCAAACTACAGCCGGTTGACAGATGCCACAAGGCATGTCGTAAGGCGGTGGCTGCGGACTGCTGGCCGCCGTCAGTCTCGTCATTCCACAGCTTGCCTTGCCTTGCCTTGCGCATGAGTACTCGAGACTTCGAGAAACGCCTTGCTGACGATGTGTCTCAGCGTGGGAACTGTGGTTGATACCCTTTACGCGTATGATCTTCCGGCTGTGCATGAGGCCCTTTTCGGCTCCTGCTAACCTGCCTGCCATAGTGCCGGCAACCAGGTCGATACCATTTGCATGCAGGTACAAGCCGATTTTGCACAGCATCCCCTGCCGCGTAGCCAGCCTGTACCTCACGAGGACGGACAGTAGCAGAATGATGCCTCCACATGGGCTGAGTAACGCCAAGGCAGATGCTTCCTGTCCAGGCCAGCTGCAGACCACCTCGGCATATGTAGTTCTAGGCGCCCTGTCACAGCAGATGGTGATCCTCGTGAGCCTAGATCTTTGGTAGGTATGATAGTGCTCATGTTGCTACTGTTCCCGTGGAAGGCTACCTGCTCGAAGTATCTGCGTCACTCGCAGCTCGAAACCTGGTCGCAGAGCGACGAGGCACTTGTGGACACTTGTGAGGTTGGTGCGCAAGTGCAGAGATCAAGAGATTCGCGGTACCAGATACGTACATGATGTCTGCCACGTCAGTGTTCTCACCGTATTGCCAGAAACAAGTCTCACGAAATGGAAGTTTCGAGTCTGTACAATCGTGAGCGACCAACAACAATGCTGCACTTTCTTACCACCATCAGTGGCTTCATATTTTCGGAGCATGCTATCATATTCAGCTTCATCTATTCGTGGTTGTGTGGCGCTGATCGGTCATAAGATCTTTGATCTTCTGAATAAGCTGACTGTGACCGGACGTCCACCAGCTCTCAAACTCGGTTCTGATCATCATACTCGTGATCCCCGACGGGGCCATCGACCGAACGCCTTCAGTCTTAGTTCGATGACGGCCGTTTTCATGGCCTAGGCTACGCTGAGAACATGTGTGTCATAGCATAAGGATCTTGACAGTGCGTCGTGCATCGCGTTACCCTCAGAGCTGCTTGCCCATGAACTTTCTCTTCTGAAAGCTAAGCCACCACTGTGAATCCTGTTAGCCATCTCATCGACCCTCTACCAATTCGTGAAAGCAGCAATGCCATTCAGCCATCTCCCTCGCAACTCACCTTACTCGGCGGACCAGTAGGATCAGGATATACGCGGGCCAGTAACCTGACAGCCAACTCCTGTCTCATCTGCATCACATACTGCCTCAACACCTCCGCCTCGTTCCTATCCCTCGGTGGCTCAAACATCTGATTCAAGGGAAAGCCCGCATCACCCGGAATCGCAAATTGTGTCTCCAAAGCAGTGTTCATGACGCTCTTTTCCGCTTCTCGTTTCGTCTGCCCCGGCTTGATCTTCGACAACGCTTCCGAGACGTAGAGGATTCCGTAGATCAATACACGATCTGCTGGGCCTTTGATTTCGAAGTTTCGGAAGAAAGTGTTTGCGCGGAACAGCGCAAGCACTTCGTCTAAAGGGTCATATGACTCGTGTGAGGCTTCGATGTCGAGCTCGCTGGTACCAGCCGGGAGGCCAGGGAGTTGTTGGGCTGGTCCACGGGTGCGTGTCCGAAGTGGCAGAAGGGCGAAGTTGCCTATGAGCTGCTGATTGGGTTCGTCCAGGAAGACGGAGTGGTATGCTGGCATCTTTGGCGGCGCGAAGGTGGACGTACTCGTTCGTGCTGTTCCAATCGTGCTTGTCTGGTGGTCGAAATGAGAGCTTCCAATGTCGTTGTTAGTGTTCCGTGTTCAATGTTAGTGTCAATGTCAGTGTCAATATGGATGTAAGGCAGCGCAGGATAAGTGTCCTGGTAGGCGGCAGTCAAGTGGGGCCTCGATGAAGCTTCCAGCCTCGTGGTTCGAACGACGGCATCGCATCGCATCGCATCGCATCACAAGCGTCTTATCTCACTACCAACCTACGTCGCCATCTTGAAGACCACCACAAAGCACTCTGTACAATCCCCGAATCCATCGCCACCCCTCCTCTCATCCCTCACACACACAGAGTCACGGACAAACACCCGGCCAGGCGCCCGATCAGCAAACATGAAGCCCGTGGTATCAGGCAAGTCCCGACTCCATCTCCAGGTCCATGTCCTCACCGCAAGACGCTTTTACCATACTGACATCCTGTCTCAAACAGCATTCAACGCATGGACATGGTACGCGCATATTAACGCCGACGACGAACATCCCGTAGACAGGTCGATAGAACTAACACGGCAAACTTCCGCTCACAGCATCGTCATCTCCATCTTTGGCATCGTAATCCTCAGCACAATCGGGGGCATGTTCGCCACAAACCACCACAGCATGATGGGCGCAAACGATGACCCCGAAGATGGAAAAGCCGTGGCTACGGCTGTTTTTGGCGCGGTGGTTGTATACGCGGTACGTCTGACTCCATACATTCAAAACCGACAGCAAAGGCGGGATGGACCAGACAGACAGAGAGAGAAAGAGATAGACAAAAGGAGATGGACGGAACGAACGCCATAATATATCGCTGCATATGTGAGAGGAGATCAGCGAGCTAATTTTTGGGTCTTGCAACAATCATAGGCTTTCCTCCTCTTCTGCGGGTGTCAAGCTATGATCCATAAACGAGCATCTCGTCAGGGCGAAATCGCACTGCGGTAAGATATGATGATTACGGGGAAGGACTCGGTAGGAAAGAAGCTGGGCTGCCTGTGGAAGATTGGTACTTGGCAATTGAGATCCTGTTCAAAGGGAAGACGATATTCGCGTAGAGAGAGGAAGAAGAAGAGAAAGAAGAAGGAGAGGAGAAAGAGGCGGTGGTCTACATCCATCACAGGACGACCTGGACATATGAATAAATGGGACGTCTTGAGGGCGCAATAGAACCGGCAAGCAAACAAGACGTCAGGATATCTATGGTTAGGAAGATGAAACTGGCCGAATAGGCATTTCATAATCAGAGCGTTTTATCCGTTCGTCTGTCACGATAAGAGCATGTTCAAAATTACATTTACAATACATTCTTCAGGTTGCCCGTTCCATTTACGCTATGCTTCGACGTAAGCAACAGCGGCAACAGCGGAACATGGCTCTATGCAGGACTGGAGAGCAGAAGGCGTGATTTAGACTATTTCATTCGTTGCCTAGTTTTCGTTCAATGCCTATCTCAAGAGGCAGCAACTCTCATTGGAGAATGGAACTTGTGTCCTCCACAGGCCAAGGGATAAATGGGTCCCTGCTTCCCACCTCCTCAATCCCAGATGCAGTGTCTTTCTGCAACCTCCCTTGGCTTCCTGCAGCAACATTATTTGTGGGCCACTTTCACAGCCCTACTTGGCCGTGCTCATAGGGACATCCTAATCGATTACGTCTCCAGGAGCTTACGATAGGCAGCGGACGTTTCGTCTCGGCAATGGCTGGAGCGAAGAGTGTATCCTGATCCGTCGGTCGAAGCTCAGCAATTATAGCGCTCAGGCCGTGAGGTGGATTGTTTGATGGTCATTGGTACCAAAGCTTCTCGCGCAGCTGGGGCACTTTCTGTTGCGGTTCGAAATGAGGTCCTTGACGCAGTTGTGGCAGAACACATGGCCGCATGTCTTCAATACAGTATTTCGGATGTTTGCGGAACAGACTGGGCAAATGGCAACTTTCTGTTTTCTTCGTTAGCATGCATGCTTCTGGAAAACAGCAACAATGGAAAACTCACCCGCCAATCGTCCGAGTCTGCTGCATTCACTGCAGCCCTGCTCTTTCGAAGCGCATCGTACTGCTTCTTCGTGTCATCCAGCCGTGCTTTGCACTTCTCCAGATCCTCCTCGGCCTGGCGTTTTGCTTTCGATGTTCCGAGCACTTCCTTATCTCTGGCGGCCACGAGCGTCTTCAACTCTTCACTGCTCTTCTTAAGACCATCGCTGGCGAATGTGGCTTCTTTCAACTTCTGCTCGGCAGTGCGATGCTGCTGCTCCAGCTTCGTGTAAGCTTCTTTCGATTCGGCCAGCTGACGTTCGTAGTTGCTGCAGAGATCTTTGGCCTTTGCTGCCTCGTCCTTGAGTTGGGTTACGATCTCGCTTGACCGCGAGTTTTGCGACTTGGCGGTTCGAAGTTGTGCTTCCTGCGTGTCTTTGGCCTTCATCGCTCCAAAGTACTTGTGGTCAGCTTTCGCCTTTTCAGCAGCCAAACGCGAGAGCTGGTCCTCCCAATGAGCGATATCTTCTATCTTCTTATTCGCCGTTGCTTGCAGCTTTCTCCAGGCTGCCTCTAATGATGGCAATTCGTTCGCAAGCAGCGAGTATTGATTTGTAAGAGTTTGCACCTTTGCTCTCAAAGCATCCACGTCCAGACCGTCCAGATCTAGCTCTGCCGCTTCGGCCTCTCCGAGCTGTAGTTCCAGTCGCTGTACCTTTGACTCCAAAGCTGATATCCTCGAATCTTTGGCTTCAGCCACCTCCTGCGCCAATGCTAGAGATGACTTGGGGATGTCGTCCGAAGCTTTCAGAACTGCCAATTCTGAGTTCAATTGGTCGCGCGCGTGCCGAATGCGTGCCAGGTCTGTCTCCGCGCGTGCGTTCGCTGCCTCGACTTCTGAGATATGGTTCCTGGTCTCCTCCTCCACTTGCGTTCGTGTCGCGGCTCTCTCGGCCTGCAATTTCTGCGTCTCTTCCCGGAGCTGCTTGTTGAATGCCTCTAGATCGTTCACACGCTTCACAACATCCTCATACATCGATTTGAGGATCTTGTAGTGCGAAGTCTCCATGTAATCGTCGTCCGTGAGACTGGCAAGCTTTGTCCTCGCAGCACTGAGTTCGTTTGTAAGACGCTCGTTCTCGACCTCAATCTCTTCGACCTGGGCTTTCTGCTTATCCGCGATAGCAATGGCCTCCTTGCGCAGCGCTTCAGCCTCTGCGGTATCGACACCATTCTCGAGCTCGCCATTACTATCCCCGTGCTCGCGCTTGGGCAGCGCAGCGGCTTTCGAGGTAGTCGGAGATGTACCATCACCATTGCTACCCATGATCGCCTGCCTCTCAAGCTTCTGTACTTGGCTACTTTTGGCGCGATCCAGCTTGCGTTCAGCGGTCATGTACCGACCCATGGCGGCTTCGAGACGCTCATACATGGACTCCTTCTCGTCAATGGCCTTTTTGAGCTCAACCGCATGCTCTTTCTCCCGAGCGAGCAATTCGCCAAGGCGCCTCTGCAGCTGCTCTTCTGAGGGCGAAGAGGCTGAGGGCACTTTGGCGAAGAGATCCTTAATAGCATTCTTGAGGTTGGCAGACCGGGCCTTGAGATGCGCAGAGAACGACTCCACGTCGTCAAAGTGGAGGGCTCTGTTGTATATCTCTTCCCCTGCGCAAGTTCTCAGTATGGTATATTCTCACGTGACAGGGAGGAAGGGTGGTGGCATACCGATGATCGCAGATGTTGCGCTGGGCGGCGGTGTCGGGAGCTCGTCGCCAACTCGGATGCGGATCTCGTCGAGGAGTTGAGACCACCAGGCGTCGACCACTCGGATATGGTCGTCATGGTAGGTGACCTTGCGCTGAAGCTCAACCAGCTGTTCGTCAGCATCGCGCTTCTGGCGCTTATACTCCTTCAGCTGCCGTATGATGGCGTCTTTCTGGTAGTCCTATATGACACCTGATCAGCGGATTCGTTGCGTGGAATGCACGCTGAGAGAGGGAGGAGGCACGAACCTCGACCTGCTTTTCCTTGTCCTCGTCCATGCGCATCGTGGCGCCATTTTCATCCTTGAGGCGCTTGCGACTCGGGGCCAGATCCTCGACATCATTCATGAGTGACCGCTTCCGGTCTTCCATCGCAGTTTTGGATAGAGATGGGAGCGCGGGCAGCACGGTCTTGGTGGCGGTCATTTGAGAAGGTCAATCAGGCTGCTGGGAGGATTACTTCTGCCGCGGGGGCCATGTGCGCAGGTGGGAGGGCGCGCGTCAGACGTGCATATGTGTAGGATGTGTGAATCCAGCGGGCGCCGATAAACGCTATAGATGTCGGCAGTCCGGTGCGCGGGCAGTGGTTGTTGAGTTGGTGTTTTATTGAAGAGGGCTGAGAAAGGAGTTGACTCGTCGGTTCAGAGGAGGGTACAAGGAATCGGCGAGAGACATGCCGATCCGGGCACTAGTTTCTACTGCTCCTACTCCCTCTCATTCACCCACATGTACAACCAACTGACCAACTGACATGGACAATCTATAACGCACAAGCAGCAGGCAGCTACTCCGCTCCAATGGTCCTCTTCACGTCTGCTGCGCCAGGCAAGAAAGCCGCGCCGAAAGCAGCTCCGCGACGCAGACCGCAACCGCAACCGCAACCAGCCCTTCCAGCGCAGCAGCAATCCACTCCTGCTCCGACTCCCAGCGATGCGCCTGGCGTGGTGCTGCCCTCCAGCAGCAGCAGCATCATTGATGTGCCGCCTTCTGAGCAGGCAGAGCAGCCAGTGCTGCAAACCCAGCCTGAGGGAGCAGTCGAGCGGGCGCAGACCCTATCAGTTCCCGAAGTAGCGATCCAGGCTGTCGCTGCGCCGACACCTACGCCTGTAGTCTTGCAATCGCCTCCCCCAACGCCTATCGCACTCTCGGGAGCTGAGCCTGTGGCTGCAGCAGCAGTGGAGGCAGCGCAACCGACCCCACCGCCGACCCAAGCGCAGAGTGCACCCAGAGCGTCAGATGACACCGCGAGTACAGCAGTAGGGTCACAATCTGCGTCACATGAGTTGAGCACTGAAGCCTCCGTCGCCGGCGCGGAGCAACGCTTTGAGGACTACTACGTAGCTCAAGGTCCTGGTGCCGAAAGTGCAGAACCAGAAACACAAGCAGCACCTGTAGAGCCCCTTCAAACGAGGAAGTCAAAATCGACTCGGCGTGTAAGTGCAGCACAAGTACCTGAATCAGCATCTAGTCAAGTGCCCAAAGCGAACGCTGCCACGAAGCGCAGAGCACGCGCCGCGCCAGCGAGCACATCTGATGCACCACGACCAGCGAAACGAAGTAGGCGTGCTGAACTGACCGAACCTTCCACAACTTCCTCTGTGGAGCATCAAGATTCCAGCACGGTTTCCGAACCAGAGGCAGCTCAGGATGGGGATACTGGTGCCGCGCACGGCGACGAGACCCCAGCTCGTAGTCGGCGCAAGCAGCCCTCTCGACGGACGGCGCCGGGAAAAACAAAAGCAACAGTGGAAAGGGGCCAGAAAGCAGGGAAAAGACGAAAAGCTCCTACAAAAAGCTCGGAAATGATTGTGGACTCAGACGACGAGAATGAAGTTACGGACACTGTAGCTACGCCAACTTCGGAGCAGGAGCAGGAGCAGGAGCAGGAGCAGGAGCAGGAGGAGCAGGAGGATCCAGAATCGGCCGCAGAAGTGGAGGAAGGACGAGCAGCTCGTCAAAGGCAGAAGAGGGTCAGAACAGAACCAAAGCCGAAGAAGCCGAAATTACGGAAGCGAAGAATACGCCGGTCTCCTGTAGAAGGCGAGGAAGAGGAGCGAGAAGAAGACAGTGGATCTGACCCGGAGCTTCATGAGATCGACCCCAATGCTGTGTCCATGTGGGATCTTAGTCACGACGCGTTCCACGGTAAAATGTCGGAACGAGGCAAGGCGATGGAGGTCATAGATTGGGAGGCCGAGAAGGCAAAGCGGCGTGCAGCGGCGGACCTGATCGCGAGTGGAGGACAACCGGCCGCTGCTGAAGGCGCTACTGACGGCACAGCAGAGGGTGTAGTGCCGTCTACTGAGGGACCAAATGGTACCGCTGTTCCAGCAGCAGAAAACGCAGAGGGGACCGAGCAGACCGATCAGATAGGTGCAGCGCCGGACCCTCCTGCTCCTGAACCACAAGCTGCCGAGGCAGAACTTGCTCCTGCTGGGGATGACGAGGGCGATGGCATCGGCTTCATAGTGGACGACGACGGCAACATTATCGAAGATCCTACGACGCTCGTGGTCAATAGGCAAGCAGAAGCCATGGCTGCTGCAGCCGCTGATCGTCCCGTGGAGGAGATCAATGACCTGACAACACTCAACAACCGAACCACCTGGATCAACACAAATCGCCGCGAGCCCACAGATCGAGTGCCACTCTGGAAGTGGAAGAGTGATCCATGGTCAGAGGAGCAGACTGACGAGTTTTACGATGCGCTGCGAATGTTTGGTACCGATTTTCTCATCATAAGCAAGATGTTCCCTCCGAAAACCAGACGCATGATTAAGGCCAAGTTTACGCGAGAAGAGAAGCTGGACCCGCAACGAATCAATAGAGCGTTGAATGGCGAAGAGACTCGCAAGCTGGATCTAGACTATTACGCGCAGAAGACGGCTCGCGACATTTCCGTGTTCACCAAGTATGATAGCCTGAAGGACGCGCAAGATAAGATTGGCGATGAGATGAAAGAGCGACACGCCGAGCTGGCTACTGCTGCAGCCCAAGAGGAACAGCGCGAAGCCGAGAAGCGCATACAAGAGACTCTGCAAAAGTCGAAACAGGTCAAGAAGGCTCGCAAAGGCAAGAAGGGCGTGGGTGGCTTTGGTGGTTTCGGTGGGGGAGGAGGTCCAGATGCTGGCGACTGAAGGGCATGCGAATGAATATACACCCGTTCCGTCGGCTAACTCGGCAGACCTCAATAAAATAATAACACCTGCCTGATCTGACGTTCACTTGGCATTGCCGACAAACCTGCTCCATGTGCATCCTTCCAGATTTCGATGCTATACGTGGCTCCACAACATCTCGCGAGCATGACATACACAGCCACTCTCCTCCACCTTAGGGCTCATGCAAACATTGTCATCAGATATGTGTCGCAATCTTGCTGTAGAGAAGAGGGGGGGGGGGATGAGAGCTAGAGAGAGAGAGAGAGGGCTGTCCGAGTCCATGTCCGAGGTCGGTATCAAGAAGAAACGAGTTGAAGTGGTAAACAACAGATACCTTAGTATCCAATACTACCTACCGTACCTAGGTAGGTACCTATATATAGGTACTGATGATTTGATAAAATGAATAAATGAATAAATGCAGAGGTAGAGTTAAGAATCGCATTATTCAATCTACATGAGGTATCTATCTGAGATGAATCTTTGGAGCACAAGATATAGATACCTACCTTACTCGTCGTCTTATTTCAGGCGGGCTCTCGTCGGTCTCTGACTACATGTAAGGCGAGGTGAGGTAGACAACTTACATTTAGGTACAATCAACCTCATCAATCGAGGAAGGAAGGACTTTTTTTCCCTTTTTCTTGTGTTTTGTAGTAGGTACATACCTTACTGTATATTGTAATAAGGTAGGTAACTTGCAGATGGAACAGCGTCAGATAGCAAAGTTCCCGCGTTCAGCGCGTTTAGCGGATTTCCCCCAAAAAATCGAGGAGGGAATTTCTTTTTTTTTGGCGTATGCGTAGGCGTAGACGTACTTGAGGCTGAGGCTGTGAGGGTTATAGGTATAAGGTACAGGTCAGTCGGAGGCTGTACATGTAGTTAGTAGCTAAGGTAGGGGTCGACAGAATATAATCAATATATGTTTACCTTGTTAGTTAAGGTACATATATACCTTAGGTACCTACCTGTACCTGTACCTATAGGTATATGTTGATAGTATAAGGGACTAATCATTACGAGACTACATTTGTATACCTTAGGTAAGGTAGGTATAGTATGTATATATGGTTCCTAGGTACCTGACTAACTTGGCTCTAGCTAAACTGACACAGCGAAACGTTTGCGTAAGCTATCTACAGTATATCATCCTCCCAGACCTCAGGTAGACACCGATCAATGATTCCTTGTTATATATTACCTAGTCCCCCGCCTCATCCCCATCCCCTCCACCCCCCATGCATGGTCGCATGAGCAAAAAAGCAAAAGAAATGGCTGACACCACTTTAGCCCACTAACCTGGACACCTCTCACGACATGCCACGTGCATCCGGTCCGGTCGGTGCCTGGCCAGGGTCCTTTTTCCGAATGAATAATAAGCAAAGAAGTAGGGGAAGAAGAGAGGGGGACAAAGGGGTCGAGGAAGAAGTCGTAGATTGTTGCTGTTGCTGTTTGCTGATGACAACGCATAAGGTAGGTATGTGGTAAGGTACCTACAGGGTACATGTACCTCAACTCAGGTGTAGTAATTTTGGCACCCCTTTCATAGGCTTCACCACCAACACCGGCGTCACGTCACCCATCCAGTCATTCATCCCATCTATCCATGATCCACTTGTTCGTTCATTCATTCATTCACTCGTTCATCCCCTTGCCGCCACCAAACTTTGAACGTTTCCGCCCCACGTGTACTCGCAGGGAAGTTGGAAAGGTACATACCCTGCACGCCTGCTGCAAATGCGGGCAACCTTTCCCCATGTTGACTTTTCTTTTTTTCTTTTTTTCTTTTCCCGATTTCCTTGTTGTTGGTTTGGTGTGGTGAGATCGGATGAATCATCAGCAGCCTGGTTTGGTTTGGTTGCATTTGCCTTTTTTTTTCTTTTTTCCAAATCGTGGGCCGCCTGCAGAACCGTTGGGGAGAAATTTCGGGTGTTACCTCTGTACCTTACCTACTGTAGGTAAGGGTAAAGAGGGAGGGAACTGGCTGGCTGTGGTCTCCAAAAACACCCGATCTTGCGCTGCAGTGTTTGTGACAACAAACACCTTTGGCTGTCTGTCTGTCTGTCCTGTGGGGCTTTTGGTGTGTGCGTGTCGATAACAGTGTCGGTGACGTGTTTGTTGCGAAGTGGTGTCCAGTCGTCTTCATCTTCTTCAACAACAACAACGACAACGAAGAGACATGGATTTCGTCGTCCTGCCAATAGATGTGTGTGTATGTCGGTAGTGACGACGTAGAGTAGTAGGGATTTTCGATCTTCATAGACTCAATGATCTCGTGTGATGGGGGAGTCCAATGTACATGATCATTGGGCCCTCAAGTAAGGTCAGGTAAGGTAGGTTAGGTAGGTATAGATCTCCCGGATGGTAAGCCTTGCCAGGTCAATCAAAGTACTGTAAGGTATGTCGTAGTCGTAGTAGTAGAACCCTCGAACTGCCCCTCCACCCCAGCAGCAGTACCATGATGCAAAAGAACTGTCCCCTTTGGCAGTCAAGGTAACTGGAAGGGGAAAAAGCAACAAAGAACATCACGTTCGTTGCGAGGCTTGCGGGTCGTCGAAATCGGGAAAGGAGACGTAGCCGTCACGTTTCACTTTGCAATCTTCCCAGCTGGTTCTTCGTCCGCCACCATTGACTCCCGGCGACGGTAAAGGGCTCGTGGGACTTTTCCGACCGGGAGACGATGCTCGTGAGGCCACACTGGCTAGGACCAATGTGGCATTGACTTGTCGCGAGGAGGCGGTCTGGTCGCGTTGAGCACTGTAGGAGTCTTGTCGGCTCAAGTGCGGCGGTGCACTGGACTTCTTCAAGGCGGACTGGGAGATTTTGACAGCCATGCTGATATATGGTGTGGGTGTGTATGAGTGGGTGTTGATATGTAGTGGGTGTTTCTCAATTGGCGGTCTGTACTATCAGGTAGTCGGATATAGTCGGGATGCTTCTTCCTTCAGTCGCGAGGTCGCCGAATGATAGCGACTCAATGAAGGCCAAGTCACAGGAGTGTCACATGGAGGAAAAGGGTTGTTGGGTGAGGAGGAGGAGGAGGAGGAGGGGAAAGCAGAGACGGAGGAGAGAGAGGTGAACATGTAGTAATAATAATCGTGGTAGCCACTGGGCAGAGACGGGAGACAGAGGGAGAGAGGCAGCATACAGGTAATCATCAGGTAATCATCATCATCAGATAATAAATGATGAGGGCGGTACGTAGGTACCTCCGACATGCCATGTCACTTTGTCGTGCTGGCCTTACGCCTGCAGCACGCCACCAGCAAATCGGCATCGGTTGCGTACCGCCTTTTGGGCCTCCTGGCAGGACACTACCAAACTACCTCCTACAGCCTCTACAGCTAATGTACCTCCTCCTCCCTACACGAGTCTAGTCGACAGGTCGGGTACCTCCCGTCGATACGTACATACCTGACAAGTACATACCTGACAAGTACATACCTGACAAGTACACACGCATACACGCACACACGCACAGTCACACATACGCCCACTGCACACACAGACCTACAGTATGTACCTGTTCGCTGGCACTCAGAACCGGCCCGGCCATGAACTCCCGTGGGGCTCCCGTTCGTCTAAAATAAGTCAAGGCACATGTGCATCGCCGCAGCATCGGTACGATAAGTCCCTCTCCCCTCCTGCTTCCGCCGCGGCACTTATTGCATAGGTAGGTAGTTCAGGTTCTAGATCTTGTATCTAGCAGTACGTACCCACTTGCACTTCACCACGCCGGAAAGGCGAGCGGAAACGGGTGATGACACGCATCTCTCTATCTCTCTCTCTCTGCGCCTCTCTCTCTCTCTCTGTGCCTCTCCGCATCGTGGGATCCAGGTGGCACGACTCATCATTCACCACGCCGCATCTGCACTCTGCACTCTGCACACTCTGCACACAGTGCACACTGCAGTAGTATGGAGAACAAGCAGCCAGGAATGGCATGCCGAAAGGGCAGCCTAGTCGGGCCCGTTATTCCCGAGAGCGAGAAAAATCATGGATGACATTTTCTCCACTCTACACTCTACACAGATCAACAAACAAACAAAAAGGTTCTAGATGCAGCAGGCGTCGTCGTCGCGGGCACCTAAAACTGCCGGTGATTTGATCAGGAACCTGCAGCTACATAGGTACTTAGGTACAGAGGAGACTGAAGAGACCAGAGGTTGCCAAGGGCTGACGCTGGGGGGGAAGAGTCAGTCGTGTCGTGTGTCGTGTGCTCTGTGTCGTGTATCCTGTATCCTGTATCGTGTATCTATCGATTTTGCACAGCAACAAAGACTCGTCGAAGAAGAATCGGACTACGGTGCGTGCATTAGTATATTGGACTAGGTAGGGAAGAAGTGGAGGAGGGGATCAGACCAAAAGGCGGTGATTTCCGATAGGGGGACTCTGCCTGCCTGTCTCTCTCTCTCTCTCTTTCTTGGAGGGGGGGCCAGCTTGTTTGACGTGTACACCGACTTGTCAACTGACTGTGACTGTTTGTTTTTGTTCGAAAGAGGAAAAAGCTGGTTGGTGCGAGGGTTGGGTTGAGTTGGGTTGGTTTTGGTTTGGTCGGGTTGTTCATGGATTTGTGGTTTTGCCGAGTCCTGCCCGGCCAGTGCAGTTTGTGTACATGCCCGCCTTACTACAGGTACCCATCTTACAGTACGTTCGCCGAGTACGGAGTGCGCACCGACAGACTGACTTCGAGGACCCGCTGCTCTGGGTAAGGTAGGTAAGGTAGGAGGTAGGTAGTCAGACGGTCTTTATGGTGGTGTGAACCGCTGCTGCAGCCACTGATCGCACGCCGGCTTATCGCAGTCCTGGGACACTGGGGGGAAGCAAGATCACGATGACGGGAAAATTTCACTCTTTGGAGCAGTTGATGGGCATTGGTAGTGCAATAATACTGAAGGTAATCATCATCACCATCATCATCATTGTCGTCGTCGTTTTCGTCGTCCTCGTCATCTCCATCACACACCCTATTTTTCCATCTCTTGCGCTCACGCTCACTCTCACGCTCATGCTCACGCGGCTTACGTTGATCATGAGGAAAGGGAGGATCTACAGTCTCACCCATGTGCTGCACGCACTTTTTCTTCTGAGCTGGTGGGCTCTATGATCTGCACTTCCAAAAGGGCTGAAACCTGTATCGAAGTGCTTCCTTGCTCTGGACCTCGCTTGTCACGACAAGTTCTGCATATGTCCAAGTACGTGGTCATCAATGCTTTGACACATCTTTTGTTAGCTTATGGCAGCCTCTGTGGTGAGTGAGCTGACGTGACTTACATCGACATCTTCCCAGGCTCGGCCTTGCACGTTGTCGAGCTCTTCGACCGTCATGATCTTTCCGTTGGTGACTATGATAATCACAAGTAGTCAGCATGGAGCTGCGTCGTGTGAAGACTCGCCCGTCAGGTAGGAAGGTACATGTACTTACAGTAGCCAGCATGAATCTTGGCATCAATCTCAACTCGGCTATCCTCCGGAATCATCTCGTCTGGAATTGGCACTCTCTCGTGAATCGGAATGCCTTGCTCGACAATGGCATCATGCTTCATGTTGGACATGGACAGCATCCGGTCAATCTTAGTAATGCCGAGCCAATGCAGAATGTCGGGCATGAGCGCTTGGAAGCGCATGTCCTTCACTCCAGCAATATTCTCGGTTCGCTTGAAGTACTCACTGGCCTTGTCGGAACCACGCTTGCGTGCATTGTACACCAAGTACTTGGTGACCTCGCCCAACGCACGACCTTCCTTGCGGAAGTAGATGACGACGCCGCTACCCCCTCTTTGTGCTTCTTTCACTGCTTCCTCGATACCAAAGATCAAGTATGGCCGGCACGTGCAGATGTCTGACCCAAACACATCCGACCCGTTACACTCATCGTGCACACGCAGGGCAAGCTTGGAGTTCGGGTCGCTCATCTTCTTCGGATCCCCGAAGCAGTACACAGTGAGGCCTCCGATCGGGGGAAGGAACAGCTTGATGTCGTTTCTAGTGATGAGCTCAGGGTAGCTACCACCAGTATGTTCGAACAGCGATCGTCGTAGACTACCCTCGTCAATGCCGAAACGTTCCGCCACACCGGGTAGATACCATGTCGGCTCCACTGCGAATTTGGTGACATTCAGCTCGCCAGATTCGTTCAGGCAGATTTTTCCGTCGGGTACCAAGCGACCTTTGCGTACACTTTCGGCAAGTTCGGGCAAGATCATATGCGCTTTAGTCACTGCGATCGTGGGTCGAATCTCGACATTCTCGTTCTTGATGTAGTCATTGTACAACCACGGTGCGAGATGTCCCCAAGGATCCATTGCAACGATTTTCTTGGGGTCATACCATGCAGGAAACGGTCCGATATCCGCAGCGGGCTCAGTGTTGGTGAAATCAGGCTTGTGATCAGTGTCCATCTGCTTACTCGCGACTGCAAGTGCGTAATAGATACTGTACGAGCCTCCGTGAGCCCCAATCGCATTACGTCGCCGAATGGTAGAAGGATTGCGTGAGACTACTACTGGACCACGTTTGGCTGCATCGCGTGAGCCCCATTCCATAGGCGCAGGATCTACACCTGCTTGACCAGGATACGAGGTGAGGATGATCTTTGAAGTGACCGTGCTGGGTCGTCGGGCTGAAGGTGAGGCTGCCTGCTCGGTAGAAGTGCTGTTGGCATCCTTAACCAGTGCGTCATTCGAACCAATGCTGTCTCGCTCCGCAAGTCCTTGGGGGGCAAGCTTCGGACTGCTGGGGCCTAGATGAGGGCTTGGATAGCTCGCATCGTGAGCAATCCCATTCTGCGCCTGCTTGACACCAGCTAGGGCATTGACACGTCCGTTGATAGACTCCACGGTAGAGCTCAGCGAGTTGTGATTCTGCCGTAGATCGGTCTGTCCGTGTTCCAGCTTCGTGAGTTTCTCGAGGATCACGTCTAGCTTGCCAGCCATGTCGGATGGTATTGCGGTCATCTTGTCTGTTGATGGTAAGGACAGGCTGCTGGCGGGGGGAGGGGCAAGACGTTGGGGGAGAAAGCGAGTCTGATCAGGCCGAAAGAGGGTGATGAGTTTCGACGAAGAGATGGTATAGGTGTCACAATATGGCTGATCACAAGCCAAACGTAGAGAACAACAGAGAATATGTCGGCAAGGCGTAGAGGTTGCTACGTATAGAATAATATATGAGTGCTTCCGATAGGCCACCGCTGATAACCGGTAGGAGATCGCCGTTCCTCCTAGCGTACTGTGCGGACGTCCGCAGGAGGAGGAGGAGGTGGCGGCTGAAACACGAAGACACGTGATCGAAAGTGCTAATGCTCACGTTCGCTGAGTCAGGCTCGGAACGCCGGGAGCGGGGCTCTCGGAGTGCTCAGAGTCAGAGCGGGTCCAGTCAAATGGAGCCAAGCGTCATTCCTCACATTCCATTATCAGATTCGCAAGGGTCAACAACGGAACCGCTTAAAGCTTTCATCAACGAGCACTCAGCAACAGACACAACCTTCTTTCCACGACACAATCACGACACAATCACCACACAACCAACAGACTGCATTAGACATGGTGGGTACAGCATGCTATCGCCCATATCGACAGGATAATAACAATTACAGGGTAAACGCAAGGCTGCAAAGCGCGAAGGACCTAAGAAGAAGGTATGTACCTACCTAATAGACGCTGCCATGCGCCAACGCCCGTCGCAGTCCAGCGCTGACTCTTTCTAGCGTGAAGCACTCGCAACTTCCTTCAAGTGTGTCTTCTGCAACCACGAGACCTCAGTCAGCGTCAAAATCGATAAAAAGATGGGTGTCGGCAACTTGAGCTGCAAATCATGTGGACAAAACTTCCAGACGAGCACAAATTGTATGCGCAATACTCTCAATCATGTCGCGAGCATACACTGACCACTTACAGACCTCAGCTCCGCTGTCGACGTGTATTCTGACTGGATCGACGCCTGCGAAACTGTCGCCAAAGAGACGGCCGGTCCGCCTGCTCCTGCCTCCTCTTTCCGAGAACCACAAACCTCTGCGCCGCGCGCAGGCCTGGCGCCTGGAGAGAAATACACCGATGAAGATGCCGGGTTTATAGACGATGAAGACGCGGACGCTGAGGCTGATTATGCCGATTGAGCATTCTACGGTTTCGCGGCGGGATGTGTCGACGAGCGCTGCTCCACGCCAAAAGAGAAAGGAAAGGGTATATTCGAAACGCAACAAGCACCTCCACCGTCTCGGGGAACGGGATCGCGCACTTTTGCAGCATTATCTATAGATATGCACACATGTGTGCAGGAAGACGAAGGACCACGCGACCCTGAGAGCACGGGTTTGAGGTTGGTAGGGATGAGTCGTCCATAAATAAAGGTTCGGCCCCAGTTTATGGATGATCGGCAGGGCCAACATCGGCCGACTTGCCATCTGGAGTTCCCGCTCCGTACGCGAGGGAATGACGATAGTACCTTATGATACATATCCAACCTCCTACCAGGTCAGGTCTGCTGAGACAGAAACATCAATCTCGCGCAATTTGCGCTTGGCATTCTTCTGTAGTGCATCATTGTGGCTCACGTGTGTGACACACACAAGACGGCAATGAGGCAAAGTGGATAAAACAAAGAAATATGATAAGGAATTCGAGTTCACATGACATGCATTAAGATTGAGGTATGTGAGATTTCGTACTGCTCCTTCACTTCGGTGTCTTTTGCGGTACGCTTGCAGGCCGACACCCAGCATTCACTGCACCCAGCGCAACTGCCAAAGGCACATCTGCATGAACATGGCTAAATCACCTCACAGTCAACATTCACATTGCGGCTAGAGACGAGACTTTCCAGGCAGCGTGTTCGTGGAAATCATATCTACACACAGTCATCGAATCAGTCCTGATACGGAAACTTTGCTCGCGATGGACGATGCAGCTGAAAAGTCTACTGAGCTCCCAGGAGCGCCATCCAACATATCTGCTGGGCGGAGGACCAGTGAGCGGCCTGGTACACCGGCTACGGCGACCTCAGAAGCACCAACGTTGATACGGGAGTTTCGGACAGAGCCCAAATGGCTCGACAGAGATCATGAGAAAACTGGTGGCAGTGAAGCCGCGGACTGGCGAAAGGAATTCGTGAAAGTGATTGAGGAGTACACCAAAGACATGACCACGACTGAACGCACAGAGTTCTTTGAGGCCTGCATAACTCGAAATAAGGATCGCTATATTCAGACCTTTGCCGCATATTACGGAATGCATCCAGAGCACATTCCTGATCGCCCGGGAGGAGTAAAGAGCACCAAGAAGGAGCGGGACGGCATGGTCGAGAGCCCAGAAGTGTTTGAGAAACAAAAGAAGCTCTTCAAGGTGTGTGGAGTCTGCAGAGATTGATGCCGTTGTCCACCGACATTGTGTAGGACGTGAGCGAGTGATGTGCTGACAGTGCGTAGACAACATGGCTTAGAACCAATGAAGAAGATCCCTTCTGTTCGAAGCAAGCCCCTCTAAACGAAGTTACAACTGGGCCCAGGAACGAGTCGGATCCATGCGCAGAGCCACCGAACTGCCAGCACTGTAGGAAAGGCGAGCAGAAGCAGAAGTGGCTCGCCCCAATCAAGAGTATCAGGAAGGCACTATCGAAGAAGTCTCAAGTCCAGCTCGGTGTTACTCCAGCTACGATCCTGCAGGACGACGTTACAGTGTCAACGGCTCGTCTTCCCAGGGCTTCCATCAAAGATGAGGATATTAGCGGTCGTTCGTCGCTCAAAGAGCTGTCGACACCGCGGGGCAGACCTCCGATGTGGCCTCCTACAGAACATGCACAGCATGTCGAGCAGCAGGCCTAGCAGCCGATCCACATCAAGGGTCACAGGTAGAATACAGCTCCAGAAGGTATGCCTACTGCGGTCTGAAAGTATGCCAATACTTCCACCAACCAGGATTCCACGCAGACTCGAAAATCCCACGCCCCAAGACTGCATGCGATATTCCTGACTACGACATTGCTCTTTCTATGCTCTCCTGGACCCGATCAGCACAGGTCCTCACTTCGGAGCATGGAATGAAGACCGAGCATTGATTGAGACACATCGAAACCATGTTGCATTGAGCAGAACATCACACGAAGGAGGGCGCAATACATGGGACTCGAGCGAAAGCAAACCATGAGTCTGGAGAAGGCACCAAAGTACATCGACATGTTCTAAAGAGCTCATAACGTACATACACGGGCCTTGAAATAAATAAATTTCAACTCAGGTAAACCGCTACCTCCCGTCCCAAGGAAATGATGTATCGACAGTATCGTCCTTGCATGTAGATGTATCTAGCCAAGATTGGTATAGAGCTTCAAACAAGGACTAGTCGGGCTTACGTCACCAGGGACCCGTCCAAGGGACACTTTCAGGACTGCCAAAGTTCCACTGCACTACATGTACGTGTATACCTTATGACTTCTATATTTACACTTTTATCCCTATACCATGTCAGCCCACTGAACACGTCTTATGGACCATGACGATGAGCACGGGGTGCGGGCTCCCCGCTACGATGGAGAGGATGTCTCGCCAACAAGTGAGGCGGAGCTGAGAGGCTGGTATTCCACAGGTCTGGCGGCGGAAATATATGCTGTCTGTGGAGTCGGTATGTCGCCAAAACCATCGATATATGATCAGTACTGGTGTTGATCACTCTCCTTTGTGCAGGATCATTTGCGCCTGTGACTTTAGAGCAACTTGCGAGGGAAGCTGGCGTGCTGCGGTCCGATGGAGTGACACCATGTATTCAACAGCACGAGAATGCCACCAGGTTTACCAGAATCGTTCGCAGTGCCGTTGAGTCACTACTGATCACGCGCGACGAGGGCGATGTGAGCAGTCAATGCATCATTAAGCCCTTTGGTCGGACCATGGCTACCAGCAGCTTCGCCCTCTACACGTTCTCCATCGCCGTGCTCGTACAGGCGTTGGTTTTGATCTCCTTCAGTCCTGTGGCAGATTATGGCACGTACCGCAAGAGATTGCTCCTGAGCTTTGCTTTCGTGGGCGCGGGGGCTACAATGGCCATGGTTCTGGTATGGCCAGGAATCTACCTTGTTGGATCTCTTTTCACCATCGTTGGCGTGGTTTGCCTTGGGTCCACATTTGTGTTGCTCAACTCCTATCTCCCCTTGTTGGCTTCCAACCACTCCCAGGTGAGGGCAAAATCTCACGAGAGTCTTTCTCAAGCTGGAACACATAGGCCCGTCACCTCGCCGGAATTAAAGCTTTCGACGCAGATTTCTTCTCGAGGCGTGGGTCTGGGTTATGCAGCAGCGGTCTCGACACAGGTGCTGAGCATCGGACTACTCGTGCTGCTCAAAAAAGCCCACTTCACATCTGAGTCCACGCCTCTCCGTGTCGTGCTTCTCTTCGGCGGCATCTGCTGGTTTCTGCTGACCTTGCCGGGTGCACTCTGGCTTCGCAACCGACCGGGCCCGCCACTGCGCATCATTGAGCCCTGGAAGTCGAAGCTACCCATTGCTTTGCAGTATGCCCGATTCGCATGGTTGTCTGTCTGGACGACAGTGAAAATTGCTGCGAAGCTGCGACAGACCTGGATCTTTCTGATCGCCTGGTTCTTGCTATCGGACGCCATTGCCACCGTCAGTGGCACAGCCATCCTATTCGCACGGACCGAGTTACACATGGGCACGATACCTATCGCGCTCCTGTCAATCACTTCGATCGGCTCCGGACTGGCTGGAGCCTTCGCCTGGCCCATCATCTCGAGACGCTACGGACTCGCCACGAAACAGACGATTATCGCCTGCATGATTCTCATGGAAATCATCCCCTTTTACGGCTTACTCGGCTTCATCCCTTTCATCCAATCTCTCGGATTTCTCGGTCTCCAACAAATCTGGGAAATCTACCCCTTGGGCTTCGTCCACGGCTTCGTCATGGGTGGTCTATCATCCTACTGCCGCGCCTTCTACGGCGAAATCATCCCTCCCGGCTCCGAAGCCGCCTTTTACGCTCTCTACGCCATCACTGACAAAGGTAGCTCCGCCGTTGGCCCCGCCATCGTCGGAGCAATTGTCGATGGACTCGGTACCATCCGACCCGCATTCGGGTTTTTAGCAGTGCTGATTGCCCTGCCTATACCTCTGGTCTATATGATTGATGTCGGCCAGGGCCGCGCGGATGCCGTGGCTTTGTCGAAGCATGCGGGACTCGCGGCCGCGGACGATCAACCTATACGCATGGAGGATTATGATCATGTGGACGAGTATGATACTTCGGCCGGATTATTACGGCGGAGTTCGGAGGAGGAGGCATGAATGAAAATGAAAACAAAAAGATCTTGGGCACACGCATATGTATGTGTGTCATGTCAACACCACAATAGAACGACGACGAGTCTCAGTGTCGTTCGGTCGGTCGGTCGGTCGGTACATGTATGCTTCCACTGTTTGTTTGTTTTTTCTCGCGCGCTCTGCCGGAAATTATACTACTTCCTACATACAGTACGTACCAGGTAGCGGGAGATTCAAAGCTATTCCAGTTTCTCCTTGCAATAGGAGGCGGGTTTCTCAGCTAGCAAACACAGGTATGAAGAGTTTTATTCTAGACAAGCGCAAAAAGGGTCAAGCCTCAGGAGTCAGCAAGGTATAATATGTACAGTAGGTACAGGTACCTGTAATCTTGCGTCGAATTTACACGACAAGTATCCGAGATGAACGGTCTCTTGGCTATATATGTACCCAACTAGGCGCGTACCTACTTGCCTACAGTACCTCCACGTCCCTGAGGTACAGGTTGTAGGTACAGTCGTCGTGTTGCCTTCCACACTATCTGAGACACACTCGGCAACCGAGCGACGGCGGCTCGGCATTAGCATGGTATGTATTGAAAACCAGCCAGTAGAATAGTAAGGTAAGGTACAGTAGATGGGGGAAAAAGAAGAAAAGAACAGAAATCGTATCAAATCGTATGCACTGACTGAATCGCTGCAAGCAAAGTCTCACTCATTCAATATGTGCCTTTCCTATCCTTCGTACCTAAGGTACCCAACTTTCTATACACACTATTTTGGCCCATCGCGAACAAAAAGAGGGGGTATTCAAAAAAGGACTTTATACTGATACAAAAGAACATGGTGGATGTTTATTTAATTTCCTTATCGTCTGCCCGACGGAGGTGGGAACCCGCCGCCGGGAAATCCCCCACTTTGCGGCGTCGGCCTCCTAAGCAGAGGCGTTTGTCGATCGTCTGGTGGTGCCCTTTGCCCATAACGATCCAGCATAGGAGCATCTCGCTCCCTGGGAAAGGGAGGTTGCTGCTCCCCAAAATGTCTGCGCTCATGCTCCATCTGTTCCCGATGACGCTGTTCTTGCATAGCGGCTTCTGTTTCATTCCGTGAAATGTCTCGGAGATTCATGCTACCCATGGGCTGGCGACCGCTTCCGAACGGAGTGCCGCCATATGCCTGCATTGGCTGTGGAGTCTGCATCGGTGGACCTCTCGAGTAGTACGCCTCACGTCGTCGCATTTCGTCCATGTGGAGTGCCTCGCGCTCGCGCTCGCGCATCGCGTTCTCGTGCTCCATGCGCTGCTGCTGCTGTTGTTGTTGTTGTTGTCGTTGTTGTTGTTGTTGTTGTTGTTGTTGTTGTTGTTGCTGCTGCTGCTGCTGCTGCTGTTGTTGTTGTTGCTGCTGCTGCTGTTGATGTTGTTGTTGTTGTTGATGTTGATGTTGATGCTGATGCTGCTGGTAGGCTCTGGCTTGTTCTTCCTCGCGACTCATGTAGCTTTGAGTGCCACGAAAGGGTTCCATGATGGAAGGCCCCTGATTGGCGGAATTGCTATGCGAATGATGAGCACGATTTGGAGCCTGAGGGGGCGCCTGCGAGAACGGCTGCTGCTCCTGTCGTGCATAAGGATTGTTGAGCAGTGGTGCTTGCGATGTCGGTGGAACATTTCCCAGCATTGTACGCCCTTGCTCCCGTTGTGACTGACCGGCCTGGGTGAGCGAGGAGTTTCTCGAATGACCATGCATTGTGGGGGGTGGAGATGGATTGGCGCGAGCAGATGGATTGAGACTTGATAGAACTGTCCTGTGAGAGGTGTATGGGTACCCGGACCGCCCGTCTCTGGCATCCCGATCAAGCGGCGCCGGCGCCGGCGGACTTGGATGCGAACCATGCGACATACGAGGTTGCCACTCATGCTTGGATGCTTGTTGCAGCGACGGTGTGCTTCCGCTTCCCGGCTCTTGTTTCAAAGCTGCTGGCGAGGGGCCGGGAGTGGACAATGACTGCCCGAACGTGCCACGATGGTATTGCGAGAGTGGTGCAGAGTGCTGTCCAAATCTTGGCGCAGGCACGTTTGTCATGGGCTGTGATGCAGGCGTAGAGCTGAATGGTGGTGCAGGGGACGCCACCCTCGTTGTCGCTGCAGACGGCAGACTGTCGCGCTTCACCGGGGCTTTCGTTTCTTCTTGGTCAGAATTCAAAAGGGACATCAGATTTGATTTCTTGGGCGGCTCAGGCGCGGGGGTGGGTGCTGATGATGGAGTCTGTACAGGCATTGGCGGTTGACGTGAAGGACCTGATGTTGGCACCGAGCCAGGACGAGCAGATTCCAGCGCGGGCGGTGATGGGTTGTACGGTCTGCTCAATGCAGACGTCGTGCCAGACATTGCTGGTATGCCAAATGCGGGCACTGATCCTGCAGATGGATTAGGATTCACGAGAGCTGGTGCTCTCGAAATCCCACCAGAAGAGAATTCGTTGCGTGAAGGCGTTCCAACACGCTCCTCATACCCTCGCTGTCGTTCCGGTGGCATTGGAGTATGATGCAGAGGCTGATGTAAGCTGACAGGTGATGCATGAGTGAAGGGGTTGATTGGATGTGAGCGATGCTGTCCGTGGCTTGGTCCGAGAGACTGTCCGTGACTTGGCTGCCCGTGACTTGGCTGCCCGTGGCTAGACTGCCCGTGACTAGGCTGCCCGTGACTGGGCTGCCCGTGATTAGACTGCCCGTGATTTAGCTGAGCATCATGTTCGTTCTGAAGGCGAAGTGCTCGGTTCTGCTCTGCGATCAAGGTGTGCTCCAGGGATTGCAAGAACTCAACGGGGGGTGCGTTGGAGAGCGTACGTGTAAGTGGAGGAGCTGGTTGACTGCGCGGGGGCACAGGTGAGGGACCTTGGCTTACGGGAAACATCGAGGTGGATTGCATGCTCAGACGGGACTCAGGCCTGTTTTCTCCAAGTATCCCAAATCGTGCGCCTAGTGGATGCTGCAAGCCGACTCGGTTCGCTGGAACAGCTGAAGGTACAGTTGTCGCTGGCACCGCTGCAGGTGGCATAGGGCTTGGCACTGCGCGCTGAGACTGAATGGGAGTCCCCTCAGCTGAGCCAGCAAACCTTGGCTTGTTCTGCAGCTGTGGCGGAGAGCCTTGTTGCATCACGGGAGGCCGTTGGACTATTGCGGGTTCATCGATGTCCATGGCATCGTTCTGCGGAGCAAGCGCGCGCGGAGTGCTCGTTTGGGGGTTGTCATACTTTCTCTTGGTTATAGGCGTCGGGGTCGGTGGAGGACCCATATCTTCTCCTCGTGCTCGTCTTTGATCTGCTTTCTCCGCCAACTCCGCAAGGCTAGACTGGCCGCCATCGACCTGTCGCTGATAATGATTTTTGATCATAGTTTGAGTCTTTGTTCCCATGTGTGCACTAATAGCACTAAAATCAGTACCAAAATGTGCAATGTGCTTCCGAAAGTCATTTTGCTCAGGGACAGACCAGTAGCTTGAAGCACTCTGCTTGGCAGAGGGCACCAATGGCCTGCCCGCGTCTGCTTCTTCAGCCGCCACAGGTGGTTGCATGGCATCTTGACTGAATACCACATGGCTGTCATGCTGCATCATGGAATGATGGCCACTGTGCAGATTAGCTAGCAAATTGGCCTCGTCTAGGCTCGCTCTGCCCATTCTTAAAGCTTCATCTTTTACTTGAGGCGGAGGCTGCTTGTGCGGCGACATTGAGAGTGCCGTTGCCGCGGCCAATGTCGCCAGTGGAGCTTTAGGTTTCCTTCCAGGCTTGCCTTCGCCAGCTCGACGCTGTTTCTTCGCGGGTTTTTCGTCTCCAGTGCCGTCCTGCTTGGATGCCGTGCCAGCCTTCTTGGCAGGAGATGGGTTCGCAAGAGAAGCCTTGGCTTCAATTTCTCTCTCGCCAAAAGTAGTTGGCGCAGCAGCTCGCTTAGGTCTTCCAGTGTTTGTATCCGTCTGTGTAAGGTCCTCGCCTCTATTCAAGTCAGCCATGAGTGCGGAGCCACGAGAGGGTTTGGAAGCTTTGCCACCCCTGCCTCGACGAGCTCCTTTGAGCTTCTTCTTGTTGTCTCTGAATCTTCCATCCCACTTGTTGGCATAATAATGATGGATACAGTCCTTGTACGTGCGGCCCTCCAGTAACGACGCGATCTCTCCCCACTTCTTCGGTGTCTCCTTAAACGCAGCAATGAAGACGTCCTGTTCATGCTCGGTGAACGTGTCCGGAGGTGGCTCGTATGAGAATACTCGCAGCAGCTTAGTAGGGTCGCGCAATCTGTTGGCGTTGACGAGTGTGTCACGAATGACCACTGCTCTTGTCTCCAAGTCGGGTAGCTGGGCTTCCTTCTCCATATCGGCCTGGACTTTCTTCGCTTCCCGGTCAAGCTTCTCTCGCTCGATCCGAGCTGTCTCTTCCGACTCTTTGATTACTCGCTCAATCTCATATTCACTGCTGTTCTTGTGCAACCGTCTGCCTTCAAGAATTGGATTCGGCACCGGCAGGACAGGCGCTTCAATTACGGGGCCAGGCTCGGTAGACAATTGTCGTTCCAGCTTGTCATGATCCTCTTTGATCCTGTCTAGCTCCTCGCACTCCTCGCGCCACTGCATGTAGGTTTCACCAAACTCGGCCTCTGCGTCATATTCGATATCCCGCTCAGCTTTGAATTCGTCCTCAAGAAATGCCATGCCATCCTGCTTTTCGATTTCGATCTCTTGAACGATATCGTGGAACAAATCCGAATCTTGTAACGACAAAGCCTCATCAGCTTTGAGCAGGTACGGCAGCGAGACTGGTTCGGGACTTCGTCTGCGCGGAGCATCGGTCATGTCTTTCAAGATTCCCGCATCTCGGACCACAACCGTTTCGTCTTGGGTTGCATAAGGGGTTGCAATATCTGGACCTTCTTCGCTACCTGAAGAGTGAGTAGCGGAGGGCATGTCCACGCTAGTTCCTTCGGTTTCGCCCTCCTCGACATCCATTGGTTCGTGTCGTTGCTCTTGGGCGCGCTCGAGATCTTTGAAGGAGAGGCGAGCTAATCTAGCTATCGATTCGAGTGGTGAGGTCGCACGAAATTTGGCAGCACTGAGATCATGCAGCTGTGCTCGAAGTTCTCGCTCTCTTCGTGCGTGTTTCGCTTCCAGGAGAGTGGCGTCCTCGTCTTCATCGAGTTCGTCGTCCTCCTCGTCACTGCTGTCGATGATCTCTTGCTCCGAACGTGGAAGAGTACCCCCGAAGAATGAAGCATGCGTGGTTGGCTGGCCTGGATTTGACGAAGACTTCCGCTTCGCAGGCTCGGACTCAATTTCGGTACATTCCTCAATCTTGCCACTGTCCGCAGAATCGAATTCGTGCGGCTGACCAGCCGAGTCGTCGTGTTGCTGCTGGTGAGCAGTAGCACCAGTATGACCATCCATGTTGGTTGCCATACTATTACTTGGGTCGTTTTTTCCCTTCTCATCGCCATTAGCGTCACGCTTAGCAGGTACAGTAGCGTTACCCTTGTCGCCAAAGGCGCTTGCGCCCGCCTGAGGTCTCCGCCATTGATTCCATTGAAGGTGATTCCGAGGCCCAGAAGGTGCAAAGGGAGGTCGCTCGGATGGACGGTTGATCGCAGGCATGATGCCCGAGCCTGCTCGAGGAATCATGGGTGGCGCCCGTGCAGCCTTTGGTGCAGTAGGGATACTTGACACAGCTACTTTGGGAGATACACTGAACGACTGCCTGCGTGGGCCGGAAGGTGCAGTGGGAGGTGGAGTGCCCATACGGGGTGGTCCCGCTGTGGACTGAAACCCGCCTGTATCAGATCTAGGGGAGGTGAAAGGAGGTCGAGGGGATAGCGAAGGTGGTACGATAGGGGCACGTATCGCCTTTGGGCCGGTCGGAGCAGCTAGATCGTGACGAGGTGCTTGCGGCGGATTGAGAGGAATCGACTGACCCTGTTGCGACAGTCCAGGTCGCGCTGTTCCGGGAGATGGCGGCATTGACGAAGGTGGATGTGCCTGATGTGGCTCACTCCGACTTTGCGCTGGCATATTCTCCAAAGACCTTACGCCGTGAAGCCTGTTACTCGAAGGCACAGCAATATCAAGCTCGAGCGCACGAGGAGCTCTCGGGGCCATTGGTGGAGGACTCGCATGATAGGCCTTAGGTGCAATGGGAGCAGCTTTGGGAGCAGTAGGTGCATTGCTTGGCGGAGCAGGTCGATCGTCTACGAGTGCATGCGACATCTCTGACGCATGCGAAAAGTCCGGTGCGCCAGTAGGTCGTGCTTCTGGCACATTCTTGGGCAGTGCTTGAGGGGCCTGATTGTTTGCGGAGGTTGGAGCGATAGAGAAGCTGAATGCTGGCACAGGCGGCGCTTGCGTGGGGGGACTGGATCCTCGTGAGCCATAGCGTTGTGCTGCGGCGTCGGCTCGACCATTGAGGTAAGCAGGTGTTTCTGGCGGATGATCTCGTCTTTGAGCAAGAGCCGGCATGGGAGCTGTTGTCGAGGGCCGTCGCAGGCCCGTGTCAGCCCCAGAGCTTTCTATGATAGCCAGTCGTTCGGGATTAATCTGAGGCGCAGCAGCTGCCGAGTGCGTTGCATTGGCATTCGCGATGTTGTCGTTTGAAAGACGGCGTTCCATTCTGACTGGGGGTTGGTCTCGTCTCCCGCGATCCAGCTCTCTTTCCCGCTCCCTTTCCCTGTCTGGCCATTCTGGTCGCCTCTCGTCCTCTCTGCGATCATAGCGCCGATCGTCTCTGCGATCTGGCTCCCGGCCATCTCGAGACAGGTCGCGCCCAAACCGCGACAGCGGCGGGCTGCGCTCTCTGCGAGCCGGAAACAAGTCGCCACCTCGCTCATCTAATGTGCGTCGTCCTCCACGACCACCGCCTCTGAAGTCAAAGTCGCCTCGTCCACGACCTCTGAAGCCACCACCTCTGTAGGCTGGACCAGAGAAGGGGGCATTGTCCGAATAGTTGGAGCTGGCGGAAGGTGGACCATCTCGCGACGACCTTCGTGCAGCGCGGACATCAATTTCGCGTGGTGGAACCTGAAAATCTCGCTGGTCATTGAATTTCCTTGGCGGTGATCGCTCGCGTAGTGGAGGTGAGCGTTCCCTGCGATCCTGGTAGTCACGCTCTCTGAACGGCCGCGCTCCTGTTCCTAGCGGGGGTGCATCTCGCAGTGATGGCCGTGCAATGTTACCAGCCTGGCCAGCAATGGGGGGACCGCGTGAAGCTCCATCAAACTGCGATCGTGGCCCTCGGGGCGCGTCTGAGCCATTGCGCGTCTGTTGTCGCGCATCAAATGCGGTCGCACTCGAGCCTCGTCTATCGGGGAAGCGAGCTGGTGAGCGTGATCGGTCTGCTGGTCCTCTGTAATTCGAGCCGCCTCGATAAGCCATTCAGGAACGATACGAGGAGCGTAGGTGGCTCCGCGGTGGTTCAAATGCTTGGCGCCGCCCGGGAAGCTAGGTAGTCATCGGGGACTGCCTCTTTGGTAGGGAGAGAAAAGCGGGCGCGCCTATCACGCGGCTGGGTTGACCAACGCGTTGCGTGCGATGTGCTGCGCAATACTGGCTTTCGTGGTGCCGTGGTCGAGGGCGGTGTTTTTCTGAGGAAATTGTGTGAGTCGCCGTCAACTGAAGGCACGTCGCAAGCGCTCGGGCAAGTCAAGCCACAAAGCGGGTAAAGAGTAGCGGATCGTTGGCCCCGGCTCGAACTCTTCTGCAGGCGTCTGTCCAGGTGGAGAAAAACGGGCAGATGCTGGAGGCGAGTAGAAACACGGTCGGTCGAGCACAATCAGATTGCTGCAATACTGCAATAATAACACTGTGGTCTCCGTGAGCAGCGCGCCCTGGGAGAGCAGCGGACGCGTCCGATGGTGCGCCGGCCACGGCGTCGCTTCGTCTCTCGCTGTCGTCGGTGTTCCTGTCACGCACCTAGGCGGCCCTCTCCCAGACGCTCTCTTCCGAGGCCTATATGTCCCTGGCGTCTGCCAAACAAACGCAGAGAAGTCGCTGAGATGCTCAGTCTGCTGCCCTCTGTGTCCTGGGCTCCGTCTTGGCGTATCCTGAGGGCGATGAGGGCTTTTTCACGGAAGTGAGGGAGTCATTGTGTTGAGGCAAAGGTCGTGGAGCCAAGCAAAGCCTCTCCAGGCTCAGGCTCTACTGTGTCTACTAGCAGGCGGACGATCGTGAACGCAGGCTACGCAGCGTGCGTCCAATCAGAAAACCTACCGGGCTACTGGTCTACCCTGCACCGAGGGTCCCGTCCTCGTTTCACTTGCTTTCAGATCCCTTGAATCGCGCCCATGAGCAGTCCCAAAGTAGGAACCAACAGACAAACAATGACACACTGGCAGATCTGAGACGATGCTACCACCACCGCATACTTTTGTTTCGAGCGCGGCCTCGACAAGCACTGAGGAGATGACAGAGACACCACCACCACCACCATCTCACGAAGCCTCCTGCAGCACGCTTCCGAGCGAGAAGCTGTCGCTAGTACCTCCTAGCGTCGTGCAAGGTGCGCACAGGTGTGTCTGTAACTCTGTACGGCTGTCGTGCGTATGGATCCGGCCGGGCCAGGCTTGCACGTCGGGAGTGCTAGGTGGTGGAAGTCTAAAAACGCCTGTAGACATGTAGTGTATTATGTATACATGACCTACCTGACTAGGTGTCATGTCGTAATCGAGCGTCCCCGTTCCTGGACTGCAAGCGATGGATTGCATCTGCACTACAGCTGGAGGGAGGTTAGGTATGTACTTGCACAGCAGCATCGGTGCAGTCTCGTGCTCGTCGGTACAGTACCTCAGGTACATGTATGAGAGCCGCGACACACGTCAGACTCGTGCCTGGTTCCACTGGTCAAGGTACAGGTACATGTAGCGGGCGCGAGCAGAGACGGACTGACCGTCCCAAGATATCCTTGCCCGGGGTCGGATCTCAGGCAAAGTCACGGAATTAGCCTGGCGCGCCGCCACACTCACACACACTCCAGCAAGCCCATGGGCCATGGACACGTGCCGGCCATCGATTTCCCAAGTCCGAGCGTGGGGCAACCCAGCAAATATAGGCTTTGTCTCATTTTATGAGGAATTTGACGACAACAACCCGCATCATCCAAATGGAGTCCAATAATACCCAGTCCTTGCCCAACAGTGCGCCTGTAGGTGCTACGGGCGCAGTGCTCAAGGCCTCCGACCCTGTGCCGGAGAGCGCGGTACCTGTCAAAGGACTGGATTTTGATGCATTCGCAGATCGCAATGTCACGGTCGCCGAGCTGGTCGAAAATCTGGCAAATGTGGGGTTCCAAGCTACGTCGATCGGACAAGCCGTCGATATAGTCAATGGCATGGTACGTATCTTGACTCGATATCTTCCTTGATTCCTCAACTCCCACTGAGCTTCAGGACTTTGTTGACACCCTTTCCCAGCGTACCTGGCGTGATGCAGAGACTGGTGAGAGGACGACTATCTTCCTTGGTTACACTTCGAACCTGATCTCATCTGGTCTGCGCGAGACTCTCCGATGGCTTGTACAGCACAAACATGTCTCCGCCATTGTGACCACGGCTGGCGGCGTGGAGGAGGATTTCATCAAATGTCTGGGAAACACCTATCTGGGCTCATTCGATCAACCTGGAGCAGCCCTTCGAGCCAAGGGCATGAATCGAATCGGAAACTTGTTAGTGCCCAACGATAATTATTGCCACTTTGAAGATTGGGTGATGCCGATTCTCAACAAGATGCTCGAAGAACAAGAGGACTCCAAGTTATCCGAAGAGCCAACACATTGGACGCCAAGCAAAGTCATTGCCCGCCTGGGTAAAGAGATCAACGATGAGCGATCGGTGTACTACTGGGCATACAAAAACGACATCCCCGTATTCTGCCCAGCGCTTACTGACGGAAGTCTCGGTGACATGCTCTACTTTCATACCTTCAAGTCCTCTCCGCAACACTTACGCATCGACATTGTGGAAGACATCAGAAAGATAAACACAATCGCAGTGCGTGCGAAACGTACGGGCATGATCATCCTCGGGGGCGGCGTTGTGAAGCATCACATCGCTAATGCAAATTTGATGCGCAACGGCGCTGAAAGCGCTGTGTACATCAACACTGGCCAGGAGTTCGACGGGAGTGATGCTGGTGCCAGGCCAGACGAAGCCATTAGTTGGGGCAAGATCAAAGCTGACGCTGCGAGCGTGAAGGTACGGTTCTGTTCTGCAATTCTAGTACACGCTGCCAACACGCAATCTGACACGTATGTACCTAGGTATATGCGGAGGCTACAATTGTTTTCCCTCTCATCGTCGCTGCAACTTTTGCCAAGGTTGATGATGCTTGAGGTTGCGCGCAGTGAGCGCCCAACCTCGAGTTGCATTGCCAACGCGGACTTGCGTAAGGCACCTACCTCCGTACCTACAGTACTGTCTACCTAGAAGGGATGATTTGAGCTCAGTGCGCTCACCAGGCCGACGTGCATGAGCACAAGCTGCAGGGTTGACGTGGTCATCCAATTCTTCACATTTCACACGGGATACCAAGCAAGCTACTGCGTCAGGAGGTTCGTCGTGTCTTCTCTCATGGAAGGAACATACTCGAAATCAATTCTAGGTAGGTGCCAGCGCACGCTGCCCGGCGAACGTCGACTTCCTTGTCTTCATGGAAGTCATCTTCCTCTTTCCCCGTCCTGTTTGTCCTTGCCTATTTCCGCGAGAGTGATGAGACGCGCTAAGCCGATAGTATCTAAAGGTTGACACGGACACGGACCCTGTGCCGCGAGGCGAGGCCCCACCCCACATCATACCTGCCCTTAGTACCTACCTCCTAGCGCGCTTCTGCCTTCCGGTTAGCTACCACCATGTCGCCTGCCTGCCGTGCAAGTGAAGCCGGCAACGACAAGAGGTATTCACATACAGCAGACAGACAGGCAGACAGACAGACAGACAGATAACCAGGACGACATCCTCTTACCCATCACTTGTTGCACCCTCGTACTCGTACTCATCACTCCACACATTAATCACAGGTCGATCCCGCAGTCGGAAGACAGCTAACAGCTCGCATGCGCGAGCACAACAGAAAGCTACTATTGTCACGACTTGGCCATTGTCGACGCCTCCAGCCACCACCGAAACAACCAGTCATACTTTTCATCCACCAACCAGGCCACCAACTCGCTTTCATCCACTTCCGCCCTTCGTCGCTGACAACCATACCCATCACTCGTCAGCTCTCCAGTACGGACACTGCTTGATCACCTGAACCACACCACACCACACTCCTGCCCTACCTTCTCGATGGACCTGCCTGTGCCACGTACTGGCGGCAGTCCGCTGCGCGACCGGCGCTCCACACCTCCTCTACCGTACCTCCGGACGGCTATGCCTATTGACATCCAGGGCTTCCCGCCTGAAGTTGCAACGCCAGGCTCGCCCGCTCTGAATCAGGTCGGCATGCCCACAGAGCAACCTGCACCCTGGAACCCGAGGGACGAGGACACTCCGTATCCCCATCCTGATCCCGGAATCGACTTCACAGACCAGTCTGATAGCGAGAACGACGAGCGTGACCACGATGCCGGCGACGACGCTGCTAGTGACACTTCCGCTGGTAGAAGTTGGCAGCCGCTCGAGCAAGACCCTGTCGAGAACAAGGAGCCATGTCAAGATGAGCTGCTGTACATCGAAGCAAGAGAAGAGCATAGCGCGTTGGACGAGTCATACTGGCATGGGACCACATTCATCGACGTCGAAGACCCCGAAATCACTGTGATTGAGACCGGTGTCATCGACTGGACAATACCGTCCTTTCATGGCACAGCCGAAAAGCCGGTCTCTGTCGATGTCATGCGCTCTGAGGTCGTACACATTGGCGGATACGGCTGGCAGATCAAGTTCTACCCTCGGGGGCGTCGATCGGAGTACCCAAGTGTCTACTTGGAGAATGTGACTATGCAGTCGCCAGACTTTGAAGAGACCGAGGATTTTGAGCAGCCGCCGTTGCCGTTTCTCGAGTGCCAGCCTAAGATCAAGAAGCGTCGCTCTGTTGCCGCTCAATTATCTGTGGTTCTCTACAATCCTTCCGAGCCTCGTGTGTACAATCATCGCACCGAAGCGCATCAGTTCCACAAGAAGTCACCCGACCTTGGCTGGAAATATTTCACAAGATACCCAAGATCGCAGATTGCTCTCCGTCAACATGGGATGCGCAAGGCTCTCTTGACCGACGACAAACTGGCCTTCCGCGCCTACATTCGCGTCATGAACGATCCCACGGGATGCTTATGGGACAGCAGCCAAAAGACTGCCGATGAAATGACTCAAATCACTGGCTTGCGGCCATTCACCAAATCATTGCCGTACGTCGCGGCTGCCTTACCACTACTGCACTTTTCACCGTTTCGCGAGTTCATCAAGGATCTGCGACTGCCCGGGCAATTCGGTGATTATTTTCAGAACTTGCTCTTCAAAATGTTCACTCGCAGACGATCAGCTCACTTCGGGCGCACTGGCACAGCAGTAGAAGCTGACGCAATGGAGGCTCTGTACCGCTTGAGGGCAGTTTTGATGCACGAAAGTGGCCAGGATGCGGAGATAGCACGCAAGTTTAATGACCTTGTTGGCGATTTCCACCCTGAGCGCAACTATGCTTGTGGCTTCAACCGGCTGGACACAAAGAACCATCCATCTATTCAGTCAGCTGTGAATAAGCACACGACCTTGCTGAACACGCCGCAACTGCTTACACTTGAACTCACCAGACAAGAACATGACAAAGTGCAGCGCAAGTGGCAAAAGATCACGAATCGTGTCGAAGTTCCTGATCATCTGGAGGTGTCAGGACAGCATTACACATTCTTTGCCTTCATCACGCACTGCGGACACCTTCAATCAGCCAGGTACAATGCATACGTGCGGCCTCACGGCATCGGACAAGGCTGGTACGCCTATCACGACGGGCGTGTCACGAGAATGACGGAGAAACAGGCCCGTGAGAAGCATTCTGGAATTGCACCGCCAGGCGAACAGAATGCACTACACGATGATGGGTATGATTCGCCATACGACGAGTTCCACAGTCCCCATGGTGAGGTTACTTGCGCAGTGATGTACTGCCGCAACAATGTACACTTGCAGCCACCTGGGGTGCAAGTGGAGAGTTGGCTCCCAGAAGACCTACGGAAGGAGTATGAGCGAGTAATGGCGGATCCCCCTAATTCTGCGGCGCACGAGTGGGTTCCAGGAAAGTATGGAGATTTTAGCAATGGGCATCACGGTGACGCTGCAATGGCGCTGGAGAATGGCCCAGAAGCTGCACGCCTTGCCGATATGAGTGCTCGCATCAATGCGGCGGCGGGAGCTGCTACCCCTGAGCCGCCTCAGACGGTGGATGGTGATGGTGATATAGTAATGCAGAATGCTGATGCTTCATCGGAATATGAGGTGGCGGATGAGAGCAAGGTCAACGGCAGGGGCATACGAGATTGGCTTGGTCGACCATTCTACGAAGGCGAGTGGAATGACTCGGAGTACCATGGTAATGGACATTTGATCGAGACGAATGGCGACGAATACACTGGTGAATTTCGCGACGGCCGCCGGCATGGCTGGGGCAAGGTCATACAATCGTCGACAGGCGATGTCTACGAGGGCACGTGGGAAGATTCCAAGATGCACGGCAAAGGCAAGTTGATCGAAAAGTCGACTGGTAACGTGTTTGAGGGAAACTTCCGAGAAGGGAAAAAGCATGGGGACTTTGTCCTTCGGGGCACGGTCACTGATGAGGACAAGAGCACCTGCCAGATCTGCTACGACAACCCCATCACCACTGCATTTTACGATTGCGGTCATGTGCTGGCTTGCAGCGAGTGTGCCGCACAAGTGAACAGTTGTCCGATGTGCCGCAAGCGAGTGGTGGCCAGATTGCAGCTATTTGGTGTCAGAGTCACAACTTCGTAGAGCTGAAGGAGGCCTCCCTCACCACAAGGCCTACGGTGAGGATGGAGATGACGTCGGACGTCCATCCAGTGTGTCTCGGCTCAGACAGGATGAACAGAAGAGGTCGTGGAAGTCATGGCACGTGCATGCATGTTAGCTACTGGACCAGAAGACGATTAGCGACGGCGTTTTGTTTCCTTTGTCTCTCTTTCTCTCTCTGTAGACGACACGATACCCATCCAGGTAGCATTATTGAACGAAGAATGATGAAAATATGTGCATTACCACCTGTGCTTTTCACGACATCTCTTTTTCAGCACCTTATGCAGGGAGAAATTGGCAGTACTTACTGTGCCTACCTAGTCAGTACGGCTGTACGGTAAGGAGGTACATGTAGGAGGTACATACATACATGTAGCCTGCAGCCTGTAGGTACATGTACCTGTACTGACAACTGTAGGGACATGTAAGGTCATCAGGTAAGCATGGGTGTCTTTGGGTGAACATGCCTGAGGTTTACCTGGTGCTCCATCTCACGTGCAGGCTCCGTGGCTCCCGGAAGAGTCTTTATCCTGTCCCTCTCTGCCGGCAGGATAGTTTGGCTCACATGCTCACCTCACTTGGCCACCACGCTCCAGAAGCACCCCGCAGTAGCCATGAGCGTCGCGTCTTCGCTGCTCATTAGCGCTCTCATCATTGGCCAGAACGAGGAGGCATTGGCCTGGTCTGCCGGTCTAGCAGCATCGGTTTTGGCTTGACCACAGGCCGAGTGAACTGCCGTCAACAAACGGACCACGTCCCTGCAGCATCAGCACCAGACAAGAGGTAGGTATATTTGAGTGTGGTCAGCCTGCCCGTCAGTCGAGAGCATTCTTCTTTTCCTCCTTCTCATCGTCCTCCTCCTCATCCTCCTGCTCCTGGTCCTATACCATCATCACCTTCATCTCTTTCTCCGCAAAATGTCTGACTACCAGCAACCCACCGCCAATGGCCCCAAGACAGATGCTTCTGCTTCCGCCTCTGGCCGTCAGTACGACCCAAACTTCACCAAGCACGTCATCGATACTTGCGGCCCCAAGACGAGCCCTCGCATGAAGCTCATCTTCTCTGCTCTCACTCGGCACATCCACGACTTTGCGAGAGAGGTTGACCTCACACCCGAAGAATGGCTCGCAGGTGTCAAGTTCCTGAACGAAACCGGCAAGGTGTGGGCAGAGAGTGGTGGCAAGAGAAATGAGATGCACAGATTGTCAGATATCATTGGCCTGGAGTCTCTCGTGACAGAGATTGCCAACTACGTTCAGATCGATGACCCCAACTACGTCCCAACCTCAGCCGCCATTCTCGGTCCCTTCTGGTCACCCAACGCTCCATGGCGAGAACTAGGTGGCTCCATCATTCAAGATGAGCCAAAGGATGGTGTGGTCACGTACATGCACGGTATCATTCGTGATATGAAGACCAAGAAGCCCATGCCAGGTGTCACATTCGATATGTGGCAAGCAAGCAGCAACGGCAAATACGATTTCCAGGATCCAGACAACCAGAGTGACAACAACCTTCGAGGAAAGTTCAAGACGGATGAGAATGGCGAGTACAGACTATACTGTCTCCGACCGACTGCGTACTCTCTTCCTCAAGACGGACCTGCGTGGGATCTGCTCACAGCCATTGATCGCCATCCAATGCGTCCTGCCCATATTCAGTAAGTGATCCGCCTCGTTTACGTTTTCCAATGGTATGCACATGCTAACACCTGCTCCAGCTTGATGATTACAAAGGAAGGATACAAGCCCTGCATCACTCAAATATACCCCAAAGACGACCCATGGCTCGAGACCGACACTGTATTTGCGGTTAAAGATGATCTCGTGGTTGACTTCGTACCTCTGAAGGAGTTGCCTGCGAACATGCCTCCAAATGCTGGCAAGGGTGGTCCAGCTACGAGGGAGCTTGAGCTGGACATTGTACTTGCGCCTCTTGGGTCTATGCTCAATAACGCGGAACCTGTCGTAAAGTTATAGATGGCACGAATATGAATATGAACGACATCAACACAGCGCTTCATTTTGTCGAGTTTAGCGAATATATTGGATAAAATCGGGTAGAACTATTGATCAAATGCACCACCTCAAACACAGCTGATCATTTCCTACCTCACGTATGCACCAGAAATGGCGCTGCGTCGGGACTTTTTTACTTACCTTATTGTTCGATTTGCGAATCTCACTTAGCGGCGGGCCGATCGAGAAGTACCTCGGTGTCACCCACACACTTTCCAGGTAGCATGCATCATCACCGCGTGCGGTGCTGGCGACAACCATAATTCACATTGCACACCTGTTCCTCTCACCTCGCAATCAATATCTGAGCCACTCCAACAGCTACCTCCTACTTCACCACAGAAACGTCCATCGCTTTATCGGGTGCGCGAAAGGGTTGCTGTCTGTGGTCGCGCCCATGCTGTGTCTAGAATGATCGCAGCAACACGTCGTTGGTTCCGACGGAATAGAACAAATCTGGTCGTTGGCGCTGGAGTGCTGGGAGCAGGCTATCTCGCCGGGCAATATGTGCTTAGCAAGATCCAGGAGGCGCGACAGCGCATGAGTGAGGAGAGGGTGGCCAAGGAGAAGTACGCGACACCTTCTTCCTCCATATCACTGATGCGCTGGGCGAGGCGTAATGGTGAGAACTCGATGGGATAGAAGAGAAGGCTAACTGCGGGAATAGTCTACGACGACGATTTGAGCAGAACCAGGAGGACTGCACATATACTGTGCTTGCTCTGCTCCCGACGCTTCATGATGACATTGTCGGTGCATTGCCGGTAGAAGAGATCACGGAGGAACTGCAACAGGAGCGAAGGGAACGGCTACAGCGACTAGGACAATCCGAGGCGGCATCGTCTGAATATCCCTCCGCGCCATCGAGTGCAATTGACGATGACGGCAAGAGTCTCGCCAGCCTGCAGAGCAGCAGCTATATACATGCCAGCCAAGTCACGCACGGCACACTCGACGTACCAGGAGGAGCAGCATCCTCTTCGAAGCCCAAACGCAGCAAGGGACAGCTATGGCAGGACATGAAAATCCAGTCCATCACGCGAGCTCTGTCGCTGCTGTACACCATGTGCCTGTTGACCTTGCTCACACGCATCCAATTGAATCTGCTGGGTCGTCGGACCTATCTCTCATCCGTCGTCGCTCTCGCGTCTCCCCCACCTGCCACGCAGGCCTCCACGATATCGCTCGAGAACAGGGATGACGATAACTACGACAACGTCTATGGCAACGATTTCGAGACCAACAGAAAGTATCTCACGTTCAGCTGGTGGCTGTTGCACCGCGGCAGCAAACAGATCATGGGGCGGGTCATGGCGGCTGTCAAAGAAGTGTTTGGTCCGGTCAACATTCGGGAAGACGTCACCCTGGAACGCCTAGCAGACCTCATCATGCAGGTCCGAAGAAAAATTGAAGGAGCTACAGAAGAGGAGAGACGGGGCCAGAAGTGGTTGGAATATCTCCTGCCGCCTCAAGCGGAGGAAGAATTCGTGATACGCCAGTCCGGATCCTCCTCCGACGACGAATCACCTCTGCGACGAGACTCGGATCCATTGATGGAGGCGGGAGAAGAGCTGATCACCGAAAGTTTGCGCAGGCTACTGGACGAGACATCCGATCTAATCGATTCCCCTGCCTTCTCATACGTCCTCACGCGACTCCTCGATGCCTCCTTCTCACATCTCGTTGACTACCGCATTGCAATTGAAGCATTCCGGCAAGCACCTTCTGGTAGGGAAGCAGCAAGAATTGTCGAGGTTGAAGAAAACAAATGTAAATTGGCCCATGTGCTACCCATCTTCTGCAAGCAAGCACATGTGATTGGCGCTGGCAGTGGTGAGTTGGAAACTATGGCTGGTGTCGCTGCACAAGAACCTCTTGGGAACGAGTATTTGGCAGCCGTCGATCAGGTCAGCGACCTTGGAGCTTTCGCGGCAGTCATCTACTCGAGCAATTTTGAGTACGAAGTCCCGCAAGATGAGGACAATCGAACATCTGGGAGACGGCATGGCCAAGGAGTATCCACGGGTTCGAGCAGTTCTTTCTCTGGTGAGCTTGGGGAGACATTGAGGACGACGGCAGAGGAGATGCTCGAAGAGAGTGATGTTTTCGTTCTGAATCATGGGCAAGAGGACGATAGTGCGCTTGCTGGTTCAGCGAAGAGTGACTTCGACGCTGCCTGGAAGAAGGCTACTTCGGACCAAGGAGAGCAGAGCACCTCTGATCAGGCGGAGAAAGTCGCATCAGAATCCCAGGAGGAAAAAGAACCTCCGTCTGCGCCGACGGAGCCACCACCGCCAGAGGGTGTGATTAAGCTGAATTGACGAGCGCTCAATTTACCGCGCAGGTATTGGTTATGCATGTAACAACCTCTCACATTCTGTGCCACACTTTTCTCCGCATGGACTTTCTCAAGATGCACTTGGGAACAGATCCCAAACCGCGTTGTTCCAGACTTGATTTTTCGCGGGCATCTCGACATGTAAGCCTTCAGGTTGATCTTCCAACATGGTTCCATACATGTAAACCTGTTGTCCCGTCCTCTACAAGCTAAAGCGCGTGCGCACCTTTTCATCTCCCGCCTTCCACTGCCACTCCTGCCCACTCGCCTTCTGAATCCCCTTATCCACTCTCCTCAACTTCATCGTAAACCGCGGTCCCAGCTCTTGCAATCCCACTCGAATATCCTCCGCGCCCTTCATCGGCTTCCCATCCGCGCCCTGGATCGGCTTCTCCGTGCCCCTCTTATCCCGAAAGACGTAGCGATGTCTGCGCAAAAAAATGTAATCGCGTTGATTGTGTAAGGTCAGAACTTGCCGACCCTGGATTTCTGGACGTGGCGGAAAGAGCGATTTGAAGAGATGCGCCGTCAGGAGACCGAGAGGCGTGCGAAAGCCGTTGAGGATGAGTTCTGGGTAGTGGTTGGTGGGGTTTCCGTGGCCGGGCAGTTTGTTGCCGGGGATCCATTTGGATATGCTGAAGTGGAACATGGGGCCGTGCGGGAGGTGGACAATGTCGATCCCTTTGGGGCGTTTTTGGTCTTCGTTGAGGATGACGACGTGCGTGTATCCTCGGTCGGGATCGGAGGCGTAGGAGCAGATCTCGCGGATGCTGTATTTGTAGGCGTGGAAGTGGGCGGTTCGTTTGATGTATTTGCTATTGGGGAAGAGTCCTGTGAGGAGCTGGCCTTCGTGGTGTAAGGTGGAGTTGATGGATGTGGTGATGAGAACTTTCGGCTCGCGATCCGTGTCCTCGAACAGACTGGGGAATTTCGCTTTCAGTGCTTCCGGCCGTACTGTGAGATCTGTCACTCCTGTCGCTGCTGACGGTGCTATGCTCGGCGCTTCGCTGGGGGCGCGTTTGGCTGGTCTGCGTGATATGCCATCCTCGTCTTCGTCCTCGTCCTCTGCTTCGTCTGCCTCCTCGCCCTCGGAGTCGGAGTCCAACATGCTGTCGTGCTCATCGTCGTCGTCGTTCGGTAGTACGTCCTTTGCGTCCGCGTCTGGCACCTCTGCGTCGTCTTTGGCCTCTTCTGGCAGTAGTTCTGAGACATCTGCAACACTCTCCAATTTCCTCCGTTTCGGGTCGAGAATGTCGTACGCTCTCCCTAGACCAACGTCGTCCTCATCGCCCGAATCGATCTCGTCCCAGGTGCGCTTCTGATCAATGGTCGCTGGCACATTCTTCGCCCGTCGCTGATCTCGCAAGTGTGGATTTTTGTCCTCGTGTCTGCGCCGGCGCATGCGCTCGTCTCGTTTCTCATTCTCCTTCTCCCTCTTGAGCTTCTGGTGTTGCTCGTTCCTCTTCAGCTTGTTACCAATCTTGTTCGGATTGAAGGAGCCCATGGTCACTTCGCGAACTGTTATTCCAGTATTGTCGTGTGGTATCGCGAGATGATCGAGGCAACCTGGAATTCAAAAAAGTTCCAGAAGTTCCGTGGTGCGCCACAGGCACAGCCACAGATCCCCACCTCCACCTCCATGGCATTTTGTCTGGACTGCAAGAGTCACACACATACATGTACCTTCATGTTCCTCTCCACACAATCGCTTTTCTTCCCGCCGACATAGAGTCAGAAACAGCACTTCGATCTCATTGAGGTTACCGAAGACACTGAGCACTGCTTGATTCATGCTCTGAATGCTCTTCAGGCCACAATCGCGCCAATTCTCTGCTCTAGCAAGTCTACAGAAATTCCAAGTTCAAGTGCGGAAGAGGACCCCAATCATGGCGACCGACTACAAGACCTCCAAGGGTCAAGTCTTCGACAGAGATACATTCGAGTCCTGGAACAAGCGCAAGAATTTCTACTGGCAATCGTTTGAGCCATATGGTGCCACGAAAGGTCTGTTCGATTATGGCGTCGCTGAGCCTCTCGAATATGAAATTCTCAACATCTGGAGAGATCACTTCATTCGCAGCGAGAAGATGATCTCACTCAAGACTTCCATGCTCACTCCATACAAGGTGCTCAAGACATCCGGCCACGTCGACAAGTTTGCAGACTTCATGTGCAAGGATCCCAAGAGTGGTGAAATCCTGCGAACAGACCACTTGATCAAGGATGTCATTGAAACGCGCCTGAAGGGGGACCGAGAGGCCCGTGGCGAGAAAGTTGAAGAAGTGGATGATCCCAAGAAAAAGAAGAAGGCCTCCAAGGTTGCAAAGACCGCTGTGAAGCTCGATGATGCGGTAATTAAGGAGTACGAGCATCTCCTTGCCACACTTGATGATTGCCAACAGGCAGACTTTGCCAACATTATCAAGAAACACGATATCCGCAATCCCACTACTGGCAACGAGGTTGAGCCTCCCGTGCCTGTAAACTTGATGTTCTCCACTGAGATTGGTGCATCTGGCAAAGAGCCTGCATTCCTGCGTCCCGAGACCGCTCAAGCGCAATTTCTGGCATTTCCAAAACTCGTCGAAATGACTGGTGGCCGCCTGCCATTTGCATCCGCATGCATCGGATACTCCTTCCGTAACGAGCTTTCGCCACGTTCTGGTCTTTTGCGGGTTCGAGAATTCTTGATGGCAGAAATCGAGCACTTTGTCGATCCTGAAGGTGGCAAGAAGCACCCCAAGTTCAGTCGTGTCCGTGATGTCAAGCTTCCACTGCTTGCTCGGGATGTACAACAGTCCGGCGGCTCCACGCCTACTGAGATGACTGTTGGTGAAGCGGTGGAGAAGAAGGTCATCGATAACGAGACACTCGGTTACTTTCTCGTGCGAATCATGCAGTTCATGCAGAAGATTGGCATTGACATGAACAAGCTGCGCTTTAGACAACACATGGAGAACGAGATGGCCCACTACGCTGCCGACTGCTGGGACTGTGAGCTTCTCAACTCATATGGCTGGACTGAGTGTGTCGGCTGCGCTGATCGTAGTGCATTTGACTTGAGTGTGCACCAGAAGGCCACTGGAGCCAAGTTACAGATTCAGGAAGAGTTACCGGAGCCTGTAAAGTCCACTGAGTGGGTGGCCCAATTGAACAAGAAGACTTCTGGCCCTATTTTCAAGAAGGATGCTGGCAAGGTGCAGTCTGCACTGGACGCACTGTCGCAGGAGCTGAGGGAGAAACTCAGTATCAGCCTGAAGGAAGCTGGTAAAGTGGAGGTTGATGTTCCTGAAATGGGCAAAAAGGTTGAACTGGGCAACGATCTCGTCAAGATCGAACAAGAAACAACAACCAAGACCACACGCGAGTTTGTGCCCAACGTGATCGAGCCATCATTTGGTATCGGCCGCATACTGTACAGCTTGCTCGAGCACGTGTGGTGGACGCGTGAAGGAGACGCTGCTCGTGCTGTCATGTCCTTCAAGCCATCTGTTGCTCCCACCAAAGTACTTGTCGTTCCACTGCAAAAGGACGCACGCCTCACCCCAACCGTGCAAGCGCTCGAAGAGCGCCTCGACGAAGAAGCCATCTCGTACGAACTCGATCAGAGCGGTGTCAGTATTGGCAAGCGCTACTCGCGCAACGACGAGGCCGGCATACCATTCGGAATCACTGTTGATTATGAGAGTCTGGACGACAAGACCTTTACGCTGCGAGACCGTGACTCCACGAAGCAAGTTCGCGCCAGCTTGGACGATCTCGTTGATGCTATTCACAAGATGATCAAGGGTAAAGAGACGTGGGCTGATGTACAGAAGCGTTTGCCTGCAGTGGAGAGCAAGGAAGAGGACAAGGAGTAAGATGCTCCGTTGACAGGTATGCTCTGCTGGGGAGGATTACTGTGGTGGGAACGATACCAGGCGAGACACTGTACGAGAAAAGAGAGCTCCATAGAGAAAACGAAAACCATCATGGCACAATATTGGCGTCGCCTCGCCATCAGAGGGAGTACCAAAGGCCTCAAGTTAGTAGAAAGCGAAATGCTTCATCACGACGCTCATGTCACACAGCATGCCGATTCTCAGATCTGCGCGAGCGAGATTGCAACCCGAAGTCTTACAGTGCTGCAATGTGATGAGGAGAGACAATCGACGACGTGTTGTTTGGTCAGAGGTACCTACGTGCAATGTCTGATCCAGAGCAGCCTGGTTCCAAGCAGGTGGTGGCATCGAGTCATCATTATTATGACAGCACAGCATGATGATTTCCCAGTCCATACAGCACATGTAAACGTAGGTAGGTATGTAGGGTGTTTCAGGAGTTCGCAGCAATGCGGCTGCACGTATACATACCTAAGGTACCTTCATGCACGCAAGCGCCAGTCCTGCCAACGCATGCGGGATGTGTGGACTTACCCTCCCGATGCCGCGTACAGGCGACGATATACCAGTAATGCCAGCACATCACATGCAGCCTTTGCAGCCTCATGAATGTGGTTCCTTGTCCCCTTTCCCTTGGGAGCCAGTCGATCAGTAGGGAGTAGTAGTTCGTCAGTCTGTGGAGTCGGGGTCGGGGTCCGTCGCGATTGTTGTTCATCGTCAGGGCATATTCAGATTCCCTTTGTAGTAGTACCGTGATGCGTCGTCGGGTGAAGGAGGAGGCGGAGGAGGAGGAGGAGGAGGAAGAAGAAGAAGAGGAGTGCGAATTCCTCTGATGCACGCGTGTCGCACGTACACCGCCTCGCTGTCTCTCAGTCTGTCCGTCTGTCCGTCTATCCGTCCGTCTGTCTTTCGCAAACCACATCCACCGTCCTACATACCGGCCAGTGCAGCGGACTCGTGCAACATCCCACACCCACCCAGCAACCAGCCATCCGGGACGAGTCGCACGTCCTCGTTCACGTTTACGAAGATTCGTGGAGTCGGCCGGTGTGTCCAAGTCCCACTCGAAGTCTTGCTCGCTCGACTCAACTCACTTGCTTGGCGTCCCATCCGGCGCGCCCTTCCTCGAAACCGCCTTATTGGCCCTTCCGCCGTCCAATAACCTCCACGAGTTCAAGGACCTGGATCGCGACAACGTCACTGGCTGTGAGTATCGACTGGTTCCCCATGGCAGCGTGTGATTGTTTACGTCCGTCACCGCAAGCAAAGCTCAGCACGTCCCGCTGCATCGCGCGCGCGCACTCAGTCGCAACAGCGGACATGGTCGTCGCATGCGCCCGAAGTGTCATCGCGCAAAGACGGCAGAGATAGAAGAAGAACAAGCACATGACTACTGCAGCGAACGATAGTGGCTAATGCTGGCGACGCATCGCGCATACAGATTACGACCTATTAAATCTTCTTCCATTGCCATACCAGCACGCGACGCGCCAGCTACACGAGAGCACCTCCCAGACTGTACAGCAACGCTTTGGAGGGAGACCCGCGACACCATACACGCAGCACACACACCACCGCGCGCGGTCGGAATCCGCACTGAGCGAGAGAGAGTGAGACGCGGCTCGACCATCGATAGCCGCCAGCGCACTGCTGTCGCGAACGTGTCGACATGCAGTACGGGGGAGTTCCACCGCAGCAGCAGCCTCCTGCGGCCGCACCTAAGAGGTACGATGGCAAGAATGGTGCACCACTGTACGATGCGTCACACGGCGGACACTATGGCGCCAGTGCTGCGATTGCAGCTCAAGGGCATCCGCCCCCTCCAGAGACATTCACAGGACACTGGCAGAATGTAAGACGCGATCACTTTCAGCTTCGAGGTCGAGTACTACTGACACATTGGAATTGGCAGGTCTCGCAAGGACTATCAGGACCCTACCGAGACATCCTCAACACGTACTGGCAGAATCAAGTAACCAAGCTCGAAACCGAGGAACATGATTACAAGCTACATCAACTTCCATTGGCGCGTATTAAGAAGGTCATGAAGGCAGATCCAGAAGTCAAGATGATCAGTGCAGAAGCTCCGATACTCTTCGCCAAAGGCTGCGATATCTTCATTACCGAGCTCACCATGCGAGCCTGGATACACGCCGAGGAGAACAAGCGACGAACTCTGCAACGTAGTGACATAGCATCCGCGCTGGCCAAGAGCGACATGTTTGACTTCCTCATCGATATCGTTCCTCGCGAAGATCAAACACCGTCACACAAGAGGCGTCCAGAATACAATCAACCTGTCAGCTACCAGGACCCTTCGCAAGTGCAGGCTCCTGGCCAAGCTATCGAGCAGCAGCAACAACAGCAACAATTGGGCGGCCAGCCAGACTTTGGCGGCGTGGATCAACAGCACATGTCGCAGCAGCCTCAGTATCAGCAACAAATGGGCGCATATCCACCGCCTCAGCAACAAGCACAGTACGGAGGACCAGGCATGTTTGATCCGAACATGTATGGCGGACAGCCCCAGGCATATCCCATGGGACAGATGCCAGGCATGTCTCAGCAGGGGGTAAGTTTTTTCCAATACATGGATGCGGATTCGTACCGATCGATGATTGATGATTGACTGATTGACTGACTGCAGCCGTAGATGTATCCTCCTCCTCCGCAGCAACAGCCGCACCCACAGATGGCGCAGCAGTATCAGGCCAGCCAACAAGGCGGCACTGAGCAAGACGCAGATGGAGAGCAGGACTTTGGTGGTACCAACGGCTAGAAGCTGCCCATTTCACCGCACCTCGACGAGGCAACATGTGAAGATGTACTTTTGCATTCCCCCGTTCGGTTTGACGACCAGCTACTGGTGTGTCTAGGAGGGGGGGAGGGAGGCTTGCAGAGGGTAGACTGGCGGAGGGAGACTGGCGGAGGGGGCACATATTCCGTCCACAGACAGCATGCTCATATCGAGTTGCACGTGCAAAGCGGTTGCGATTGAATGATTCTTGTAACGACTTTTTGGTAAATAGCCTTGACATGACGGAAACGACACGATACCGCACTGAGCCGTGGTTCCGAGATTCGCCGTTCACACTGCGTGAATAGGTAATGAAGTGTAATAGATGGAAATGGGATGGCACAGCAGGGGGGTCGTCACGAAAACAGGTTACAAGGCTAAAATTGCTCACAGAGGGTGGGGTAGCAGATACAGGACAGGATAACAGGGTGCGCGGGGAGCCGCTATTGAGCCATGACCATGGCGGGGTTGGTTTGATAAGTACGGCGCAAATGCAATAATCGAAGCCCACTTATACTATGAAATATACCGTTAAAGGAGTACGGAGAGTTTTGCGTGTTGGCCTCGACATCAGCGGCGCAATTCATGGAATAAATGACCAATGGCTTCAATAAGAAAGACGTCCTAATATGTACCGTAGCACGTTCCCGGTGGTCCTCGTGCGTGTGTCGTGGAGAGTCGGAAGCTCGCGAAAAGCAGCTACCTCCTACCTGCAACCTGTAGGAGGTACTTGACCCATGGATGTGTAACGCGGGAGGAGGTACAGTCAGTACCGTAGCTACATACATGTAGTGTGCTACCACCTACTACCTGACTTCTCCTCAACATTGATTCACCCTTGTTCACACTTCACCTCGCCTGAACAACACCATTTCCACTGACCTCCTTTCATCTGTCCATTGCATCACCCTCCACTCCCTCCCTCTCTCCCAATTACCCACCGCAAATATGGTCAAGGCTGGTACGTACACCTGACAGAATCGACCCCGCCTCGGTCCATTATCGACCATCATCAATTGCAAAGCAAGCAAGCAAAACAGCCAGACGTGCTGGCGCCAAACCTACGATGATGAACATTTTCGCTGATCCCACCCCTCTACAGTTGTCGCAGGAGCTTCCGGTGGAATTGGACAGCCACTGTCCCTTCTCCTCAAGGCCTGCCCGCTCGTTGACCACCTCTCGCTCTACGATGTCGTGAACACTCCCGGTGTCACCGCCGATCTCTCGCACATTTCCTCGATTGCCACCATCGATGGCTACCTTCCCGATGGCGGTGAGGGTATCAAGAAGGCCTTCAAGGGCGCGGACATTGTTGTCATTCCTGCTGGAATTCCACGTGAGTCTACCACACACACACACAAGTGCCTCAACTCGGGCGCACGGGAAAAGTCGGGATGTGGGATAGGAGCTAGTGCAGTATGGCGTGGGCGAGCTTTTCTGCCTGCGCCAATGAAGAGTGATATGCCTCCGCCAGTGAGCTAGCTGGGTGGGATAGAGAGGGAGGGAGAGAGGAGAGAGGAGAGGAGAGTGGAACGACTTTGCGGTAGCAGCGCTAACTGTGACACTTTGACAGGCAAGCCCGGTATGACCCGTGACGATCTCTTCAAGATCAACGCCGGTATCGTCCAAGGTCTGGTCCAGGGCATCGCCGAGAACTGCCCCGATGCTTTTATCCTCATCATCTCCAACCCAGTGAACAGCACTGTGCCGATTGCTGCCGAGGTGTTGAAGAAGGCTGGCGTCTTCAACCCCAAGAAGCTCTTTGGTGTCACCACGCTCGACGTTGTTCGTTCCGAGACTTTCGTGCAGTCTCTCACTGGCGAGAAGGACCCCAGCAAGACTGTCATTCCCGTCATTGGTGGACACTCTGGCGAGACCATTGTTCCTCTGTTCTCGCAGGCGAAGCCCGCCGTGAAGATCCCAGAAGACAAGCTGGATGCTCTGACACATCGTGAGTCTTGTTTTTGATTGAGCGTGCCCAGAAAGGGTGTGTCGTGCCGCTGTGCTGACTTTGTCCCCAGGCGTCCAGTTTGGTGGTGACGAGGTTGTAAAGGCCAAGGATGGCGCTGGTTCCGCCACCCTCTCCATGGCATATGCAGGATTCCGCTTCGCGGAGAAGGTCATCCGTGCGGCCAAGGGCGAGTCTGGTATCGTCGAGCCCACCTTTGTCTACCTTCCCGGTGTGGCAGGTGGTGACGAGATTGTGAAGGAGACGGGCCTGGAATTCTTCTCCGTGCCAGTGGAGCTGGGCAAGGATGGTGCCGCAAAGGCCGTCAACATTGTCAAGGCTGCCAATGAGTACGAGAAGAAGCTTCTGACGAAGTGTTACGAGGGACTCAAGGGCAACATTGAGAAGGGTATCGACTTTGTCGCCAACCCACCCGCAAAGTCGTAAAGGGTGGATAGCATGATTGATTTTCACGAGCCTGATGCCAGGACACGATAGCACGAGATCAGACACAGCCCGAGCACGTACATGACGTACAGAGACAGTGGTGGTGCATAAGGTATACTGTAGTGAGGTTTCAGAGACCCCCAAAAGCTGCCATTTTGACACGCTCATTGCTCCGAGTTTTCAGGGAGGACTCGTGTGGTTGTTCCACCCTCTTTTCCGTCTCCGCCCGCGTGCTTCTGCAGCACAGTCACGGCAGTCGTCTTTTTGCAGTCATCATCATCATCATCATCTCCTTTCCATCATCCATCATCCATCATGGCTTGGCGCCCTTGGTCTTGATCTGAAACGTGGCCGAGGGAATTTCTGTTGTTTCCGCAGTGACAGTCACATCCAATCCCAATCCTTGCAAAGCTCCTCGGATCACACCACAAGGAAAATAGAGGTACTTTGAATTATGATATTAGCATCCTTGAGAGAAAGAAAGAGCAAAAGAAAGAGGAAAAAAAAGAGAAAAAAAAGAGAAAAAAAAAAAAAAAAACATACCGTATAAGCCCTCCGTAACGCTTCCTCTCCCGCTTTCGGTCCAGCTCTCCGATCGACCGACATGCGACTCATGGGTTGAAATCTCGCATCCGTCAAGACAAAGACTCCTCGATGATTCGTCTTCAAATTGTCGATTTGTTTCCGAAAGAGAATCGTCCAGAGATCTTTACAGATGAATTTGATGGCGTCCAAGGGTGTTTGAGGACGGGGTTTGAGGATACTGTGGCTGTAAAGAAAAGAAAAATTAGATTTAGATTTAGTTAAGAATGATGATTTGGGGGGGTGGGAAGAGGGAGAGACGGTGAGAGAGAGAGGCATACACTTACCGCTCTACAAGGCCTTGTCCAACACGATATCCGAGACCATCTAAACGCCAAAAGACGGCTTCGCGCGTTTCGTCATTGTCCATGTGGGATGTGGTGGTGTTTGCTGCGCCGGTCGCTATAGAGGTTGTTGTTGTTGTTGCTGGTGCGCTTCTTTCTATTGTGGCTGCTGCTGCAGGCGTGGTGGTAGACGCGGCTGGTGTGAGAAGTTGTTGTTGTTGTTGTCCTTGTTGTTGGTGCGTCGCACTACTAGACGCTGGTGCAGCAGCAGCAGCTGCTGGTGTTGTCGATGCAGAGGCATTATTGAGAATCTTGCTCTTACGAAACTCTTCTATGAGAGCTTGTTCTCGCGCGTGGAGCTGGTCGGTGATGCGCTGGGCGAGCGGGACGAGTTCGATGAGGAGGAAGTCGAGGCAGGAGACGTTTAGCTTAGGGTTGATGATGTCGTCTTCGGGGAAGCCGGAAGGGTTCGACTGCTTGGACATGGTGGACGGTCGCGGTGGCGGTTGCGGCGGTTGATGGTGTTTTTTACATGTTGTCTGCGGTACATAAGGTAGGTATCGATGAGCTGCTATGGCATGTGAAGATGGGGGTTGGTATAGTTCTTAGTGTGGCCGAAGTGGATCCGAAGACCCGATTTCCCCGTTTCCTTTTCCCTCTTAGTTTCTGCTGTATTCTCCTCTCCTCCTACCACCTACTTTACCTCTTACCATCTGATACTACCTTTACTCCCCGTCGAGGTGTGACTTCTCTCTCTCTCTGCCACCTACCATATCATTCACCCAATTAATCCGAGAATCGGACAGCAATATCGGGTCTCCGCTCCAGCGAGATGACAGCCAAGCACCATCCAAAGGCCAGCTCCTGGCCAGGTATCTCACGCGGACAAGCCGGATAGCGGATGGACGACAAGGAGCTACACATGATATATGTATAGATGTACACATATGCATCCCACGCCATCTGAGTCCCCTGATGACACACTGTGCATGTCCGCCTGCACCGGGAAACAGGTCTACTAGGAGGTAGTGCGTGTGTGATGTGATTGAGTACATGATACTGTCGAGTGAGACTTGCCTCGTAGTGAGAGAGTGTGAAGAGAGTAAGAGAGAGGCTAGGGAGCCTAGGGAGCCTAGAGAGTCTAGAGAGAGTCTAGACTGATCTTTCGACCCATTCCATTCCCAGGTCGGCCTTCAATTGTGTGTTCTGAAACTATCTCCATACACAAAACCAAGCGGGGAGCAAGCTTAAAACCGCTAAAACCTACGTTACCTGCGGGTGGATGCCAAGTCTCAGGATGAGAGACTCAAAGAGGGATGGCTACTAGGAAGTACCTGGTAGTCACAGAATGGCACGATGGAGATGCGGTATCGGGCGGGCGGGATATTCATTCAGGGCCTAGGAGGACTCAGGAACGACTAGAAATAAAATAGCTCCGAGGCCGTCTAGGGCGTCAAGTACGGTAAGGTCACAATGTATATGCCCAAATCACAGCCGAATGTATCGGTAGGTAAGGTAGTTAGTTAGGTAGCCAAGAAATGTTCTTTTTTTTTGGACGGCGTACCCAAGGAACTAGACTAGGACCTCATCCTGTACCCTTATAATAATAATGTTAATGCCATGTAGAATATGGTACGTACTGCTTCTACGTTTCCTTGGATGGGACCATGCATGTCACCACGACTTCAGGGTCCCACCAACCGGTCTGTGTTTTAGTGAGTAGGTCAAGAGTCCAAAGGGGATTTCCAAGACGGCGAGAGTAACTTTGTTACATTCTAGTTATATTCTAGTGGCAACTGAGTCACTTATGGAAGTTGGCGCCTAGGGAGGGAGAGAGAAAAAGAAACAGCGAAAAGAGGGTGTGCATGGTCGCGGATGATAGTGGAAAGTGTGGAATAGGGCACAGGGGCAAAAGTAAAAGTACCTACCAACTACTGTTGCCGTGTCCCTTTGTCACCCTCACCCTCCTCAACTGTTCCCTGCCAGACCTGCCTGAGCTGTGCACGCATGAACTAGGTAACCCAGCCCTTTGCAAACAATCAACAGCGGCGAATAGGTCAAATAGACTTCCACTTCGCCGCCAAACCCACGCCCTACCTCCTACGGAGACCCACCCCATCTTTTGCATATGCATCTCGTATTCTCTCTCCAAATCCCGTTTCGATTCCGAAGTCACCTTTTTTTCTTGAAAAAGAAGAGAGAGAACAAGAGAGACAACGAAAACAAAAGAACAAGAGAAACAAACCAAACCAAAAAAACAATTTTTTATGATTCCATCATGGCCCTCACGGCCGCAGAACGCACATTTGCCATTCCCGAACTCCTCGAAACCATTCTCATCCAACTCGCACGTCAACATCTTCCGCGTCGAGGTCTCGATCCATTAGCCCAACGACAACTTCGTATTCCCTCTCGAGGCCTCGATTCTAGTACGAGCCATTATCTCGCATACACTCCACTCGTCTACCAGCTCTTTGTCCTCCAGCGAGTCAATTCTACCTTTCGCGGTGTGCTGAGAGCGTCGAAAGAGCTGCGGCAATGGATGTATCCGGATCCGCATAGCAGAATGTTGGAAGTCGAGCATGATGATGAGGAGGAGGAGGAGGGACATCAACATCAAGGTATCGAAACATTGATACGCTTAGCGTGGTTGTTTAGTTATGTGGGCTTGAGGGTTTGTCATCATCATAATCATGTTCAAGTCAAAGATGGTGGCGGAAGCGGAAGTGGAAGTGGCAGCATCACCAAGGAAGTCTTGCTCACGAAACATCCTCGTGAGTCGCCTCATTTGTGGCCGCGCGGCTTTGAGAGTGAAGATCAAGGCGTGATGAGGTTTGCACGACCTGAATCTTCTTGGCGGAAAATTGTCATGTTTGACGATAATGATGATGATGATGATGATGATGACGATATGGACGATATTGATGATGACGAAAATGATGAAAATGATCAACACAAACATGTTACTCGGCGGCGGAGAAGAATTGGAAACGTCCAAGTTGAAGTATGGGTGGTGAAGAGCAACGAAAATACGACGCCGTCGTACGTACAGACGTGGAATTTCCATCGCGAAGAAAAGCCCACGCTGGGAGATGTCTATGATGGTTTGAAAATCCTCTATGGACGAACACAGGAACAGCATGCCAAGATCGCTGAGCAGGAGCAGCAGGAATAGGAGCAGGAAGAGTCGTAGCAGAACTGTTGAGCAGGAGGGAGAACTCTCAACCCCGGAGAAAAAACAAATATTCATCACCCCTTCCTTTGGATTTTTATTTTTCTCTTTTTTTACTTTTCAGAGACTACTTTTCGGCGGGGGTTGGGGATCGTCCGGATTGATCGGATCTGTCGACGGGGGTGCTCCGATCGATTCTTTCGGCGGACAGACGCTGTCGCGAGGCACAGCAACAGTCTCCGGACTCCCTACGATCGCAGAGGCAACATTCCTCGGTAAGCCTGCTCCTGCATCATTCCACGATTCGACCGCGAGATTGTACTGATGGCCCACCACCAGACCATCGATATGTCCCGAAGTGCCCTCAAATGCGGCCGTCGGGCCGAGCAACATGTTGGTGCAATTGACATCGACATCCCAATAGTAGAAATTGAAGAGTGTTGCTGAGCTGCCAAAGGGGATCGTCCAGTTGAGATCGATGCCCGTGGCTGTCGCTTTGACAATGACATCCTCCGGCGCCGAAGCCGTATCCGGAGTGGTGACTGCGGTCTGCCAATCCGTCCATTCGCCTTTTCTGTTACCTGCGATCGGTCGAACTCGGAGATCATACCTGTGTGTGTGCATCATTCACATGTTAGTTGTTGTCAGAAAAGACGCATCTCAAAAAGGGAAAAAGAATTCCTCCACACCATCCGAAAAGCCAAAAAAGGAACGACAAGAAAAAAAAAGACGTACGTATCTTTGGGCACAGCCCAATGCGTATCCCATCGATTCGCGCGAACATTGGTCGGAGAGAAATGCAGTGGAGGGTTCGTGTCACTCCCGTTGATGCGATATTCGGCATCATATGTATAAGCGCCAAATACTAAAGAGAAATATCGAATATCATCATCATCATCATCAGTCCTTGTCTTCTTCTTCAATTCACAAATCCCCAATTGTTGGCTCGTCCGATGACAACATACCTTTATCCCAAATCGCCGTAACACCAATCGTCGAAGAGTAGATTTCGAAATTTTCCGGTTTGGGCAACGGTCGCGGGGGAATTGTCGCGGGGACTTCGAGGGGTGTTGATCCAATTTGGAGTCCGCTGACGAGAGCTCGAGAGAAGGCTCGGGCGATTTGATATTCTCCTACAATTATACATCGATAAGGTAAATTTCCAATGTCAGTTGACGTGACTTTTCTCTCTCTCTTCTTGGATCATAGACGGGGTTTTTTCTTTTTTGGGTGGTGGGATTTGTTGTATCTTACCTAATTCGCTCGGGTGAAGACCATCGTGAGCGGCGGGACAGTTGTCTGTATATTGCGGTCCACAATCATATTCTTCACGGACTGGGGCGAAAACGACCTGTGTTTTGGTTTGTTTTTAGTTTCAGTCGAATCAAGAGTTCAAGACCCACATGATAACCTTTCTTTTTCACTTTCGATTCCACCGCACCCCTTCTCTTTCCCTCACCATCCACCCACCAAAAAAAGGAAAGAAAAAGAAAAAAAAAAAAAAAAAACATACCGGCGACCCCTCCAAACTCCACCCCGCCACCGCCTCCCTCAACAACCCATTATACTCATCCGTCAACTTGACCAAATCCTCCCTACCCGTCCAAGTCCTCTGCACGACATTCCCAACGACAAACGCAACATTCGGCCTCGCGCTTCTCGAATTCTCAATCAACGCCTTCGTATTCTCCAACGTCTGCGAAGCATTCCCAAAACCAAACGCCAAATCATTAAATCCCAACAACACCAAGATAAGATCGGGAGAAAATTCGGCGACAACGGGTTGGATGGTATCTTTGACTTGGGCGACTGCGCGGCCGCTGATGGCGAAATGGTTGCTGTTGGTGAAATCGTCTGTGGCGTATTTGCCGTTGATGCGGAGTGGAGGGTCTTCTTTCGGGAGGCTGTAGAGACGTGGTCGAGGGGGAGGGGAGGGGAGGTCGGGTTCGGCGGTTCCGAGGTAGGGGCCGACGAAGTCGATGGTGAGATTTTGTTGTTGTTGTTGTTCTTGTTGGGTTTCGGAAGTGGTGGTGGTGGTGGTGGGTTGGGATTGGAACCATTGCCAGATGCGATAGCGCCAGGTAAAGTCTCCTTCGTTGCAGTGCGTGATGGAGTCGCCGACGACGAGGACGCGGAGGGGATTGAGAATGTCTTCGGATTGTTCGGAGGCTAGCGTCGACGTTGGGTAGAGGTTGAGGACGAGGACGAGGAGATATGCCAAGACTGGACGGTTGCTGGAGCCATGATGGGCCAGACGCATGGTGTAAATTTTTTTTGTCGATTTTCTTTTTTGTTTACTGGACACTTCTTCCTTCTTCAGACGACGAAGCGTTGAAGGCCGAGTCCAGTGGGAATAAAAACAAGAGGGAGGTTGGTGGGAGAAAAGGGTATCGAGTTCCAACTTTAGACTCTTGAGTCCGTCTTCATCATAGTAAGCTTCGTAGCGCGATCGAGGATCCCAGCATTCCCATGCGAATGACCGGGGACTGCAAATTGGATGTCAGCGGTAAAACTAATCAAAGTTGAGGTTTCTGGGAAGATACCGGCAGAAATAGCATCAAATAGCCTGTGACGTGGTGCCGGTGCTGCCACAACAGAAACCTGCTGGCCCTCCTGTCCGAGCCTGTCCGCCGCCGGCCGGGAGTTGATGAAGAAAACGAAGAAGACATATATCATTATATAGTCCCCGGCTGCTGGAACTTGTAAGTGTAAGTGAACTAACGAGATGCAGGAATATGAAACACGCTGTAGACCTATGCCGGAAGTCTGGAAGCTCTATACGATTTCTAGCGTCTTCTTATGCAGGTCAGTGCTTCAAAAGACACACACACACACTCTCTCTCTCTCTCATTGTGGTGACTCCAACTCACGACAGCACTCGGTACACGGGATACTCATCGCCAACTTCCAAGGGCACGATATTGAAGCTCACATACGAGTCAATATTCTCTGGCTCCAGTGCCACAAAGGCCAGTGCCGCATTCTTCTGCCGGGAACTGACCCGGAAACTTCCCGACGGAAGGTCAACTTCTTTCATCGTTGCATTCGTGGTCACAGTCGCAAGTACGGTGCCTTCGTAGTAGGACCGATCCAAGGACGACGTCTCAATCGTGAGTGCTTCCACCGGTCCACGATATGCATCTTGCAGTGTTTCCACTTCCAGCCCCGAAATCCGCAACCGCTCGGCCAAGTCGTGCCATGCTCGCGGGATCACATACGCTTCGGGCCTCGCCTTGGTCAGGTTGGCAATGACCGGTGTCGTGCTGAAGAAGGTGACAGGTGCTTGCACCAGATCACCAGAGTCGCGATCGACAAAAGTCCAGTTCCGCCTAAAGGAGTCACTCCAATCCGTCACCACAATCTCCTCGGAGCTTCCCGTAAATTTGGCGATTCCCCCTTCCACTGCCTCGCGGACTTGCACCGCATGGTCGCTTGTCGTCTGAATCGCGGCCTCGAGCATCGCCAGCCCAGCTGCCGTGCGACGTGCAAATTCCTGGTCGGCGATGCCGATGCCTCGAAGTTCGAAGAGAAATACCACCGCCTGGGTCAGACCGAGAGCATTTCTACCAATTTTGGCATCACTTCCCGCTTCTTCGTAAGTAATGGTGGAGTTGGTCCTGTTGCTCGTGCTGCCTGTCACATATGGTTCCCATCGGAATCCACCAGCCTCGAGATGGGCTCCAATGGCCGGAGCGAAGAGCTCTTCCGATATCTGTCGAATGTCCTCATGAATGTTGAGGTTCTTGGCGGCACTGAAAAGTGCATCAGCGCCTGGCAAGTAGCGCCCACCGTATACGGCCGAGGCCGAGTATTCATGCATGTCCAGCGCGACATGCGGCGCAAACTCCACAAACGTAGTCTTGATGTCTCGCGTCTGTTGCCTCGCAAGTTTCGTGTGATCGCGGTTCGGGTCGTAGTTGGTCGCCAGTGTTCGCTGGAAATAGTCTACGCCATCCGGGTTGTAGCGTGGAAGAATCATGATGTCGACCTTCTCCAGTATTGCGGATGCCCAGGTCTGGTTCGCATCCATCTTGCCGAGCAAAGCTAATATCGCCTGATCACCAGCCGGTTCGTTACCGTGAACAGCGCCTTGAATCCATATCCTGACTTTGTCGTTCGAGGCCGATGCATTGCCGTTGGACACATTCTTGGTCAAGTGGACGTATGGAAATGAACGTCCTTCCTCACTCAGATACTCAACCGCATGATAATTGAGCCACGCGTTTTTCTCTGCCAAAGATTGGATAAATGCGTCCTGTACAGCATCGCTTGTAGGGCCAGATGTGCCGTTTGCAAAAGCAGCAGGAACACTGTTGGTATCCAGGAACGCGGGAGATAGTAGTTCAATGCCTGGATCTGGGAAGTTGGCAGCCACTTGAGGTGGATCTTTTCGGATACTGACATGATTATTGCCATATTGTGTCGCAGCGCTGCCGACAATCAGGAGCCAGGAGGCTGCTAGAACTGTAGAACGATGCATTTCGAAGACTTCACTGGCATTAGTTCTTGAACGGCGAGTGATAGAGGAGTTCGAAGGCCGAGGTAGAACCTAAGGCTGCCCCTTTAGGGCTATATAGCACAGCTGATAGCTACTTACCTGGTAATTAATTTAGCTATACATCTCAAATGTATACTTTGACAGTTCTCCCTGTCCGTCAGTCCCTGGACGGCATATGGATATTCTAGAATATTTGTAGGCCCATTGGCAGGGAAGAGGTTACATCGTTGGCTATCCGTCATCATTCTGACTTGGCAGCATTGATAGTAGAGCAGCTAAAGGTCCTTTGTCCGGCTCCGACACAGGGAGGTGGTATTGCCAGAAAACTTGGCAACCATTAAAGCTTGGCTCTGCCAATAGCTTCACTGCTTCAAATTGCCGACCTGGATCCCCAGCTATCCCATCACCCAGGTCAACGAGCCCCAATAATCGTATTGCTCTCCAGCTTTGATCCGGGTCTAAAGCTTTATGTGTAGCCACTGTAGCGTGCAAAGTCCAGCGTGGTGGTGCGTGAATTGACTAAGTCAGCCCATGGCATCCGAGATTGAGTCTTGGCTTTTCTTACGGACTTCCCACTCAGGCCAAGTCCTTACGGTTATCATCTTGGCGAGTCTAGTTTGCCACGCGACTGTGCCTGCGTGTATATCATGGCGATGGTCCGATGGACCATTGTCAGCCGAGTTACTGCAGGCACAACAGTAACGAACCGACAATCCTTACCACTTGCGGTTGCTTCGAGCACTCCGAACAACAGCACCCTGATAAGAGATGAAGCCAAGCATCATGAGACCGATAATAGCACTCCTCAGCGCGCTCACGTCTGGAGTGACGGCGGCTACAGTCTACACTGGCGACAGATTCCAAGGCCATCCCATCATTTCGTCCTTGGACGTCAATGATCTCCCAAGCAATACCGTGTCTCGATTCTGGTTGTCGCCAGCAGCGGGACAAGGAGGCCTTTATTACTTTCTGCCAATCTTCGTGGCACGAGGTACTGCAGAATCTCTCGAGAGTGGTCGCAAGTTGTCCCTCTCTGCGTCAATACACGGCGATGAACTGAACCCGGTGGCGATTGTCCAGACCATTTTCAGGCAATTGAACGAAACCGTGGCTGCTGGTGCTTTCAATGGCACAGTCATTGGTATTCCGACACTCAATCCGCAAGGAAATTTTCTCAACCAGAGAAATTTCTTCACCAGTTCTTCCAATGGATTCTTCTACGACATGAATCGCCTCTTCCCCGGACTCAGCATGGCAGAAGGCGGAAATCTGGTGGAGTCTTACACTGCAGCGATTTGGAACGACATTTGGGGCAATACGTCGAATGTCGATATTGCCGTGGATTTCCGTAAGTTTCTAGTCTCCGCTTCGGGAAGAGAGATATAGACTGTGACTAACTTGAGACTAGACACGCTGTCGACGGGTTCCGTGGGTCCACTCTGGGCGTATGCGGACTATGCAAGCGAAGGCGTGCAGCGCATGGCTGAGCTTCTCCAGCCGGATGTGATCAAGATAGATCCTGGTCTGCCCGGTACCATCGAGACCAGCTGGGTCCAAGCAGGCGTGCCCGCGATTACGGTCGAAACAGGCCCAGCCAACAATTGGAACCGCACATTGATCAAACGTACGGTGGACTTTGCTTTCCGCTTGATGGATGACCTGATGATGACAGGCGGCGCACTGCCTGTGCCAGACTTGTCGCAGACGTTCATCGCGAACAACTTCTCCGATCCATATACCGACTTCAGCGGCTGGTTTGAGTCGGACATTGAGATTCTGCAGGATGTCGAGGAGGGCCAAGTGATTGGCAGAGTGTATAACGCGTGGGGCGATGAGCTGCAGACCATTACGTCGAGCGTGAGCGGGCGAGTACTGACTGTGCTCGTCGACCCTGCCGTCGAGGCTGGAGCCAGTCTAGCGACCATTGCCTACAATGCGACCAGCGCATAGTTATCAAAAGGAGTAGCATCTTGATCGAGACTGATCAAGACGTAGCGCCAGATGAATTTCCGTGTCTTTTGTGCATAGTCGTACGTTTATCCGCTTCCATTCACTTCTCTCCCTTCTACTACACATCCTCATCCTCTCTCCACATCCACGCAACAATGGGAGCAGCACTCGGGACTCGCCAGTCGACCACATTCATCCTCAAAGCACTTCGATCGGAGACAGCCCTAGTAATGCACAAGATACCCTTCCACTACTTATTGATTGGGTCTCGAACATGCAATGCATGATCATGCTGTTCTCTGCTCACAGCGGGAAGTACGGTGCCCCTGATCATCTTCTCTGGCAGCTGTACAGCACTGAGCGGAGGGCTCAGCTGGTGCGTGAAAAAGGCTAGGATCATATACAGTGTAGACATGAAGATACTGCTCGATAATCTCATGTCCACTCGAATCGGTATGCATGATAAGAGGCTGCCGCACCCTGTACCGTACCGTACCCAAACGCCTCGCTAAATCTCATGCTCGCGCTTTCTTAGACAGACCATCTTCTGTTCGTCGCATTTTCATGGTGCAGCATATCAAAGCTCGACTTCCTTTTCCAGCACAGCATACACCAAAGTTGGGCGGTCTTTGTCCAGAACAGCCTGAGCAATTGCCACTCCCAGCAGCTCATTCAGCCGCTCTTTCAGTGCCTCCCCCTCCGGATGCCCGTTCGTCTGAGCGGTATTGTACTTGATAGCATCCTGCTCGAGAAGTTCCAGCGCCGACACGACCGCCTCGACCACTTTCAAGGCATGAGGCCGCTTGGCATCGTCCTTGAGGCCTTCCTGAAGATGCAAGTCATACGCTTGCAGGTTAGGCAAAATCAATGAACGCACACCAGCCGATCCAGCGATGACCGTCAGCCCGAGAACTGCGCCGTAGTGAGTCCCATAAGGCTTGTGTGAATCGAGGAAGTGCTTCAGACAAGCTCGAGCGATACGAGGCTTGAGCGTAGAGGAGCTGTCCCCATACTTTTGTGCAATTCTCAAAAGCAAGCTGCTGGAAAATGCGCGAAGAGCATAATGACCTTCCCCCTGGTCTTTCGAAGCAGCACCCAAATGCTTGCCGACCACGCAAGTCAGGATTGCGGGTATCAGTGCAGATACGTATGGTGCAATGTAGAGACTCGCATTTGCTAGCAGTGATTCCACCATTCGCATGCTTTGAGCTAGAATGAAGAGTGATTTGAGACCGTGCGTGACCTTGTCTGCGATGAACTGAATGAAATAAGGTACGAGCTGGTGCAGCCCTGGATCCGACCTCAGCGATGCGAAAGCAGCCGTCTGATACTCCATGTTGTCTTCATCCAGTATAGCAGCACAGATGCGCTCAAAGTACAGTTGGAGTTCCTTTGATAGCACATGCTTGACGAGCGGTTTGACCGCCACGTTATCATTTCCACTGAGAGCAGCCAGAGTGTTGGCGCCTTGTCCTTTCCCAGCCAGTTCCTGCCCTCTTTGATCCGCCTGTGTTGGATTTTGCGGTATGCTCGGCTGTACTCCCTCCACGGCCAGCCAGTGGCCAGTGAAGCTGATCTCGCGCGGTACTTTGGGCAGTGGCGCGTTGATCAACTTCTCGAAATCGACCTCCTCATCCTCGACGTAGAACAGCGGCTGCCCCGGTCCTATCGAGGCCTCGCCGAAGCGCAGTGGTCGCGTGGATTCATAGCCATACAGTGGCTCAACATCCAGCACTCGCAGCGCCTGGGATATGTCTTGTGTCGTGAGCGTCGTCCGTTTCGCATGGCGCATAAACTTCAGCGCTTCTTCCAGCACTTGGCTAATGCGATATTCTACGTCCCGCGCCAGATGCTCAGCGACCTCGCGATTCAGTGCGGCGATGCCCACCGATTCTGCGACATCTGTCACGTTTTCGGGATTCCACACCGACGCCATCGCAGCGTCTGCGTCGGCGTCTGCGTGTGTTCGAAGCTATGCGCCTTGAGCGCTGGGGCGCGTGTCGTGCCAACCAACCAGTGGAGGAGGCGCTCGGCAGATGTGAGGAGGTGAAGGTGATGGCGTCGTTCGCGCTTGTTCAATCATAGAACGTGCATGTTGCGAGCAGGTTGTGATATTGCCAGCTCGGTGGTGGAAAGTGAAGTGCTGGAAGGTACCTAACGAGGTTGGATAGGTGCACGTGACAACCATAACCATTGAACCATGTTGTTGGATTGCACTTCACTCAGTTTCATTGCTCCCACACAAGCTCCATACTTTACTTCTACCAACTTCGACCAAAGGTGTTCGAGCAGTAGTATATTCTACCTGCCAACGTCTCTCAAGTGGCTTCAACAACAACGTCCCTCACTCCTCGAGCCACTGTCATAACTCAGACGTCTACCTCCCACCAGCCACGCTTCCAGACTAGCGCTCCTCATCAGCGAGATGTGACGATAGATCCGCCACCGCCGTCGAAATCAGGACAAGCATGCGTTTGCAGGTACGAGGCGCTGTCACTCTCCGGCATTCCTTCTCGAGCCGGGAGGAGGACGCCGCTGATCAAGGGCTGTGCTTCCCTCCCGATTCGCGGCCCAGTGGAGGACGGCGTCGTTGTGATGAACGGGCCCAAGGGGGACCGTAGACATGGCGAGAACGACGCTGTTGACATGTCCGCGTACTTGCATGCCGTAGCATGTAAGACGTGCGACATAACCCAACGCTCACATCGAAGGACAATGGGTAAGACACGGCGGAAACGGTCCTGATCCCAGCCCTCTCCAGGCTCCCAGCGCATCTCACGGCGAAACGGTCCCCGGGACATCGAAAATGATGTCGAGGCAGTTCCAGCTACACGGTTTGAGCAGCCGCGCGTCCCTGTCCGGATTGCAGCCTGTTCTGACGCTCTCAAACCTGGTAGTCCTTGACGCGTTGGATCTAGGCATCACTTATTACAACACGACTTGCACATCCTCTTCAGGCCACCGCATGCCTTGAGGCCGTCGCGAGTTTTGGCCGATGATTGCATTATGTCGTACGTGAAGATTGACCTTGAAGGTAGGCCGATAACCAAGGACTCGGCAAGTCGGCACGCATTAAAGACTGGGAGTCTGCAGAGGACGCCGTAAGCCGCCCTGATAACGATCTTGGGCCTGTGCTCTGCTGGATGACAGCTTAGGTACGCAGGTAGGAGGTAAAGCTCTGGGTGAGCGTCTTCGACTGGCTGGGTCCTATCTTGGCAGAGATCGACCAAGACCCAAGGCGTTTGACTTACACAAGCTTCTCATCTGGTAATTTATTGGACAGTCAAAAGAACGCCGACCTATCTAAAAACCTGCTAGGTGGCAGTAGATCTCTCCACCGATTGGGCAATTGAGCAGGCTTCGCGGACAACCAGATCGATCAACGCAGCGCAACGCAAGCCGACCTTGTAAACACAAAGTTGGCCTCGGAAATTCATGTCGATAACGGCGCCGAAAGTTGTGCAGGCTGCAATCATCCTCCGTTGTACTAACCATACTTGTTCATAGGCTCGATGGGAAGTGACACCCGCTTGTCCATCCCCCTCTTTGTGCTTCGTATTCGGAGTTCAGATTGGACAATCCAGCCGATCGTGCACTGCGATCGGCAGGATGGCATCGTATGTAGATGTGGAACGTACAGCAGACGTCTCGAGCGCCTCGATTTCTTCCAGGTTCATGCTATAAGAGCTTGCAGAGAATCTTGCTTTGAGACGAAAAGGAAGACGTCAGCCGTGATGCGGAGGTAGGATGAAGAACGATCTTGGCGTGGCTAATCCGCTAAGAATGAGGTAGGTACTTGCGCGCATCCTGCAACAGATCGTCAACATGATCGTGGTACACTAGCCATTGGTCTATCTATGATCTGTGGAGCATATGAGGTGTACTGTATTGCCCAGACGAGGCTGAGCTGCGAGATCTGAAGCTTGATACATTGCGATTTGCCCTCTAATGAGGCTCTGACTGCTAGCCGTGTCACCGACATATGCATCGACGCGGCACAGCCAGCTGCCGAATTCGTGCGCATGATCTCTTGTCATCCAATGCGCTATTGCTAGCAAACGGAATGCCCGTTGGTCTCTACCGGAGGCTCAACAGGGCTCAATACGCAGACATATGCCCGTTTTGCCGCATCTGGGAACATAGGATTCCCAATACTACCTACCTTATGCCTCTGTACCGTTGTAAAGTGAACTAAGTATCCCTTTCGCATTACATCTGGAAGCGAGGCTATAAGGTGGGTAGCGATCGAGTGGCAAGCATCAAGCCATCCATTCATGATATGTGGAATTGGGGCGTCGGCCTGTTTCATAAGAGCTTTCTCTAGCGGGTCGACCGTCCCGTCTGAGAAAGTAAACATTCGGATAAGGCAGGCCGGATAGGTAGGTAGTACTGGAAGCTGGTCCTACAATAGATATGTAGGTTAGCACCTTACCTTCGAAGAACTTTTCTGACCTTGGTATAAAAACAGCAGGCCAAGCTTCTCAAACGACTCGTATTGTTTTTCGATAGTAATAGCGATATCCATCTCAAGTGCGTAGAGGAACATGGTCGTAGATTCCTGTATCTTCAGGGCGGTTTCTTGGGGACCCTTTTCTGGCCGTAGCTGAGTGACTCTTCGTGTACATGTACTTAAGGTGGTAGTATAGAACAATGTCATAAATAACATTGCGAGATCAGCTCGACTTTCCAATTTTCCGCACTTCTTACAAGAGGAAAAGCAAACAGCGGGGAGAAAAAGAGCCACAGATTTACTCGGAGCGCGAAGCAGCTGCGACATGTGTCTTCTAATTAGTTGTGGTCCCGAATTGCGACGATATACAGAGAAGCCCGGAGGGGTTGGAGGGACGTCTTTTTCTTTAGTGATGTTTTTTTCGTCATTTGATCCCAGTACTGTGGCTCGCTGTGCGAGACTATCGAAGCAGTAAAGTAGGTATTCGTAATGTGTCTCAGTTGTTTTTGGAAATTCTCTTGCATATTGTGACAAATAGCAATTCTCAGACTTTGTCCTTCAGTTGGCTTCTCTTCCAGTTGCCATGGATAATAGTATAGCATTTCGGTACCGTAGCTCGGGCTTCAAAAAAAGATGTGAGGTCTGGTCTGTATACCCCATACCTACTGTATGTAGTAAGACGGGACGGGCGATAAAAAAGCAATAAACTACATGTACCTTAGTTGCCTGACTCTGATGGTACATACATGTAGCGCGTCCGGAGAAAAAAAAGAAAGACAGCGCACCTGGGCAGGTGTCAAACAGCGGATACAGCCGTGGTCTTTTCATGGGGGACGGGAGCTCATTATTCATAATGATGATTTAAAGTTTACAACCTTGACTCCGGGAGGGCTCGCATCTGCAGCGAGCTGGAATAGGCATCACCTCCGGCTCCGTTTGAGTAGGTCGTTGGTAAGGTAGGTTCTCTCTTTGTCTTTTGCTGACTCCTGAGAGGGGGGTTTCTGGGGGGGCGTTGACTGCTATTTCTCTCGGTGCCGGAACCTATTTGCGGTAGGGATGTGCTGCTGCTGCTGGGCTATCGAGGAGGTAATACCCAAGCCTACCACCTCCTAGGAGTCCTAGCTGCAGGCATGGATAATGACTTCCAGTATCTTTGATATGCTTAAAAAACCTGAGGCGGCAGATGGAAAGGATATACAGATTTTTGTTCTTGTTCGGTCAACGTGTGATTGCCCGATAAGGACTAACCTCAGTGTGGATGGTGGTTTGTCGCGCCAGCGTTGGAACGCTTTTTGAGTGGGACGGTCGTTCATAGTTCCATGTTCATTCAGATTGTTCTCTGTTACAGTAGTGGAGCCACACAGCACACGACGATTCATACCGATATGATGAAATAAGAGTGTGCTTTGAGCGCTGCGCGGTAAGCGTTGAGGCAGGGTGTGGGTGTTCTCCGGCAAGTCAAATCACATCACACAGCAACGCCCTTGACTTTGGAGTGACAGTCGTAGTACGTAAGTCGGAGGATCAATAACCTCCTTGGGCATTACGGACACTACTGGGCCTGTCCGACCGTCTAGGCCTCTGCCGACCGTATGCTGAGCAGCTGAGAAGGGGGGAGGAGGAGGAGGAGGGAGGCACCCAACGCTTCCCCCTTCGAGGGGATATCGATCTAAGCCTCATTCAGCTACAAGAGGGCACGCACGAGACAGAGAATCAAGTATCGTTGACTGACTTGTCAGTGGCGAGGCTAGATACCTCAGGTACAGACCTACTGACGACCCACGGGCAACTCCGCTACGACACTAAAAAGTCTAGAGGGGGACCACCTCTCCTCAACAGTGCAGCAGTGCAGTTGGAAGCATGGGTGCGGATTCACACGCTGATCCGTGAATCTCTTCTGCCTTATAGGTTGTAGCCACCGGGTTTTATCTGGTTCGCCACCGTCGACAAGGACTCGACAAACAACCCGGGACTGGCGTCGATCTGGCACAGACGGATGCTGATTCCCGAATTGACTGCCCCACAAGCAAGGTTTCTCGTAGATACGGCTCTTGTGAACTTTCAAAATATACTTCCTGATCTTTCAGCCTCATCATCCAAGGAGATCAAGCCAGGGCATGGCCTCAGGAGGCTTGAGGCTATGCTTGGAATTGCTTCACTATTGCTAGCTGCTACCTACCTTATCTGGTGTGGTGTGTATCTACATACTCGGTGTGTAGGAACTCCATATGGCGTCTGCCGCTGACGAGGATATGATGCAGACTAGGTGGTAGATACGGCTCTCGTGCCGGTGAGGTCTTGGAGGGCCGAGGGGCAGCTCAGAGCTAAAATGAGTCGTGCGATTCCCAGCAGGCATGCACCCATATACCGTTGGTTGGCTTGAATATGCCGGCGGCCAAGCTGTCGGGTACCGAGGTCGAGCCCGCTCAATCCCTCCACTGTCTCGCACTGCAGTGCAGTCCACCTCAATAATAGTATCTACCTATCATACTGGGCGGAACAGACTGCCCAGCCCGCACGCCCCTGTTGTGGTGCGGCTCCCCTTCGCCAGACGTAGCCAGTGTACGGAGCCGAAAAAGATTTTTCTTTTTTCCTTGCTATTCCTATTACAGGACAGATGTCAAGAGAGCCGGTGCCAGTCTGCCAGAGATGTAATTGCTGTCAGCTTAAATCGCCTACTGACTTTTGCACCTGCGTCGCGCGTCCTCGACATCCGGCGCTAACAGAAGTGTTGTGGTGACGCCATCAGTGGTTCGAAGCGGAGTTGTGATTGGGCGGAGTTGGTTGTCTCAAGCCCAAGGTTAGACGAAAACTTCCCGACCAAAACAGAGGACCTTTTTGGGGACGCCATTCACTCCTTAGCCAAACCGGAAGCAGGGCGAGGTACGCCGCGAAATTGCTGCTCGGAGCCGCAGAATTTCCTGCACGTGTCGTAGGAGTTCGGGGCGCGCGAAGGGGGTACCATGGTCAGTAGTTATTGCGAAGCTGACAGCCTGACAGAGTTTGGGAACATCCTACCCTCTCTGCCTCTGGTATGCGAAAAGCTCCGCGCGATTTGACTGGGAATGTGGGAAGGTTGTGTCCGGGATCCATACGAACATGGACCTGCTCATAAAATAGACTGCAGGAAGCTGAGATGAATGGTGTTGACGTCAGCTGCCACCAGTGTCAGAACCTCATCGCGAGAGAGTTTCTCGTGACCAGGATTGAATCCTGCGTGGGTATGTGTGTGTTCAGCAGAGGCGCATCTCGCGCTTGCATCCCGAGATGATCACACTTGAGTGTAATTGCCACTCCGGCTGCGCGTTAGGTCATGTTCGAGTCTCGCGTAAGTTTCGGCTTGCCGACGAGTGCCGACTATGTAAGATTCGTCTTCATTCGCCTGGTCGTCTCCAACAAGGCTCAAGCACACATACACACACACACACAAGACCAGCAGGCGCAGGCAGAGGGTGGCACGCTGGCAATCCGACCCACAGCGGCGCCGGGACTAGTAGTGGTAGTAGAGGGCGTTCGTTGTCATCAACGATCAAGGGGGGGCGGTGGAGCTGCAGTTACTGGAGAGGTATTGGCGCCAGGCATGCTGACTTGGCGCACTAGGGTCGAAAGCGAGACCAGACCAGCAGCAGAGCAGCTGTGCTGTGCATGCCCGGGCAGAGCAATGCAGAGTCCCATCAGAGAACAGGCGTCCCGTGATCCGTCGCCGCAGCGCAGGGAAGAGAAGCGAAGCGAAGCGTTTCGCATGGCTGCTTGACCATCGGTCGTCGCGAGGCGGGTTTGCCTTTTCATTGGACATGCTGCAGGCGAGCTGGTGGTTGCGTCTGGCGGCATCACATGTCCTTTGGGTAGATGGGAGGCGTCTCCCGCAGGAGTGGAACCGCATGTTGTAATGCCTATTTGCGAACGTTGTTGTGGCGTGGAGGAAGTTGCCCTACATGTCGACTGCATCGAATGACCAGGTCCATACAATCAATCCGTCGCATATCAATGATTCACTATGCCATCTCGAATAATGAGTCTCCATCCGACAGTACCATTCTTTCACCCAACCCCCTCCCCCCTACTTGCTCGCTCGTCTTGATGCATGCTGGCCGACAGGGAAGACCAGATGCCATGCAGACGGGGCCAGCGGGCAGCGCTCGATCGGCACGCAAGCCGGAGCCACTTCAAACCTTGACCAGGACTGCCTGGTATGAGTCCGTGAGTCTGTGACAGACCACGATGAATGCCTCCGTACATAGCATACCTGTATACGACTACCTACATCTACTGCACTTCCAGTGTACTGCACTGGACTGCACGGCACGGCACGGTACGGCACGTCCTACGAGAGCGTAAAAGTGATGGGTGAGAGTGGAAGAAGGATGTGTTGCCTGCTACAGAGCCTGCTGGTTTGCCTCTCTCAACAGAGCGTTTGTGGCCAGGCCAGGTGAAGCAGCCCGGGCAGCAGCATCCTGCCTCGTCTGGCCACGAGTTCCCGTCTTTTGTCATTTCTCGCCTAAGGCAGTCCACGGACACGCTAGAGGACGAGCAGTAGCAGACAGGGCGCGCGCTGCCGTCGCTTGGTGCTGTAGGATCACGCGAGGGATGCATGCAAGCCTCTCTGGCTGCGCGCCATCATCGATCGGAGGGGAGGGTTGTTTCTTGGCGTGCGTGGTGGTGGTCGCGGTATGGATGCAAAGGGAAAGGTTCAAATCGACAAGGCGAAACTCTCTCTCCCTCTCTCCCGGGCAGTCTCCCTGGGCTCTGAGCCTCTCTCTCTCTGTCTCTCTCGCGCGCGGCAAGCTAGTGCCCGCAACCCACGCACGCACGTCCGCACTGGCACTGGCACTGCACGCACACACGCACGGCGCACGCACGCACGCACGCCTTGCAAGTGTTGCACGCACCCTCTGCCCGCCCGCCCGCCCGCCAGCCAGAGACATCGGTCGTCTCTCTCACAGGCTACAGGTGCAGGGTGGCCGTAGAGCTCCCGATACAGCGGGTGCGGGTGCTCGACAGTTGTATTTCGGCTGTGGCTTTGGGACTGCAGCGTCGGTCTAGGGCCATATCGTGGGCCTGTCGACGACCGACTAGTAGAGACTGTTAGTTATACTGCTTGTCCCCGCTCCTGCTGCCGGCGGTGGTCTCTGAACTACATGTACATAGAGTTGCCAGACCGTGCGATGGACTCCGCCGCTGGCCTCATTCATCCATATCTGACCTGAACTTCACTTACTGCTGTCCGCCTTTGCCTCCGCCTCCGCCTCCGCCTCCGCCTCTGCCACCGCTGCTGATTGCTGACCGCTGCTGCTGCTGCTGCATCTTCTCCCGGCAGCTGACTCTGAACCTTTTCGCATTGCCGGCAGCCCAACTCGACCCTTGCCGCCGCCGCCGCCGCCGCTGTCGCGTTCACTCTCGCTCGATACCTTATTATTCCAACTATTATTGTTATTATTATTCACTACCACCACACCACACCACTCCCACTCCCACTCCCACCACTCCACACCACACCACACCATACCACGCCATACCAAACTTGCACCACACCACCTCGCTTCCAGGATAGGATAGGATCGGTCCCGCCGCCTCTGGTCTCGCCCCGAGGAGGCGATCGCGAACAAGAGTGGCTTTGCCCTCCCTCAGCCTTACTACATCACTACTCACTTCCACTGCCGACCACGCCTCGTCATCTCGTCTGCTGACACTCGTGCTGCATCCGTCCTGCCTCTGGTGCTGACTTCCTGTCGGCCGCCACCTTTCCACAACACTTCCACCTGCAGAAACCGGCTTCCCACAGCTTCGGAACTGTTACAGCTTCTCCCGGCCCAGTTGTGTCACCCACTCGCGTGTACAGCTGACGCGCACTCGTTCTGAGGTAAGCCGCGCGCGTCGGTTCTTGGCATGCACTCGAAAATAAAACACTGCACTCGTTTTCAAATCTACTATATTTTGTAGCGTAGTCTTGTAAAATATCGATAAAGGTAAGTTTCTAACATTTATATACTATGTTAGTACTAATAATATAGTAGTAGGATCGGGATAGTAGGTTTAGAGAAGTCGACAAAGTAAGTTCCCTTTAACCGTTACCCTATTGTTATAGTAACATTAGCTATCTAGTATTTAAAGAAGTCGACTAAGTTCCCTTTTACCGTTATCCTATCGTTATTATAACGTTAGTTCTTAAGTAAGGCGACTATTATTAACTATATTATCGAAATTTTTCTAACTTTCCTTTAACTATTACCCTACTGTTATCGTAACGTTAGCTATCTAGTAGGAGAGATCAATAATAGAGTCAATACTCGATAGTAGAGTCGGTATAGAAGATTTAGAGAAATTGATTAAGTTTCCTTTAACTATTACCCTACTGTTATTATAACGTTAGGTGTCTAGTAAGAGAAACATTAATAATAGAGTCAATAGTCGACTCTTCTATACTAATTCTACTAAGTTTCCTTTAACTGTTACCCTACTGTTATCGTAACGTTAGGTATCTAGTAGGAGAAATATCGATAATAGAGTCGATAGTAGAGTTAGTATAGAAGATTTAAAGAAGTCGACTAAGTTTCCTTTAATTGTTACCCTACTGTTATCGTAACGTTAGCTATCTAGTAGGAGGAATATCGATAATAGAGTCATAGTAGAGTTAGTATA